TTTAGAGCGCGTAGTAATAAAAAAAAATAAAAAAGTAAGTATATATTAAAGTAAGTAAGCTTTTTTAAAAATATTATAAATATTATAATAAAGCTAAATATAATGCGCAAATATACAAGCAAAAAATAGAAATAATTTTTAAATAAATTAATTTATTATAATTTACTGCTATAATTTTTTATAGTGCTGTACTATTGTGCATAATACTAATTTTAGTAAAATTTTAGTATTATAACTAACTTAATTAAGCAACTAACTTGCCTGTATAATATATTAGCTAGTAAAAAATAAATTAGTAAAATAATTACTTAAGCAGGCGCTTTATATAAAGTTAGATCTAGCTAAGTAGCTGTACTAACTAAATAGCTTATTATTAATTAGCAATAAAGCTAGATCTCGCACGTAATCGCTATTGACTTTAGGCTGAAGGATAGCTTCGGGCAAAGCATAGGTAGGTCGCTCCTCATCTATGGGGCCCACCCCACTTCAACCTTCTGGGGTTCCCACTACCTGATTCCATCCTTGTGACCTCGCTCAGAACGCTTCTCTTCTTGCATACCACGACCTGCCCTGTATCGACAATGGAGACCGAGATGCCAACTTCAGTTCTTCAAATTTCCTACTTTCACTCTCCCCAAGCGCTCATAACCGCGATCGAGTTCCCAAACTGTGATATCCGCTGTCGCTTGATCGTCTGAGAAAATCGACATTTTACCGTGACGGTATGGTTGCTTGCTAGGCCTCGTTTGTTTGTAGCTATCACAGCTAGGAGCGGACGTCTTCTTGTGTATTATAGTGGGACCCATTCCCACTTTGAATTACTATGCCTACTATGAGTTTCTAGATCACGTCAAAATGACAGTTCGAGAAGTATATGAGGTTATAATCACGTTTCGGCTAACAAGATTCTAACCAAAGATATCAATAGTGAGCCCCCTCCAGATGAGCTGTATGTTCAAGGTGACGAAACACCGAGCACTGATATGCTCGCTGACCAGTCTTGTCCAAGATATGCGGAACCGTGAGTTGGATAATCACGCCTTAGCCACCGCCGATTACATTAGCGTAGGTCTGCAATCCTTCTCGTATCGTTTGGTAAATTCGAAGAAAATAGAAACTGTGGAGAAGCGATGTATGCGCGCCGATATATCAATCCCTGGGTATCCCACGCCCAAACGCCTATATCCTAATCCAATCCGCCTCAAGACTCTTCGCTTCCATTCCTACTGACCTCCCGCATAACAAACGCTTCAGGATCCACTGGTCTTCCCTTCAAATCAACTTTATTACTTTCTGCCCAGGCTCTAACCTTGGCTTTATTGATTACCGCTTCCGCGCTGCCCCTTTTCCTGTGATCTAGTACGTCCATAGCTTGCAATGTCGCAATGATATCCTCGGGCACGATGTATGTTTTATCGCGCAGGTCGAGAACCGTGAGGATCTTTTTGGAGGGGCAGGACAGGATGGTGCGCGCGAGGGTTGCGGACCAGTAGTGCGTGTAAGCAAGGCGGCCGAGGTCGGAGAGGGCTGTACGTTGAACGTTAGAAGACATGGACTTATCACCTTGAAAAAGATGGAGATGATTGAGTGGAGGCATACGTTTCTCAGGTCCACCCAGTCTTCCCTCTCTCCCACTCATCTCATAGCTTGCGCCCATTAATATCTGCCCCAACCCCTGCTTCTGCCATGGTGGAAATACCAGTATACACGCCAAGTTGTTATTGTCCCAGCTCATCTTCTCCTTGCTGAAAAAGCCCACCACTTGTCCCTGCGCCCCTATCTCCTCTCTATCTGTTCTATCCTTGCCGAGATTTGTATGCGATATTCCCGGTGTGGGACTGTGTGCCACCAGCAGGTAGTAGAGAAACGTAGTCACATCGTAGAATACAGACTTCGTATCGAGGAAGAGCTTCGCAAAGAGGCAGAGGTTTTGGGCGTAGAGTTTGTGCTTTTCGCCGTCGATTTCGTAGAGCGAGTAGTTATCGTTGGTATAGACATTGACTCCCGGTGGTGGCGTTTTGCCGAGTGGGCATGCTTTCTACAGACATCAGCCACCAAAGGCATCCCCCTGGGTAAAAGGTAAAGCCTACCAAATGACCCAAGAACCCCATCAGTTCCTTGCTATATTTGAAGCACCATTGGCACACGTATAAGCGCTCTACACGCCTTCCTACGAGCTCCTCAGGGTAGAATGATGGGTACCATGGCTTTATCAGGAGTGAGCCGAAAACGACTTCTAGAACATTGGGGTCAACGGAGGGCTTTTGCGGAGCATTTAGCGCAGGTGTCGCAGGCAATATAGCCAAGACGTTGGTCATGGTGACATCGGGAGCCATTGAGGAGGAGCGAGGTTTGCCAGTGGTGTTCACATGCCAGCGGGGGTGACGTGCTGAAGTTTGACGGTGGGCTTCCTAGCGCGACGCGGTGGCACGTGCCAATGTCTCATCCAGACGCATGCTCGGAGTCTTCATTACATTTCATCTTATCGACTTGCTGTACCATGCTCAATCATTGTGCTTGTATCGCCATACCCTTTGCACCCAGGGATTCCACGCCCTGTCGCCGACCAACAATGACGCGTGAAACTACGCCAGCTGCATTTCAAAAAGGTAGATAGCAAACCATGTACCCCTGTGTCCAGTTTACAACCAAAACACAACGCGAGATGATTTCCAATCACCCAATGAACTATCGGCCTGTAGGTAAGAAGCACCTTCCCTTGGGTGCTACCGACTCCCACAAGCTGCGCCCCGCGCCAGTCTTCCGTAATTCGAGCTTGAAGGCTCATTTACTTCTTCGTTGGAGTAGCTGGCGGCGTGTGCACACCAGTAGAAAACTCACTGTCCGTAATCTCGCATTGGTAAGCGTGGAAGGCTTTCAAGACAACCTTGTTGTCTGAAAACTCTTTCCAAGCATCTTCATCCTCCATAATTGCGGGTAGCCGAGCCTGCAGTAGCTTGATCGTGGCCTTACGAAGACCGCGATCTATTTTCGGGTAGTTCTCATCGTATAGGCAGCCAGCTAGGTCAACAATGCTCAGCGAATCGTGGATGAAGGGTAGGCGGTCGATAATCGCAGCTGCTACTCTCTGCTTAATAGACTCAAGGTTGTACTATCACTACTTTAGTGTCATTGAATGAGTGGTGTAGGAACTGTTGACAGACCTTGTCACAAGCAATGAACAGCGCAAGGAGGTCGTTAATAACACGATCCTTTTCGATCTCACGTCCGAGAGCGAAGCCTGTGAAGATCGACCCCGTGGTAGTATTGTATACCTCGTAAATTTCTTGCAGCATTATGGCTATAATGTTCTCGTTCTCGGGTAGTTTGATCGAGCGCTGCTCAGTCTCCTTTATTCTGTCAGACATTTTCCCGCTATGGGGGCTTCCTCGGGACTCACTGTGAACCGTCCGTCACAGACTGCATCAAAGTACTGCGATCGTGAACTGAGTCTGAGAAATACGATTAATAGACGGCACATAGACTGGAGGCCTTGTCACTTACAAGACACGATGGACCGGGAAGACCCTGCTTCCCGCAATGATGGTAAAGTCAGAGCATTTGCCTGTCTGGTAGATACTGTAAAAGTCAGTCTTTACCCCTGGACGTGGTTGTGTCTCAGGCTTACCGGGCCCACTCAGTGGTGTCGGCATAAGGTATTGCCATCCATGTCTGGGTAATCTGGTTGGTGAAACCTTGTTTCTCCATGCTGAAATCTGCACGAGAAAGGGCAGCGTTGCTAGGAAGATTGGGTTTAGCATCATATCACATGTATGTGAGATTAGCATCACTTACGAAGGAGCCTCGTAGATTTCGAAATAGGAATTGCCGACCTTCGTGGCTAGGCGTCCCAACAACTGCAAAAATTCCGCAGCATAGTCGGCTGTGGTGAACACCAGATTGAGCTGGAGATGCTGCATCATAACGCAGACTTTCTTGCACGTAGTATTTAGACGCGTGCAAGCGACGCGTGCAAGCCGCACGCGCCCTCGAAACCTGAAAGTACACAGGCTCATCAGTATCTGGGAATTGTGCCATTGTCGCAATACCAGGCGCAGTTTGGTAGATGATGCCGAATTCGGAGTTTGCACGATCGAGCAGGAGATTCGCCGGGCCTGGGGATCTGAAGTCATTACTGACGGCGAATGATTGAAGTGACCAAGAGACAGATTGATCCTCTTCGGCGATCGAGGTAATTGAAGGCGCCATAGCAACAAACAGAGCAGAGGACAAAGACGAAGACCTAGAATATGCGATGACGATCTAGTTTTTAGAGGGAGAAGTATATGCAGTAAGACGATATAATTATTGTGTCGAACATGATGAAGTATATCAACGGTACGATGTTAGAATGAGAGTGAACCACTCTTACTATGGTGATTGGTGAAGGTGAAAGCTACGAGTGTATGGCATGCTTGAAAGACAGTTCACGATCCTCAAACTAGCGAAAGGAATTGAATCAAGCAGCCACCTACCAGTGTCAACCGAAGGAGAATGAACCAGGACAATATATAGAAATCTCTTGTTAGATGTTGAGGCGCCTTAAGCTCTTTCAAGAAACATGTGCATTCACGACCTCAAGCTCTGCAATGGCATCTGATAAATTTCTATGCTTTCCCGTAGACGAAAGTTACGAGACCGTTCATGTGGTATCCAAACATATATCGGTGAGTCTATACTGTACATCGAGGCTAATAAAAGCCGACCCCCCTTTGTTATACAGTAGACGTGGAGTAACCTAGTTCAAATCTATGCGAGGAGGCTTAGAATGCATGCATGACGCTCGAAGACCGCGTCTACCAGGTTGAAGGAACCGTGGGAAATTCGTGTTTGCTAATTTTAAGATCATCAAAGACGGAGTCATCACCTGGTAGCGGGTGAGCAGTTGCAAAGAGTACGGCCTCAATGCGTTCGAACGGCTTTGAAACCCCCGATTTGAGGCGAAGAGGGTTCGAGATACCCAGGGTGAGTATGGCACTTACCATTGAGATGCTGAACGCGAAGTTCATCCTCGTGCTCGAGCTTCTCGATCTCCTCCTGCGGTGTCTCCTTGTCGTGCTGCTGGTCCTTCTTGGTCGGCTTGACAGCCTCGTCGATCTTTTCACCGATGAGCAAGATCTGGCAGTATGCATAATCGAGATATTCTGGCTTGACTGCGCTCCAAGCGAGGTTGCGAAATTCTTCAATAATCCTGCTAACATTTAGCCCTGTTCAACTTCAGAGTAGTGATACCACTCACCTCTTAGGAAAGTCGGGCTTTTGCGGAAGCTGGACAGCTGCTGGTCCTGAGCGCTCTGGGTTCTTGACGCTTATAATGAAACTACCCTGAGGCTTGATCCCAAGATCCTCCTGCACTTCACCAAGCTCAGTGGGGATAGTGGTAGAATATACTAGATGAGTGGTCGCGTCCTCGGTGCGAGTAATCGCATATACACCTTCAGCGATCGGCGTAATAGGTTCGGTCCGGCGGGTGCCTTTTGTCTTGGTCTCATACTCATTAGCCGCGAAGAAGCTGTCCTTCAGGTCCCGAACAGTCGTGTTCGCCTTTTCGACGAAGGCCATGAATCGATCATTGTGTGATTTAGGGAATGCCTTCTTCGGTAGTGCGAAAAGTCGGTTATTCTTATGGTCTGCAAGTGCACCGTCGCCCAGTTTTGCTCCAGTTGGCATGGGTCGCAACACGAAGAAGCTTCGCTGAAGATCGCTGACGCTGTCGGCATCTTCAATGCCTACGCGATTACGGGTGAAGAAGTAGATGACGCCTTTCTCTAAGATGCTTGATGGAACCTCCTTCTCGCGTTGCGATGACTCCTCGAACGCACCCTCTCCGTTGGCCGCGGAAGCCTTCACATCATTGGTCTTGTCTTTCGTAGCTTCGATGATTGCCTGTCCCTTCGCATCGCCATTGGTCTCATGCCCATTCGAGTCTTCTTTGGTAATTTCTGCGTTCATGTCACTCTCCTTAGGTTGAGCATGCTCACCGTCTGACATCTCTTCAGACTGAACCGTCTCGTTCGGGTCCGCCTTCTCGGTGGTCGCCGCATCTTTCATTTCACTATCCTCATCCATCTTTACTCCCATAGTCTCCTCAATCGTAGTCTGCTTCTTTGTCGCCTTATGGCTACGATCTGGGGAAGGCTCTGCCTCCGCCTTCCTTTTCGTTCCTGCCACGGCTTCATCACTCGCCGGACTCGACCTGCTACCGGTATCCTGTGCCGATGAGCGAGTCCCTGCCATTGTCGCTGATTTTAATACCGATGAAGTGTTGGAGAGGAGTTGACGTCGTGGTGATATCAATCACTGAGCAGGTGAGAAAGGTGATGGAGGATGTGTTTATAGCGCGCGAGTTTGTCTCTGACGCGTAGTCTGGTTCCACTGACTTCCACTGACATCATCGACGCGTCGATCACGTGCCATGTTTTATCACTGGGCAAAAAGACGCGTATCATTGGAGAGCCTGACTGATGTAAACGACCCGATTTTATACAGATAGCTCGGCTTGCCAGGTCCTTACAGACAGCCCAACATCGCTATAGTCGGTGGAGCGTCGTCGTTCTCCGTTTTCCAATATTGACTTTCGAGCTCTTGTTCTTGTTGTTGTTGTTTGTACCCGTATCCTACACATGGCCTTGTAGAGACTGGTCGCATTGGCTGCAGCATGACCGACCTGTGGCTAGCTCCACACAGTTTGCTCTAAAAAGCCATAACAAACCTAGACGCCATTAAGCTCCGACTAGCCATACGTGTACCGGCACTCGTTTGGTAAAACATCATGGAAAGGCCGGCTGCGACATCCTTTCATCTTTGCCGCTCTATAAAGGCTCTAATAGCCTCAGCTACGCCCCCAGGGCTTGGCTTCTCTGCACAGACATCAGGGGTGAAGCCAAATTCATGAATAAGGTAATCGCGAGTCGTGGGCCCAATGGTCGCTACAAAGACGTCCCTCTGGCGAACACCTGGCTTCGCTTTCCCGTTTTTGGCATCGAGGAGACTCAGGCTCTCAAGCATAGCCTGACACCCGGTTGGGGAGAATACAACGACCCATTGGCACTTGGATCCTTGGTCTGCATTATTTCGCCAGATCGTTGAGAATTCAGCCTTGAATGAATCCATTTCACCAGTCTCGTATATCACCACCTCGTCCACCCGTGACGTCTTCGAACCAAGCTGCTCTGCTTGGAGTGTCCTAGGTATTATATCCCGCCGTTTGTCGCCAACGAGGAAAAGAATTGGCGGCTTTGTAGCGTCCGGGTAAACGCTGTTGTAATGTTCCAGTATATAGGCTGCCAGAGCATCGCCATTACCAGTCTCCTCGCCGAGAATCGGACAGCGTAAATTCAATGCTCTCAGACCGCGAGCTGTGGCTGGACCAACAACATATAGGGGAAGGTCCTCGGGAAGCAAATCATCGACTGCGTATTTTCCTTCTCTCCGAACTTCCTCCACGATCTCAGTGAAGGCTTCGACGGCACGCTGAGAGGTGAAAATTAGAGCACCGTATTTTGCAAGGCCCTCTTGCGATTTGGGCACAAAGCCTCGGCTGGTGACACTCTGTTGTACCTCATTGAGGGCATCCCGCCTGAATCGGTGTTCCAGAACGGGCACAAAGACGGGTGCATAGCGGTGGCCATCGCAGGTAAGAAAGAGTTCCTCGTACGTGTCTGTTGGTACTGACTTGGTCTTCAGCATTAGGATCGGAATCCTGCCCCGCGAATCTTCCGCCATGGTTTGGGTGGGGAGTGGAACTTTGGGTTTGAAGCTCGAGACTCGAAGGAAAGTCGCGATTGTGGTTAGCGCTCCGCCGCCAACTTTGGGAAGGTTCGGCTAGAGTTGCAATTTCCGTGCTCCCTCGAATTCAAAAGTTGTCCTTATAACCATAACATCCACCTTCACCCTTCGTCGGCCTACCTCACCCCTCGCAATCTCCACCGCCTGCTCTACTCGACCAGTCAACCAGTCAACCTAATTGACTGCATCATGGCCGACGTCGCCACCCATCCCGCTACTCAAGCGGCCACCGCTGATTCCTCTGCCCCTCAAGGCAAGCAGCAAATCGTCAAGCCCGAGAAGCCTGATGACGACAAGTATAAGGAGGACCTTGCCAAGGCGGAGAAGGAGCATACTGCTGCGCAGGAAAAGCTGGTAAGTAATGTTCCGTACTTTCGAGATGGCGGGCACGTTTGGGTGCACACATGTGCATCAAGCCGTCGGGTACTTGCATTGCAAGCGATTCTTGTACCCAAGTACATGTACTGAAAGTTTCCAGAACGCCTGCAAGGCTAAGCTCGATATCGCGAAACCTAACAACAAAGACTCGCCGAACGGAAAGCGCCAGCACGAGCTCAAGACCGAACTAAACGCCATCCGCCAGGCACAACAGGGCAACAAGTCCTCTCGCAATACCATTTTCGAAAAGATCAAGAAGCTCGATGAGCAGCTCAAGTCGCGTTTGAACGAGCTCAAGACTTCCAAGGGCAAAACCAACTTCAAGTCTGTCGAAGACGTCGATCAGGAGATCGCGCGTCTGCAGAAGCAGGTTGATGGCGGCATGATGAAGTTGGTAGACGAGAAGAAGGCATTGTCTGAGATCACCACCCTCAACAAGGCTCGCAAAGCTTTCTCCGGCTTCGACTCGCAACAGAAGGGCATTGATGATATCAAGGCACAAATTGCCGAGCAGAAGAAGCTGTTAGACGACCCTGAGCAGAAAGCCCTGAGCGAGAAGTACACCAAGTTGCAGACGGAGCTGGATGGACTGAAGGCCGAGCAAGACGAGGCATTCAAGAGCCTGAAGGACCTCCGTACAGAGACCGACAAGGCACGTGCCGAGCAGCAAGAGAAGTACCAGGCGCGGAAAGAGCTCAAGGATGCGTACTACCAGCAGAAGCGCGCTTTTCAAAACTATGAGTTCGAGGCCCGCAAAGTCCGCAACGAAAAGAGACGCCAAGAGCAGCTTCAGTATGTCGCAGGTAAACGCAAGGAGGCCGCCAGCCACCGCCTCGAGGAGGCCAGTGCTCCCGCATACCAGGACGAGATCTTTGCCACGGAGGGTTTGATTCGTCATTTCGACCCCTCTGCCCTGCCACCAAAGGAGACCACCGCAGCTAGCAAGTTCGCCGCCTCCGCCCAGCGTACCGTCGACGAAGCCGGCATCCAGGGTACCCGTGTCTCGAAGAAGGATACCGAGGAGGAGAGTTACTTCATCGGCACTGGCGGCAAGAAGGGTAAAAAGGGGAAGAAGGGCAGTGCTGCTTCTGCCCCCGCCAAGTTCAACCTCAACATTGGCATCATTGAGGAGCTGGCAAAGGTTGGCGTCGACGCACCCTCCAGCCAGGAAGAGGTCCCGGCCACTGTTGAGAAGCTCAACGCGAAGCTTGCACATTGGAAGGAGGACCAGGACCGCAAGACCAAGGAGGTAAGTCTATTAACACGTCGCATTGCATGGCCACAACTAACAACAAATCTAGAACGTCGCCAAGGCACAGAAAGAGATCGAGCGCCTTGAGGCGGAAGAGGACGAGACTGCCAATGGCACCACGGACGTGGCTCGAAAACCCGCGCAGAAAAACCAAGGTGTCAACGGCTCCCCATCAGCATCTGCCGAGCTCGACCAGGAGAAGGATGCCGCCGCCGATGCCGCCGAGGACCTGAAGAAGACCTCGATTGAGGACCAGGAGGCATAGAATCGACAAGTGCAGCCATTGCTGTAGAGATATGTTCCCATGTTTTTTTGGACCATTTACCTGCGATATGTCATCATCTGCGGTCTCGCCTGTCGCTCTTTATTTATAGCTCAGGGTGGTATGTTTCTCGGCTACTGTTCATGGGATACCAGCATGCCATCGATTAGGTTCACGGTGTGGTCTCTACGTTCTCTTCCATTCGTAGATGCGCCGGATATCTAGATCGGTAATACATATTTCTATAATGTTCAAAGCAAATCCCTCGCTGAGCATAATTGAGCCTAGATTATTTTAGGTGTCTTGAGTGTCACAGACTTCGGTCGCGTGTCTATTGTGGACAAGCTATCAGTGCCAGGTAAGAAGATGACGCAATTACTGGCCGTCAGCCCGTTCATGTAGAACCCCCACCATTCGTAAAGTAACTCCGGGTGAATTAGACCTTCTATGCCTACCGTCATGTTGGACTTACCCCACATAGCGGGGTTGTGGTACCAAACGTGAGAATATGTTGACTTGACGTCATCAAGCTGCAGACTACAAAGTCTCGGGACTTCCAGACCCTCAATCGCCTCACACTACAACCACCACAATTGACCTTCCAAAGGTATGAGCTCTCTCATCTCATTTCTTTCCCGTCGCACCGCACAAAAATCCTCGAATTGCTCTGGGGTCATCTATCACAACACACTGACAGCTTCTCGCTAGTTCCAAGCAAGACCCTACCACAACACCAACAAAATGTCTTCCTTCAGCAATACCGACACCGGCTCGAAGAATGCCGACCCCTACGTCGCCAAGAACCTCCAGGAGCCTTCCCTGAAAGAGAAGGTCGAGGATCTTCTCGCCTTTGTTGACAAGACCAAGTTCTGCCTGTTAACCACCCAGACCGCGGACAGCGATCTGTTGGCATCAAGAGCCATGGCTTTGGCTGCCAAGGTATGTCATTTCTAGTGTCGATTATCTTTGGACAGTATCATGACACCGTGTAGGAAGGAAACGGCTTCGATCTCCTCTTCCACACGAACACCGAATCGGGCAAGACAGACGACCTCAAGGAGCACAAGTCAGTCAACATTGGCTTCATCAACAATTCCGGCGAGTGGGCCTCCATCTCGGGTCATGCCTCCATTGAGACCAACCGTGAGGTTGTCAGGAAGCACTATTCACCGGCACTGAAGGCTTGGATCGGCGACCTCGAAGACGGTAAGCATGATGGTGGCCCAGAGGACCCACGCATTGGTATCATTCGCGTCAAGGCCAGCACCGCTCAGTATGCTGTCTCGAGGAAGACTGCGATCGGTGGCTTCGTGGAATTGGCCAAAGGTATCGCGACTGGAGAAGCGCCGAGTGTGAACAAGTTGAGGCATATTAGTGAGGCTGAGGTCCAGCAGTGGAAGGCCCAGTAGATGCTCTCACGGAAACTCAATTCACGATGGCATGCAGAGATGCATAAGGCATCATCTGGTACGGGGCTTGTTCTATAGCTTGCAAAGTCAACAATAAAACGTTCCTAACCACTGCCTTACTTGTATTTCACACCACATATATTTGTTGTTTCCAGCCGTGGCACGCCGAAAGCCAGCTCGTAGCTCATGAGATGACGTCACGTTTCAACGCGTATTCACATGTTGGACAATCTCGCGTCTTATTCCACCCATCCTGCCCAACAGGAAGTTCATGCGCCCGCCGTGACCTTGTATTCTAGCATGGGCGAATTACGAAAATGAAAAATGCAGGCAAGCAATCTTCCCATTGTCGCTTGCGCTTACAGCACAGATTATATACCGGAGGATTCTTGGGGACGGAGACAGCAGGGTGGGAATATGGCGAAGGAATGAGCATTGATTGAGCATTGATTGAGCATTAGGTTATAATCTTCAGACCTACTCACCGTGTCTTGTATAGTAGTATATATGAAGCTAGATTACGAACTTTGAAACTTGACATTCTCCAAGGATTCCAGCGTAGGGGCCGGGGCGGGCAAAGCGAAGGTTAAGCGTGAACTGTACGTTATCACGAGAGATCCTAGTACCAATTGCAGTAGTTCGTTGACGTGGCGCGGCGGCGAACAGGTTTCCCGTGGTAGCATGTCCGGAGGACTGGATGGAGCAACTGGCGAAGCTATGCGCGGCCGGCTACTGGCCAGGCGTTTTCTCTGTGACCATCATTCCCATGCAGATCGCTCAGTGTAGGCTAGGCCAGCGGACATGTGGTGGAAGGGTTGTGGAACGCTCGTGGAGTCGCAGAGTGGGCTGTCGGTCAATATCTCTGATGATTCGCCAGAGGCCCGCACTTCCGCATCCGCTGGCCTCAACCCAAAGCCCAAGATCCGACTCTTTTGCGTCCACGAGGCGGTGACCGACTGGCTGAACTGCCCTGCACATTTTTGCTTCTTTCCATTGGGGATGCCTTCTCTCTTCCTCCTCAAATCCCACGCTGCCAGGTTCACCAGCGCTCGCTTGGCTTGTGAAAGGGTGTACGACTAATTGCTTGCTTTGCTCTCCTCAGCTTCTGTGGTTGCACAACGTATGCCTATGATCGCTTCCAGCATGCACGCAATCGCACTCTGCGCTACCGTCGATATTCTCCTACTATCTACGGCTAACGTCTCTGCACCGGGTCATCATCGCCAGTACCAAACTCATTGACCTAAGCGCGGCTCCCGCTGGTGATAGCCCCAGCCCTGCGAGCCTACGTAGCATGGTGGGTAGAAAAAGCAACCGCTTCCCTTGCGTTTCCCATATTCTATAGTGCCATATCGATACTAATCTGTCCATCGAACCATAGACGGATCGCAGAGCGTCCTCAGGGGGCTCTCCACCACCCTCACGACATCTCAGCCCTCCCACTGATGACTCCCAATACTTTTATGACAACCTGAACTACGCCACTAGTGTCCCGCATACACACCGTCGTTCTTCACATACCAGTGCAGTTGCCAAAGACACCCCGCAATCGCTCAAGCCATCATGCACCGATACGGATAAGGGAAGCGGCAAGAGGACCAAAGCAAGCCGGGGCCTCCTACGGAAGGCTCCTAGACGTGATTCCCTCTATACCGACACGTTAGGAGCATCACAGGACGAACAAGAGGAGCTGGAAAAGGGGGACGATATTGTCGGCTTTGTACCCAGGCTCGGTCAGATCCAAGAAGGGACGGCGAGTAGGTCCCCAAGGGGTCGAAGAGGCTCCATAGTCGGCTCAACAATCGAGCCCAAGGCTCGCCGCCGCCGGCGCGCTGAGGGCGATGCTCTGAACCGCCCACGAATTCGGCACAAACACGGCTCCCTGCAGCGACGCGCTGAGAGTCTCGCTAAATTGTCAGATCCTTCGCGGGTCTCGGTGCTCTCTGGCTTGACGCAGCAATCGAGTGCTTCAGGTGGAAGCAATTCTACAGTCACACAAAAGTCGTACGACGACGAGAGCCTTGCCGCCGGGCGCGAATCACCTCAAGAAAAGAAAGTGCGTAAGATGGCAAGAAGCTCAAGAACTGCAACGCCCGCTGAAATGCATGCTGCACAGTCTGATGTCTTTCAGTACTTGAACCAAGAGTCGGAGAGTGGGCATTTCGCGACTGAACTATCGCAAAGTAGGCCATCCTCAACCATCGCTTCCTCTTCTTCCTCGGCTTCAGGTGACACTCGACTTGATGAGGGACTGTCTTCTAATGGTGGGGAACTTCGGCATGTGGCAGAATCACTAATGACTTCACCAGCTTCGACTCGGAGATCCAATCATGATGGCTCACTCCACCATGGGCGTGATTACCAAAGTGCTGGGATCCCACTGTATGCAAGCAGTTTCGTGCATGGACATGGAAGTGAAGAGGGAGAGGACGACGAAGATGAGAATGAGAATGAGGAGGAGGATAGCGAGTCAGAAAGCGACGATGAAGACGATGAAGACGATGAAGACGAGGAAGACGATGAAGACGAGGAAGACGAAGAAGACAAACAAGGTCACATTGACGTTGCTGATTCTGGCGACGCGACCATCTCTGCTCTACAAAAAGTACCGCCTCCAAGGGTCCCCTCAACGTCTTCTCGACACAGTGATCCGCACACCAGGCGTCTTAGACAACAAGAGCGAGAGCTCGCAAATCATGTCCTCCAGAGTCCCCAGCCGCACAAGGACTTTCAGTTTGGTGACGGGCCGCCTGCCAACGCTTATGCTCCTATGCCCTTGTACAGCCCCCGGGCGTACTCTGGTGCATCCCCTGCCAGCATTAACGCTACAACAACAACAACATCGGGATGGCCTCCGGTGCCTCCATTACCAGCTCCGCTACCAATAGGCTACCCGACTCAATCCGCACACCTGTCTCCAGAGGCTGGGCAGGCGTTCCCACTGAGTGTACGACCACCCATGGGTGCACCCGAAAATGTGGTCCAACAAATGGTTCCCCCTTTCCACCAACATCCCACGCAGCCTCCACTGCACCAACCGTATGCTCCAGGGCCTGACTTGTCCCGGACCACGGTAGTGGGATACGAGCAATTGGCTGACAAGCTAAGCGAGCCGCCGAAGGGTAATGGCAAACGTCCACAGGCTGGAAGCATTGTACCCATGTATCGCAAGTTTGAGCGTCTGAACCATCGTGTTCTGCTCCATCTGCAAGACGAAATCAGTGAACTGGAAGACGAGCTTCGGTATCTAGACGAATGCATTGCCCAGATATCGCCCAGAGATGAAGCTGGGCACGCATATCCTGCCTCCCGGCGAGGTGAGGCTCGATATGGAAGTGAAGTGCACTACAGGAGAACGGAGCTACTAGGCCGTATCTTCCAGAAGTTGGGACAGTACAACCAAGCGCTGTCTTCGTTTAACAACCTTTTGAAGGAGCTTGACCCCGCTAGCCCAGAAGATGCCCACGCATACCGAGCATGGATGGAAAAATGCGAGCCAATTGACGATTTGGAAAGTCGGTTCCTCGAGCGCAAGCATGACCTTGTTGCAGTCTCACGCCGGAAATCGGTCAGTTCCGTTGGTGGTGGTGGAGGACACCAGCATTCGGCCGCGTTATTCCCGTTGATGCTCGTGCTTCCTCTCATGGCGTTCGCGATCGTGCCAAGCTTGCTAGGACGCGTCTTTGTCATTGTCCTAATCGGTGGTGTGGAGTTGAAGCTGGTGGTGTCGACACCAGAGCTGATGAGGTTGATGAATGTTCAGGAGTGGACTACTGCTGCCTCTGTGTAAGTCCTCTTCTCTGCTTGCACTCTTGTAGATTTGGAATGGGTCTCCCTACACTGCGACATGTGTGTGTGAGCACCAGATGATGACGACGTAGTCATCTGAAGCCCCACGCCGCCTTGATCATGTGTCGTTCGTGGGGCCGTCTGAAACTCCAGTGGTTCGCGAGCTCGAGAAGTGTCTTTATCCACCACCTTTACCCGATGTAAGGTCCATGACACGGCGCGCATAGCGATCTATTCTTGGCCGGTTCCTGAGGTTCCTGATGATGATGATGATGATGATGATGGTGGAAGCTAACCATGCACGCAGCTATTTCGGGTTAATGGCGGTCCTGGCAGGCCTCGTGCGCTGAGCGGCCTGACTCGCGCTGCATGGTTGCATGGACGCAGTGGAGGGATTTTGGCGCAATGATCGCCCTCGATATCGCGCACGGTGTCAGGCACACACAGCGCGTCCTGGAGTCAGGTACGTAGACGCGCCATGTTTGACCGAAAGGCCAAAGCAAAGAATGTGGGGTTCCGTCGGTTTTGCGCAACCTTGTTTTCTCGCTTATGGCGTCTTGCAAGTCTGTAAACATGGCACGGGCAATTGGACGTTTGGCGTTTGGTTCACGGGCGTGTCATGCTGATTGTCTCTCTAGGTGCGGCGCGGCAAGGCGCGGCACAGGTGGATTGGATTGGATTCATGTTCGGGTGTAGTGCGATGCATTGGGAAGCGAGGAGCAAGCCCATTTCTCTTATTAGTAGATTGGGGTTCGGCTTGGCTGCATTCTGTTTACCCAGGGTCGCGGACCAGGTTGGCTCCCGTGGTGCTTAACACGGAAACGTGGCATGCCTCGACGACTTATACAGGAGGTGGTGGAATGCCGTTTGCCGAAAGGATGCTCGCAGTGGGGAGCGCAGGTGGCGTGACATGCTATGAGGCGTTGCAAGCGATATACGGACATGTTTTCTGTTCTGGCATGTGGTTTGGATCATCATGTGGCGCGTAGTTTATTGTATTGATTATAATATAGGCGGCGCTAGTGGTTGTTATCAAGTTCCATTGCGATGGTCGCTTTGCACAACGTGGCACATGTGTTTCGTCTTGGGAGGGTTGGGTCGGCTTAAGGAGGCGAACAGATGACGGAAGCTATTCACGTGTCATGGCAGAAGGAGGAGGAGGAGGAGGAGGAGAAGAAGAAAGAAAGAAATGAAGAAGATTTGCCATGCATTGTAAAGACAGTTTGGCCAGTGTCCCTCCCTTTACAAGACGTCCATCCCCTTGACAAGAGGGCCAGTGTTGAAGGCACTGTTTATCAAGATGGACATGGTGGTGGAGAAGTGCTTCGAGGATGCTGCATAGAGCGGCGGACAGTCTAACGACGCTTCTGACGCCCCGTCGCTAGCTCAGGAACCGCCAGTGTCCATGCGTCCGAGCGTTGCTGTTTTGGGATATGAGGGTCGGGTAATAAGGGGGGGCGCTAGGTGCAGGAGGAGAATGAACAAGACGTGATGGGCAGTTTCAGATTTGCCTCGTCTGTGCCTGTGAGGAACCCTGGCCTGGGCGCTGTGTCCCCTCGCTGGAGGGAGCGTGAAGCCTACTAGTTGTAACGTCGTCTCTGCACGCGCAACATCCATGGAGAGAGATGGCCTCCTCCTACTAGTCGACTGCCCCTCCTCTCTTCCCCCCCCCCTCCCAATTATCATCATCATCATCATCACCACCAGCATCAGCCACACTGCACGGTACGGCACTGTAGCTATAGCAGCTATACTACTACTCTTCTTCCTGTTGCTCTCCACTCACTGTGTGGCCCACTCTATAAACTAGCCGCATCCGAGACCGTCTCCGGGCCCTGAAACACCTGCAACTGCTCCTTCCCGCCCGCCCATCGCTCTTGCCCTGCCCTGCCTGCCCTGCCTGCCCTGCCTGCCCTGCCTGCCTACCTACCTGCCCTGCCCTGCCCTGCCCGACATACATACACACACACACACACACATACATACAAGGACACACCCACACACACCCACACGTACAGACGCAGCCCCTCTGTACTCGCAGCCGTGCCGCGTCGCCATCCTCCTCGTCCCCACCCAATTCGCTGCAGCGGCGAGACAAGACGAGACGACAACGCTCGTGTGGAATGTCGCAGCTTTAGCCCTGTCCACTCACCGTCTGAGGCTCCCCTCCCCGTCGCGTCCTGCCTACGACCCACCCTGGACCAGCGAACCACTCGCAAACCCCTCCGCGATAATCTCACAAGTGTCGCCCCATCCCCCGACACACAAAGAGCACGATTCCGCACCATACCGCACCACACCACACCACGGCCCTGTAACAATCTCGCTGGACGGGCGCTCCCGCTGCAATTCGGCCCTAGGCGCTGATTCACCACCTGCGCGCACAAAGAAAACACGCCGCATACTACCCACTTCACCTTTCGCCTTCCGAGACAAAGCGTCGCCGCGCCGGGCGTGTAACTGCAACAGGTTCACTTTGCCCTGTACCTGAGCCCGGATTCTTTGTCGCCTACTTTCCCCAGCCCGTAGCGCCATCTTTGCTGTACCACTCCAGACTCGACCATGGCCGTCTCTATGCTGCACGCTCCGTCGCGAGCATCTACATCCTCGTCGTCGTCCTTCGCACCCGTGTCCCGCCAAAACACAATGTCCTCACACGACGGCTCGCGCTCGGTGCGCCAGTCGAAGCGCTATTCCGTCACGGCCCTGTACCTGTCCATGTCTGCAAAAGATAAGGAGCTAGAAATTGAGGATGATTTAGCCAAAGGTAGCCTTGACATGCACGCGAATCATACCGCAAGCTAATTGTTGGTTTAGCCCAGAAGATACTACGAGAACTCAAGGCCAAGATCTCGTCGCAGTCGAAAAAGAACTTTGTCCTGGAAAAGGACGTGCGATATCTCGACTCCCGGATAGCTCTGCTTATCCAAAACCGCATGGCATTGGAAGAGGTAATGTGCCCATGGCTTTTAGCCACACGCAACTGGGGCTAATTCTGTATATAGCAAAATGAAGTCGCGGACCACCTCGGAGATGGCATGGACTTGCAGGAAGGCTTCTTTCCCAACGACGACAAGACCCAGAAATACGGCAATTTGCTCTTCCTCCTTCAATCCGAGCCACGACACATCGCGCATCTTTGTCGTCTCGTATCCATGGCAGAAATCGACGCCCTGCTTCAGACCGTCATGTTTACAATCTACGGAAATCAATATGAGAGCCGCGAAGAACACTTGCTCCTGACCATGTTTCAGGTAGGTGGTGCCCCTCGAATCTCGCAAGGTGATGGCTAATATCGGGGAATAGTCTGTACTCACGTACCAGTTCGATAACACGCCAGATTATAGCTCGCTTCTGCGCGCCAACACCCCCGTCTCTCGCATGATGACCACGTATACTCGCCGAGGACCGGGCCAGAGCTATCTCAAGGTGGTTCTGCAGGACAGCATCAACTCGCTGATTGAGCTCAAGGATCTTGATCTCGAGATCAACCCACTCAAAGTGTACGAAAAGATGGTTGCCGAGCTCGAAGTGCAGGGCCAACTACCAGCCGATCTTCCCAAGGGTGTGACTGCTGAGCAAGCGGCGGAAAACGCGACCGTGCAGCAGATCATTGCGCCGCGCTTGAACATGCTCATGGAGATTGCCAACAACTTCCTTACTACCATCATCAAAGGCCTTGAGGAGACACCTTATGGCATTCGATGGATTTGCAAGCAGATTCGCAGCTTGTCACGGCGAAAGTACCCTGACGCGCAGGACCAGACTATTTGCACGCTCATCGGCGGCTTCTTCTTCCTCCGCTTCATCAACCCCGCCATTGTCACACCGAGATCATACATGCTCATTGATGTTCTACCGGCCGAAAACCCGAAGCGTACACTGACATACATCGCAAAGATGCTACAGAATCTGGCCAACAAGCCGTCCTACGCAAAAGAACCATACATGGTCAAGCTACAGCCCTTTATTCACCAGAACAAGGAACGAATTAATAAATTCCTCCTGGATCTTTGCGAGGTGCAGGACTTTTACGAGAGCCTGGAGATTGACAACTACGTTGCCTTGTCAAAGAAGGATCTTGAACTTTCCATTACGCTCAATGAGGTGTATGCGACGCATTCGCTATTGGAACGGCATGCTGCAGAACTCGTAAGCTTGCACCAAGAGACATTCATGGAACCATGGGCTAACTGTACTTAGGCAAAGGACGACAACTCGCATTTGGGAGTCATTCTCCAAGAACTTGGACCTGCCCCGGCACAGCTCCCGCGAAAGGAAAATAGGGCCATCAATCTACCGTTGTTCAGCAAGTGGGAGACGCCACTGGACGATTTCACTGCAGCACTTGATATCACACAAGAAGAGATCTTCTTCATGGAGGCCAAGTCGACGTTTGTCATGATGCTCCGCTCACTCCCGTCGAATACGTCCATCACACGAAGACCATTGAGGCTCGACAAGATCGCCGAAGCGGCTGCAACGACAAAGAACGATTCAATCATGGTAAAGAAGGGCATTCGCAGCATGGAGTTGCTTAGCCAGCTTCAAGACTTGGGTGTCATCGATAAAGAAGACGGCTTCTCACTACTCAGGGACGAGGTCGAGCAGGAATTAGTACACTTGGGCTCCATGAAAGACAAGGTCATTGAGGAGACGCGAAAGCTCGACGAAGTCTTCCGCACGATCCGGGATCACAATGGCTTCTTGGTTGGTCAGCTCGAGACGTACAAGTCGTACCTCCACAACGTGCGCAGTCAATCAGAGGGCAAAACACGGAAACAGCAAAAGCATCAGGTTCTGGGCCCATACAAGTTTACCCACCAGCAACTTGAGAGAGAGGGCGTGATCCAGAAGAGCAATGTGCCGGAAAATAGGAGAGCCAACATCTACTTCAACTTCACGAGCCCACTGCCAGGGACCTTTGTCATCTCACTGCACTACAAGGGCCGTAACCGCGGCCTCCTCGAACTCGATCTGAAGTTGGACGATCTTCTCGAGATGCAAAAGGACAACCAGGAAGATCTCGACCTCGAGTACGTACAGTTCAACGTGTCCAAAGTCTTGGTCCTTCTCAACAAGCGATTCGCACGGAAGAAGGGATGGTAGATTCGCCTCCTCCAAGCTCGCGACGCGCCACGAAAAAACAACGATACCCCCGATTTTTACTATGTATTCCCCGCTGTTTGACGCCCCATCCGACCCGACGTACGCACGTAATATCTTTCCATCCTTGACGACGACGACTATTCATAAGCACATCACGGCGCCGGTGTACGGAGTATCTGGGACCATATTTTCGAGTTTTGAGGATACCCCTGGTGGTGGATGGCTTATGCAGTACCGGTTTTACTCAAAGTAAGGTGTGCGATTCAGGGAGGGCTACGAAATGGAAGCCTTGGAAGAGACGGGCTTGCTCAGAACCTTTTTCCCGTTGTGATTCTCGTAGCAAGCGTGTTTTTTATTTCTGGTGTTTTAATTCTGCCTTTTCAAGACGCTCGCTCTAATACGCCCGTTGCACACCACCGAGGGATAGCATATCACAGGTCTGGGCACCTCGACTGGCGTTCTTTGCTGTTTCCTATAGCCGTCTATTTGCTTTGGGTGGCGGCAGGACCGACTTCTCTCGTTTGTTTTATTTTTTGAGCCATGTTCTCATGTACGATACGGGAAATATCTTATCGGGACAGCAGATGTGCGCCGATGTAATGGAAGATGAGCCGTGTGCTCTTGCTTGAATCAATTCCCCAGGATTCCATTCATTGAAAATAAGCTTCAAGTGAATCCGTGAAGCTAATACTAACTCGAAGTATATCTTCGACGCTCGCGGTAAGCTTTGGGGAAGCGAGTTACAGGTCAAAGAGAGTCACAATTTCTTTGTCTCGAGAGACACTGGCATAGCTACGTCACCGAGTACCCCAATGTCGTGCCCACCACCATCATCATCACCACCACCACTACCCATCCCTTCACGACTCCCAGCTCAACAAATAGAGGCCAGCGGCTTCTATCGGCATTCCTTGCACCCCTTCTATATCAGTAGCACAGGATCAAGATAAGAAGATAGCGAGCACCACAGCTACATGACGCCAACGCATGCATGCACGGTGCCTGTCACACGTACAGTGGCCCCGCTAAGGACAAGCCCCCGGGACGATCGTCAGGCGGATCAGGCGGAAGGCCGTGTGGAGCCGTTTCATTGGTGGAGCCGTGCGCCTCATTCATCGAGGAGTCAGATGGGGAGGGTTGTGCTTGAACAGTACTTTGTTCCGGGAGCCTCCTCCTTTCTCTTTCCTGATCTTAGTAAACTCTCTATTGTTACCCTGGAGTGGGCTGAAGTCACTCAACGTTTCATGTGAATACCCATTATTATCATTACCACGTCATTATCATGTCTTCGTCTATTGCGATTCCCACCAGGCAGGCGAAACAGCAGTTGGGAAGTGGTAGCGGTGGTGGATCCGTGGACTCGGCGAGTAGCTGTTCGAATTCAAGGTCCAGGACAGAAGAGGGGTTTGCGTATGGCAGCTTTGAAAGCAATGCTCAGGCTGAGACTTCGCCGTCGAGTAGTCTGAGCACCGAGGGCAAGATGAGGAGGCAGTCGCTCATGTGTAAGGCCACCTTCTAGCCACTGCTCACACCACCGCTGTGCACAACTACAGTATACTGACAATCGCGCAGCTGCGACATTCTCCAAAGCCGAACACACAGTTATCAATGTGGGAGATTCGGAGAGTCCGCGATTAGTACGTCACCACTAGACACGCAGGGAACGTGTTATGGGAACGTGCTTGCTAATGAGAGGGCAGATAACATGCGTCAAGGCGTCGCAAGGCTTTGATTGGAATCAAGGTACGTCGCAGCTCTTCTCTCTTCCCGCAGGCGCCTCGAGTCTCGTGTTCCGAAACCAAGACAGCTAGCATGCTCCAAGAGTGTCGCAAGCTGTTCGCCCCAAGTCTACATATATCCACAGTGTCTGAGCTGTATCTGGAAGACTAGCTGGCTGACTTGTGCTCCACAGAAATCTTCCTCCCCAGCTACGCTGATTACCACTTCGACGACCTCGAGCGTCGACAAGATCCCGTACAAGATATCATCCTCTCGGAAGAGGAGATCAAGAACGCACTCCCTTCATAAACCGATCACATCATATGTATATTGGAGCATTGGGTGGGAATGGGGAGAGGTTACCTACAGGAGCATGATAGGATTTGATTTTGGTGGGATATTAGAACATGTTTGGAATGGCGCTTGGATACTGTCTATGGAGAGTTATGCATTGAAATGTACAATATGGGTTATGACTTGGGCGTCGGAGGCACTTTCGCTAAACTAGCCGATCGGCGTATATGAGATTATTTGTTTGAACAACTAGATGCATGTCATTTTACCATTACAATCACATTTACTGTTAATATCTGTCTTGTTCCTGTAGCTGTCCAAGCTGTCTTGCCATTCACTGTAAGCTCCTCAGAGGGGGCGTTCCCTGCGCCCCCACCTCGGCACAGATGCGACAATCGATAAGCACGCCAGTAAGTCGCGGTACCATCATCTTCCAGCGCAAACAACACCAAAACAAACTCAACAAGCCGCACACCACAACCGCCAATACAACCACATAACTTGACATTTCCAAAGACGTCAATCGCTAAGTGATAGGCCCCGACTTCCATCCAAAAGCGACTTGATCAAAGGTCCCCAAGACCACACAGCGTCAACGCGCGCCGCCCACTCTACCACGCACGCCCTCCACACCTCATCGACAATCACGTCACAATGGAGTCGGAACAGCGCAAAATCGAACTCCAATCCCCGGGTGACCTCACATTTCTCACATGTCAAATCCGCACCGCCGCACGCCAAAAGCTCGACCTACACCTGCCCCCCGTATCCGACAGCTCAGAACCCGACGAATTGCGCAAACACGTCGAAGAGCTCGTAGATGCGTTTGTCACCCAAGTGCTCCAGGGCATGCGGAACAATATTTCAATCAATGGGATCCATGTCGTGGCGCGGGGGAGGGAAGGGGACGAAGTAGACGAGCATGGGCAGAAGAAGAAACAGGAGGGTGATATTGCTGTAGAACAAAATGGAGTAGGGGACGACGAGTCACAAGTAGAAAAGGAAGACTTTGAGCCCTTTGACGATAAACTACGGACGCGGTTATCTACCGCTGTACAGAAGCGCGACGCGCTCATCGCCAAGATAAGCCAGCATCGCCGTGCGACTCCTGCAGCGGCTGCGGCGCATTTTCAGGCGCAGTTTGAACGCGAATCGGAGGCCTTGTTTCGTGCGCAGACGGACGTTGATCGGGCTGCGAGGGTTGTTAGCAAGGAGAGTCTGGCGACTGTACAGGCAATCGAGAGGGCAGATGAAGTACAGAGGAATTGGGGACGGGCAGTGGAAGGATTGGGAAGGTTGAATAAAGGGCTACCTGAGACGAGGGCGAGGTTGGAGCGGTGCGGGGATGTTGTTGGGTATTTGAGTGGGGAGGGATGGAAATGAGAATACGACTCGCATTGGAGGGAGATTACTCTTTCTTTCTTCGTCCCGGTCCCTTGGGAATCGAAGATGGGCTGGCTTTTGTGGCGTTCTGGTTTCAAGGTTTGGGTGCAGTTTTTGGGATACCCACATGTTTCCTGTTTTGTGTTGGTAATAGAGCTGGAATTATTAGGTCTACGATTGAGTGGCAATATGACCATGTCTTTCAAGCTGAGCAGTAGTCTAGAAATCTTTCGAAATATAAGTGTTCGTCTAGCTATTGACAGCGATTTATTCTAGTATTACAGAAAGAAAATCTTGATATTGTAATATCTTGAAGAAAAAAAGCACCTCTATTCTATGCCCCAACATCTATACTGTACACTGATCTATACTTTACATACAATATTCCGACACTAATCCCAACACCGTCTAAAAGCGACTAATATCCCTTCCAAACAGCCAATTAACAACCCTAATCTTCAAGTTAGTAAACCACCCCATACAGAACTCCCATGAAGGTTAAGTACTCACCAGTAAATCGGCACAAGAATCTTATTCCTCCAACTGACGGTCCTTGTCAGATACGCGCCGCGCCAAATAATCCACGCCAGATAGCCTTGCATGCTACCTCCCTTGCCACCCTGAAACAGCGCATTCCAGTTCCCAATATACGCCAAGGTTCCCAGGTCCTTGAAGGTAAAACCTGGTTTCTTGTCAATATCGGTCTTGTTGAGGCGTTTAGCAAGCCAGAGGGCTTTTTGTGAAGCGACCTGGGCGGTTGCCGGGTACGATGTGCCCTGGATGATGCCACAGTCTCCGAGGGCGAAGACGTCCGGGTGCATGGCTTCTAGGTCGCTGTCGATGGAGGCGGAATCGGAGGTCGTAGAAGGGATAAGTTTGACGCGCAGACGGTCGTCTGTGATGATGGAGCCGGATTTCGCGTCTCTCTTGACTTTCCATTGTATATCTTTCGATAGAGTGGTACTATTGTTTGACGAAGATGGCGATGAGGATTGGGGAAGGAGCTGTAGACTGTCTGGCGCCTCGCGGACGTGGTCGAGGGCTTGGGCGACAAAGGGGTTTTGCATGAGTCCCGTACCTGCTCTCGTTAGTCACTTCGAACACTCATTATATGACAATATAAATGAACTTACTCCAGACACACATGCCTACGCCGATTTCGCCCTGTTCTTTGACCTTGAGGGTGTACAAAAGATAATCCTTCCTATCTGCTGACCTGTTCCGTTCCACAGGCGCTCCAGACCGCAGTTCTTCTACATGGTGACTAGTCTTGATGTCGATACCCTTGCGTTTAAACTTTTGCATAGCATAAGCTGCTAGCTTTTCGTCAAACATAGGAAGTACCTTCTCTGCGACATCGTAGACGGTGATCTTATGGTAAGGTATAAGCTCGGGATAGATCTTGGCCATGTCCTCGTTGATGAGATCATGCAGCTCGGCGCTAAACTCGATGCCCGTAGGTCCACCTCCTACGACTGCAAAGTTGAGCAGCTGCCTCCTCATCTCATCCGACGTGGTTGGGAGTGCCGCGCCTTCAAAGCATGCTAGGAGTCGATTTCTTATCCGTCGCGTGTCGCCGATATCTTTCAAGAAGAACGCGTTTTCCTTGACGCCAGGCGTGCCGAAGGTCTGGCTGTAACAACCGACCGTGACCACCAGTTTGTCATACGTGAGATCGAAAGTTTTGCCCTTTTCCACATCCTTCTTTCTCTCCGCTGCCCTCTGCTCTTTCGTCTCGCCTGCATGTCGATCCGTTGTCAATGCCATGCCTTGCGTAGGATCATCAACCGCCTCTTCAATCGTAATCGTCTTGTTCTTGAAATCCACATCATCGGCCCAACCCTGGAAGAAACTAACTTTCGTACGCCTACTCCTGACTGGTTCAAGGGCCGTCCGGAACTCAAGAGTTCCTACCGCAGTCGAGGCAAGTAGTGGCGTAAATGCAAAATAGGACCTCGGCGATACAACAACGGCTTGATATTTCTTCGGATCCAGTGTTCTTGCTACCGTAAAGCCTGCCCAGCCAGATCCTAATATAACAACCCGCTCGCGATCTAGGAGAAGCCTGTTTAGCCTGGAAAGTGTTGGACCGGAATACATGTGCGTGGTAAAGTCACGCAGCTACGGCGAGTGCACTTACCGTCTCGACCATCATCTAATTGATTGATAGTTATACCTCTTCTCTGCTGAAGGGTGAACGGGCTTGCTCGTGACAACGGCAGAGCATGTGAAAGTTGAGTTCGTGTGGTCCGAGAGAGAAGCTCTCGGACACCCGGAGGCAATTGCGATATGCGGACAGAAGGAAACATACTTGCTTGTGATGATGGTTTTGTTGACACGCTTTTCAGATGCTAATTGCATCGTTTTGTGTTTTGTCAAATATTTTGTCGGGTGCTTGCGGAAACGGAAGTCCCCGGCCCAGACTACCGTTAGTTGTGACACGGTCGCGCATTAGATTTTCAAATCTTTCAGATGACGTTTAGTCAGGGTGCATTGTGCGAAAAGTGCGTTATCATCTGCTAATCGTGGCACATCATCGGGCAGGGGCTTGTGTTTTTCGGAAGAGTTTGCCGCAAGTGGTTACTATTGCTCCGAAGACAAAACTGTGGATGCTTTTAGAAAGCGGAATTCCACTTACTGCATAAGCTGACAGAGGCTACGCGAAACTATGTCTTGCAGTGTACTTCACCGCGTCGCCGAAAAGTAATCTCCGATTACTTTTCGCGAGAAGCAGGTGGCCATGGCGATCTTCATGTCTGATTACTCTGCATTGCTATCGCTAGAAATCTACCACAGAACCATCTTGTGACTCCAGACCTGATCTATACCGTTTCTCGAACATGCTTCATACAGTTTACAAAAGTGTGTCTCCCAAGGCACAGCGAACAATGGAGCATCCAGCACGAACGGTGTCACCTGCGCCCTCGGCGTCAAGGCTGGGATTTACTTCGACGAGATCAAGAGCAATCAGAGAACCAGTCTCCGCAACGCACTCGGCAATGAAGTCTCCCTCGCGCAGTGTCAAACCACCTCGTACCGGCGTTCCGGTGCTGGGCGCCCACATGGGATCTATGGCGTCAACATCGAAAGAAAGATGAATAGGAGTGTCGCTGCCGATCCAGCCCAGCGCCATATCCATGACTTTGCCGATACCGTGCCTACGGTCATTCATTAGTGTCTAGGGCCCGAGAAAACATGATGAGCACATGCAACTAACCTGTCAATGTCGTGCATGGAGAATGCCTTGATGCCATGTTCCTTCAGGATCTTCTTCTCGCCCCTGTCGATGTCACGCAGACCAATGTAGACGAGCTTCTTCGTGTTGAGACGGTGATGCTCCTTGATCCACCCGAATACGTCCTCCCGCTCGTCAGTTGCCAGTCCAGTCAGGAACGCAACAGGCATGCCGTGGATGTTCCCGCTGTCAGACGTCTCAGGCGTATTGATATCAGCGTGCGCATCGACCCAAATAACGGCGACTTCCTTTCCCAATCTCTCGCGAACAGCTCTTGCAGTGCCGGATATGGTACCCATCGCAATCGAGTGATCGCCGCCGAGCGTGAGAACTAGCTTTCCGGTCTTTGCATGGCTGTACACTTGTTCGCTGACTTGCCTGGTGACGGCGCTGACGAGTTTTGGGCGCTTCATTCCCCGATAATCAGGGTCGTCTGCTGGCACCAATTCTGAGTAGCTATGCACCTGGCCATCGTATGAAACGTTGAACTCCAGATCTTCTTCCAATTGCTTGATAAGACCAGCCTCAATCAATGCCGTCGGTGCAGCTTCTACGCCACCTTTTGGCTGGACAAACTCGTCAGTCGTGAAATTCAAAGTTGACCAGACGAATTTACCTGGCCGCCATTGAAGCCGACTGCGACTATGCCCAAATCATGTCGGTTTGGGAGAAATTTCGGCTGTATGGAGGGCGCGGACGTCATTTTGATAGATTTGCTGTTGGCACAGTTAGGTTTGGGAGCCATGACAGTAGCGGGCCGGATAGTGAAATTTGCGCTTTGTGGCAGCCGTCAAAGGAATGCGACCACACACCAGAAGAAAACACAAGGAACAGAATTGCATCCTGAGCGCACTTGTGGGAAACTCTTACCAGGCTTGAGGAGCTACGCAATACGAGTTGAATATGTATAGCCTGTTGTTGTTGGGGATACGAGCAGTTGGGGTTGCTTGCGTTCACGTTTGCGGTGCAGCGACTCAGGGAGGAAGGTTGGGTGAAGCACAAAGTCAGGGCAGTCGCGGCCTTTTATTTCTGCGCTGGCTGGCTCTTAGGTAATTGTGTGTTGCTGAATTTTCAGACATCGTGTAGACCTTCACTTAGGGGAACTCGAGGTGAGGCTCTCGCGACCACCTGTACTTAAGGGAAATAGCTTTATCTAGGAGATGTAGCAAACCCCCACTAAGGAAGACTCGCCGAGGCGCGATGTCGGAACAGGGAGCTGCTGAGGTAAGGAGAATACAGCAGGCAGCAATACGCCGTCTCGCAAGGCACCGTGAGGCTCTGGAAAGGATCCAAATTCCTTCTTCGGCCTGTCCATGAATGTGTATAAAAATAATATCTAAATACTTTCAAGAGGAACGCCCTGTTCTAATCGCCAGCCAGCCAGCCAGCCTTGGACAGCGAAAGGGCCGTGTCGCGGCCTCTCCGCCTAGTCCGTCCCACAGCTAGGACGGGTTCCTTCGGCTCTGGCGTCAACCATGCCCAACGCGAACCCAGCTGACCATGCTCATATACACCCATTGACTGCTCAAGACGCCTATCACATGCCCTCCATCCCGGGCGTCAAACCCTGAGGCCTGTACGAGCTTATGCGCGAATTGCCGTCAACCAGAGGACATGATCCAACGAGCCTGTGCTCCAGCCATCCGTTTCGTTGTAGCAAAGGGAGCCAAGGGCCAGAGCGCTACAGTTTTACATCTCAGCTGCCATGTCAAGCCAGGGGTAAACTCGATCCGAGAAGGCGTGGCATCTGTGTCAGATGAGAGCATCGAAGTCTGCGTAGCCGCGCAGCCAAGAGACGGAGAATCGAACAAGTCTGTTAGACAAGTCATTGCCGATGCACTCGGGGTGCCCAAATCCAATGTCACAATTACCAAGGGGATGAAAAGTCGGGAAAAGACGGTCGCTGTAGATTTTGCGGAAACAAAGGGCACATTAGAAGACGAGGTCGAGCGGATTAAGAATATGTTATTAGGAAGCGCGAGTCGTTAAGGACTGTCATATGTACATTGTAAGTATGTTTTCGTTTTCCTCCACTGTTTCTCCTTGCTGCCATATGTTCTTCCATTATATTATCATTAATCGAGTCGTGTTTCGAACAAGTGTGGCCTTCTCAGAAAGCTCTAGTACTGCCACGCACCAGGCTTATCAGTCGCAACAGCAAGCGCATTGAATCCCAAGCAATCAGGTCCATAGGTACCACCCTGCACCTGACCAAAGACCTTATATCCCTCTCCCTCGCCAGCAGGGCAAGCTACAAAGCCCGTCTCGAAATTGAGATACCCGAACTGCTGGCCGGCCGCCGGCGCCTGGCGACTGAACTGATCGACAATCGAACCAGTGGGGATGTACGCCGAGTGCGCACCCGTGTAGCTCAAGCTCCCATCAGGTGCCACATACACCTGTTGGCCACCCGGCACAATGACACCCAGGGCCAGCGTTTTATCGCCGCCTGCGAGGACCGTAGTGTTGCCTGCGGGGCAGGCGTCGCCGACCTGAGCGACGGGGCAGTAGGATGACGGGCCTGGGCCGCCGAGGTAGAACTTGCCTCCGCGCGCAGTGAGTGCTTGCAGGTGGATGGGCGAAGCGCTGCGGGCGGAGATGACGCCGAAGTAGGATGGGCCTGACGGATCGGGCGTGGGTGTTGGTGTAGAAGAGGCAGCTGGGGGTGTAGCTGGGGGTGCAGCGCAGTAGGGTCCTGCGAGGGCAGTAGTGACGAGGGCTGTAAAAGCGAAAGTGGACTTCATCTTGACGGTGTGTGAAGTCTCAACTGAGTGTTGATCGGTAGCGAATGTAGAAAGTAAAAGGTCAAAAATTGAACTTTTGACGAAGCGATTGAAGTCTGAAAGGCTTGATTGATGTGAATGGCACTTGAGGGCTGCCACTTCACGGCTTATATACGTTTACCAATGAGGGGTCACAAGCCTCTCATCCAGCTACGCATCTGCAGACCATACATGCACACACGCTTGTAAGTTCCCCGCTGAGCAACGAGCGCATCACGAGCGATCATCATGCACAGAACAAGTCAAGCTCCTCTATCGACGACTCTGAACCTACAACGGAACAGCCGGAATGTTGCATTGTTGCAGCGTAATGTACCACACCAACGTTGAGCCAAGCTAAAGCCACGAACACGATGTGCCCATGGCTGATCATGTCGTGTTCAGGGTCACAAGATCGTGTTTGCGGGGCTGAATGGGCATCGCTCGGAGCCTTTTACCCCTAAGCGAGGCGTATCACGTATATAGTGTGTATTTTGGGAGTATTGGTATCCATAGAGTCGCTGCTACTTGTCGACTAGCTATGCAAAGTGCTCCCCGCACTGTAGCCACAAGGAACCTTGAGCGAGTTCTCAGAACTTCCCGAACAGAAGACGAACCATGGCTGGCGGTCTCTAGGATAGTGTGTGACCGTCGTCAATAAGTGAGAGTGACGTCGATGTCCCCGCTTGTGCCACACCTTAATCTTCATGCTCCTGGTCCTGTTGCTAGTGTTCCGCTAGAAATAGGAATCTCATTGCTATGGTTGACGTCGCGCGATTTTACAATACACCGAGGTTCTCAGTAGCTAGTTACGGCGTTGCCGAGAGCTGACGCTTTGTGCCACGATGACTGAGCAGCTTTTGACATGGAAAAATGCACATGTCAGTACCCAAGTCAGCAAGGTTCTTCGATGGTCGAGAACAACGCAACCTTGGTTGACTATGCTATCGAGCGAGGGCTTCTAGCGTCTCAAAGCATACTACGACATCTCCGGTTGTTGAAAGGCCGATATCCCTCGAATCGGCCATAGCGGCCACGCTATCCAATAACTTCGACAATGTGCATCGCGTTCAGTTTCCTTGTATGCGTAAATAGGTAGCTTGAAATTAATCTCTTGCCCGCCGTCGAGGCTCCGTGTTGATAATCTTTACGCTTCAGAAGCGGTGAAGAGGTTATCCAAAATAGACCCACGTGCGAGGGCGGCTAGAGTAGTGTCGAAGCTCTTCAGAGTATCACAACAAAGTTACATCCATAGACACAGCTTTCCGCTCGCCGTACCCGCTGCGACCCAGTCCAGCGTAGGATGGAACTTGGCCACAGCCGGTACCGCAGTAATACCGTCACCTCCCAGCTGTGCTAATTGCTGCCCTTTGGCAGTGTAAATGTCGACAAAGCGGTTCATATTGCCAATGCAGAAACGCTGGAGGCCGTCTTGAGGAAACTGCTGCCATTGAGCTCGGAGTCTATGCGCGGTTGTTAGCTTGACACATCTGAATTGTGTAGGAAACATGGGCAGCGTACATGGTAACCCATCGTCCGGTTTGGTTATTGTGAGGAACGACAACCGATGGCTTCATCTCGGAATCAGTCAGAGAGGTACCCGCGCTCCAATCTGCACAATTGCCAAAGTCATGAATCTTGATCGTGTCGTCGTATGAAGCAGTGGCTACTTGGCCGGCCGAACTCCACGCGGCGTGTGAGACTGATAGTCGGCTTTCATGCTCACCGACGAGAGCTGGCGCGCGGTTTTCGCCTTTTCCGCTAATCTTGCGTAGATCCCAAATCTTCAGAGTGCGGTCCAAGGAGGCGGTGGCTACGAGATGCGGATGCAGTGGGTGGAGACTGAAACCACCAATCTTCTTCTCCGACAATTGGAAAGTCTGAAGTCCTGCCGCTTTCTCTAAGGGCGTGCGCATATCATATATACCAAAGCGGCCGTCCAGCGTTGAAAAGTACAACATGTTGGGGTCATCTTTCGAGATTTCAATGCCAGATAGTGGTGCTTCTTCATTCGCATCAGACGGTGCATAGACCTCGACTGCCACACCCTTGGCCAGGTCTAGTTTCCGCACTGTCGAGTCGTATGACGCGGAAAATAACGCGTTTGAATCGTGCGGGCTGAACTGGAAGGTATGTATAGTCCGAGTATGTGGCTTTAGTGTGGTAATCGTAGGTCCTTCGGCATCCGCGTCTTCGTCGTCTTCTTGTTTTACTTCTGCTACCTGTTGCGAAGCATCGCATATACCAAGGTGGCCTAATTTATCGCCCGCGAAGACTAGTGGTTTCTCAGTCGTCGGGTGCAGGCCCATAGCGTAGATTCTTTCGGGTGTTATCTTGATCTCGTTGGGCTCAAAATCCTCCCAAAGCTGCAAGCCGCTCATTCTCTCTCTCAGCGCTCTCAACTCCTTGTCCGTCGTCTCTTTCACGTCGTCGAAATCGAATGTGCGCTCGTACGGATTCGCAGGACCAACGTTGGACAAAAAGTTCCCACTCTGGTTCCAATCTTTACCCGCAACCACGATGTCGCTGAAGTCGAAGGCATCGCTGACTCGCTGTCTCTTCGCGCGGTCTGCGTCCTTTATTGCTACGAATTCCTCCTCAGCCTTGCGCTTCGCTGTCTCGCTGTCTGCCTCGATGCCTTTCAGACGAGAGGAAGTCCGCCGGGGCGCGATATCTTCTTGCTTGATCTTCTTGGGCGCAGTCTTCTTCGACCTCGGCTTTGTTGACGCTGGCGCTTTTACTTTGCCTGTAGGGCCCAGCCCGGCCTGTGCTGCCTCCATTTCCAGGTTTCGCAGCAGCGCCTGCGTCTTCGCAATGTTCTCTTGTCGCTTGAGCTCATACTCACTGAGCTCCACGTTCTTCAAACGCGCCATGATCAAGTCGGTAGTAATGAATTACCGGATGCGATCCGAAGCACTTGTGTGTCTGTAGCGGTCGCGGAGAGTCGGGTCGATGGGTATTGCTGTGATGTCGTATTTGGGACTCGAATAATGGCGAACTTCAACGAGAGAGCGTGAACCTGAAGGCAACTACAGACGTGAGACGGAAAGCCTGAATCGCGCCGCCACTAGCGCAAACGCGTCCTACGCGCCCATCACGTGACAGCGTGTAAGGCATCTGCAGCATCTGGATCTGTTCAATCGCATTGGTGCAACGATCGAACTCACCCTATGTGGGACGAGCAGCCTTAAGCTATGCATGCAGCCACCCATGAGCATCAAGTGTTGCACGAACCGAATCGCTGATCGGCATCGACCTGCGAACAGTCCGATAGTCTTGGCAGATTTGCGGAGACTCGGTGACCTTCACGTAGCATCATCCTAACGTCCTCCTCCTCATCCACCACTATGGCATCTACTCGAGTTGCCAACTCAAGTTTTAGGGCGGTTCGAGCTGCCTCAATCCGCCCAGCAGCTGCATGGAGACAGCAATGTCTATACCACTCGTACGACTACGCCCAACCGCCACCGTTCCCTCCTGCTGAAGCCGCGATTCTGTCCGCCGCATATTCACACGTACCGAACCATGGTTTTACAATAGACACACTGAAGCTCGGTGCTCGCGATACCGGATATCTGGACGTCTCCACGAACCTACTACCACGCGGGGTGTTCGATTTGATCAACTATCACCTCGTCACACAGCGACTGGCGTTACAGAACAGTGTGCAGTTCCCGGATGACGGCGCAGCTACAAAGAAGATGGGTGTGGGGGCTAAGGTTAGGACGTTGACACTGGCGCGGTTACGGGCGAATAAGCCTGTTATACATCGATGGCAGGAGGTATAACAACATGCAACAAGCTATGATTCTAAACACTGATGTTTGGCAGGCGCTTGCAATCATGGCTCAGCCGACATACGTTGCCCCATCCGTCGCCGAATTAGCAAAACTCGCAGACGAGATATGGTTTCTTTCAGGCGACCAAAGTGTCGATAGCAGCTGGTACACAAAACGGGCAACACTATCCGCGATATACTCCTCTACTGAGGTTTTCATGACGCAAGACAAGTCGGCAAATTTTGTCGAGACAGAACAGTTCCTGGACAATAGGCTAGAGGACCTGACGAAAATTGGTGGCTTTTTGGGAGGCCTGGGTGAATGGTTGAATTATACAGGTCATTCTGCCATTAATGTGCTCAGGAGTAAGGGCGCACGCATTTGAGCTATACCAGTGCTTGCAAGCCGGCGAGCAAAGTATTACGGCGCTCTTCAAGTGCACATCGGGTAGGACTGTCGTGTCTACTCGACATGTAAATGGAGACATTGCATGGCCTGACTAGATGCACCCGACCACGACCTTTCGAATAAAGCCGGCGGTAACCATTCGTGGATTGCCATTCCCGAGACATTATTGTATGATTAGTGTACCGCTAGACTCGATTAAGATCGAACATGAAGTCCTTGGCATGAAATCACGAGAGCTGTGGCTGGTATAATTCTGCCGGCATACTACCATGAGAAATCGGCTGGAAACTCTCGGGGTTGACACATTAAGTCGAGCAAGATGCGATTGCACGTGATAGTTTCGCATACTTCTCTCAGCTTCCTGACCACGCGCCTCAATCTACGATCGTACGACATGGTGGACTCCGCGATGTAGGTGGCTATCAGTTCGGACTTCTAGTCCATAACCAATGACTGACAAGACCAATTACCACTGCGACTCGCGCAGTTTTGCCCAACATACCCAGCACGATTGTGAAACAAAGGTGCTACCTAGGTATGCGCCCAAAGCTAGGCTGGATCCAACATGTGTTGTTACCGTGGTTCGCCTGGGAATGCTTTCTGGTAGCATTTCTCTATAAATCCTTTTGGTCCAAACGCAACAAGCTCACGATGTAGCTTCGGCCCACTCTCCTAGTGGGCTCTTTGCTGTATATGTTTTCGGAGAAAAATGCCGGAGTACTGGAACAAAATAGGACGTCATAATGAGGCGATTGTCACTGCAGGCAATCGACCGATGAAGCCTCCCCATTTCTGATTGGGGCGTGTTCTTTCGGCTCAAATTTTCAGGGCCCCCTCTTGGTAGCAAAACAAGCAGCGATGGCCACGTTAAAGTCGATCTAAGACGCACAGCAGAAACGCTAAAGCGCTGTATTGCTTGCATGAGCTGCCAATTCCGCATAGCAGAGAGGCACTAACGGCCAAAATAGTGTCCAGCAACTCGATGACAAAACGGTGTTGCTCAGGCAATAATGGCCTCTTCGACGTGTGTGGGACTGAAGCGTCGGAAAGGTGGGCTCCGTCCAGAGCCGAGGGGTGCGTTCTCTATCGCGTAGTGGCACTTGTGTCGATTTCGACGGGCAGATATCGATGACCGGACGTAGGTTGGCTAATGGACATGAAGCTATTCGGCATGTTAACAATCATCACCAATTGCGGTGGGAATCGGGACACGAACAGGGGCTACCTTTCGGCACTCCTTTGCCAATGGTGCCCGTTCGGGCGACGGGTGGTGAGAGACAGAGGCTCATCGACGATGCGGTGCGGATGCTAGCACGGTCTGGCCCCGCACCATGTCCGCGCCTGCCTCAGGGCACGCACGCACGCACGCACCCCGATCCTCACAGCAGTTCTTGGCATCGTGGCAATGGACCACATCGACAGCCCTGCCCACGGCAAAGATCAATACTCACCATGGACTCGACGCTCAAAATGCCCCCATCCTCGTCGCCCGGGCGCTATACTCGGATCCTTCCTCTACCAGCCTCGCTACCTCTGCCCACCCACCCACCCCTCCACACTCCAGAAACAGCATCTCACAACCAACATCACCGTAAAGACAGCGTCCGCGGACCCGTCTGACCATACTTGAGCCTCAACAACTGTCTGCTGCAACCAGATACCTGGACTTTCTGCCAGTTTAAGACAGGTTGGGACCTGAGCAAGCGTTCAAGATTTACGTATTAGAGCCAACAGTACAGTGAGATCGGCCGTGCTGCGCACATGGGGCATGTTCTTTACCCATAGCCTATCAGCCTCCATTGAGCGACCATGAACGACCCTCCAGGAACCATACCCTCCTCTACGTCTGTCCAACAACACCCACGTCGCCCACCACCCCACAAGTCGGTTTCCCTTCGGCACAGTCTGTCCACGTCCGGTGCCAGCTCGAAAGGGGCCATCAAACACCAGCTGAATACGCACAACCCTGCCACCGACAAGGCCTACCCATCTTCAAGTGTCTCTCCAATCGTCCTGTCGAACAAGATCAGCTCGGGAGAAAGCAGCGACGCTGGAGGATGGTTCGAGACAACGAATAACAACGCCAAACAGAACGATGCCTCATTTGTCGACAGTGAGTGGTATCCCCAGCGCTCCGGCATCGGCATGAATACTAAACATTCATTCGTAGATGATCCACCGTTCTTCCTCCGGAACTCTTCCTCGTCAGAGACTCCGCCCGATACATCTCAATATACGCATGCACACTCCGCGATCCCATACCGCCCTACTCTGGCACGCTTCGGCACCGATGGTAGCAGCACGGAGGAGTTTCGGAGCGTCATCGATGATTTGACGGTTGCCAATAAAAAGCTCAAGCAGAAACTCAAAAAGTATGAGAAGCTATACGATGCTCACCTCCAAGAAGAGAAGTTGTTCGAAGTCAAGTTTCATGGCCTGCCCGATCACAAGAAGAAGGAGCTGGAAGAGACTCTTCGCAAGTTCGCTACCGAACTCGATGACGGTGCAAGCAGTGGCTATCCACCGGTCTTGTCGTATGCGTCTGCTCTCGAACCACAGCACACTGTCTCGTCGACATCTCGATTTGCCGAGTCTGGATACGCTTCATTGTCTGCATCTGGTCAGAACTCATCTGTGCTATCGAATCAACACAATGACCGTCGCAAAGTGAGCAAATCGCAATATAACCGCCAGCAGGAGAACATTCAATCATACCTCCACGACATTCCCCTAAACTTACTCTCGCAGAAGACTGCGCCCATGACAGACAAGTCGAAGAAGAAGTTAGTGGCACGGCGGCTCGAACAAATCTTCGCAGGGAAGCGATCAGCGTCCGGAAACCATCAACAGCCTTTGCAGCAGGAGGAGGTTGCACAATCGGCAGCTACGGCGGATCGAGAAGAGAGGGAAGCGGGTGGAAAGCAACTTCGACCGGAAGGGCTGCGCGAGGCCCGCATCATGACGGAGGAGGTGAACGGAGAAGATTCTGCAAACCAAAGCGTGGCAATTCCTGGTTCTCGTCCTACTTTATACACAGGCGAAGACTTCGTGGGGTCAGGCCGTTCACCCGACCAACGACCAACAAGACCTTTGGATCTGGATCTTTATCGAGCACAAGTTTCTGTCGAAAATATGGATTATATTCGGCATCTCGGCTTCTTGCCGCCAGACATGGTGTCCGGAGAAGCGCCGATGGACGGACAAGGTTGGCTCTATCTCAACCTTCTCATCAACATGGCCCAACTGCACACGCTCAATGTGACCCCGGAGTTCGTGAAGGATGCACTGCATGAGTATAGCAGCCACTTGGAAATCTCCCGCGATGGACGGAAGATTCGCTGGAAAGGCGGTTTCGATGTCACTAAGCACAGTGGGGAGAGCTCTTCTGAACACCACAGTGGCACTTCACCTTCAGACATCATACCCGGCTCTGGGTCGCGTGAGGCAAATAGCGAAGTACAAGCCCATTCGGAGCAACGAGCGCGAAAATTAGCGAGCGTCAAAAAGGAGAAAGACCAACACAAGTTCAGCTATAAGCCACTTTTCATTCACAACGAAGACTCTGAGGAGGATGAGGATTACTATGGCTTTGATGCCGAATCCTCTGGCAACTCGCAGCCACGAAGAAACGGCAATTCTTCGGGCTTTGGCAGCTTCGCTTTGCAAAGCTCTTCGTTGAAACCAAGACGCGATGATGGCCCGATCATCTTCTATACCAATGCCAAGTTCTGTACCGACCTTAGCGGCGATCGTCTTGGCGTCTCACACGCCAAACCAGGGGCATACAAGACTATTACGAGTCATCCTCTCGGTACTGAATCAGATGTACGATCGTCGATTCAACGAATGTCTGAAATCTCCGACCTCAGAGGTCCTCTTGATGCCTCCTCAATGGACCTTGATTCTATCAACGGTTCGCGTGCAGTCTCGAGTAGTGAAGATTTCGGGTTCTCGCCCGACTCGTTGAAGAATGACAGCGGCAATAATAGTCCAGATGTAGTGGATTTTGAAGCCTCAGGGTTGGGCGGAGTGCAACCAGAGGACAATTTTTCAATTTCTGTGCGGCGTTCGCAGGTACAGACTGCATCGTCGGGAGCTGTTCGCCCTCGCAGGTCTAGTTTCTATCCGAAGAAGATCTACGATGTTCTGACTAAACGACCTTCTGCTGAAGATCAAGACTCATCTTCCGCCTGTTCGCCACAACGCTTCATCAAAGAAGAAATTTTATCCGCATCACGGACGTCTCTGCCCAGCTCTACGCTCCCGCCCGCCTCCTTTTTGCCTTTCGACTCGACATCAGAAGACGTAGATTCCGATCTTGACTCGGGCCTCGACTCGGACCTTGATTCTGACACATCATCCACAGCAGACTCCGAGTCCGATGAAATTCCAGACACCACTTTCCAACTACTCAACATCCCTCTGGCCGCCGTAGGCAACCCGGATGAAGCTGAGGAAGCAGACGAATCAGATTATTCAGACGAAAGTGATGGCAGCGTCGACTTCCTCGCCACAGCCCGTCAACTCGACCCCAAGACTGTTCGCGCATCCGAGCGTGAGTATGATGCCGCCTTGGCGGATCGTCTCGTAGAGGCGATTCCAGCGGGTAGTTCGGCGGCTACGGCAGGTGGTGGTAGCGGGTTCAATAGTCCTATTGATCAAAAACCTGGAGATGGCGCTGTTGCGCTTAGTCATGAAGGGGACGCATGGCAGCAGAGCGCAACGAGTGGTAGTATATCGTCCCGTGCGAAGAAGCTGAAGAGGGCAAGAACGAGTGATTCTGTCACTACAGTATCGCAGCCTGACAAAGGGTCAAAGAGCCAGAAACTGAATGGGCAATAAGTACTTCGTTTAGCATGTGTTGTGGCTATATCTGTCCATTCAGTTGTCATCGGCATGAGTGGATGTCTTTATGGAATTGCATAGCATGGCGTTGGAACTTTGACGATATACCCACATTGTTTCACATTGTTTGAGTTGCTTATGCGTTGCTTGTTCGTTCTCATTGCCCATTTGCACATCGGCGACGAACATGGACCCGCCACAAACTTAACCTCAATGTATTCTTTTCGATACTTTCTCGTTCCTCGTAAGGACAACACCTCGTCTGTACTGTGCTGCTCTCGGTCAATATTCAGATTCCTTTGTTGATTATGATCACCTTCACAAGTTCACCACATAGAAGTCTGTCTTCGGGTAAATGTATACAATCATATGGTATAGAATATTGCATGGTAGGATCACCTGTAGAACTCGTTATGCCGGCAGTTCGGAACTACATGACTCTATTCTGTGTCTGGGCGCTTGTTGGTTCTATATTAGGAATTGTATACGGGTGCTGGAGGCTGTGGAACGGAATTATATATGGATATACTTTCAAACTTGGAGTAAATCGACCTAAGGTTATAGAGAACAGGCTCAGGCTTCCGATAGCGGAAACGGACCAGCGTTGGGCAAGGAGTCAAGGGCGAGTACAAACAAAAAGAGGCGTAGCGTTATAGAGAAAAGGAGAAATTAGAGCAAAAACATACAACAGCGGGGATTCGCTAGTGGTCACCCACCTAACTACTAATCCGCCGGTATTCTGCTTAAGTACCGCTGAGCGAACGGGAAGCGCTGAATTCAGAATCCTATGGTCGTATGTGTCTTGAGCAAGTATTGTATAATATATATTCTCATCTAAAATTGACAACAACCCTAAGGTTAGTCATTGTTGCAGAGCTCTACCTCCTCTAATACCAAGGCTTCGTTCATCCAATTGCTGAAAAGAAGACCAGAAATGTTTTCTGGGCTTCCTAAGTCTCCCACCACTCAGTCACCTCGGGATAATCGTGCCATGGTCGGGTCCGAGAGCTTGTTGTTCAGCTACCAACCTCTCCCGGTAGAGAGTCGTGGTCACTTCCGCTTTCTAATTCCTCGGATTCCGCAAGGGGAGATTGGATCGGAGAGCTTGTTCGGCTACTACCAATCTCTCCCTGCATGGAGTCGTAGTACCTTAATTCCTCGTGATCCACGCGGGATGCTCGGGTCGGAGAACTTGTGTCTTCACCCATGTCTTCTTCGTCCGTCAGCCAGTCTTCCGCCTGGCTTGAGCAGCCCGTCTCCGGGTCTCATCTTGTGCATCACGTATCTTCCGTCCCTCGCGTCTTTTATACTCTGCCTCATAGCGTGCTTTCTCATTTTCGGACGACTCCCAATACGCAAAAGTAAATTGTTCGCGCTTTCGGCCTTTCCTGCCATTTGCTTTGTTATGATCAGGATTTGTATCTCGAGAGTGCAGTTTGGAATTCAAGGTTTCCTCTGGCTTTACAGGTCGACCGGTGTATTCATTCTTCTTACGTGCCGTGGCTTCGTCAGAATCGATCAAAGTTGTGCCAAAAACACCGCGCACCATGGTCTTGATTTGACTGGAACTAGTGTCATCCGGTCTCAAATTGCTACCCCTTGAGAATGATGACGTTGGCCGGTTTTAAACGTGAGCCGGTTCTGATGGCCGGGTTATTATGAAGCAGCGTCCATCGGATGATACCAAGAAATATCTCCCATGTGACAGCATATCAGCTGGCTTCGTTGGCGGCCATCTGCCTTCCGGATGAATGTTTTCGTCGGTTGACCCGGGCTGAGCGGAACGTTCGAAAGATCGCTCATGGAACGTGGTTGTTGGTCGCCTATGCTTCTTCAGTCCTCCCAATTCTCTTTGGAACCGAGTAGGAGCGAATTGCCGATTTGCTTGTTGAGTTGGGCTGACTTCTATACAAATGGGGAATTTGTCGCCTCTGTGCGGCATTGAACCAGAGTAGCACTCTTTGCTAATCTAGTGAGAATATGGAGATTTCTTAAAGCCGCCCACCTGGCCTATAGGCCTCTTGCAAACGACACACTCAACTTGAGAGCCAAACCATGTTGAGTAATGCGATTCTTCGACTTTACCGGGAGATGCACCGAAGGTGAAAGCAGATATAGGTCTCGTTGGTTCATACCTGTGTGTGGTAAATGTTGCTTCAGCTGGGTTACCAAACTTCTTCTTGGAATTCAGAAAGCGGATTCGTCTCTTCCTTCACTCTCGTCTTCCGTCATTACAAGAGAGTGGGAAGCCACTGAAGGCGTAGGTATTTCCCGGGCCAATGACGTGCTTTCATCCTCAACATATGGCCGAGGGGGAATAGCAGCATCAGTGATTACCACAGAAGGGATTTAAATGCTCAGCATCGTAGTCTTATCACGTCCTGTGCCCATGCTTGTTGCGTCTTTGGTTGATGAGGATTCAATGCTCTAAGATTCGGTACAGAATCTATTGCAGATGGAAGGACGTTAAAAATGTCAGACAAGGTGTTGCGCTCAGCGTATGCCATCACCTCAGGCGCGCAGTAGCGCGGTGTCGTAGGTCGAGGAATTGGAGTCGTGCGGAGTGATCTTGTAACGCTTCGGGCATGGTGTTTTTGGAGAACGTGAAGGCTGCATCTGTGGTACCATCGTCAACGAATGCATCAACTGCGTGTAACTGTCCGATTCTTTTGAGGACACTATAGATCCTTGGAATGCGGCTCCATCTCTCCCGCGAGCTGCGCTTCAAGGCATCCGCAATCACACGGATATCGTTCTCAGTGAAAGGGTTGCCTGAGTCTTTGGTGGGAACCGGGAACCACTGTCGCAAGAGATCCTCTTCGTAACCTTGCTGCGCCATGGGATGCTTTGCTCATACCAGCGAATAGCATGGACGATATTTGGAAAGAGAACGGTCGATGTCCCAGTTGCGCACGTCGACGAAGAGATATAGCGTATAGTTCTTACTTGGCTAGAACGTTGATAGCTGTGAACTGGAGGAGAGGTGGGGCAACGGCTCCCATGATTCTATTCGGCCTCAGCCTTCAAGGATGGAGAATATGCAGCTTGCCTGCAAGTAATCCGGCGCATAGGAACATAGCCTCTTCCAAAGTGCGTGCATAACCTGGACAAAAAGATACTCTAGCTGTGTTTGATGCTTTGAGTTTCAATGATACATTCCAGCAGGAATACTCGACCTATCCTGGAAGAATCAATGTGATCACAAACATCTCCGCACTCAAAGTACTTTCACAGAAACCAGCGATAGCCCAACTAGGGCACAGGCGCTTTGGAAATCCTCCAGCAGGAATAGAAAGAACAGTCGAGGTGAATGTCACATGACTGACACCACCAACCTAGATTAACTTCGCCAGACGCCCCATGGGTCCCCGCGCAGCCGCCAAGTGCCTCAGGCTATAAGGTACTGCTGTAAAGGATTCGCTTCGTTCAGACGTAGTGGTAAGGAAAAGGACACGTTGAAGGTGGCTGGGGGCTGGGGGACGCGTTGAAGGTCGGGTCCAAGCGATAAGATAAGGCCATCCAGAACACGTTCATGAGTCGTGATAAGTCCAACTACACTTTCAAGTACCGCAACAACGACACAGGAACCATGGCGGCAAGCGCCATGCACCCGGATTTTCGAGACGACATCACCTACGATCAGGCTGTCAAATGTGATGAGACGACAGCTGCGCTCATATACGAATCCCAGGTCGCCGGCGAAGACGAAGATTGGGACACGTACCTCGAAATCGCTTTTGAAATGCTTAAGGTCCGCACGCGCGCCTACAAACCCGAATCAGTACCAATCGGCGGCTCCTGGGGCTTGATTGGATCCGGGTTCATGCGCGTTGGCAGGTTTGAGGATGCAGAGGAGGCCATAGGGAAAAGTATTACGATATATGAAGGTGCTGGCGCGCGCGATGAGTTAGCGTTGGTTCGCGAACAGTTGGCTCAGGTGCAGGAGTGTCAAGGACGATTTAGTGATGCCAAAGAGACCCGTTTACGCGGCGCTGATACAAATGAGATGGCGTGTCCTAACGACAAGGTAAGTTCATAGAAGAGCGTGGAACGGTTTGCTGCAGATGGTTAACTCGTTGAAGTGTCCTACGTCAACGTACGAATTCAGAGTGCAGAACGGTTACGCCAAACTCTTCGCATTAAGCGACCTAAAGGCATGTGGAGCATGTAAATCCGTGTACTACTGCTCCAAACACTGTCAGAAACAGGACTGGAAGGCTAGACACAAGCCTCTGTGTCAAGCCTATATGGCTACTTTAGGACAGTCTGACGGTCGAGATTGATCGTGATGAGCTTTGAGGGCTTTGTAGCTACATGGAGGCGTAGGGTTGAATCACTTAGACCACGAGCGGACGACGTGTCGTTTGCACTACGGATTGACCTTCCTATAATCAACTAGGAATGTCAAACAGTTTCTCGGCAATGTGATGTTATGCCCCTATCTCCCTCGCTAATCGTACCTAGGCTCATCCTTTCAAGTGACGAAGACGCTGCTCAGGTCTATGGGAAGTAGTGCGGCATGAATCGCACCAGAGCGAGGTCTTATCCTGAGAGCGGGAGTAAATTTCAATGTGATGTTCGCAGTTCTCGTGTTGGTTGAAGCGGCTTTGATAAACAGAGAATTGAAAGACTGAAACAACAACGGCTTTCCAGTAGTGTAAAGACAGATAGACATGATGATGAGAATGAGATATGGCTCTATTACGTGAATAAGTCGCAGCATCGCGTAGTCGGCACGCCGCTGATAGCTAGCGGATGTTTAGCTAATATGTCCTGGACATTGCGCTGCACTTTCAAAGATCGCGCGGTTGCCGTATCCATAATGACCAGTAACGGACATGAGACAGATCACTTAGCAAAGACCTATTACGCAGTACTCAGTACTTGACACTCGTGAACACCTTGGTTAAAACCATGACTCATCCGTGATTCATGCGATCCAAAAAACCCAGATAGTCAAGCGATACACGAAATTGACTACTAAACCGATGGCTGGCTGGATTTGAGCATAGGACTGCATACTGAAAATCGATTGTCGATGCAAGCTGCGACGGGTAAGACAAGTCACGGCGGTCGAGCATGCTTGTTCTCTAGGGGGATGATAGGCAAATCTAAAATAGCGAGCATCAGGTTCAAATTCAGTGTCTGCACACGACAGTAGTGCGAATTTTCTCGTAGATCAAAGCCGGGTTACTTGAAGATCTTCACTAGCATGCGTCGCGTTCCCGGCTTTTTGGTTAGTAAAGGCCCGACTCAAGGATGGGAATCTGAATCCTGTTGGGAATACCATCGTAGCTCTTAACCACATATTCAGACAAACGTTCCGACGGCATGGGACGAGATCATCGTTCTTTGCAGCCACGATCTAGCCAAGTTGCAAACTCTCCCCACAAGAGTGAATGGAAGGTGGATTCAAAGATCCCCGCTTTTCACGAAGCTGTTCAACAAGGCTGTTTTGGGACATGTTGTGACCGCAGAGATTGGTCATATGTACCGGCTGGAACAGTCGGATCGAGAGAGCATCCCAGACGAGTCATCCTGAACCGACCCGTTTGCTGAATACCGATTTCAACGACAGTGGGCAGAGCTTCAGCTTCGACAGCGGTATCGCAGTGCTTCCCCGCATCGAGCCCCAGATGGTTCGGTGATTTGGTGCTTCTTCGTTCGCATCTCTCCACCCTCACGCAAGTGCCTCGACCCTACCGACACGCAATCTGTCCACCACTCTCGTCTTAGAGTACTGTAGACTTGGCACTATCACACCACTCAACCTTTCAGAACGGAGACCCTGCATGTACTACTCGATGTTCAGCTCATGCAGCTAATGCTCCCAGCCGTACCCCAGTTTATTGTTCCCTTTGCGGGGCTCGAACGTTGAATGTGAGGGGTCGCATGTCGATCCCTTACCGCATGCAGACCGCTGATTAGCCAGAAACTTTCATTGAGCGATCGAGGCCGTTGGACTCCATGGCTGAGTTTTATGCCGAGAAATAGCGTGTCGTGCCGGAATCTGTTGAGGTTTTCAAGTGTGGTGCTGGTGGAGGGGGAGACGATGGTGCGATAGGTGTTACGTGAGACTGAAAAGGCAAGCGCGTTTTTTGGTGTGTCGACATCGACGATGAACCCGCCTTTTCTTTGGCAATGAAGCTATAGTTTATAGTAGTTGAGATGTGACTGGTGGAATGGTAAATATTATTGAGATTTTTTAGAGAAGCCAACAAAGGTTGGGTGTGGCGTGCGAATGCGACATCTATAGTCCGATAGCAGGGGTCCCGGATCGGCCGGCACCTTGCTCCTTGATAAGTCTCAACCGCGGTACTCTCAAGGCCTAATGCCGTGCAAAAGAAGTCCAATGCAGGTTTAGATCTCATAAACCATGGTTTGATAGCGGTAGTTCTGTCTCGCATTGCAAATAAGTAGTAATCGTAACATTCGTGGTTCTAAAAGTACATTGGTTGGAAAAAGTATTTGGTCCCTAGCACACACCCACATCCACCTCAGTGTTGATGCTATAGTTACATCGGGTATCGTTTTCTGATTTGAGCACTTCATCTCAGATGGACCGTTGCGCCATATCCTGCTCAACGCCAGTAGTACAGTACACATTATCGTAGTTGGAGGCTTTTCCGTGTGACCGCCCGTGGACAGGCTCTGAAGAAGTCTGAGACTTAGGCCCAAGTTTTCGAGGTGTTGAGGCCGACCTCTAGTGAATGCGCAATGGAAGAGGCAAAGTCTCGCTCGGCGATGGATGAGTGGCGACGCCTCTCACGACGTATCTGGTGTTCCGCCTCCATGAGCCTTTCTTGAATCCAAGCACGGGTTTTATCATCTGATCGCACTGACTCGGTATTGAGTAGCTCAGTGAGGGTAGCCACGATCTGTTGGTTGATCTCGGAGAGCTTGTGCGATTCTTCAGTGTGCGTGTCATCGATACTGCTACGTGAACCCATGCGAGGTTTAGATCCGGTAGCAATGGGGTCGGTAGGTGGAGGATATGGCGAAGCATATTTGGGGGACCAGGTAGGCGATGATGACAAGGACTGGAATTCAGGCGATTCAGCCGTCATGGGTTTGTTGAAGGGAATCTCGAGAGCCATTCGTCGTTGTAGAGCTTCCTTCTGGGCTGACAGCAGCATGTACTTTTGCATCGACTCGTTCTAAACGGGAATGTTAGCATGTGATAGTAGAGTAGGAGGTTCAATAGAGTTGCTCACCCTGATCAAAGTGGGCCTGGACATTGGAGCCATAGTGTACTATTGTGACTGGTTGTGTGCTTTGAGTTGGTGTTTCAAGCAAGTTTGATTGTAAGTTCGACGTCCACCTGGGAGGGGGATGTCGGCTTTGATAACTGCAGGTAGTGCCAAGAGGTTTGGGGCGTTATCCTTCCAAAACGAGGGGCCCAATTCTAGAAGCGGAGTGTGCAGAAGTTTGTGTGATGCGTCAACTTAAGTGGGGTGATGGTGATAGGGTGATCTCAGGCCGTGGTAATGCTGCAAGAACACGCAAGCTGCAGGATAGTGGTAGGTAATGGTAACTGGTTGAGATACTTGGATGGATGACATGGCCGCCCAGCTCAGGGGGATGCCTCGATACTTAAGTCGCCTGTCATGCGATGCGCATTTTCCAGACCCCAAAACGCCATGACGCGACGCGAATCCGCAAGGCCCCGTCGGGATTCAGGGCGGTTGCGTCCGTTCGCGATTAATTATTGTGCTCGGACAGTTTTCATGAAATCTTGCTGGGACTGCCTGGAACAGGCTGGGACAGGTGAGCGGGTCGCGTGTTGTAATTGGTGTATGCATGCTCCCTTGATCAGCTTGCTCGGAGAGAGGCGCCAAGCCATAACGTCACCGCTGGTCACAATCGCGATCCGCCATTTCAAAGCTCCTCCTCATCACAACCTGCAACCAAGGCTCTGTCCCTGGTCGTTGTTAGTAGGCTGTGATAGCGCGCCGTACCTGCGTCCGGGACCGGCTGGTCTGCCTTTGGCTTCGAGATGGAATTTTGTTATTTTCCATCACAAGTCTCGACCACAAAGAAACTCCACAAATTATGGAGAAAGTCCACCCACCGTCAGGCCGCCACGCAATGAGCAAACAATGACGTGTGGCTGAAACAAATCTATTCCCTTCTGCCACACATGGAAAATGCTTCTGTGCCCTATAGACGGGATTCACTACATTCGACGTCACCCATGGCCCCCATGCTGACTCTGACCAGCTTTATGCCCGATCCATGGACGGAAACAAGTCCCTCCTCTGATCGCCATGCTTGCAGATCATAAGGGTCCGCGGAATGCATAATCAGGTTTCGAAGCCTCATTACGTGGCTGAATTCCACGTGTGGTCGGGTCGCAGCCGAATTGACGTCCTATGCATGCCTCGAACTCGAGGCGATGCCACAATAGGCTGTTTCATGTTCCGATCATCAATTCCAGCGTGTCAGATTGTCGTACAATATCTTCTAGAACAGAGTGCGAATCCTTCGCCCTACAAGGGACGTCATACACCCTGCACAAGACAAGAAACCAGCATGTTGCTGCTTGAGCGATATGCGCCCGGTAGACCTATGCCAAAGCGATCAGGAACATCTCCAAGCGAAAGCGACATGGCAAAATTCGCTTCTGCTTCTCCGGCCTGGCATGATGCACGGTGTGAAGAAAGGACCCAGCAAGTTCTGTGGTATAACCATGACATCTACGAGTAAACCCCCTGTTGTGAGCCAAGGCCAAGGCGGATGCGGCACATTTCGGGTGTAGAAACCTGATGTTGACACGAATACTACATGAATTGCGATTCGTAGTGCGACTGGCGGTTGAATGGGAAAGCACAGATAACAATATCCTGCCTATATCTGCCAGCGACGCATTGTGTAGACTAGCGGGCGTAGAGGATCGCGTGATTTGGTATCGTGTTGGAGGGGAACTTGTGCGCACTCGAAGTGTTCATGGCGTAGGTCGAAATACACAGCGATAAGTGGAATGCCCAGGACACCAAAGTCCGCCAAGATTTGACAGTAGTGAAGACCAGTGCTGTATTGACTGAGATCAAATGAAGAATGGTAGGCCATGGTAGGGCAAGTCCTTTATCTCTCAGCATTTTGTCGCTCGGTCCAAAATCCCTTTCCGTAGCTGACGAGCATCTCCTGACCACGCCCGATGCCTTTCGCTCGTTTCCCACTCTTGCCAGCGCTTACGACAAACACTCCCACTCTCTTCTCCACCTTCCCATTCCCTGAATCCACGTAGATGTCGCGGAACTCGGCGTTTGGTGCTGTAGATACACCTCGAAAATCATTGATAAACCTCGACTCGTTTCCCATCTTGGTGGCGTCGACACCAATGCCCAATTCGCGATCTAGAGATAGGTCATAGTCGGACGTTTCGTCTGTGTCAGTTTGATCGTGGACATAGCCTAGATATGGTAGTATGAATGCGTCTGGTGGGAGATGCTGGTTAGCAAAGAGCCCATTCTGGCCATGTGCGGGGTGGACAAAGTCTGTTATTGGCGTAATCTTGACATTTGTAGACGGGCTACTAGTCTTGTAGACCTGTGCGTCAGGAGGTAACTCTGATTTGGACAAGACCAATGCCTTGATCTTGACTGCATTGAGCTTTTTGGAGTACGAAGGAGCATGCAGATATATGATATTGCCCGGCCATGCTTTTGGCAATCCGGGGGGCGACCTGGTTGAAGGCATGTTTCTACAGTATACGCTGCATTACAAGAAGCTTCTTAAAGTCTGATTCGAAAGACACCGCGCAGGTCTAGAGGACTAGGAAATTTGGAATGCTCGGTAGGTATGTGTAGGTGAGGTGAGGTGAGGTGATGTTGTGAAAGACGAGAAGGCGAGCGCAGCATCGCAGGTGCTCATGCTTGCCGGGATCACTTCGGGACAAGGAAAAATGAAAAGAGGTCGCGCCGTTAGTGTCGTCGCAGAGAGATCAGTTTCGCTTCACAAGCCCCTAGTAAGCCCTCCTTTAATGTCAAAGTTTCAATAGTAATAGTACGGAGATAATAACCATTTGTGGGAATTATTAACGTGGGAGGAGTGCAAGAATCCCGTATTGCCCGACGCGTTATTTAGATCTCGAACAAAGACGTCGCGATCAATGCACCACATGCTATTTCCGGGGTGTACGCTAACTACACTCATGCGATTGCTCCTGGCGGCGCCCTATTGATGCGAAATTAGACGTTTACTATTTGCCAGAGGCATTGCGGGCCCAGCAATTGAGTCATTCCGGCCAACCAAAGAGGGGGGGCTGACGTCTGGTAGAGAGCCGCCTGGGAACTCCAGCTGAGGACAGCTGAAAGCCGTCTTACCTTCAGTCGGACTTGTTCCTACGTGTGTATGCTTCGAATAGCCAGAGCAAAGACCTCAGACGGTTATTCGCCGCAACGCTGCGGCCGACATCACAAAGCTACGGTGAGGGCATGATGTGCTGTCGGCATGTCGGCTCGCCACTAAAGAATTTAGTCGCAGGTCCAGATGCTCGATGCAGGAACCCGCATGTGCCCCCTTTCAATGTGGCCCAGCACGCTCGAGAGCTTTTTTTTGGCCTTCTCCTTTGTTCGCACGGGCGTAATCTTGGGGCGCGGGGGCTCTTCTCGTCACTGTCCAGCGCTGAAACGGGTCATCCAGGAGAGCAGCACGGCTGCAAATTTCGACTCTTCGAAGCTGTGCACCAACGAGACCCATCTCGGTCATTCGCCTCTCCGATATATCCCAGATAATAAACGACGAGGTTCAGCGCTGGTCTGCTGGTTTAGTCGCCCCATGGCTTTCCCCTCCCCATGCTCTCGTTGGACTACAGGATTCTGGGGACTGCAGCTAGAGGCAGTTGTGCATGCTTTCCGCGTGAACAAGTCTTGCACTAATCAAGACCGGCCCAGAAATAGTTATGCTCGCAAGCGACATGTTGAGGAGGCTGCATGGGCCTCTTGGCAGGGGAATGGCAAGGGGGACTAGCTTCTTCATTTCGTTTTTCCACGCCTTGCCCGTTCTGATAGGCCCTCTTGCCTTCCATCAATAAACAACTCATACCGGGCCCAGTCTAAGGTCCCCCGGCCCCGTGTGGGCAATTCCCCTATCCCGTACTATCGCAAGCACGTCCACCAAACGGCGCCATCGGCAAGCCCAGCTCTTGAGATGCTAGCGAGTGGATGCAACATACCAAACCGCCCCTGTTCAAGGACGTTGGCGTCTTGGTAAGGCCGCCTCGTTGTATGCCCTATATAATGTCTTCGCCGGCTGCTCTTCAAATTTTCACTACCACACACACTCACTGTCTTTTAATACACCGGTTATCACCGATTTCACTCGTTTCCAACGACCTCCACCGCTTATACTTAATACAAACGTATCACCATCCAAACCATCAATCAACATGCGCTCCTTCGCCACCATCGCTGCCTTCGCCGGCGCCGCTAACGCCTATGCCGCCTACTACCCGGCTGCCCCCGCTGTCAACACCACCAGTGTAGCAACTCCCGTCTACGAGGCCTCTTCCCAGGTTCCCTACGCCGCGAGCTCCGCCCCTGCGTACACCACCACCAAGGTCGTTACCGGTCTGACCACCGTCTGCCCGGAGCCTACTACCGTCACCTACGGTAAGCTATCCTCTAGAGATTGAGGTTCTCTTGAACATTGAGCTAACTATTCTCGCAGGCTCCAAGACCTACACTGTCTCCACCAGCACCACCCTTGTTGATGACGACTGCGAGTTCACCACCACCTACGAGGTCAAGCCCACTCCTTCCGTCGTCAAGCCCACCGCCGAGAAGCCTACCGCCGAGAAGCCCACTGCTGAGTACTCCGCTCCCCCGGCTCCCACCGCGGTCAAGCCTTACCCATCTGCTGGCAACGGCACCACTCCTTCCTACCCCACTGCCGTCAAGCCCAGCGGCAGCGGCACCAAGCCCTCCACCCCTGAGTTCACTGGCGCCGCCGCCCAGGCTGGTGTCGGCCTCATGGCTGTCATCGGTGCCGTCGCTGCTTTCTTGTAAGCAGTTCGCTCCTGAGCGATTCGACAAAGTTTGGTTTACCATGCTCTGAAGAGTCACTTTTGAGTTTGTAAAAGGGGGATCATGGCTTCACGGTTAATGGCTACGACTTCACATCACGGTACGGTCAAGCATTGGGATGCGAGTCTTCGGTCTTAACCTGCTTCCTTGCGCAATACGTCGCAGCAGCATTTCGATTCATGGACAATTTTGGAATATATTAATACGCTTTGTCGAAAGGGCTACTGTCCAGAGGGGGGAAGTTCGTGTGGTCCGGTGGATTCATGTTCCTTAGATTCTCTGGCTTAGTGAAGAGAATTGGCAAGATAATATACATGATATCCACGCAACCTATATTTTTTCCCACGCTCTCTGTTTGTTATTGATGATATGCACATGGTTTCCACCTTGAGGACTCGGATAGGCTTGCTTTGTTTGTTATGAAGGTGTGCATAGATGTCAGCTGATATGAAACAAATCGAGAATCTAATCCTCAAAAGCTCACAAACAAAAACATACTCTACCGTTATGTTGTGGTCACACGTGTAATCAATCCCAAGGGTCGTTTTCGGTGTTACGCGAGCTTGATTCATTCATTGGGGCATGTTTCAGACCCTGACCAAGGAAATTACCCACCACGCTATTCGTAGCCTGTTATCGGACTTCCAGCGGCCGTCGCCTACAATTGCCTCTAGCGCTTTTTACGTCAGCTTTCAATAGTGCTTGAATCACCTGGGCGCTTGGGCCTTTTAGCACGGCAGCAGCATGCCCGTTAGCTGCCGGATAACGAATGAGCGAAATAACAGTGCGCAAAGAAATAATGTCGCGATTGTGGTGGGCCATTTTACCTTCCTCACGCAGCTGCAACACATCCTCCCGAGAGGTGTATGGGCTGGTCCATCACGCTTTATTTTCGGTATCGACTAGCTCAGTAAAGAGCACTGCAATCACGGAACACGACGCCGCTGACGTTGGTGTACCGAACCGTAAAGCGGGTCCCTATCGCCGTTTGCAGCAAATGTCAAACCGTCAAGCCTAGGCACGTCGCGGTGTCGAATTTGCAGGACTGGTCCTCCTGATCCTTCCTGGCTGTGGCCGCCTATCAGTGTGGCTTCCTGCAGGTGAGCAGTAGGCACTGCAGGATGTGGTACGACGTTAGGGTATGCTGGATTGCGATTTGTTGTGTTGCGCTTTGCTACAAGGTGGATGCCGCCCCAGAATATCTCCCCGGACGACCGACCTGCTAAGATGACTCTGCTATATGCCTGTTAGGCACGCAATCGCTAGGCTTTGCCCCGTTAACTAGACGCCCCGAGGCTGGCGGCTCTGTAGGCAGCCTTCAAACAGTAGTAGAGCTGTGGAGAGGCCAATGTCACGTTAAGGTGCCTCTTAGTACTCTCTACAAGCTCGACTATACTTGCAGATCGATGATAAACCAAGTAAAGCGCTCCCTCGCCTGGCCCACGAAGAGCGGTATGGTGAAGTATTATCCTGGATTCTGAAGCCATTCAAGGGTTGAGCGATACTTACCCGTGCGGTCCGAGGTCACTACGGCCAACGCAGTCTCAAGCCAAGGTCCAACCACCATGAAGTGTGAACGGGCGACGCTGTATACTTTGTAGCTACTGTTCAGATTTGAAGGTGCTATCCTTGAGAGAGCGCTGAGTAAAGCCGACGGTCTAGATCTCATCCATTACGTATTTTAGTAGACATAGAACAAATGGCTCCTTTGGAGCGGTGGAGAGCAAACCAAACCAGTCCTGACGTAGCGGTCTGCTCCAATTCTTGCTTGAACAGGTGGTTCGTTTGTCAAGCAGCCTGTGTGTGGTGTTTATTTGTCAAGCAATCTGTATATAGTATTCGTTAGCAGCCTATATATAGTGTTTATTTATTAAGCAGCCTATGTGTAGTATTCGTTCATTAAGCAGCCTGTGTGTGGTGTTAGTTGACCGGAGCGCATTGCGGAAGCCATATGGGAGCAAACGCTGTCTAAATGGTAGGTAGTCCTTGGAAACTCACTGTTGGGTGAGGTTTGCAAAGGCATTGCATTTAATGACGTGTTTAGGCTAAGGGCAAGTTGAGATATCGCCATACCAGCTCCGCAGAATGAATCAAAAAGCCTTTATCAGGCCAGCCCTGAGGTTCAGGAAAACTAATCAAACAGTCTGGCGGCCGCAATGAGTCCTTCATCTGTGGGTATCACTTTCCCCACCCTCAACGCATGCCCCTTTCTGAAGTGTAGACATCGTTCAGATCCGTAATAACTTCCTCAAACGAACCTCGAAGAATTGTTCCCAGCCAAAGAACCCTATCAGTCAACCAAACCATGTGAAAAACCCCAATCAATAGGTTGTTGAGATGCCTCAGCTCAGATAGAGCGTCAAGTCAACCACAGCACCTTTCCGCACACAACTCTATAGACTCCATCAGTCTTCACTATCGTCGGAAGAGTCGTCGGTGTCATCGGAAGAGCTATTTCTGGACGAGCTATCACTGGATGAGTCGTTCATTGATGCGTCCGCCTCTGATGTGGCATGCCCTTCTTCATTGCCCAAAACCTCCGCAAGTCGATCTGTCGTAATGTGCCCATACTTCTTTAGGGACAAGAAGAACCTCTCGCGATCGACCTGCTCTTCGCCCAATGTAGGACACAAGTATCTTTGTTGAACTTCAATGGCTTCTCCAACAGTCATCTCTTTGGTGCCCTTTGTCGCTTCTTGCTCCATAAGGAGTCCGCACTCTGAGTCATCATCGCTGACATGGTCGCTGGACGCATCGCTCGAGTCTCCGTCGTATTCCTCGCCGTAAACGGTGCGTTTCTTTGGTATGTAGCCTTCAAGTTCCTCTCGGGTATTGAGATCCAAACCGCAGTTGTATGTGAAGACGTTGAGCGCCCTTTCTTCGAAGCTATCCTTGGTGACGTACTTTCCCATTTCCTTTGATACCGTTGAGTAGTCGATATCATCCAATGTTAGGTTTGCTGCATTGTGGTTCAGTGAAGGTGCCGTATGAAGACGAAGACGTTGGAGTTTCTTGGGGTAGACAGGATTCGTGCGCTTCAAGTACGTAGCCCAGACACTTTGTTTGTTGATGGTGTAGGCACATGCCATCCTTCGGCCTTGGAGTTCGAGCTTGCGTCGAAGTTTGATCTGAGGGAGCTTGTTGATGAGACCGTTCGACGATGCTGGCTTGTGAGCCATGGTGAATGAAGAGTTGGGTTCAAAGACACTGTGCAACTCCACGAGCCTCCGAAATCAAGCTGTCGTTCAAACCAAGGAGTTGCTCAGGAGCTCTTCAAATGGAGGAGCGCTTCAAATGAAGGGGCCGTTCAAATGGAGGAGTCGTTCAGGAGCTATCCAAACTAAGGATTTGTTCCAACAGAGGAATCGTTCAGGAGCGGTTCAAACTAAGGATTCGTTCAAACCCAGGAGCTGTTCAAACCAAGGAGTCGTTCGAATGGAGAAGTTGTCTGAAGTAAAGCACGCAGGAGATTGCATGAGCGAAGAGATCCTCGGTTAGACTGGGAGGAGCAAGGTCGGGAGTTCTAGACAAAAGTTGGTGTTGAGGAGAAGGATTTTGGAGCCTTTGAGTTCCAAAAGTGAGCTGTTATAGGAGGAGAACCTGTACCAAGACCAAGAGAGCGATATAAAAAGAAGCTAGTGGCTTGCTAGCGCCATATCGCGCATGCGTAGTTGGCGATAGGAGAGAGAAGAAGACACCTGAAGTAAGAATAATTGGCGCAGAAGCAATAATATCGAGCTTGTACCTCTCTCTTACCTTAAGATAGAACCCATTCGGTAGCACTAGTCAGACAGCTAGGTAAAACACTACCCTTGTGCCTTCTACCAGAGGTATTATTAGCAACATTTTCAGTCAAGCGAGTTTCCTCATCTCTCTCACCTCCTATCTCTTGGAACTAAAACACTTACTATATCACCTCCTGCTTGGAAAGATACTACACTGCAAACTTCGTTCCTGTGACATCATATTCGCTTCAAAATTCTTCCTATCTCCTCTTCTTTATAACACTCCCCTCATAACTTTGTTCGGTTTCAAGACACTTCAACATTGTAAACAATGGATGCCGTGATCCAAGCGGTAAGAAAGCTCTGGTGACGACGCCTTCGTCAAAATTAGAATAATGAATGCTAACTTGAGTTAGATCAACGGATTCAATCTCATCAATGGCAAGGCCAAATTGTCGTTCCTTGGCCGCCGAATGTTCTGTGCGATGACCCGCGCCAACGAATCAGTATGGGCTACATCCGATCCTGGTGGTTTACCATAGGTTCATTTCAATTTCTATTGGCTAGATAAATACACTACTACGAGCAATTGACATTCCGGACCAATTGTTCAGAATTGAAGGTTACGGGCAATATCTCATCTAATTCAAGAGGGTTCCATAGCCTGAGGAAGTCTTTCTAAAAGTGGTTCATCTTGATACGAGAGCTATGTTCAACGCCTGGCATGATACCTTGTCAGACTCTGATAGTTCAATAAGGTCCGACTGACACTCCTCAAGCGAGCTGTCCAGTGAAGACTCTTCTTGTAATGATTTCTCGATCAGATGGTCGACCGAGCCGCCATCGCCCACGTCCCGCGGCCTTATAAAGATATCTTATAACAGTACCTTTGTAAGCAGTAATTTGCTAAGCTGCCTTTTAACACGTTTTTAGGACCCCTCTCGGTGAGTAAGTCCACGTAGTCGTCGGAAAGATCAGACGCTATAGTTGAGTTCGAATGGCGATAATAGACCTCGAATGTCCGTAGCTTTCTCTCGTGATTGTAGGGCAATTATAGAGAAAGGCAGGAGGTAGAACTGCTCCGTACTGTCTGAAAAGACATAGGAAGGACTACTTGCCGCTGCGCATAGATTAAAAATATAGTACAAAATGATGACATGATCACCAAACCCTATCCTCTCACTGCAGGCAGTCTAGTGATCTCTTAACCTCTTTAAAGATAGTTCTATACCACGAATCCATACATCTATACATGGATAACCAGTGCCAAGCCCATATGACTCTTCTCCAAGAACGATATCGTCAACCCATCTACCCCACAATTCCTCAGGCTCTAGCCTTCGCACCCTGATCCAATTTCCCATCGTCCACTCTGAGCGCTGGATTCCTCGAAAAGAACGTCAAAACACTCAGATAAGCATCCATCACTACCTCAGCATCCTGCTCTCCATAGAGCCCTTTCTGCAACTTGACGGTAATCAGAGGATCCTTGCTTGGGTCATCGCTCATCTCAAGCACAATATCGTGCGGCTGGCCTGCTCTCTTTACATTTGCATCCACCATCTTCGCGCCACCAAGCGTCCCGCTCTCCGCTTGTCCTTGTTTGTAATCAAACAGAGCCTGGATAAGCGGCGCGTAAAGCGCATCCTCATCGGCGGGTGGAATACCAAGTGTGGTAAGAATGCTACCGAGCGGCACAGCTGAGTGCAGGAGAGCGTTTCGCATGCTTTCTTTAACGGCTACCAGTGTAGCTCCGAAGGTCTCAGTGCTTTCATATGGAAGACGGAGAGGCAGGTAGTTAGCGAAATAGCCCATGGTAGCTTGTTCGGTAGCGGTGGCACGGTTGGCATCTGCGATACCGATGGTTAGATCCCGTGCTTGGGTAAGTCTGGCGAGCATGACGTGATATGCCGTGAGGTAGAAGTTCAGAGGCGTTGTTTTGTGCTTCCTGGCACGATCTCTGATGCGGACAGCGACCATGGGATTGAGACGTGCGGACGCCTCGTAAAAGGTCCAGGACGGTCGGGCTCGGACGTAGGCACCGGGTAAGTTCATGACTGGAAGAGGGGACGGGAGATACGAATATTGTGATGTCCAGTATGCAAGATCATTCGAAAGCCTCCCTGCTTCTTTATCTGCTAGTTGTCGAGCAGAGTAATCGGCGTAGCTGGGAGCTGGAGGAAGTTGCATACCTTGGTATAGACTACCAACCTCTACGAAAAGGCGCTCGGTTGTCCAGCCGTCGCCGACCAACCTATGGTAGGCCAGGATAAAAAGATGATCAGTAGGTGTCCAGTAGTAGTTAACAATCTTGACAGTGTCACCTTCGGCAACATTGAATTTGTGCACTCGGAGATCGTCAAAGCCTTTTTCAGCAGCGGCCTTGTCTGAAACTTGGATGGCCTCGAAACGAACTCGAGGGGATCTTTGCACTAGTTGAACCGGCTTGCCGTCTTGTTCAGTGAAGCATGTACGGAAGACGTCGTGCCTCTGAAGGGTGGTATTGACGGCCGATTCAAGTCGGCTCATTTCAATGGGCCCTTGCATGTACATGCCGACGACGGAGTTAAAGATTGCGGAATCCAAAGGTAGCTGCATCTCACTCCAAGAGTACTCCTGAATCAGAGAAAGGCTTGTCTGGCGTTCGATTCCAGGCCCACCTTTATCCGGGCTTGGTGCAAGGGAGCTAGACGTGAGGGGAGTGTCTAAAGCTGTGTCTGAGGCGCTACCCGAGTTTAAACCATTGGAACTTGAGTCTTCTGTGATTGCGGGACCCTCTTGAGATATTGCGTCCCAATGCGTGAGCGGGATAGCAGCGGGTGAAAGTCGTTCTATCACCTCCTCCACAAGGTCTGTCACGGATGCACCACCCAGAATCTTCAACAGTGGGATGTCGATATCTAGATTTTTCGAAAACCTAACAAGCAATCAGCCACATTTAACAAAGTCCGCATAGTGACAACTTACCATGCGCCAATGGTCACTGCACTTAGAGAATCGACGCCTTCGTCAATGAGCGGCGTAGTAATGCTAATAGGATCATCGGCAGCCACCTGAAGAGCTACGCGAATCTTCCCAGAGACACCATCTGTGCTCGAGTTAACGATGGCTCAGTGAATGTATTGAGCAACAACGTACCAGTGATAATCTGCCGAACCTCTTCTATTGTCACTGCTTTGAGTAGCTGATCCTTGACAGATCCCACCGACGAAGTCGCATCACCTCCCCGACCTTTACCATCCGGGAGCTTAAAGTACGCCAAGCGTGGATCATCGTAGTACGGTATTTGGTCCTTGTGTGCAGGGTCAAACACCGGCATACCTGTTATAATTTCAACCGCATCAGGGCCGTTTGCTCGGTCCGAGACGACGGCCTCAGCAAACAGCGCCTGAAGCTCCCACTCGTTAACGGCATCGAACATGAATCTGACGACATCATACTCTTCCTCACGCCCAGCACGCGCAACAAATCCAACACCGTAAACAGCGCCAATGTCGATCGTGGATCCTGCCAGGCCACGCGAGCGACGAGACTGGGCGAGGGCCATGGTGTATGCATTGGCAGCGCTGTATGCAGCCTGACCGGGGTTACCTGAAACCATGACGAATGAGGAGAACATGACGAAGAAGTCGAGAGGATTAGCAGGATCTGATAGACGCTCATCCAAGAGACGAGCGCCGTTAACCTTTGGCTCCAACACCATCTCCATCATGTCGAGATCCATGTTCTTGAACATAACATCTTGTAGGATGAGTGGGCCAAATGCGACACCAGCGATTGGAGGCTTCGATTCGCGGATTTTCGCCAAACCCGCATCGAGCGAATCTGCCTGTGCAACATTCCTAGAAGGCGTCAGCTTGGAATTCGTACAGAAGAGAGTAAAGTCTCACATCGGCAATATCATCACATCACCTCCTATGTTAATCATATCGTCAATCCAGCGCTGGTCAGTAGTAGGATGACGGCTAGATAATACGACATGCTTTGCGCCATGCATAATCATGAAGCGACAGATTGAGCGTCCAAGATCGCCAGCCAGACCTACAAGGAGATACGTCTTGTCGTCGGAGAAGAGCTTGCCGTCACCAACAGAAGTAATTCGGGCAGGGACCATGTCCTCTGCCTTCCACTGAATTACCGTAGCGGCTGAAATAACAGCGCTTGTAATTTGGCTGGCCTGGACAACAGCTGAATCCTGAACGGTTCCCGCTTCGCTTGCTGTGCGCTTTGCCTGCTCCAGTATGGACACTGCGCGATTACTGTGATCGTGGGAAAGGACAGCACCAATCTCTTGGATGAGATGGTGGATGTTATGTCTGGAACAGCTAGGAGGGAGCACACTAGCCAACCGATTTCCCAGGCTAGTCGAGTTGTCATTGTCAGTCAAGCTGTAAAACGCTGAGAGGCCCGTTGGAAGCTTGCTCTTCAACCCATGCTGTGTCTCCTTCTCGTGTAATCTTATCCAGTGCTTAGGTTGAGCTCCAGAAGGCGGATTTGCTGAAGCAAGTGTAATTTTCGCCCCCAATGTCTCCGCCAGGCGAACAATTGCTTCAATACAAAATTTGGGAGGTTCGAAGATGAGCATAGAAGTTCCGGGGATTGCCTTCGAGAGTAGTGACTGTGCCAATATGTCTGCAGCAATGGACTGAAGGATACATACATCCGCGTCGAGTTGAGCGTCCAAAGTATAGATATAATCGGATGAAACCTCGACTGATGACACATTGGTTTCCGAAAGTGCTAATACGCTACGTCCTGATTGGGCGAGGGTTCCTTGGACAATGTGGAAATAGCCTAGATCACCAACACGGAAAGCGTTTGCAGTCGTGTATTGAGCCCAAATCTTAGCTTTCGCTGTCGTTGAGACACAAGGAGGAGAGAATTCGTTGACAACCTCGACATAAGCATGCCGCCCATCTTTCTCAACTCTCAGCGCTTTTTCGGTCGGGTCGAATTCGCCAAGGATAGGCCGACGGGTGGCGTTGAGGCGATCGTTTCTCACATCGTCCGGCCTTAGGCGCTGGACAGCTGCACGCGAGCCCGTGAAATAGAGCTCTGGCTCTGGAGTCCATAGAACACCTTGTTCCTCCCAGTTGAACGAATATTCTAGCCGCAAGAGATGCTCCACCAGTTGCTTCGGGTCAATACTCGCAGCGACATCATAGTCTACTACCTGGATCTGGACGTCGGCATGTTCCAATCGTAGAGTACGAAGAAGGCCAATGATTTGGCCCTGGCGCGGGTTGTTTCGCCACGCGCTCTCCGTTATCCACATAACGTGTTTCGCGTAATAGAAAATCGTTTGCGCCGCCTCGAACTTGACTTCATTCAGCCCAGCAAAGAACTCCTCGTCGAGCTCAGATAGCACCAGGAATGTGGACTTGGGACTACACTGGAAGTCGATCAGATCGGTCAGCTTTTCGAGGACGTCCACTTGTCGTTCTGGTAGATGAGTCTTGAGCTGTTCTATCATAGTCGAAGTCCCAGACGATTCTCCGCCGATGATGACAAGGGGAGCGAGTGGCTCACTTGGAGGCTCTACCAGCGGTTGTGTAAGTTTCAGCATTGACTCGTTGATAGCAATGGTGCTAAAGACAGAGTTCGGGGACACGTGACTGTCTCGATCAAGGGTCCTAGATTCGATTCCAGAAAAGCCAGTGCGTTTCATCACCTCGTCCCACTTGTCATAGGAAACAAAAGGCTCAAGAACACGGCCTTCATCAACACCGGCCCACCAGTCGGCGAACAGACCGAAAATGAAGCCGATGCGGGAGTGCTCTCTGTGAGTCACTTCGATGATTACAAGCTGACCACCCGGTTTGAGTAGCGCCCTCACGTTGGCCATGGTCTCATCCAAGCTGGGAGTGGCATGTAGCACATTCGATGCGATGATCAGATCGTAAAAGTTCGGAGTAAATTCCTGATCCTTGGGGTCTCGTCTGATATCGAGCGGGCGAAAGTCCATTAGATCTTGGTGTTCAGCAAATTCTTCAGCAGCCTTTTCGAAAAAGGCGTTTGATATATCTGTGAAGGTGTAGCTGTTGAAAGAAGGCGGGGTACCATTCTTCAACACATATCTTGTCGCACCACCTGTACCTCCCCCGATCTCGAGAATGTTCATGTTCTGGTGACGATGGGAGATCTGATGGATCAGCTTCTGGAAGTACTTGTACGCATTACCGTAACTCTTTGGTGAGCCGTAGAATTCGGTGAGCAGGCCATCGTGATCCATCATATCAAACGGGTTGCCACCATCGCGAACAATCTCAAGGATATTTTCACCAACCCTTTGGAGTAGACGAATATGCGGATGGTATGCGTACCTGATTATATGGTTAGCTTTTGTCAAATGGTCGTTGAATCACTCACTGTTCAATCAAGCTATGGATCTCAGCTTCCGTGTCGAATTCCCAGGCTGACACGTAGCAGGGAAGCCTACCAGACTTCGACTCGGCCACAATATGCTCGCACCACTCAATCTGCTTCTGATAGTGAAATGCAGCTTCATCGCGATCTTCCACAGTCAGGCCGGCAAGGAAGCTTCTGATGTAAAAGTATGTGACGCGCTCCATCACAACCACCTCCTTCTCCTCTTCTTTAGTAGACCAGTATTGCGGGTCGTCGAGTACTTTGTCCGGATTTAGAGGTCCCCACTCCCATTTCGAGTACATTTTGCGGTCATCAGCAGCTGTTGGTGGAGAGAACGGCTTGAAGCTTAGGCCCTCGACCTGGAGAATGGTAGACCTTGAAGTTGGTTCAAAGATCTCAATGTTGCCTCCAATGCTATTCTTTACAGCATCCAGGCTGGTGGAGTTGAATCCGACCACAGCTGGTGCCTTTCTAGCAAGGTTGGGGTTCAGAGCAATGCGATCGATCTGTGTGGGAACGAGAAGTGACCTGAGACGGCGATCTCCAGGGGCAGAGTATGCTCCAATAAAGGTTTGGAAGGCGACGTCGAGAGTCGCGGGATGTAGTACCAGGCGATGGCTACCATCTTCCAATTGTGGAAAGTTCACATCGCCCATAGCTTTGCTGTCGGCGCGTTTCATAGACGTCAGGCCACGGAACTGCTTGGTGTAGCCGTATCCAATCTCTTCCAGGACCCTGTAGAACCTATCAATGCCGATCTTGCTCATGTGCGGCGGTTCATCTTGAGCCTTTGGAAGTGCATCATTTGAAGCAGTCCCATATGTCACTACAATTTCTCCCGAGGCAGAGCTAGTGAGTCCATTTTCTCTAGCCAGACAAGAGTCGATCGTGAACTCGTAAGTAGCGTGGGTGAGACCAGACGCTTTGGCGTTGAGGGTCAAGTTAAGTTCGACCAAGCTGTCTTCATCTTCAAAGGTCACGGCCTTGTCGATGCTGAGCCGAAGGCATTCTAGAAGCTCGATTTCACGGTTGCCTGATGCGTGCATTGCCGCCTCGAAACCCATCACGACGTAACCGGCACCAGGAAACACTGTTTGACCTTGGAGCGCATGTCCATCGAGCCAGTCAAAGTCTCTGACCCGGAGGAAACTGTGCCATTGTGCGTTGGTCGCCGTGCTTTGAGCAGAGAGCTTACCAAGAAGTAGATGCGGCGCAGTTGAGCCATGGAGGAAGGATTGCGTAACTCGGGACTCTTTTCGGTATGATCGACTGTGGTCCCACGTGTACGTTGGGATCATCTTTGACAAATCAATAATGTTGGCGTCAAGTGATAGCTTGTCGTAAAGGCTGCTGAGGTTGATGCTAGCCGAGCCAAAGTGTTCCCAGACGTAGCGAAGGCATGAGGTGAACGAGTCAACGTTGTCTTTTCCACGCTCCATACATCCAGTATAAGGAATGCTAGAAGAGTAACAATTCTCGATGGTGTCCAAGCAGGGGGTCTTCAAAGCAGGATGACAGCCTACTTCGATTCCTAAGTCAAGCGGTGCGTGCTTAATCATGGTTTGCTCCACTGCTTGAGAGAACAGGACAGGAGAGACTAGGTTGTCTTTCCAATATTCTGCTTTACAGTCTTTGGGTGTCATTACCCTTCCATCATACACAGAAGAGATCCATGTAGAGGTTGGTGGGCCGTCTGCTTCCGGGATGTCGCAACCACACTGCTTCAGTACGTCAACGTAGGGTGCAGCACAAGGCTGCATGTGATGCGAATGATATGCCTTGTCGACCTTAAGAACACGTGCGAACTTAGACTCGTCCTCAAGGATTTCGCGAGCTTCTTCAATGGCGTCTTTGTCACCAGACACCGTGCAACTCTCTGGACCGTTACTCGCGGCGACAGAGATTCGGCCTTCAAACATCTCCAGGGCGCACAGAGCCTCCGCATCCTCCATAGATGTACCAACTGCCATCATAGCGCCTTCTGTGCCATTTGGAGACGCTGCCAGTTTTGACGTCAAACCTCGGAGGTAGGCAATGCGGATGGCCTGGGATGCTGTAACGAAGTTGGCAGCATAGGCGCATGCAATCTCGCCTGAGCTGTGGCCAACAACAGCCTTAAACTCGAGACCTGCAGCTTTCAGAAGCTGAACGAGTATGATCTGCACAGCGCAGCATAAAGGCTGAGAGAAAGTGGCGTTTGCCACGTTCGATTCGGTTCCCTCGAGAGATAGCTGCTCTTGTAAAGTCCACTTTGGCCTGTATTCCTCCGGCAAAGTCTTCAGGGATTCGTCCAGACTCTCGGCGATAACTTTTGCAAGAGGAACCGAGTCAATAAGGAGCTTGCCCATGGCCGGCCACTGAGCGCCCTGTCCAGTGAAAATGCCCATTACGGAAGGCTTTTTGTTTAATCCAGAGGAGACTGCTAGACCCTCCTTTTTCTCGATCAAGGAAATCTCCCTTTCAAGAGCAGCGACTACTGTAGGAATAGTCTTGCCAACAATAGCGCGGCGAGTGCCAAGGTCTGAACGCTTCTTCAGGTAAGTCCACACTAGGTCCTTCATTTGAATATCAGGCTCAGTCTGAAGGTACTTCAGCAGACTCTGCATATTTGCTTTGAGAGACTGCTCATTGCCTGCAGAAAGCGTAAGAGGTGCGAGACAAGGACTAGAGGTTTCGATAGGGGCGGTCTGTTCGATGCCCTCGAAGCTCTCCACAATCACGTGGGCGTTCGTACCACCAAAACCTAGGTTTGGTCAACTCATGCATTTTCCGTGGAACTTATGGGACTCTTACCGAAAGAGTTTACACTCACGCGGCGTGGTGCACCATGTGGAATCGAAGGCCAAGCCCGGGCGGTCGTGACGATTTCAAGGTCGTCATAGAACTGCGCAACTCTCGGGGCGAGTTGATTGAACAATAGGTTAGGGGGTAGAATCCCATGCTTCATGGCCAAGGAAGCCTTCATGAGACCAGCTATTCCAGCGGTCCCTTCAGTATGACCGATGACAGTTTTCACACTGCCTACATACATCGGTTCCTCATCGGCACCGCGTGGAGTATCTCCAAAGAATGCCGAGGATATTGCTTCAGCCTCCTGGGGATCCCCAGCGGGAGTTCCAGTACCTGCATAGGCCTGTGTAAGCGATCAAGCTCTTGCATAAACAATCTGAAAGTTATGTGTACACATACCATGAGCCTCGAAGAACTGGCAGCGATTCTCAGGCTTGCTCAGGTCGAGACCTGCCTTCGCGTATGTTTCGCGAATCAAGTCTTTCTGCGCCTTGTGGTTGGGCATCGTGATACCAGGTGTTCTACCATCTTGGTTCACACCGGTTTCACGGATGATGCACTCAATGCTATCACCGTCAGCCAAGGCTTGACTAAGTGTTTTCAGCACAATTGCAGCAACACCTTCCTAATCTACAGTCAGTTTCTCGTCATGTCAACGGCAGACTAGAACCCTTACGCCTCTCGCATAGCCATCCGCATCCGCATCCCACATACGAGACCGCCCAGTGGGCGAAAGCATGTTCAGTTTGCTTTCCACTACAAACGGCACTGTCCAAACGTCAGCTGCCATGCATATTTACACGTGAACGAGACTGATATACATGGACCCAAAATTAAGTTAGCCCCTGCAGCGACAGCCACTTTGCTCGAACCCTCTCGAAGCTGTTGCACGGCATGATGCAAAGCTACAAGCGATGAACTACATGCCGTATCGATCGTCATCTACGTGATAGATTAGCATAGTCGAGATAGAGAACTTCAACGGTAGCTTACACTCGGCCCATGCCAATCAAAGAAGTATGATACTCTGTTGGATAGAATAGCCGCAGAGGTACCCGTCGCACCATATGTGGGAATGGCATCGAGATCGTAATTCGTGATGTCGGCGAAATCATGCTGCATCATACCAACATAGACAGCAGTGGATGAGCCCTGGAGATCCTCGAGACGGAGACCAGCCGAGGAAATTCCCTCGTATACAGTCTCGAGGAGAAGACGATGTTGTGGGTCAATGGCATTGGCCTCATGTGCGTGGATGTTGAAGAAAGACGCATCGAAGGCGTAGGGGTCCTCTTCTAACAGGTAGGCATGCCTTGCATTACCTTTGCCGTGATATGAACCATCTGGGTTGTAAAAGGCATCGATGGCGAAACGGTCCACTTTGCTCTGCACGTCTCGTGGTTCTTTGAGGAGCTTCCACAGCTTAGATGGGCTGCTAGCACCGCCTGGAAAGCGGCAACCGCTACCAACGACTGCGATTGGCTCGTTGGTCTTCATTTTGTGATATGATTTGTGGCCACAGTGTTTAACAGTGTCACAGAATAAATGATGATGTTGAAGGGAGAGAATAGGTTGGCAGGACAGGAATACTAGCATGTGCCATCAACTTCATGGCATCATACTAATACCAAGTATTACCACAGTCAGATCAACCCACTTCTGAAATTGACCATGTCTTACTTGCAATTCAGAATGCATCGTCAAGGCCGACTGTGCTGAGTGTGCTTGGCTTGGCCGAATGAGAGCATCATACGCCGCTAACAAAACTGCGACCTGCAGATCTTCGTGGACGCTGGTTGCAACCACCGAAAGCCCTATGATAATCGGCATCCAGGAGACTTGTGTCATGTTTGATGCAGCTTCTCCGGCGAAGTGGTCAGCAATGGTTCGGCGTTCTGCACGTGCTACATGCGCCGAAGCTTGGCTCGTGTATGTGATGGCAGGCGCTAGATACCTAGGTAGGGTGCTAGTGTGATAGGGAAGACCGAGCCGCGGGCGGCAAGATCGCTTTAGCGACGACATAAGGTGTTTGTTGCGAGTATGTAGGGCGTGGATGACATTTAGGCTTCCCTCATGTCAGCGCTAGAGGATCGGTCCGGTCGCTGTCGCTAGGATCGGTCCGACCCCGACGCCTCGAGTCAAAGCTCACGCACTCGTCGTGCTCACTCGCGAGTTGAAAAACTGCATACTTTCATGAAGCGCATACAGAGATGGAGTAAGCTTATTCTTATAGCATTATTCACTCCGTAGGTCAATATAATACAGAGTTAGGAGTCATTATAGTATTGCTTAGAATACAGGGAGGGGAATAGTACCATAATAAAGAAGATTGTCATGGATGGGCATTGTTACAATATTGTTTGATTGTATCTTATATCCCGTGCTGAGCTTCGAGACTTTTCGTGTCTAGGAACCATAGGGGCTTCTGTCAGTTATCATTTTTAAAGTTGAACACGTTCGAGTCTGAGGTACGTCGTTGTGCACCTCAACGCCTGCTCCTTGAACGACTTGAGGAAGCACACCTTCGTTTTTTCTTCCCATTCCGCCATAATCGTATTAACCTTGTTTTGGTCTAATCCATCGCCTTGCAAAGCTTTCTGGAAGTGACCTGCCGAAATTGCCATGCCCCAGTCCACTGCGACCCCAGCATACCACACATAGTCTTCCTCCTTCAAGCTGCGTCGACTACGCCGAAGTGCCATCTCTTCAGTGGCTGGGTGCGTGACCCACTCGTCAAAATGCTCGCGCACGATCCAGGATGACCCCATATCAGCTAGGACAGATTTGGTGGCTTCGGCCGTGCGACTGTAGACAGGGATGTGAAATGACGAAGCAGCGTCCCGTGAAACCTTGCCCTCCTGCACCATTTCAGCCGTAGCATCGCGGAGAGATGATACGATGCCCACAACATTCGGCTCGCCAGATTGAGCTTGACCCGTGAATGTCAGCACGAGAGATCCACCAGGGAGAATCTCCGTGGCACGAAGTGTAAGGAAGTTTCGCAGGTCAATGTCTGCTTGCTCCTTGAACGGAATCTGTTTCAAGGCGTCGCTAAGAAACTCGCCGTGGGATTGTTGTGGCGGAGCAGCTGCGCGGTCGAGGTGCTGGAGACAGTACAAGGAGAAACCAAAGTGCGCTGAGCTGGGCTTCACGACGGAACTGTAAAAGCTTGCGGGCACCATGGAAAGGAAGACATCTGCTCCTGATTTCGACATGAGCAGTTGTTGTAGCTTTGTGATATGGCCGGCAACCACCGAAAAGTCGTTCTCAGGACGGTCGTTGAAAATGAGATTTGCATATGCATGGCTCTCCAGGCTCTCCATGATTGCCACGAAAGGCTCCAATCTATAGTCCAGCGAGATGGTCAGTTTGTGATAAATCCAGAGATTTGGGGACAATTTAATGAATGTACGTACGAGTTGTTTCCATCTGAACAACCGTACTCAACAATTGTAAAGCCATCGCTGATGAGACTGAGATTTTTCGCTGATGTTTGTATGATAGCTCGTTTGATCAACGGCAGAGCTTTCTTCATGGCCTCATATTGCAGCCCTGAGTTTGCAGAGTAGAATCCACCTCCTTGCATGGGTACGTTATGGGCCATGGTAGCTTATTTAACTTGCGTTGTGTGGTTGCTAAGGTCGTTAGGCGAGAGCTTTAGATAAGCAAGTCGTGAAGGTATAGGGCAATGAGAGGTTGTCGTGTACACCAGCTGACCGAACCGATTTGAAGTCAAGATCTGATGACTAGGGCAAAGTTATCTTCTGATTGTAATTCTAGATGTCTATCGAACACAAATTAGGGTTGGATATGAGTATGTCATCTTATGAATGGCACTACTGCGTGGCAGCGAGCTCGGACAATCTGGCACGGCACCGTTCAAACGCTGCCAAAGTTGCTCCTTCATCTTCTTCCCAGAGCAGGGCCACAAATCTAGAGGGCAGAGTTGCCGTAACGCTTTGCGTCGGCGTAATTCGGTGTTGCTACGTTGATTAGTCTATCTGCAAGGTTTGGGTAACAAGTGCAGAACTAGTGCTTACTGTTGCGCGTTCACCTCTCACCCCTTTCTTGGGTTGCACGCCCAGGAGATCCTCAATCTCAACCAGGAGCTTGATGCTGGTACTGATCGTCAGGCTGGCACAGTTCAGAGAGTAGCCTATCGGATCAAGATGGGAATAGAGACCGTCGAAATCAAGGTCTCGGCGCAATGTACCTAAATTGTCGCTGCTTCGTCCGTGCCTACCTTCCTGCAATGGCGGATAGACTGGCTCGGCTGTAAACGGCCTCTCAGGTGACGTGTAACTCATCCTTGTAAGAGAATTAAGGTGGTGGAGCCATCTCGTTGAAAGAGAGACTATGATTCGGACGCCAGACACATAGCATTGAGCAGCTATAAGCGCGCTTTTCTGTCGGAAAGAGTCATCGACACTCTGTTCTTGCGGGCTCTGCCTTAGGGATGAGTCCTGTTCTAGAACACCCGAAAGCTGCTTGAATATCGTGAAGACTTCACCTATGGGGTCTACCCCCTTTGGTCAGCTTTTGTGGTTATATCTGGAGAGTAACTGCGCAACACTTACACTTGTGGATATCTTGGCCGGAACACACCACGGCCACTTTCCTGGAAATGTTCTTTAGACGATACGCTATAGCTGGTAACTGCTCTAGAGCGTCATCAAGCTGACCTGCGGGAAGACCACCCGCAGGCGTCTCTACCAAAGCATGGGCTAGGTTTGAGTATCCGGATGAATCGTGAAGTGGCGGGGTCTCGAAGCCGTGCAACATGATGGAGGAGTTTCTGGGTGACTGTTGTGAAGAGTGGTAACTGTCTGGCGTTGTGAAACCATAGTGGTTCCCAGCAGAGGATAGGAGACCATGGAAGTCTACGTCGGAGAATTGTAGTTCGTTTTCTGTTCCATCTAGAAGTGGAGCCATTCCAGTAGAGTCCGGGGTCCGCATGCCCTGATTGTCTCCGTCTTGAAGGCTTGGGGCGGTCTTCTTGGAGGCCCTTGTGCTGTAGACGCAGTCTAGACCGGCCCTCGCGCACCGCTCACACTTGGCCAGGAAGTCTTTGCTGCCACTACACTTTAGTTTCTGTGCGTGGCATCTATCGCAAGAGCGACGTAACGCTTTGCCCCCTGTCGAGGGTCTACTTGTAGTGCGCCTATGACCGGGTTGTGAGGAATTTTCTGCGGCCCATAAAGGTGCCTCGGTGATGGGAGGCAGGGTGTAATCGTAGTTCATGTCGGTGGTGTGTGACAGGGAGATTTTCGGGGTACTTTTGAGCTTATAAGGCTGCGACTAATGTAGCGACGTAATTGGAAAGCCGATTTGACGGGAAAAGGCTTGGAAGACTTAGGTTTTAAGCTCTACGCTTAGCTTGCAGTACTTGAAGAAGGATTCATAATATTAGGTATAGAACTCTACATACACTATCTAAAAGTTATGTTAAATATGTTTAACTCTTGCTAACTTAACTTGACTTAACCTCGTTTTATATAAGCCTATCTGGCATTGAAAAAGCGAGTATGTGGCACGATAAAACCGGGCATGACTACATAATCTGACACACTCCTGTATGTCGCATCCTTACGTGATATTGCTAGGGTGTAATCCTCGATCGCCGGGGCCAAGTCCAAATTTCCGGGCCGTAGATACGAGAAATTGTGATGGCGTTCGAACCTAGCTCTTCTATTCCTTGGGATGAGAGATCAGCCCGTTCTCTTTGTGGACTCGGGTCCCCTCGAGCCACTCGTGTGTAAGTGTGTAGTAATGTCATCACCATCGTACACCATACATTAATTGGCCTGTTAAACGAGCAGGTGATAGGTCTTGCAATAGCATCTAAAAGTATAGTATGTCATAGAATAGACATCTCTTTGTTTCTCAGGATTGAATTTGTCGGATGGGCCTTGTCGTGGATGTTTTTAATAGAAGCAATGCGGTGCAGTACTGTTCAACAGGTTAGACTTTGGTGATACTAAGCACGCAGATTTAGCAAAGTTAGAATAAGCGAAAGAATATTAAGCCAGCGAGTACAGTGGCGGAAATAATTCCGTTATATTCGTGACGTTGTGAAACCATTGCAGAATTTCAATGTTGTGTACAGGCGGACCCCGTACTCATCTAATCACAGCAGTTTCCCTCGCCAGCTTTAATACCCCGTTTGCAACATTCACACAATCTTCCTTCCTCACAGGACATACATGTCCCATTTCGCACATCACCGTTGCAGTGTCTTTGGCCTCGTAATGGTACTTGATCAACTTCCTTGCTCTTTGCAGACAAAAATCCTTGGAGCCATGCACGTGTAATGTAGGCGTCTTCAAAAGAGCTCTCTCCTCTTCCAAAGCGCCTCGTGCAGCCGCATCAGCCTTTAAATAAAGCGCCGCCTCGTCCGGGAAAAAGCAGCAGATTAGCACTGCGAACCGCAATTTTGGTAACCAAGGAACCAATCCATGCTGCTGCTGCCACAACATCATCGTAGCCGCAAGTGCACCTTCGGAGAAACCCATGATAGCCATAATTTCTGCATCTGGATCCTGTTGCATGCTCTTCCAGTCATCAACTGCCGAGCGAACGGCATACGTGATGTCAACCAGGCTGTGCTCAACACTATCTCCCTTGGCACCGAACCAGCCATAAAACGCGGAGAGGTGTGAAAACAGCGGCAGTACGCCTGGTCCAGGTGCGGCGGGCAGCGGACCATTGACGAAAATGAACTGGAAGTCATTGCGTAGGTGGAAGCGAAGCTTCGAGACCTGGACGCGGAAAATGTCGGCAGAACAGCCGGTCCCATGTAAGCAGAGAATGGCTTTAGACGGTGGTTTGGAGGGGGATGATGTGACGTGTGTAGGCATATTAGATTGCGGATCGGGAAGCTAGGTGGGCTTCTACTGGGAGTTGTTTTGGCTACCAAGATGGTGAATTGATGTTCGGGAGATTTTATACGCTGATGCACTAGTGTTAGGCGTTGAGATTTTTCTTCGACTGTTTCGCGAAAGAGAGAGTAGAGCAATGTAGGCAGGGTCCAGCGCAATGGGAAGCACGACGCGGAGCTTATTGACGGAGATGGCAGGGATTTGACATCCAAAGCTGTTCGCTTTATCGTCTGTATTTTGGGGGCCCATTCTCCTGTTCCGGTCAATGCTTATCAGGGATCAGCAGGGTCTGGAACATGCATCTCGACGAAACATTACCAAAAATTTCCAGGATGCGGTGTAATACTTACTTCGTTAGGAAGGTAACGCCGCAAAGCCCCTTGGGTATCAGCTCAACTGCAGCTGTAGAACCTACGCTAGCGATCGATTGTATAACTGCAGCTAAATCCTTCGCGTAGTCGACAGCGCCGAAAATCGCCGAGTCCCTGCAGTCAAACAGGCAGCATCGAGCAAACTTGGATGACGAGGATCGAAACTGACGGTCGGCACTGGCAGTTTTTGAAAGCTCGGACATCGATGTGAATCAGTGTCGTAAGGTAAGACGGTTGGTAGTGAAGCAGTGAAATTGCTGCCTGTTTGGCTCTTAAGTCTCATCAGACGAACTTTTTGGAGCAAGAGACTGCTACAGCTACACATTTATCGCCTGCCTGAACCCTGAAAAAACAACTCTACACTACAATAATGACCGTTACTGGAACCTTCTCGCCACCACGTACGCAATGTGCAGTGGTGGTGAACGACGAGGACAAAGCCATCGTATGGAATGGAGCCCCCTGCCCAGCTCTCAAACCAGAGGAGTTTTACATCCGTACAGAAGCAGTAGGTGTAAATCCCAGTGACACCAAAATGCGTGGCAGTTTCGTGACTCCATTTGGCATCCTTGGCACCGACTATTCAGGCACCGTCGTTGCGGTGGGAGACGATGTCAAAGATGTTGCAGTCGGAGATCGGATATGTGGCGCACAGCACGCCATGAACGCTAACACACCCGAGCGTGGTTCTTTCCGCCAGTACAATGTGTCGGCCGGGAAGATTTGGTTGAAGCTGCCCCAGTCTATCAGTACTGAGGCTGGAGCAACGTTCGGCGCAGGCATCAGCACCGCTGGCCTGGCCCTAAAGCTACTTGGTCTTCCGTTGCCGGATGCACCGGTGGAGAAGCCGGTTCAGGTCCTTATTTATGGTGGAAGTACCGCAACTGGTACCATTGCAATCCAGCTCCTGAAACTGTATGGCCTCTTAGTCCTCTAACGTTTCTTGATGTGCAAATGCTAACCAGTAGCACCAGTGCTAATCTAATCCCTATTGCGACCTGCTCGCCGAGGAATTTCGAGCTTGTCAGATCTTATGGGGCTGCAGAATGTTTCGACTATCGTGAGAAGGATTGCGCCCAGAAGATTGTAAGTCTCGCTCTAACCTGATGATGCTGCTTGTTGGAGTTCCTTGCTGACTAGACTATCATCGTGTAGCGGGAATTTACCAAGTCAAATCTGCGGTACACGCTTGACTGCATCACGACCGTTGAATCAACAGCATTCTGCTTTGCCGCAATGGGGCGTGGGGGCGGAAAATACGTATCTCTGGATCCTTTTGCATCCCATGCAGCCACAAGAAAGACGGTGAAGACCGACTGGGTGCTTGGGCCCTCTATCTTTGGTGATGGATCCACTTGGCCAGCTCCTTACGGACGGCCACCAAGTGCAGAAGTGCGCGAGTTTGGCCAAAGACTCTGGGCTGTTGCTCAGCAGTTGGTGGATGAAGGAAAGCTGAAGCATCATCCGTTACGTGTGCTGGAAGGCGGCCTGGAAACAGTATTGGATGGGATGGATTTGGTCAAAAGTGGTACCCTATCTGGCGAAAAGGTGGTTGTGCGACTTAGATATTAGCGACTTATAATCTCCATGAGACCTTTCGCCATATTGGGACGTCAGGTTCGCGAAGTTGTTAGCTCTAGGTGCTTGTCAACAAGTTTGCACTATATTCCGCGCGATCTGTACACGTTGCAAGGCAGGCATCTGGCGGGTGAGGGGCAAAATAAGATCTTTCATTACGACCCATGTTCTATTTTTAAAGACGTTACCCAAATCTCCCCAAGGGACCAGGGTCCTATGAAGTTTTGTCGGCGTCCAACAACGCATCTACATTAGCGCTGTCCCGGTACGAGAAGCGGACATTGATGCTTTGCTGCTTTGTGAGCAGCGTCTCGGTGAAACGCAAGCTTGCTGAAGGGTCAACAAGAGAGATCTATGTCCACTGTCAGCAGGAAGCTCGTGTCCGGCTCCTGAGCACTAGACTTGACGCGAGCGTCGTCGTACAGCATGCTCTGTTGCTGTGGAAGATAATGCGCTCGGTAGAAAGAGAAGAAGAGCGGCGAGAGCTTACATCGAAGAGCGAGTAGAGCGTAGCCACGAGCTTGTAGATCTCGGCAAGGGCGATGTTCTTGCCAAGGCAGGAACGGTTGCCTGCGCCCCACGCTAAATCTGTGGCGTTCATGGCTTTCAGTCGCTTGGCATATTCGGCACTCGGCTCCTCCGCCTCCTGCAGCCATCGCGACGGTCTGAACTCTTTGGCGTCGCTCCCAAACGCTTCTTCGTCAAAGTGCGTCACCCATGGCGAGATGCCCACGATGGTTCCAGGTGGCAGAATGCGTCCATCCGGGAGCTTCAGCCCGCTCCCTGCTGGCACCACCCGTCTCGAGAGGAACGCCATGATGGGGTGGATGCGAAGCGACTCTTTCACGACAGCATTCAAGAATGGAAGACCCTGTACCGCCGCGTATGCAGGCGGTAGGGAAAGCTTGGCAGCCTCCAGCTCTTCCTGCAGTTTTGTCGCAACCGCAACGTGTTGGCCAAGTTGGTAAACGAGCGTACCGAGAACAATGGCCACCGTATCAGCCCCAGCTAGAAGCGGCAGAACAACGTAGCCATTCAGCACGAGGTCATTCACCACCTGCGGAGAGGCCTTTTGCGACTCCAAGAACTGCGACAGCAGGTCGTATCGGCTTGGATCTGGAGCACCTTGAGTCATTCGTTTGTCGATGAGGCCTCGTGCCCTGCGTTGGAAAGCTGCCATCCGCTTCTTAAACAGTCCGACGATCGGACTTCTGCGCACTAGCGAATGGATCCAAGGCATAGTAAACACCTGTCAGTTATCAGTCAGTGCATTCTCTGCATTCTCTGCAATCGCTTCAATGCACTCTGCATACCATAGCTCGGTACCTTAGCACGGCATCAACCCCCGAGAAGATACCCTCCCGATCACCTCCCGCCTCAATAAACCCAAAATCGGAAGAAAGGGTCAGTTTCATTACAGCATCATATGCGACTAAATGGAGTCAATGCTAGGCCTAATGACCAATAGAATGGCTTACAATAGTGCATCCACGAATGGATCGGCACCGACTTCCCTTCATCTCCCCTTACAGTAAAATCTTGGTCGAGCTTCTTGATAAATTGGACGATGGTAGTATCAATGAAAGGCTCCTGTTTTATAACATTCGACATGGAGTAGACCCCGGCCACGGGTCTTTTCAGCATTCCGTGCTTGGAAGTTTCCTGGGCGTACAAAACAGAAGGAACAAGTTTTCCGTTGAATTCGTTTTCCCAGACGCTCCAATGGTGGCTCTACGTGTAGGACATGGTCAGCGACTTTTTCCGATACCCACAGTACAATAATCTAACCTTGGGCAAAGGATTGCGGATACCATAGATCAAGGGGATCATCGCGGGATCTGAGATGCTGACAGTCCTTGGACCGATTTGGACTACTTTGCCGTATCTCTGATGGCATTCCTGGAGATACTTGACAGTCTGGCCTTTGAAGGCATCCACGAATTGGAATATATCTGTAAGAATGTTACAACAGTTTGATCTGGTGTTGACCACAACTTTCGGCTTACCTGTAAACTTTCGGCTAATTGGCCCCGGAAACCCAGCGAGCCTCGAACGATAGAACGTAGAAAACTGCCAGGAGATACTGCAAGCAATACAGAGCGCGAAAAGGATGACCAACATTGTTCAAAACGGTTAGACCGAAGTGTTCACCAATAACACGGTATAACGAGGGTTCTACCAGACGCGGCGGCACTCTTTCCTAAATACTTTATAATCAATAGCTCGAGGAGTAGCATAGGCAGCGTGAGGTTGGGTCACAGCATAAGGACTGAAGATGCAGAGGCTACAACAGGCTTGTCTGTCTGCCCAATGTGTCTTGACTCAGGCCAAAGATGTCCGCGCACAACGGCGTTCTTTTCGCCACTCTATGACCTGATTCGGATTTTTTGGGCCTTTCTCGTCGAACAAGCAAGTCAATTTCAGCTCGCTATCACCGATTGCTTTGAGCTGTCAGGCCACCAGCGGGTGCTGATTGATGATGCATGGTTTGTCCGGTACTACAAGATCCACACGATTACTCACCCATGCACATGAACGACCGGCGTTGTGGCGTGCGCGTGCGTGATGCAGCGGCCTAATCCCTCATGCGTGCCGGCCCGCATAAAGGTTTCGTAAGGCGTATTTGCTAGCGTGAGGCTTAAGTTCGCCTTGCGCGGTCGTAGCGGTAGCATCGGAGCATGCGTTTTTTCCCTTCACTAGTCGACCCAAAAGACGCGTGTAGGTGTGTACACCCTGTACGTGCACGTTTGATCCGTGCAGCTCGATAACGACTCTCGTGGCTCATTTCCTCCCCGTGTAGAGATAAGCAGGGATACATAGTATATGTAAGATGCGGTTGAATGCTGGGCTTACGCTGTGCTGTAGCATTCGGCGTTTTTGATCTTACCCCCACTCTATTTCAACCCATGTTCGGCGTTCTGTGTGATATGGATATGCAGGCGCGCATTATGGCGACTGTTGCCTAGATTCTTGCCGTCGGCACCACTCACAACTTCGGCTTCGCGCATGAAGCTTTGGCAATTGACCTCTCATAGCTGCTACTAACCCGCCTCCTCGCCGACGTGTCTATAAACTTCACACATAAGAGATATCTTTTCATCAATCCCTACCACTCACATTCAGGCGTTAAATTAATGGCCCATGACAATGCTTGCGAACAGCTCCCTAGAAATGGACTGGACTTTATCAGGATCGCCAGTAGAATACCTAGTCGTTACCCTGAGATCTCCGACAACAAGGTTGTACATAGGCGATGGCTTATGAAGCCTTACTCAACACACACACACACACACACAAAGCGGCAGCTATTCATCGCGGACAGTGAGCTTCAGGAGAACATGACGCCAATAACCATTGCAGAAACCAAACGCCACATGACGTTCCACGCGGTCTTGTAAAAGTAGCTGATAGTAGAGCCAGAATAGATTCGCAGATTTGTAAATTTCCAGCCAAACAGTAGCTAATAGCAGGGCCAGAATAGATTTACGAATTTATGCGTTTCTAGTTAAAGATTAGCTAAAAGTAGGGCCGGAATGGATTTACAGATTTATGTATTTTTAATTAAAGAGTAGCTAAAAGCAGGGCTAGAATAGATTTACAGAACTATAGTATTTTTTGCAAGAAGCTAATAGTAGAGCTAGGATAGAGTCGTAGATTTATAAGCTCTTAACTAAGAAATAGCTAAAAGTAGAGCTAGAATAGATTTACGGATTTATAAGTTTTTAGCTAAGAAGCTAATAGTAGAGCCAGAATGGATTCGTAGATCTACTTTAGGTTTAAGTAGGAGTTTACAGATTAATGCGAGAACAATAATAGTCTTTCCTATGCCTATGCTATATGCAAGCACCGCACCTTTGCTACTATCACTTAAGATTCGTAGCAGGCGGTTTACAGCGTGAAGCTGATAATTCCTCAGTTTAAGCCCTTCAAATGCATTGCGTATCTCTTTGGGTGTTGTATCAAGAAAGCCTCGAGAGATGCTCTTGTTCTCTCGGCCTGCCTCAATACCGCGTTGGATGACGTCCTAGAACTCATCTACCAAAGTCTGATAAGTTTCATTAGTTAGTTCCACGCTCTTTCTTTTCTTCGGCTTCTTCTTTTCTTTTCCTTTCTTCTTCTTCTCTGATTTATTAGAGCAGTCTGGGCTATGTCCTGTATTGAGGTCCGCGCCATTTGTGTTAATATATTCAGGACTGCTGGTATTTGGAGGTGATAATGGATTGATAAGGCCCACTTCATTGACCATAGCACTAACGAGCTCGGTAGACTCTAGCGGACGGTACGTTGAGTGCGGCTCAGGACCCCTCTCGGTGAGTAGATCCATGTAGGCGTAGGAAAGATTGGAAGCCATAGTTGGGCATGAGTGAGTAGCCGCGAGTTGCAAGAGTGGAAGGGAGAAGTAAGTAGCGACTGAGCGTGGAATATATTAGCTTCCAAGCGCAAAGACCCCCATAATCTACTAGCTTATGCATATTACCTAGGCACTGGCCTAGAAACGACAGGAGTTCTGGTGTTACAGCTGCTAGATACTGTGCTTTCACCGCGAGGGTAACATATGCGAGCTAAATCGAGATCTAGCCAAGTTCCCGAACTCTGCTGCCCTTCACGCTCCTACTACACCAGAACTCTAAGTATTGTCAGAGATCATTTAAGCAACACGATATGTTTGCCGACTGTCGATTGTAATAACTAGCATTCCAACATCCAACAGCAACGTTGATGTTGTCGACTATGGTGACGAGCGACTCAAATACATCGTTCAATTTCTTCTGGACATCGGCGACCAAGCTTTCATGAAACAACTGAGGCAATTCGGCATTCACATGGAAGCCCAATTGGTATAAAATCTCGCAGAGAATTGCTTAAGTCCACTAATCCTATCAGTAGAGTAGAAGCTACTTGAAAGATAATCCCGGCAAACTATTAAAGTCGTTGACTTCAGTCTCCCGAATCGACGACGACGTAACCAACAATCAATTGAAGCGTCAGAGAAGAAGTCGGGTCAGATGCGTCTAATCTTTTAGTCCTTTACAAAAAATATTAATTCTTGAAAGGCTGCCTTAAGCACGGCATGTGCATAGTTTGAATAGTCCAACTATAGAAGCTAGCCGAGTGAAATATAATAGCGAAAGATTTCACAAACGCATATTCGAAGCCAGAACGGGTAACACAGTTCCAAGATACCTCCTTACTTTTTCCCCATGTCTCATCTCATCGCTACCGTATATCTCCCCATCATATGTACACACACCCTTCCGCGACCTTATTATTCACAGAGGCGATCCCTCCCTACACCTTGCACTCTTCTTCCCACAATCACTTGCAACCCCATAATCGCAACACCCTCCACTAGCGCTACATTCAAACGCGTGTTTCTTAACCCGCTTAGTCTTCACAGCATACGTCCCGGCGCCTACAATGCAATTTCCACAGTACACGCCTTGCGTAAGGCCGCTGACGCAGGCGCAGCCATTGGAGGAACACGCTCGTTTGTCGAGCTCGAAGACGCTGCCGTGAGCGTCAAGGCTGTTGGCGTTTGGAGCAGGGGAGGCGGTGGCTTGGTATGTTGTGATGGTGAAGAGGAGGAAGAGAGTAGGTTGGAGATACATGTTGAAGTAAATAGCGGTATAATTGAGTAGATTCTCAAGATATGTCTCAACTCATACGGCGATGGAGGTGCGACGGAGGGATCCTTATATGTGTTTTCAGGGCGGCATGGCACCTCGTGATGTAGGTAGACGTACAAAACTATGCAGTAGCGGACAGCTAGTTCTGCTTCGAGAAGGTAACTTCACCATCAACCAATCGAACCGAAGTTTAAGAAAACGCTAGCAGACGAGGCGTTGCAGATGGAAATTGAAATGCGGGGGAGCTCGTGTTCCAAGGCCTCGTATTCCTCGCATAGTAGCTTTTTGAGGACCATCACTACAAGACAACATAACGCTGGATAGCGAGAAACATAGCCAACGTATGCGGAGATTACCACACCTAGATATTAGAAAGTCTGTCCAAGACTGATGCCAGGCCGGTAAGCCTAGACGAAATGCATGTACAAATAAATCTGAGCAACGCCCCAGTCCATCATGGCATGGGCCCAAGTACTCGACAAGTGCGATCAGATAGCCCGTCTACTTTCGACATGACTCCGCGAACCCTATTCAGATTCTACAAGCATCTACAACCCAGTCTCAAACGGGACCCTCAGCCTCTGCTTCTTCCGCCTCTCCATCTCGCCCTCATCCCCACTCCTCTCATCTTCACTCGGCCCCTTTTCCTCGACCATGACCCCCGAATTACCCCCATCACTGCTCGGCCGCCCCGTACTACCCCCTGCCTCGCTCCTCGTCGGGCTCAGGCTGCGGAGCCGTTCAATCGGGATGCGCTTCTGCAGTCTACTAGCTGCGGTGGGATCGAGCTCCGCGATGGCGACGGGCGTGGCGATGGAGAGTAATTCGCCCAGGGCTCCGAGTTCCTTGTTCATGCTTGAGTTTTGGAGCGAGGCGAGATCACCGGGCTCCTGTGATGTCTGTGGGAGAACGGTTGTGGGCATAACGGCTAGTTCGGATAGCCAGCGGCGCACGAGGTAGCGCTTGGTGCGGCTCCAGGCACCGAATTCTTCAGTCGCTGGGTCGTAATTCTGGCTGAGCTTCAACTTGTCGTCGCCGAACCAGGATGTCATGAGTCGCCATTTAATGGAGCCCCACCACCCTACAGGCACAATACCAGGTCGTGGGCCCCGCCGCGTCCAAAGTGTGGAGTGCTCGGTTGCGAGCTCATAGTACAGGGATTCGTAGACGCCTCTGCGCATTGGATTCTGTCGCTGGGAGGCGAGGTTATGCTTGACGGCATACCCTAAAGTTGTAGGTTGGAAGTCAGTGTATGGTCATGTGAAATCGTTATAGGTACGTACATAGGACGATGACGACGAAGAGTACTGGAATCGACGTGATGAACCACCTAACAAGTTAGCGTACGGCTTACAGACAGATCCGTGCATCTCCTTACCACTTGATAGGTGGATTCTCTGAAAAGGTGTTGACGTCTAGAGTAGCGCAATTAGTCCAAGTCCTAAATAGTTCGTCATTAACAATACGTACTCATGCCGAAGAACCCAACCGTAAACGTGAGAGGCAGGAATATGAACGTTATCCAGCTAAGCCGCCACATAGACAGTCCGAGCTGCAACGAGTGTCGGGCATCTCGTATACCTAAGCGTGAAGGTATACGTCAGTCTCCATCACTCAGCAGCCTGTACACAGATTTCACGTACCAACAGACTTGTACATCAAGTCCGACAGCGCTGTCGTCGGTTGAATGACGTCCCTTTCCCACTGGCCCGTCAGTTTCTCGATCTCGTCAGGCACTGAACCGAGCCACGGTTCCTCTTCCTTCGGAACTGATTGTGCAAGCTCGTGGAGGTAAGAGCGCATCTCCTTGGCGATATCCGCATGGATATAGAGTAGTCGTTCCACCTTGAGCCACTGCGCACTGTTTTTCCACAGCTCAGGGGCGCGAGACTCGTCCGCCGGATTCTCGTAAACTAGCAAGACAATTAGCAGTGTAGTACCTTAGTAGGCTGAACATGAGGGGTCTTGACAACTTGGTAGATGTTCATAAAAGCGCCACGAAGCACGAGGACACCTAACATAGCCGTGCAGATGATTCACAACTTACTTTTATCTTCGAGAATACCAACATGGGTCTCGCAAACAGTGAGGAACTTGTCCCAATTATATGCGACCGCCTTGAATATATCCTTGAGAATGAAATCCATACACTCAGTCGCAAGCGTCTCGTCATTATCCATCTCTTCACGCGGTAAGTAAAAAGTAAGCCGCCTCCAGCGCGATTCGATTTCCTGCCGAGCACCAATCAACGTGTCTTTGACAGAGCCACTCTGCGAGTTTTCGAATATGATAATCGTGTTGCCGTTGTCGAGGGTTCGCAGTTTGGGTATGTACCGATCCTGATGTTCATTGGCGTCTACATTGCCGTACTGTTTCTTTAAGCGCTGGTACTCCTCGAATGCCTCTTCATTGTACGGGTTTGGTATGTCAGGATCCACGGCTTGCCCTGGCTTGCCGTCACTCAGTTGCACGTAGACGGAGAGGCGCTGCACATAGACGTCGTAACCGTAACAGGGCTGATCGGCCACATCGTAGTGGTTGAGCTCCATCATCGGTTTTAGGCCGCCGGCACCGGGTGCATTCATGACTGTGTGCCTTTCGTAATGCTTCAGGTAGTCACAGCCAAAGGCCGCACGACTGATGCCTCTCCATGGGTCTCGCTGCGCCCTGAACGTCTTACCGTTGAGTACCGGCTTTCCACCCCTTTGTTGAGGCCTTTCATATCTTGCCCATCTGCCAAATGTGGTGCCGACTAAATCGTCGCTTGCGTCGATATTGAACTTGCGTAGAAGGAATCGCGTCGCCCAGCTCGCGTTTTGTACATGTATGACCCTCAAAGCTGCCTGACCCGAGAGATCTTCTTTACGGTAAAAGCGACGTAAGCTGTCGATGTCGCAGAACTCCTGCGCAACGATCTTCCTTCTGCCCTCATTGGTATGTTCCCTCGCGACATAGTCAATCAACAGCACGCGCCCCTGTTTCCAGCTGTCCTTGTTCCATTTCTCGCGCCATTCGATGTTAGGACTGTGTTTGCGCCGATGGCCAAAGGTGCCTTTTCGTCGTTCGCGTAGCAGCGGCTGAGACTCGCCTCGCTCCAAAGTTGGGTGCGATGGACGAGAATCGTATGCACTGAAGGATCTAGGTGGTGCTTTCAGTGGCATCAGTACATTATTCGACTATGCTGCCTAAGCTTCAACTGGAGCTACTGGGGAACTCACCATTCATACGTGTAGGACTAGGACTTGGCTGCGGCGGTTCTCCAGACGCCGTATCCTCGACCATAATCGGCGGCGGCGGATCCGACTTGGAGCGATGAAGCCCCAAACTCGCCATGGTACACTAGAGGGTCGAATGAAGCTTGCTGTAAACTGGTGAAGCTTGAACTGTTCCACCGAACAGGGGCACAACGAACGGGCGATGGTGCGACGACAACACTGGCAAACAAGAAGTGATTGTAAGCGCAGCGCCGGCACACCAGCCTAGAGGCGGCTGAGGAAAGCGCCATGTTGGAGACCTTGCAGAAGGCGGGGAGGCGCAATGGAGTGGGTGTGGGGGCGGCAACAATCATGAGGCTGGGTGTTGCTGCTATCCGCGGTCATATCCGGCACTAATGTGCCGCGATGGATCAGCCCTACGACACCACTTGACACTGGGGCCTGAGATGGCTTCAGCATGTGATCCATTTGGTACGTGATGACTGAATGAGTTTCTTGGTTTGACCACATACAGTAGCTCGCTGGCATACTAGGCGTGCCGGTGAGACTGGCATGGAAGGTAGATGAGCCGCATGCCCCAGTAAGCTTACTTCCCTTCTCCAATCTCACACCGAACATCCCGTTCTGTTTGCTAATTAATACTAGTCACAACAAGTTGCACCACAGAGGTCATTTGAGGCACAAGTAGTGTGTAACAACAACATTACGTTGGTTTGAAGCCGGTGACTAATGAAGCCACACTGTCCTCTCGATTTCTTTACATGTATCAACAACGAGCCTCCGTCATGTACATCAACATCCTTGACTCGTGTAAAGGTCGCTTGAACCAACAATACGACCAAGTCAGCATCTTCAAGCGTGAGCTATTATATCTTATAACGAGGGACAATGGGCCCCGAGTAGGCGCAAAGAATAATTATGTGCAAAATGAAAAAGGAGAAAGACGCAGTCGTGGACTCATGTCGGGCTGATGCAGCGCTGATGACGCTCAGGTGGGTATTAACAAGGAGATAGGAAAGGGGTTGGATCCGTTAGAGAAGGTCGGCCGCCTGTACGCCGGCACAAAATAAGGAAAGCTCACTCCGTCTTCCTTCATTCACTTTGGCGACTGCGCCTGGTGATCTCGTCATCCCCGAGCGCAGCAAGCCAGAGACATTTGCTGAGAATGGTCGGCTCGACTTTGAATGAGTACTTTGAACTGGCCTCAAGGAGGCGGAGGAGGTTTTTGACAATGGTAGCGGCCGTGTGATGTCGTTCGAAATTTACAAGTCGTTCGCCGTCTACGGGAGGGGCGTCGATGAAAGCAGGCTTTTGGGCGTTGTATATGAGATCGCGGGTATAGATGCCTAGTGTGTCTTAGTAGTCTGTACAAATGGTGCGAGAAAGTCACTTACCGATGAAGGGGATACAGCCGTCGTCCACGGTAACCGTCTCCATCTCAAGGCGTAGGTTGTGGAAGTTTTTGAGAGGCTGCACCAGAGCTTCTAGCTCCTGCATGATGAGTAATTCGGATGCGGGAACTAGAGCCCACGTCTTTTTGAGTCGGGAGACATCGTTCGAAATTAGAGCAATGGCAATCTGGTACATGGTGGCGTAGTTGCGAAGCTTGCGTGCATGTGTCGCAATGTGAATATACTTCACAATACACCGAGCCCTTTCTTCGACACTCTCTGTGAGAATGCATTCCGATACCACCCATTTGACGACTAGGTTGAAACGTGCGATGACAACATCAACGCCACGAGCTTCTTGCGTTCGGAGGTACTGTACCCAATCACGGATCTGTGGGGAAGACTGCTTCCACCGCAGCTCGATGAGCTCTTTCCAGTCAATTTCATCCAGAGCATCCTTCTCAACAATGGTGAACTGTTGAGCAAGAACCTCCGAGTCATATGCAAGAACAAAAGGTAAATGCGTAGTTAACGTGGATGATCTCTCATGCGACTCATGCGGCTCAATGGGCGAATCTACCAGCTGACCAGACTGCGTAAATGCCAGGTTGTTAGGTCGGGAGGCGGTGGGAGTGAGACTGGGCGTTGCTAAACCTCGCTCGAAGACTGTCGGATTGGGCAGGGTTTCCTTCAGCCGATGTCCAGAGGGAGGAGGCGTGGGAGGATGGCGCATTGGGTGTGTTGGAAGGCCGTCCGTTTCATGGTCTGGCGTCACTAATTCATCGTCGAAGAAACTCCTCACACCATGGCTCGTCTGATCTGACCTGGCACCCGTTGTAGAATCCATATCGCTGAGATCTTCACCATCATCTAGAAGGAATGACTGGCGAGGTACAGAGGACACGGGTAGGGTTCCACCATGTGGTATTCGTTTCATACTTTCTGTTTCGGTAACGTACTCAATTGATGAGTTTCCCGACGAAGAGACCGTAGGAGCTTGCGCCGCTTGTGGTGTTGTACCAGTGTGTTTCAGGGGCGAAGGCTTCGCTGATGATCTTATCGTTTCCAAGGTACGGGCGCGGGGTGAAGCTGTGAACTCGCTGAGAGCGCGATCTAAAAGAGGTATCGAGGAATAAGAATCTGTTGACTCTCCAACGGAGGTCCCGGCTGGTACACGGCGTGTGAAATTCTCTGCAGAGTGTCGATACATGCCTTGGCCATCCGCTTCAGAGGGCGTGGTCGGCCGGTGGAAGACGTCGTTGGTCTCAGAACATGCCTCTTCATCAGAGGGAGCGGACTGAGAAACATTCACAGGAGTGCCAGATGGTTGATAGACTTCCAAGTCGACTGAGCTTCGCTCGGAGGGTAAGCTAGGAGATTTCTTTTCGTAGCGGCCTTCGAGTTTCATCAGAGCGGACTCAATGCCCCCGTCGTCGTCTATATCATCTGGCAGAGCCGCAAGCTTTGCCACCTCGGCCTCAAAAGACGGCCTCAAGTTGGGTTGCGAGGAATGTGTATCGACCATGGATATGCGTTTTTTAGTGACCACTGGGTCGACCGCCTCTTCGACTTGGCGGCTTGTCTTGTTCCCAGGTTCGACATAACGGTCAGAACGCAGGATGACCGAATTGGCGATCGAATGGGTACGATTGGAAACAGAGCCAGTGGAGTGTGGGCGCTGCGTGGTTTCAAGATCATGTATATTGTCCGCAGCGCGGAGATCTCCGCCTGGTCGTCGACGAAGCTGGCGTGCAGGCCCGGCTGTCTCGTTCGCCAGCTGGCGATCAAGGAAGAACGGATCGTTGTCTGACGACATAGTTTGGAAGGTAGCAACACTCGCAGGGCCCCGGCGTCGGCTTAGGCCGCTGTTATAGGACGCATGCCGCCGCAACGAAATAGAGCGCGCAATTGAAGTCTTGTTAGATCCACGACGCCTGAAGGAATGCATTTGCTCACGACCCTCTGACATGGATCTCCTTTGTCTTGCCGCAGGACGCTGTAGCGAGGGTCGTGAAATGCGCTGCTCCTGCTTGAATGTGTGTGACTCTAGATCATCGTATAGCTCCGAATGCCGGGCTATAGGTATACTGCCTTCAGCTAGTCGTTCGTCGATCGACGCTTGCCTTTGGTGATCGTATAGCGGCATGGTGCTCACCGTTGCCGCATCAATGTCCGCGGGCAAAGCTCCAGACATTACAGGAAGGGGGGGCGCTCCGGTATCGTCTATGATTAAGATCGACTTGCTGCCGCTAGTAATGTTACTATATACGCGAGGGTCAACGTTGTTGGAAGACTTTTGTTCATCTGAGGATGGTGCTCGACGCTTGTCAAACTCGAACTCGAATCCTCCCAGCTCAGGAGGATCCTCGTCTTGAGATGGCTGCTGTTCACGCTCTAATTGTTCTTTCACAGCTTCTTTGAAACTTTCTCCCACTACGGAAGCTAAGAGGTCAATGCGAACCTCTGGCTTGGGCCGAGCAGTACGTCGTTTTTGTACTCCTCCAGCAGCTGTTGATATAGTGCCTGGATTGGAAGAACGAGTAGGTGGGGGCTGTCGAAGTCCCCCAAGCTGAGGACTTGCTCCAGGTGACTGTCGGGTGCTTAGTGCCCGGCGTACAGTACCAAGAATCTTCTTCATTCCTGGGCTACTTGCATGCCCTGGCCTCTGCAAGTCATTTCCGTACGCCTCTTCAGCCTCCTGTAGCAGTTGCGAACGTGTATAACGCACGCCTTTGACTTCAAAGTATGGAGATCCTGGCTGGAAAAGGCCGCCACGGACCAAGCTCCCAGGCATGTTCGATACTGCAGACATGGCAAGATCCGTAGAAACCGTCTTGGGAATAGAGAGTGGCGCTCTGCTATCCCTCAGAGCATCGGAGAAGCTGCCGCTGCGCTTATGAGCATGTGATGGGCGACTGGCTATCTTAGCGGACATGACTCGTTGTGGACTAGGTATCGAACGGGCGGTGGCCACAGGAACTGGGTGAGGATATAGCGGGAGATCAATGGCTTGTTCCGTCTTGTTCAGGCCCCGCATAGGAAGAGAGCATGAAAGGACATGCATACTCTGTTCGCTGGCAGGCGACAATGGCACTTGGACAATATCGTACTCTTGCGAGGGTACATATGGTACGCTTACTGAGTTCTGGGGAGTATGGCGAGCTTTTTGGGCCCATTCCAAGTGTCGAGTCGCGAACTGATCGCTCGGATTGGAACCTATAGTCTCCTTGGTATCGCGTGCTGTTTGTCGCTTAGGCGTGATAGGCGTGGCTGCTATGTACGGGATTTCTTCAATCGAGTCCTGCGAGCCTGTCTGTCCACCGGGAAGTAATTCATCGTCTGCAAAGTCTTGTCCAATCTCATCCTCCATCTCCCAATACTGTGCGCAAGTGCGCCGCCAGCACTTCTTCAACTCGCCAACAATCTTAATATCGCCCCCTCCTCCATCTTCACGAGCGCGGAGATCACTATGAAGGCTGTTGACAAGTTCACAAAAGTAAGATCGCAACTTGTAAACAGGCACAAAGTCGTCCACGAAGTAGTTCAGGATCCAATGTCGAAGGGCTACGAAGGTCCGTACTCGGACAATGCGGCCAAAGTCGTCTTGTCTATCCACGGCCCATCGCAGCCGAGAAATGAGATAGGCTACCAGGTCCTTTGTGCTTAAGAATGCGCGGAAAGTGAGGAAGAAGTCGGAGAGTAGTTCATAGTCGAGGAAGCTGGGAGACGTAATGTGAGCAACAAGTCGTGATGGTGTGGCGGCAAGAATCTCGCCAGTCGTGGAAAAGCGTACAACAGCGCGGTCATCTGGGTTGACAGTCAAAGCATCGTACAGCCTGGGGCCAATTGGAGCGTGCGATACCCGAGCGGAAGATGGTGCCGAAGTAGGGAGAGGCGGACGGTCCATGGTGGCGCGATAGCGATGCGGGATAGGCGAATAGGCGTCGGAACGGGGGCGCGAGGACAAGAACGAGTGGGTGCCCGCGCGCTGTGGCGTCAACAGGGAATTGGCAAAGTCGTCTGTGCCAGAGGTTCGCGTGTAGACGGAGCTGCGTAGGTCGGCAGTTCCTCGTGTACTGAAACGCGGCGTGCCCAAGCGGTAATGCGGAATTGGCACTTGCAGCAGAGGCAACGAGCCAGTGTCTGCTGTCTTGGGCCGGCCACCAAAAGGAGGCCGCTCAATCACCACCTTGAAGGTGCCCGGCTCGTTGCTGAGCGACGTAGCCGTGTGCTCGTCGGCCGTGGAGAATGAATGCGAGCGCGCGACTGGACGCAAGCCAGTAGTGATTTCTGCCGGTGGCTGCAGCTGCGACGCATTGTCTGCCCTTGCGTCTAGCAGCGGTGGTGTGGGCTCGGAGCGCGGTGTCCTCGAGCCGTACAAGCTCTGCTCCCAGTCATTGCTCGTTGGGCGCAGCTTCTTGGAGTCGAGCGTGGCGCTGTCGGGGGGCGTCTGGGGAGGGAAGACGAAGGGATCTGGCTGGGGGCGGGTGCGTTGGTGTCCAGCGCGAACAACAGGCCTGTGGGGTTCATGAGGTCAGTGATTGTGTGATGGTATGTATCTTTATGTGATGTGCCAATGTGTTTGGTTTCGAAGGGGTCAGACGGTTGCTGCTGCTGCTGCTTCCCATGTGAGGCTTGCTCTTGTCTGCGCCAATGACGCTCTCGCCATGCCCTGACAGCTGGGGCAAAGGAAGAAGATGAAGAAGAAGAAGAAGAAGAAGAAGAAGAAGAAGAAGAAGAAGAAGAAGAAGAAGAAGAAGAAGAAGAAGAAGAAGAAGAAGAAGAGGTTGGAACCAAAATGGGCATACCTCAGGTAAATGACGCCGTTGTGCACGTTCGCGACGGTGTAGGAGCGGCCAGCCGAGGTCGAGTTGCTCGTCGAGGTTTCGATGGTGGCGTTGCTGGTCGCGCGCGCCCGCGTCCTCCTGTTGAGTTGCTCTTTGGAGTCTTTTACTCGTCGCAGACGTCGTGGGGAGTCGGCGCGTCTCTTTGGGGATTCGGCGCCGGGCAGCACGTCGTCGCGCAGACGGTCAACAGGGGAGCCCGGGGGCCCTGGGTAGGCGTCATTCTGTTGCAGTGCCGAGAGGGCCATCCTCCCCCATAACGGAATCGGAGCAGGCAGCGCAGCGGTAGGGTCAGCAGCAGGCGGAGCGAGGAGGGCACAGCATGACCAGAGGAGATGTGCACAATGCAGACATGTTAATTTGGAGCCGACGAGAAGAGAGGACGACGGTTGAAGTCACAGCCCTGCCACCACAGGTCGTCCAGCGGGCGCCATCAAAAGCAATTCACCAGTCAGCGCCCCCTGCGAGTTAGCCCAGGTAGCCTAGGCCGAGCCCAAAGTAACACTGACTATGCTCTCCCCGGCACCCTCGGCACGGCTCCGCTACCTACACTGGCTGGCTGGATAATCCTAGGGTCGTCGTCGTCGTCGTCGTCCCATTCGGCCTGCTGGTTGGGAAAGCTGGTACAGTACTGGGCTGGTAATAATGCAGAATACGACCTACCCCGTCCCGTCGTCGGCTCATAGCCAGCCACCTACCAAGACCCAATGCAGGGCTGCCCGTCGCAGCCAGTCCACAGCATCTCGCGAATCCATGGGCAAGAAGGAATTAAACAATAAACAGAGCCAGTCACGCTCTCGTTCGGTCCAGGTGCCTTGCTACTTGCGGACAGATACCCACCAGTGCCGCTCATCTACCATTGCATCGGTACGCTTTTGCTGCCGTCGATCGAAAAGCAATAAACAGTTGACCGCCTCACTCCCTATCTGCCCACTACATACGACTCGTAGAGACACTACCTTTCTTCGCATAGCGACGTCATCTTCATCTCTACCATGGTGGAGCAAGGTTGCCCTTGAGCAAACGGCAAGGGCAGCGCAATCTCCCCTCCCCTCCCGGAAACGTTTCCAAGGTGCACTGTCATCGTTTGATCTCCCCCAACGACTTGAATCAAGCAAAGCCTCGTACCATGGACGACGCATCTAGATCAGATAAAACTCGGGCTACTGCACGACATTCGCAGTGCTAATACGGCCCCTCGCCAGTTCCGCAGCCGAATCCTGCTCCATTTTATTTATTAATAGCCGATTTGCCCAAAAGCAAAGTAAACAAATCTCGTGCGACTTACTCGGTCAGGTCGCTTGCATGTATCGAGTCAGCCAATCGAACCGCCAAGCAGCAATGAAACTGCAATCCATGTATCACAAGTATATACACAGGCAAGCGTGCAGTTTCAATATGCCAGTACGCTTGGCACATCGCCCATGTAATTGTTTCGACAGCGGGGGCGATTTTTTTTTTTCATCAATACTACCGCGATTATAATAGCTGCACGACATACTAGAACGGATAACCCCTCCCCGCGTCCTCTTCGTTACTCACATCCAGTCCTCCCTTGACCTGCTCCTCATGCATCTTATCCAGGTACTCCAGCAACACGTCCTGATACCGCTCCCTACCCTTGTACTTGCTTACATCGTCGCCCCAACTGCGCACTGCGCTGGCAAGTCGGCCAGGAACATAGGGCTCCTTGCAGATGTCGGTGATGGGGTGGAAGTAGGTGCGGATCGTGAAGACTACGCCACCAGATCGGGGGAGGCTGCATGTGTCAGTACACTTGTCATACATGTGTGCAATCAGATAGAACGTCGACATACCGTCTCAGACTCTGCCTCTCGCTTCGGAAATAGTGATTCTGAATCGCCTTGTTCTTCTCCGCCTGTGCCTCGTCAGTCCAAGATGCCCACTCCCAAAACACACAAAAACATACCGTAAACCACCCAATGCCGTCGGAATCCTCACTTCCAATACTCTCACTCCACGCCAAATTATCATCCACCTGAATAAAGTAGTTGTTCCTCAGCACCGGATTCTGCGGCTGCACCCTCTTGAAGAAATTCGTCATGCCCTTCTCTAGCTTCTCCTTGAAGCCCGGCACATCGGCACTCGTGTGGATTTCAGGAAGCGACATGCCGTATTTATCTTCGAGGCGCCAGAAGCCCGCGAGAAGGACGGCCCCAGCGAGCAGGTAATATTGCCCGTCTGGGCGCTCGAACATGATGGCCAGATCATCCTGGGTGAAGCGGGCCGCCATTTGCATCGGGTCCTCTTTCAGCGGGCGCTCGATGATGTTAAAGGTTTCGCCTGTGACGAGGTTGTCCATGCCGACGTCCGTCTTCTTGTAGAGGCTTGGGTAGCGCTGGGGGAGGTAGTCACATAGTTCTTCGAGGAGTTCACATGCGCCGTCGAATACTTCTGGGTTTGTCCTGCAGCATTTTGATCCGCGCTCTGCGATGCGTTTCGCTTTTAGGTCATGATATTCGAGGTATCGGTTGTCGAGCTCTATCCACTCGTCCCACTGCATAGTTCGCAGGCCCATGGTGATGTGGTACTTTGGTCCATAGCGGAACGGACGATATGGCAATGGCTTGGTGTGTTCGACTGACCAGTCGGGATAGGGTGCTGCGGCGGGGCGCTTGAAATCCTGTGGTGGCCATACTAGTAGTCCATGTTAGTAATGCTTGGATTTTGACATGACTATGTGATGTATACGAAAGTGTACCTACCTCCAGGTGGTCGTTCAGGGGCCTTGAACGGTCGTTTCTCGAGATTCGGTGTGGTTGGCCGTGTGCTATCGCGCTTGCGGTAGCGTATGCGGCGAGTAACTGTGACAGCTAACCACACACACGTGATGACAACCAGACCAGCGTATAATAATAATTTCGGGTGGATGTTTGCATTTTGCATCGTATCATTGAGCTTCGCTTGAGCGGCACCGCAGTGTTGACGAGTAGCATGAGCTAGGCGTTTGGCGTGCTCCATGAGCCGCGGCGTGTCTGCTGCCATGGCCTTTGCCGATCTGACAGACGTCTGAGAGTAAGATAAGGAGTTGAGAAGATGCTTGCGGTTCAAGTGAGGTCTGGCAAACCAGAAGAGCGACTTGAAGACATTAAGAAACAAAGAAACCGCTTGCAAGGAGCCATGACGGATATGCACGACATGTTGCGCAGCTTCCTTTTCGCGTCCTGATATACATACACGCAACAGTTGTTGCGATAAGGCCGTCAGGGATCAGTAGATACAGTGTGGGGTTGTCGAGCCGCGGTGTCGTCAATGGTTATCTTTCGTCGGCGGGGGGATAGCAATACCCCACTAGGTTAGCCCGTCGACGACCATGCGGATCCGCCTCGAATAGCAAACGTCCTCACCAAGTGCGCTCGGCCGTAATACTCCATCTGGGGTCAAATAGAGCATCTGGATATGCTCATCAAATTGACAGCTGCTTATCGGTCATGCTTGCATGCTCAATGGCCCATATGCAGGACCTTTGAGCAATGCGTTTACTAAATACCAAGTCTTGAAGTAATCCAGCCCTCCCCCTTCGGTCGAACGCTAGATAGCCTATCGTTCACTACCCAATCTAGTAATTCGAACTCACTTCATGCATAGAGGCCTTTCCCGCTTGAGACTCTACGTTGCAGGAGACAGTAGTCGCCCCACTTCCGACGAAAGCGTGCCGGGATAAAAGGTAAGTCTGGAATCCATAGCAAGCGACCGATAAGATGTGTCTGGCTGGCATCGAGGAACGGTACACATTTCAATGTCTTCCAGTGCTCTGTATCCGATATGTAGTCAGGCTCAAGCGTCGTTGGTGACGTTCCAGGCAGGCGAGAGTCTACCAGAAAATCGCAATGCTCCACGTTGATCTGACTCTGGTCAGCTGTGTCGGTTGCTATTTGTGCCCGCGGGGCCTCCACTCACGTATTTGCCGGGGTCCTCTTGGTTTTCGTCATTCATACCAAGCGGCACAAGCCATGTGCCAGGAAACAGGCCTAAGCCATCGTTGGATTCGCTGAACTCGCCTGGCAGAAGGCCGGAGAACTCGCTCTTCACGAATTTGGCGTGCACTTCGTGTGGTAGATTGAACGACGATGGAAAGCGATACCATTCCTTGCTCAAACAGACATTGTCCCCTGGGTGAGCGATGCCTGGGGTGTGCAGAGGCTTATAAACATTCAGAGGAGCAGAGTAAGCAGTGAGATTTACTAGAGTCGGGATCAGTCAAGTGTTCGAGGCTTGAAAGGATAGCTCTCCCCGCACCTGCGAAGCTTTAAAACCCCTTTCCGCAATAGGGATAGCTACGCAAGTGCCGCAGGACCACGATGAGTTCAAACATAATAAACACGATTGTACGTACAAATTGTGCGAAGCATACCCAGGTCAAACGATAGCAGTAGCGGGATGCTGACGATGGCGAGCTTTAGTTGCGGTGGGATCTTGCTGACAAGGTGTCGTGGATCAGTTGATCCAAAGGTTGCAAGCATTATGTGCAGCGAGATAGCCGCGTTTAATGCCAACGCTGGGTAAGCTGGGTACATGAAACGCTCCTCTTTGTGGGGTTGGGCTGTGAAGATTGCAAGCCATAGATAGAACGGGCTGACGAAGACAACGCTTCGTAGGAGCGTCTGCTTGGAGACCGACTTCTGGAGACCGACATGCTGCACAAGGAGGAGTGGAAGTGCAGCTAGCGCAAGGAAAAACCATATGTTGAAGTTCAAGGCGAGGTTGCGAATGTAAAAATGCCATGGCTCCACTCCATAGATATCAGGACCTCTACTCCCGCCGCTGAAGACATTGTATAGGACAATATTCAATGGAACGCAGGTCAGTTTCTTGTAGAATGCGGAGTCAATAGCAGTTTGTACAGCCAGAACGAGCAGTGATCTGACTGCGCCGTGAAGGAGCCGCCAAAAGCTTTCAAAGGCTAGGCCAGTAACAGATGCCAGGATTGCCTCTTCGACGACGAAAGGGAGGACGAGAGCACCGGCGAATGGCCACCCCAAAACGCTCCCAATCCCAAACCACATCACGCCCTGAACCGTCTTGATGCCTCCTGACCAGTCCATGAAGGCTGAAAAGCCAAGCATGGTCGTATACATGGCGAAGGTCGATGGGAGATAGGCTGGAGCGGCATGGTACATGCCCGGACTGATAACCTGGGCAATCATGAAGAAGATGGCCACGCGAGGGTTGAATGTCCTTGAAATGACCGAATACAACCGCGTCTGGCAGAGTGTGCAAACCAGCGCAAGCACGATACGAAGGAAGTAGAACTCTGCGACTTTAGAACTGCCATAGCCCAGAGCCCTGGATGGGAATGTTCCAATCCAGATCAGCAGCGAGTGTATGCCGGTGTACGTCCAGCTCCGAATGGCGTACTCGGGGGAGTATTCCCAAGTCTGCAGTCCATATCCGTGATTGAGGTAGTGGCTTGGCTCCCAGTAGTTGAAGACTTCATCGCAATCTTGGATTGGGGAGAATGTAGCAGCGACGACGTTGGCGAGCGCAAACACGTAGAACGCGGTGGAGGTCTTGAGCATTGGTGGTGGCTTTTCGGTTTGAGTGGGTGTCCTGATAGAGTAAGCCCAGATTCCTTTAGAGCGCACTGCAAATGCAATAAAGTATTTAAAAAAAAACCCCCCATGCAAACGACTCCAAACTCGTCCATACAGAGACTGCTCACAACGAGGGAATCAGGGTACTCACCTGCTCAATTGAGCCTCTGACCTCGCTTTGGGAGGCATGGCTCGAACGCTGATTGATTCTAGCAACGCACCAGAAACTTCATCCCTGTTGATAAGGTTGCATTGGTCAGAGTCCTTTATGACGCTGACCGGAGGGCTGCTGTTCAATCTTCACGGAGGACGCGTCCAAAATTAGGTCGTAAGGCTGAGGCGTCCCTCCGTGCCAAGGCGCGCTAGCGGATGAGGTGCATCGAAAAAGCGACGTTCCTTTCAGGCTGCTCCCTAGACCATCACCGCACGCATTTAAGCAGACTAGTGCAAACAAACCGCAGTTGATTCCGCAGCGAGTACGCGTGCTTCAAGACACTGCAGAGAAGGACAAGCATGTCCGATTCTCTGGAACCGCCGGCCAAAAGGGCCCGGTTGGAGGCGGACGCTCCCATCCATGGCGCATCTGCGACTGCGCTGGACGCGCCAGGATCGCCCGTCGATGACATGGACGACGATTTCTACGATACTACACCCGTCAAACCCGCAGCGCTTGCTGCTGTAGACGGCACGACTTCGTGGTTTGCTGCGGCTGCTACGGCACCAGCCAACTTTCACCTCCCTGGGCTCGGCTCTGTGAGCGAGACCCCGGCCACGCAGCCAACGTCACAGACTGGCACAAACACTCATGAAGACGAGGCGCCCGAAGACGGCGAGCTCTCAGACGAAGAGGCTTTCTATAATGACGGGAGCGCAGTTGAACACCCTGTGGCCAATCAGGAGCAGGCCCTGGGCGGGTCTCTACAGCACGGTAAGCTGTCGCGCCCGAAGCTGCATGCCGTGTCCCTGACCTCTGTGAAAGAAGACGCTGCCGCTCTCGAGAACCCTGCACCCGCTTCCGACGACGGTGAGCTCGACGCGGCGCTCACTGCAGCCATAGACCTCCAAAACAATGCAGAAGATGCTACTGAAGATGCGTCGGTTGCTGCAGGCAGCGGTACCGCAGCGATCAATAGCAAGGCCGACTTCTTGCGCGCAGCAGAAGCGAACAAAGACAACAAGGACGCCGAGTGGCAGTTGGACTCGGACGCCTCAGACTCAGACGCCTCTTCAGACTCTTCTAGCTCCAATGGCAGCTCCGACGAAGAGGGCTCGGATGAGGGCGAGCTGCTGGATCCCGAGGAGCAGGTTCGCCTACTCATGGCCGAAGCGGCCGATGAGCCAGGTGCCACCGGTAAAGCCAAGGTCAAGACGTTGAATGAAGTCGAAGAGCAGTACGAGAAGCCTGACATCACAGTGACCGAAGAGACCAAAATTACGGAGCTCGGCAAGGTGGAGTCGGTAGTCGAGAACCTTCTCTTGATCAAGGCCAAGGTATCTGGAGACTACCAAGTGCTTGAATCTGGGTCTGCGCTCTGCCTGCAGAACCGCACAATCGTCGGCAAGGTTTCGGAGCAGATTGGGCGCGTCGAAGAGCCTAGGTACGCTGTAGGCTTCAATGACCCTTCTGAAATAGAGACTCTAGGTATCGCCAAAGACACGCTAATCTACTACGTCGACGAGCATTCGACCTTTGTTTTCACCGAGCCACTACGTGCGCAGAAGCACACCGACGCCTCGAACCTTCACGATGAAGAGACCAACGACGTCGAGTTTTCGGATGACGAAAAAGAGGCCGAGTTCAAGCGCGAACAGAAAGCCAAGAAGCGGGCGCGGACAGAAGGGAACGATGAGCTACCAAGCGTTCCGATACCGACAGGACCCCGAGGCCATGTCGACGCACCAATGGTTTACCAGTCCAGGGCGTATCAAGGCGGCGGTCTCAAGTATAGCGATGACGAAGACGAGGATCTTGGCATGTACAAACCGCTCGCAAGACCAGACCACTTTGAACAGATTGTAGGGCAGGGTGCTCCCATCGAAGACCGCAGCCACGTACGAAGAGGCATGATGCGTGGGAGGGGTGCCTGGGGCGATCGAGGCCGTGGCTTCCGCGGAAGAGGAGGCTTTGGGGGCCGTGGAGACTTTGGGGGCGGCCGTGGCGATAGAGGAGGGTATGGTGGCGGTCGAGGTGATCGAGGTGGCTTTGCCCAGCGAGGCGACCGAGGCGGGTATGGTAACAATCGAGGCGACAGGGGAGGCGGCGATAGGGGTGTGCGTGTGTTCAAGGGTCAGTCTGACCGTGGTGGAAGGCACCAGGACCAGTTTCATGATCGCCAGCAAGATGTTCGCCCGAGGAACGGACCTCATTACGACAGTCGATCTGCCACGTCTGCATCGCCTGCTCGACAACAGCAAGAGCGCGGCCACTCTCAGTCGCATCAGTCTCAACAACCACAACAATCACCGCCCAAGGCTGGGAAGAACAAGAATCGAAAGCAGCGACAGCGAGAGAAGAGGGAGCGCGAGCGCGAGCAGCAGCAACAACAACAACAACAACAAACACAGGGGCAGAAGCAACAGCATGCTTCCCCGACGCCTTCTGCGCCGTCTGCCATGTCCAACGCCAGTGCTTATGCGAACAATAGCAGTGCCGGTTGGCCAGCGCCCTACTCGGCCCCAGCACAGCCAGCAGCTACTTATACACAAGCTCCACCTCCGCCGCCACCTGCAGTGGCAGCTGCTTACGCAAATCCGGCAGCTTATGCACCACAACCCCCAGTACAAGGCCAGCAAAACCAGCAGGCAAATTTGGCAGCATGGGCGCAATGGTTCCAAGTGGTGGGAGCGATGAGCCAGCAGCAAACGCCGCAAGCACCTGTTCAAGCTCAAGCTCCAGCACCACCTCCCCCTCCGCCGCCGCAACTCCAAGCGCAATATGCGTATCCGTATCAGCAGTACCCACAAAACGCTGCACCACCACCAGCCCACCCACATCAGCAGCAGCAACCCAATACTCAAGCTGGAGCGCAGAGCCTCCAAGACATCCTACGAGCCTTGGGAGGAGGTGGTTCGGGTTAGAGGGTGGATCGACGGTCGCTGTATGACCATGTCAGGGACAAACGGGTTCGATGAGACGTGGGGGGTTCATTCTTAGGCGCATCTTCTCGTTTCTATTTTCCAAATTTGTGGAAACATGTCGGGGAGGCCGAGTCCCGAAGATGAGGATGTGTGTAGAGTCGAAAGCGGTCCAATGTATAATTACTCTGTTGTTGTAGAGCATGTTTGTGGTTGAGGTTCGTGATTGGTAGTTTGGCAGCATGTGCAAGCCTACCTAGGTACGAGGGGGTGATGCGCTAGCCTATAGCAGTAATTGTACGCAGAGATGGTCAATAGTGTCAGATGTGAAGTGCCCATCTTTGGTCATCAGAAACAGAAGAGAAACGGCATGTCGCAATTGGGCCTTCTCTCAGGGCGGGTCAAGCTGAAAGCGTGTTGAATGAAAGGCGGGGTGGGGTGAAAGGACTGGATTCTTCCTTAGCACCACAGACAGGACTAGCACTCTGAGACGAGACGACATGTTTCGAATAGATTGATGTTCACTTTGTAACTCTAGCTTGTACTGAAGTGCAAGAGTACCCCCAGGGCGACAATGTTCCGTGCAAGCGGGCCGCTGCTGTCGTCATCTGGCGCAGCATGGGGGAGATGGTGGTGGTGTGGTTTGGAGCGGGGTGGGAACAGCGCAGCATCAGCTCAAGGCAAAGGGCAGCTGGTTCCGGTCGTGTTCAGGCGAGGTTGACGCACATGGACTTGGAGGACGGCGCGGCGCGAAACAGGCCAAGAAGATGTGTCGTCGCTGTTCTAGGCTTGTCACCGCGTAGTGGACCGGTGCGTGTGCGTGGTACATGTAAGACCCCGGAGTGCAGGTGGCGCATTTCGGCTCGAGACAGGTGAGCAGCATCCGCTTCCCAGCTCGAGTGGAGCCCCCCCAGGGCCACATTGGAGACTCCATCATCTCGAACCACACGCACCGCACCGAATTACCTACATCCCTCCTGAATCTTCCCGTCGCCCGTCCATGTGCACACGACACCGGCAAGCTCTTGTCCCGCCTCGATGAAGCAGCCGTCCTAGCCTCTTCTGCGCAAGCAGCCCTCGATTCGAGTAATCCCGTACACAACCTCGCTGCCACCCCGCCGCACGTCTTGCGGGCGCATTTTGCGTCTTCTGCTACCCCCGCCGCCGTGACAATGACGAGGAATGAGATCTTCCGCCATGGATCTTCCGAGAGCTCGTGGAGTTCGCGCTCCAGTGACACGATACGGCCTGTCGGGCGCGGCTCTCTGCGCGGTACACCTGTAACCGTCAAGACGACCAAGGACCTCAACGAGCCGTACGTATACTCCCCGGAGCCATTGTCTGTTGGCCTGGATTCTGTATAGAAAGGGCTGGTTCTGTGCTGGGTGGGCTGCGCGCGCTGTGCGCCTCGACGATTGCGCCGCCCTGCCGCTACGCTGTCGTCGTTGGCCGTGTCGCAGAGCCTCGACACTCCACCCCCACAGCGCTGGCACGGCTGCTGGCCATGGCCAAACACGCTCTCCCATTCCGCAAAGGAGAGAATTGTACCTACACCGAAGCGTGGGCGAGCACAATGCCCCCCGCACCTGTCTCTCCCCGTCTCACTGCCAGACGCGCATCCACTTGTTTGAACAAGCACTCGCTAACCCCATGTCGTAGAATCGTCGAAAGAGAGTCTGAGATATCGCCCGGCACCATGCCTCCAGCTCCTCCCCCAAAAGACGCCTCGCATCGACTGCGCAAGCAATCCACCTGGGACGCACCCCCGCCGCCAAACACCCTCGGGGACCATCGCAAACAGCTGGCTGTGCTGGAGACGTCTGGGGGAAGAGTACCGTCCATATCGCGAAACCCGCCCACGGCGACGACGGCCAACTCACAAAGTGCTCCCTGGTCCTCCCCATCGAATGGTACAAACATGGCCAACAGCGTCTGGAGCAGCTTCTTCAACGACTCCAACGAAGACGTCTCGCAGCCCTCGCCTGGATTTGCGCGACCAGGAACGGGAAGCAGAGAGGACAGCATGGGCTTTCCACTGAAAGACGACAGACGCCCGTCGGTAGCAAGCGCCAATACTGTCAGCAGCACGGGTTCCAAGTCGAGCATCAGCCGAGGAGGCTTTCACAAGCGACTGCAGAATGTGTTTGGAGAGGACTTCCCTGCTGATGGCCGTCAAAACTCCGAGACCAGCCTGATCACGCCCTATGCGACCGACACGCAATCTATCCGTGGGCAGCGGGATCGCGGCAATTCTCTCAACAACACCATTGGAAGTAACCACCATTCTACGCCCGCTTCGCCTACGAGTTCCCGTCCGCGGACACCACAGCCCTCGTCCGAAGTCACGCCTTGGGACTTTCAGGAACCTAAGGTACGTCATGCGATTGGTCCTGACTTTTGGCCATTATCTTTTGAGGAAGGCACATTTGGCCTCACACCCCCTACCACGCTTTCCCTTGCAACAAAACCTCGACAGAGCACCCTGTCACTAACATTGCATAGGACACTGCCCCTCCAGCGGCTGAAAGTGGAAGGCGATCTTCCGAGCACCATTCCGCCAAGTCGGCTACTCGATCGCACAAGCTGCATGTGAGGCTACCTGGCCACGGCCATCGACATCGAAGCAGCAAGGAGGAAAACAAGGCCCCCGAGAGCCGGGCAGACATCAGTCAGCCGTATCCACTGCGTCCAGCCACCAATCGCGAGGATTCGGCGTATAGCGTTCGCCCAAACCCACAGTATCCGTCTGCCCTCAGCGCCGCTTTCGCTACCGCTTCCAAGACCAGCCTTCTGGGGCGTCCCTCAAGTCCCACGCCTAGTGCACATTCTGACACGGCACGCGACTCCTCGCTGGCCCAGCGGTCACCCAGCACCCATAGGCCACACGGTTTCTTCGCACGTCTGCGAGGCAAGGATAAGGATAAGCCAGACCGTTCCACTGCGCCAGAAACCCTCAAAAACCTCCCTCTTTCTGGTACTGCCTCCGCCACATCCCTGAGCCCTTCCGTTGTCACCGCGAAACAAATACGGGCAGAGCCTTCACCCCAAGCAACCATGGCGAAGAGACAAGCCACCGCGCCAGCTATGGAGGAGCGAGGCCAAGCCAAGGACAACAAGAGGGCGCCTCACCACCGCCTTCCGACATTCAGAAAGGACAAGCGTGCACCAACAAACGACGCGACTGGCAGAGACCCGAATGAAGCAACTCCCAAGACCATAGGCAACGATGCAGTCTTCTTTCTGGACAGCAACCTGGACGACATGGAAGGTATCGTTAACCCACAACAACCGCCGATGACGCCCCCCGTTGGTGAGCTGCAGAAAGCGCCAGTCTTTGGCGAGGAGCAGCCAGCTCCTGCAACCGACGAGGATGGCAATGCGGCTTGGGACGCACCTGATTCCTGGGCTGTCAAACGGCTCAAGGACGAAATGGACAGGCTCCGAGACCTTGAGGAATCTGGCGGGTCTCTAAAGGGAGAGGGCGATACCAAAACATATTGTTTGCGCATCTTCCGGGTTGACTCTACCTTTGCGACTTTGTCTGCTACCTTGGATACCACGGTTCAGGAGATTATTCAGATCTTGGGGAAGAAGACTGTTCTCCAGGACGAATTAGATAATTACCATATCGTGATGCGAAAGCATGATACCGCACGACAGCTGGAAAGCAACGAGCGTCCCTTGCTAATCCAGAAACAACTCCTCGAGCAAGCTGGCTACACAGATCTTGATCGTCTAGAGGATGTTGGGCGGGAGGACAACAGCTACTTATGCAGGTTCACGTTCCTGCCTGCTAAAATGAGCGGATACTCCAGTCTCGAAAGAGATCCTGGATTCAGCAAGATGCAGAAGTTCAGTCATATCGATCTTCAGGGCCGGAACTTGATCACAATTCCCATCACACTCTACCAAAAGGCGACTGAGATAATATCTCTCAACCTCTCCCGTAACTTATCTCTGGATGTACCCAAGGACTTTATCCAAGCTTGCACCAACCTCCGAGAGATCAAATACACGAGCAACGACGCCAGACGATTACCACCCAGCCTCAGCTTAGCTAGCCGCCTAACCATGTTGGACATCTCGAACAACCGTCTTGAGTCTCTCGATCGGGCTGACTTGGACAAGCTACAAAGTCTGCAGGGTCTTCGACTATCCAACAACGGCCTGACGCGGCTACCGTCTTACTTTGGACAATATCGGGCTCTTCGTAGTCTGAACCTCAGTTCAAACTCGTTGAACGAGTTTCCTGACTTCTTATGCGAGGTTCGAACGTTGGTTGATCTCGATATCAGCTTCAATTCGATATCCAGTCTGCCCAAGATTGGTCAGCTTACCTGTCTAGAGAGACTTTGGGCGACAAACAACAAATTGACCGGCAGCTTCCCTCCCGGGTTGGGTAACCTAGTCAATCTCCGAGAAATCGATGTGCGGTTCAATGCACTAGACAGCATGGACGTGATATCTCATTTACCACGCCTGGAGTACCTGATGATTGGACATAACTCTATATCTGTGTTTGAGGGTTACTTTCCCAAGATTCGTGTCCTACACATGAACCACAATCCCGTCACACGCTTCGGACTCAGTCAGGCTGTACCGTCACTGTCCGTTCTCAATCTTGCATCCGCCAAACTGGCTCAGCTACCAGAAGACCTATTTTCAAAGCTTACTGGTCTCACTAAGCTGATCCTCGATAAGAATCACTTTACCTCCCTCTCAAATAACATAGGGCGGCTATTCAGATTGGAACACTTGAGCGTGGCTCGAAACTCCCTGGACGTATTACCAGCTGAGATTGGACGGCTCGTCGAACTACGTTATTTGGACGTGCGAGAAAATAATCTCAGTATACTTCCTCCAGAACTCTGGTTTGCCCGACGGTTGGAGACGCTCAATGTGTCCTCAAATGTGCTCGATGCATTCCCCAAGCCGAGTGCGGCACCACCACAGGTGTCGAATGGCGAGGTAATGAACCTTGATGGAGCGACGCCAGCGACTACACCAGGCCTCGGATCGAGCCCCAGCTTTGAAGAACTCGGAAAGTTGGAAGACTTCCAAAATCGACGCCCTAGCCAGGCATCTGGCGGCCAATTCAGTACCGGGACTTCACCCGGTAATTCACAAAGGAAAGGATCTCTAGCCTCTTATAGTACTGCAAGCACAGCGCGAAAAACATCAGTCGCCTCTCGTGCGCCTACAGAAGGAACACTGACTCCAATGTCCCGAAAGGACTCCAGCCTGTCTGGCAGGCTAGTCACGACTTTCGCAGGTTCTTTGCGACACGTATTCTTGGCTGACAACAGACTTACCGACGACGTCTTCGACGAATTATGTCTCCTTCCGGAGCTGCGAATTGTCAACCTCGCGTATAACCTTATCTATGACGTACCACCCCGCACAATAAGGAGATGGCAACATCTTGCCGAATTGTATCTGTCTGGCAATGATTTGACATCTCTCCCGTCGGAAGATCTGGAAGAGGTCGGCTCTCTAAAGGTGCTCCATATCAACAACAACAAGTTCCAAGTGCTCCCTGCCGAACTAGGCAAAGTCGCACAACTTGCCGTTCTGGACGTCGCAAGCAATTCACTCAAGTACAATGTATCCAATTGGCCGTACGATTGGAACTGGAACTGGAATCACAAACTACGGTACTTGAACTTGTCCGGCAACAAACGACTGGAGATCAAGCCAAGCGGTTCCTATAGTGGAAGTGGCATGAGCATGCGAGAAGGTCGCGACCTGACAGACTTCAGCTCCTTGATCAACCTAAGAGTCCTCGGCCTAATGGATGTTACCATGATGGTGCCTTCCGTACCGGAACAGTCGGAGGACCGAAGAATACGTACAGCAGGTTCCGCAGTAGGCACGATGGCATATGGTATGGCGGACTCTCTGGGCCGCAACGAGCACATCTCGACCATGGACCTGGTCGTTCCTCGCTTCCGTAGTCACGATGACGAGCAACTGCTGGGTCTATTTGATGCCCAACCCCTCGCTGGCGGAGGATCAAAGATCTCCAAGTATCTCTATGATCATTTCAAGAACCGCTTTACCGACGAGCTGGAGCGTTTGCGACCACAAGAAACTCCGTCGGATGCTCTGCGACGAACTTATCTAAGCCTCAACAAGGAATTGGCCACGCTTACCACGCAGACTCTAGATAAGAACGCTTTCGGCCCGCCGGCACAGCCGCGGAACGGGGTTCCCGAACTTGGCGATGATGATTTGACTTCTGGAAGCGTGGCTACTGTGCTATTTCTCAAGGAGATGGAGTTGTATGTTTCCAACGTTGGTGATGCACAAGCGCTGCTCATCCGGTCAGAAGGAGGTCACAAACTTCTTACGCGGAAACATGACCCAGCTGAACCTAGCGAAAGAGCTAGGATACGGGAAGCTGGAGGCTTCGTCTCACGACAAGGCAAACTAAACGATGTTCTCGAGGTATCAAGAGCGTTTGGCTACGTACAGATGTCGCCATCCGTTATTGCTTCCCCGCACCTTCTCAACATAACCCTTGGCGATACTGACGAGATGGTGCTCGTGGCCTCTCGAGAACTGTGGGAGTATCTCACTCCAGATTTTGCTGTCGATGTCGCGCGATCCGAGCGCAGCGATTTGATGCGCGCCGCTCAGAAACTTCGAGATCTGGCTATCGCATTTGGCGCGACTAACAAGATCATGGTCATGTTACTCGGAGTCAGCGATCTCAAGAGCAAACAACGCGCCCGATATCGCACGCAGAGCATGTCATTGATCCCTGCACCCGGGGGAGACATCGACTGGGGCTCCCAACGTAGGCCTGGGAAGAAGAGGAACTTGGTTGGTGACTCCAAGCTTGCTCGTCTTGACAATGAAGTGGATGCGCCAGTGGGAGAAGTTAGCTTGGTGTTCACGGATATCAAAAACTCGACTTTGCTCTGGGAAACGTACCCGATTGCGATGCGATCCGCCATCAAGATGCACAACGAGCTCATGCGCCGGCAGTTGCGCATCATCGGTGGTTATGAAGTCAAGACGGAAGGTGATGCTTTCATGGTCGCATTTCGAACGGTGACGTCGGCATTACTGTGGTGTTTCACCATCCAGAGCCAGCTTCTTGAGGTACAATGGCCCCAAGAGATTCTCAGCAGCGTGAACGGGCAGGAGGTCGTCGATCCTGATGGCAATGTCATATTCCGAGGTCTTTCGGTCCGCATGGGTGTTCACTGGGGTACCCCGGTGTGCGAAGTCGATCCGGTCACTAAGCGCATGGATTACTTCGGTCCCATGGTCAACCGTGCCTCGCGTATCTCCTCTGTCGCCGATGGAGGGCAGATCACCGTGTCATCCGACTTCATCGCTGAGATCCAACGCCTTCTAGAGACGCACATTGAAGGAGACCGCAGCAACTCGATAGGCTCCGAAGAGGCATATGGCGACGATGTAAATAATCAACTGATCCGTCAAGAGCTGCGATCACTCAGTAGCCAAGGTTTCGAAGTCAAAGATCTAGGCGAGCGACGTCTCAAAGGTCTAGAGAACCCTGAGTACATTTACCTCATGTACCCACATTCCCTGGCGAGTCGTCTCGCCGTTCAACGACAGACGGAGCAGAAGCCAGGGCCACAAACATCGGAGGCGACCGCGGGTCAGAAGATGGCAGGCAGCCAGCTTACAATTGATACTGAAGATGTATGGGAACTCTGGAATATTAGTCTACGTCTAGAGATGCTCTGTAGTTCCCTCGAGAGCCCTGGGTGCGTGGAGCTGAAACCTCCTGAGACGGCGCTGTTGGAGAGAATGAAGAGTCGAGGTGGGGAGATTACAGATAGATTCCTGATCAATTTTGTCGAACATCAGATCTCGAGAATTGAGGTACGTACTCTTGTAGAGTGTTGGTAGTTGAGGCGGATGCTGACAGTGAAAATAGTCTTGTGCCAACACGCTCGCCCTTCGTCACCGAATCCGACCTTTCGGATCTGCGCCTCTACTTGAGCAAGCATGTCACATGGGTGACATCTTTGCAGAGCTCGACGAGAAGCTCAAGAGACTAGAACAATATGAGGCGGAAGCCATGGAGGGTATGGCACCCTCATGAACAACGACGACGCATTATACATATCACGACTGCTACCACACTGCTACATAAATCCCCTTGCTGATTCAGCGAGCTACGACGATTACGACCATACCACACTATCATACGATACCTTATCCTACCTAATTGAACCCATTCTCACGTCCGGGCGCCCACAGAGGCACGGAAATTTCCAGAGCAGCGATACATTTCTTCTACCGCAACAATCTATCAAGCGGCGTTTAGGAGCAAACTTTGTATCACCACTGCACCGCCCCGGAGGCTTGCCTGAATTACCACGACTTATACTTTGTATACCACACGGCAATTGGCCGGTGGTAGGGAGGCAGGGAAGCAAACCCACGCTTTGGCGTTCAGGAACTAGCTCTTTTGATTGATCCAGCGACTTGTTTGGCCTCATTTCCTTTCTCATTCTTGTTCTTGTTATCTTTTTCTTTCTGGATGGATTATAAGCGCACTGCGTTTTGTCTGCTGCCTGTAGCTATTATCACTATGTCTTATAGGAAGGGTATGGTCCATGGATGACCTTTGGCTGGGATTTTTCATGTTCCGTGGTTCTTCTTCTCTCTGGATGCATTATTGATATTTGCTCCCTCCTTACCTTTTCCTGTGTTGTGTTAGCATCTAGGAAAGCTAATGGTATTCGTGTTGAAAGATATACATTTAGTGGAAATGTTGAAATGCTTCTTCGCCTTCTAATTGTTGGGGCCTACTAATTGTGTATGATGCTGACTTTTTTTCCTTACTACAAACTAAAGCTATTGAGATATTGAAAATGTCTCTCCGAAGTATACGTCCGTTATTTATAGTGAGAGCACCAGGCAATGGTGTTAGGGGAGATCTTGGTGCGGGTTATTTTACTTAAGAGCTCGGAGCACCAGGGCAGGAATGTTCTTGTCGCGCACCATCTAACAGGGATCCACTTGAAAGTTGGCCTGTCTGTCTCTATGGAGATGTAAAATCTACGCAACAGAGAGAAGAATCTATATGACTGATTGAGAAAAAGCAGAATTGAGGAGGTGGAATAAAGGTCATGAATAAGCAATACCGGAGCCTCGCTTAGGCGACTAGTGGGGGTGATTAGCTGTTGGCGCACGTTAGCCGCTGCTAGCCATGCAGCAGAACCCAACCAAGGGGTTTTATTCCTCACCTTGACATTTTCCCCCACCAACATAAATCCACATATCTTTCACATGTTGTATGCAGAGACATCGCCATCCCCAGCTCTGTGGAGATTTCATACATGCGCCCCGCTCAATGTGCTTTGTGTGTAGCGCTGCAACCACTGGCCTGTGGACAACGACGATGACCGACAAACATTACAGGACAAAGCCCCAAAGAACGTTCCGCTGAACGCCGATGACTGAACAGATGTTTATTTGGAAGGCCATAATGTTCTCCGATGTATAACACAACCTAACTTATTTCGCGCTTGTCTGCGATGGGACGTTCTTCCGCGGTTCGGCTCCCTTGCTTTCCACTTTCCGTTCTATTGCGCCTGGCAGCCTTCGTTGCGTCGAAAGATTTTCCAAGTATTTTCTTTCAAATGATCGAAACATGCTAAAATCCCGCGGCGTGTTAGAAAAATCCCGCTTTACGCTGCTCGAAACCCCACAATGACAAAATGCCTCATGTGCTGCGCCCCATCACTAGCATTCCTCGAGTAAAGGATGCACGTGGGCAAAATGCCTCGTTCGATAAGGGCCTTTTGCTCAAGCAACCAACCAAGGCTTTGCATCGAGCAAAATGAGCTTCTTACTGCTTGCAATTTCGTCAGAGCATCGCTCTCGGCGCGATAACAAACTAGTACAAGTCTGTCGAAGAGGGATTTTCTTTCTTCTCGTCGTGTAGACAGACACCTGCAGCCTGTTGAAGAGGGGTTTCATTTCTCTTCGTGTAGACAGACGCCTGCAGCTTGTCATGGAGGCCTCGATTCATTTTCCAGACGCAACACTGCATCCAACCCGGTCGAACAAATCGCATTCCATTGGTGGCGTGATTCCTCTACGCTCCCGCTCAAAACCCCATGGAAGCAAGACCTCCGTCGATCTCGCGAAAGCGAGAGAGCTTGAAGATGCCGAAGATGAGGATGCTGGTCTGCGGGACGCGCGCGATTATAAACGCAGCCAGGTGAGTGAAATATCCCCGGTTCTCAATCAACTACCTGGCTCACAGAAGAGTAGGTCTTCAGCCTTGGCCAGGTCTTCCTTCTCGCGTACCAATCCATAGGTGTTATTTACGGTGACATTGGCACGTCGCCTCTGTATGTGTTCTCGAGCACTTTTACGAAAGCTCCGAATCATGCCGACTTGCTTGGAGCACTGTCCCTTGTCCTCTGGTCGGTCACGTTGATGGTCACGGCCAAATACGTCTTGATTATTCTACGGGCCGACAATGATGGCGAGGGCGGCACCTTTAGCACGTACTCTTTGTTGTCTCGATATGTAAGTCTTGGAAAAATGTCCTCTAGTGTTCAAACGTGCTTATTAGATACAGGCGAATATCGCTAATCGCGATCCTCGCGAGGCTACGATGATACGTGGGTTACTCCCTCCACTGGTTTAGTCGCAAGACTGACCTCAATACAGGCATGGAAAGACATCTGACCGAGGACCTGGGGCGTTCAACCAAGAACATCCGATCAACCATTGAGAACTCTTGGTTGTTCCGCGGCCTACTCAAAGCAATAGGCGTGCTTGCCGTCTCCATGGTAATGGCTGATGGTGTCTTGACCCCCGCGCAGTCTGTTCTTGGTGCGGTACAAGGCCTCAATGTTGTGAAGCCTGACATTGCGAAATCGACCATCGTTGGTGTTACCTGCGCCATACTCATTCTCCTGTTTCTCGTACAGCCCCTAGGTATAGCGCGACTCACAATGGTGTTCTCCCCAATCGTCATGGTGTGGCTCGCTTTGAACGCTGGGTTTGGAATTTACAATTTAGCCAAGTAGGTTCCCGCTACCCCTTACACTCCTTTGCGCAGCCAGCTAAAGTATTTCTAGGTACGACTACGCGATACTGAAGGCGTCCAACCCATATTATGCTTTTGACTACTTGATACGGAACAAGCACCATGGATGGAGGAGTCTCGGCGGTATTCTCCTCTCCTTCACTGGTGTCGAAGCCTTATTCGCCGACATTGGTGCCTTCAGCCGACATGCAGTGCAGCTAAGCTGGCTCGGATACGCCTATCCATGTCTCCTACTCGCCTACAGTGGGCAAGCTGCATACATTAGTGTGCATCCAAATGCTTACTCTAATCCTTTCTACAACTGTGCTCCCCCGGGCTGGCTGATATTCTCGCTGATTATCGCCATTGCTGCGGCTATCGTGGCTTCCCAGGCTATGATCACGGCAACATTTCAGGTACATGGTTTCTATTTACTACCAGTTAGTAGCTCCCGCTAACAGTTCGGAAGCTCCTCACCCAGATCATGAAGCTCTCGTACTTCCCGCAGATCAAAGTCGTCCATACGTCGACCGTCTACCATGGCCAGATGTACGTGCCGAGTGTAAACTGGTTGCTCATGATTGGCACTGTGCTCGTCGCTGCCATCTACAACAATACCACGTCACTTGGTAACGCGTACGGTGTGTGCGTCATGTTTGTCACTTTCTTCGACACATGCATGGTCACCCTCGTCGCTATCATCGTGTGGCGCATAAACCCGTACTTTGTCTTTCTTCCCTGGCTTACTATCGCCTCACTGGACGGCGCCTATTTATCCTCTGCGCTTACAAAAGTGCCCGATGGCGCATGGTTCACCATCCTCCTCTCCTGTCTCCTTGCGTCCATCTTCATTCTTTGGCGATTCGGCAAGGAACAGCAGTGGCACGCAGAAGCTAGCGATCGTTTCCCGACGACACATTTTGTCAAGACGTGCCACGACGGGCGGCTCCAACTTGCCGAGAAATTTGGCAACAAGCCAGTTAGCTCCATGGAAGGCTTTGGCATTTACTTTGACAAGGCTGGCGAAACGACGCCCATCGTCTTCAGTCAATTTATTCGCAAACTTGTTACAGCGCCTGAAGTCATCGTCTTCTTCCACCTTCGCCCTCTAGAGGCACCGTCCGTGGCCCCGGAGAATCGTTATAGCGTCTCGAGACTGGCTATCCCGAACTGTTATCGTCTCGTCGTACGGCATGGATACATGGACGAAGTCATTACGCCTGATCTCGCGTCTCTGATCTTCGATAAAGTACGCGACCACATCGTGGAACGCGCCTTGGACCGTGAAGGCGAAGAGAAGAAGCCTGCTACTACGATAACCACTACGACTACCACAGGTGCTGAAATTGCACAAGCGCCTAATAATCCCATACAAAGCAACACTAGTAGTAGCACACCAACCGAGAACGCAATCGAAAACACGTCCACATCCTCGCGCAGCTCAACTACCTCCTCCCGCCTCGAAGCCCTGGAGCGCGCATACGCCCACGAAGTCCTCTACATCATCGGCAAAGAACAAATGAAAATCAAGCCCGGCACGAATCTTGTGCGCCGCTTCTTCCTCCATGCGTTTCTGTTCATTCGGGACAACACGCGGGCAAAGATTGCGAGTCTGGATGTTCCCATGGATAAGGTAATTGAAGTGGGCTTTGTGAAGGATGTCTAGTTTGATAGATCGGTGGAGTTGTTTATATATATTCGCTGTAGTGTTGCTTTGGAAATGGATTAATATGAACGTAGCAACCAAGCAAGGGTTTTTTTAGTACTATGTAGTTGAACGTTGAGCTCCGATGCTGAAGAGTCAGTTGGCTTCCACTCTTACACCCTGCTGAATGCAACTACCGATCACTAATATTGTTCGCTAAGTACTTCAGGCTTACTCTAGTCATGAAAGATGTGTTGAAAACTACTCGCCCTAGCCCAATTACTCAACCCCCCTTTTCACGTTAGAAGCAAATGCCGGTCATGTAGCTGCTTAGTCCTGTCATCGGCCCATGTCTCGCAGCCTCTGGGCTAGCGCTGGACATTGTAGTTGATACTAATTCTGGTAAGCGCCCTAACATTACTGTATTTTCAGTGTTCGAGCAATATCTCATGGGGCAGGAATCTAGGTAGGCATCCTTATTATCATCGCAGACCTTGTCATGCGGGAGATGTTTGAGCCTGTGCTCCTTGAACGCAGAGCCGTTGCGTTGCGCGTAGAGACAAGCAACAAGTACTCCCAGCCAACGCCTGGCCCGCGCTATAACACGACCAATGCGAATGATGATCGCATCGCCCATCGTACCCCTGCTCTCTACATTGGCGAACAACTCTATAATCTCTTTTCCTTATCCTCCCCAGCTGGCAATTCACAATAGTACAACAGTGCACTGAAATACGTGGGCCACCTTCAACACGATCGTGGCATAATACTACGTTACATTATATCTTCAGACCTCTAAGCTCTAGACTCACACTCTCTCGACTCCTCAAACTTAATCCCGCCGCCCGCTGCGCGAACCCAATGACATCCTGCACTCTCTTGCCACTCGCTAGACCCACAGCCAGCGCCCCACAAAACGTATCGCCAATACCATTTACACTGACTACCTCTTCAGGCTTCAATACTTTCTCTGGCGCGAAGAGACGCACGTACAAGCCACCCACCCCAAGTTGACTCGAATCTGTATTCATACCACGCGCTAAGATATACGGCCGTTCTGCGTCGTTGTGTAGTTCCTCAGCGTCGGTTGTGAGCAGTTTGGTCAGTAGCACGCCTTGAGGTCCAAGTTTCGTCAGAATGGTCGGGAAGAAGGGAAGTAGTTTGATAGCTTGTTGCGGCACACCCTGATCTACTATGTCGGAGTTGGTGGTGTAGGCAAGAGGAATGCGTAGACCGGTCGACGGTATGCCAAGAGCGTCTATAACGGCGAACCATTCTTGACTCTCGAAGTAGGACGATTGGTATGCGTAGTTGTGAAGTGCGCTGAGCTCGTACGTGTTTGGTGTGATGATGTCGGCAAGAGGGTTGGGAAATACGTTGGATATATCGTCCGAAGACGATGATGTGGGAGGGAAGATTCGTAGTGCTTTCGCAGTGGAAACAGGTTCGAAGATCGTCGTGGTGGCTGGATGGTGTGCGGCCTGGAGCCAAGTGTGTAGGGCGGTAGACGACCAGTTTGCGTCGGCGACGAAGACTCTTGGTCGTGCTGAGGAGTTGCTGAAGAGAGTACTCGTAAGGCTTTCAATAGTATCCCCGGGGATCTTTTCTAGAATGGACATGTCTGCCATGGCAAGCGCGAGGTCTTTGTTCGCGTTGTTGATGGCGACATATTGGGCGGTTCTGGCAGGCTTTGGGAGAGTCTCGATACCAGACACCAGCATGCCTTCCTCTTGCAGTTGACTTAGCGCTGCGCGGCCGCTGAGATCATCGCCAACAGCACTGTGCAGGCTAACGGGGGAGCCGAGCAGGTGGGCGGCCTTGGCAATATTATGTGCTACGCCTCCAAGAGTCTGATTGATCACAGCTGGGTTAGATGTGTGTGGTAATGGCTCGGTCTGGCTTGTGGAGTTGGTAAAAGGGGTGTAGTCACACGAAAAGTCGACTGCCAAAGCACCTGCTACGACAATGTCTATGCCCGATGCATTCTCAGAGATGGATGTACTTGAAGTTGTAGGGGGTTCTGCAAGCGATAGAGATGCTTCACTGAGTGCATCTTCTGTGGTAACTGTAGGACTAGATTGAACTGGAGTAAAGTAGGAACCCCGTCTACATACTTACAATCAGCGCCAGTCTACAATCAAGCATCAAGAGTGCTGGCTCACCCTTGGGCTTCTTCTTGCTTTCCTTCCAGTATCGCAAGCTCTCGGGCTACAATGGTGGCTCGTTTGACATTGGACTCAATGAGTGCTCTGTTTGCGGGAATACTCGCACCCTTGCTGAGCTCCTTGATTTTAGCAAGGACGAAAGGTGTATTATCTTTGCCCGTGATACCTGCAGCATCGGCTTGCTTCAAAGCCTCCTCAATGATTACGTCCATCTCTGCCTTGGGAATGGCAAACTCTGAGGGGACTGGATTGGCGAAGAGCAGGCCGGACGTAATCTGCAGTGAGTTTTGCGCGTCTGCCGAGTATTAGTGGATAGGTACTTTGGCCATCATAGAAAACGAGAGCTTACGTATTATCGCGGCAGCCTCAATCTCGTTAGCTATGGTAGTGGGACTCTTCACTCCACTATCTCTCGACCAGAATGCAGGGAAGTCGACGTTCCCTGTGCGCCCGTCTGCGAATGTGCCTACACCCACGCCTTCAGTCTCGAGGTACTCAATTGTTCTAGGTATATCGAGGAAGCTCTTGCATCCACTTGACACTACAGTGACCGGTGTTCTGCCTAACTCTGTCAGATCCGCAGAGATGTCCATGCTAGACTCTGCACCGCGATGAACACCACCAAGACCGCCTGTACCAAAGATCTTGATACCAGCTAGATGTGCTAGCAGCATAGTTCCAGATATCGTCGTGCCGCCATTGAACAGTTTGTTGGTCAATCGCAGACCGCACACATAGCTCAGGTCTCGCCTCGAAAGCTTCAGAGTGTTGGAGTTGCCGGCAGAAGAGGCTAGTCTTATTATCTCTTCTGGGCTCAAGCCTACGCGGGCCACTCCATCCAGAATGCCTATGGTGGCAGGGACACCGCCATTTGTTCGGACCACGCTCTCGAGGAGAGAGGCTAGAGCTACGTTCTCGGGGTATGGGAAGCCTGGAGGCCCAATTAGCTTCTTATGAATATAGGAACGAGGAATAGCTAATACCATGAGTGTATATTGTCGTCTCGAGCGCGACGACAGGCTTCTTCGCATTCAGGGCTTCCCGCACCTCTTCCGAGACTTTGAAGAAGCCATTGTTGGTGAGATGGCGCCTTCCAGATGCTGCAGCTACACCTACTCTCAGACACGGAGAATACAGCCGCGGCCTAGCAACAGCTCTTGCTAGTAGTGACATGGTGGTATATGCTACGACTACAGCGGTGGAGGGGTGAAGCTGGAGCTGCCGCATAGTCTTGGCACGGAGGTGCCCCAGGAACTCCGAAGAGAACACGACGCATCAGCCCGCATACGCAACATTTCCAAACATCACCCCAACACCCCAACCTCCCACTTCCTCCACCTCGTAGATGCTTGGGAAAGTTGGCAACTACCCAACATGAGGTCAATTTCTCTCTTCGCGAGCTGCATAGCGGCTCTCTCGAGCTTCGCGTGCGCCGAGTTGAACCTCTCAGAGCCACTGCGGTCGAAGCAGGTGCTACCCAGTACCTTCACGCCTCCCCAGGTTTTCAAGAATGCCAATCTCGTCCGGACGACAAACTTGGACAAGGCGTACCCGAGGGAAACTATCCATGTCATAATTGAGAACATCGACTCGAAACCGCAATCTGAGTACTATCTGCCATTCGAGGCGAGCTTGATATCGAAGATTGGAGGACTCGAAGTAAGAGACAAGAAGGCAGCTGAGCAAGGAACATTCAAGGTCGAGGTTGTAGGCATCGATACTGACAGGTAACCCATTATTGCGCAATTGACAATCACCAAGGCTGACACGCGCACAGCTCCACGGAATTCTACCTCATCCATCTCCCCCAGCCACTTGCGCCCAACGCGCAACAAACCCTTACCATCTCCTACTCCGTCCTCTCCACCCTCAAGCCCGTCCCCGCGGAGCTCGCGCAGTCCGCCAAGCAGTACCTACAGTACACATTCAGCGCATACGCACCCTCTGCCTACGTCACAGAGAAGCAGAAGACCAAAGTGAAATTCCCGAACAGCGACGTACCAGACTACACGACCCTCCCCGCCGATCTCAACGCCGAGCAGAAGGTGGACCCGCAGAAGCAGGGCTCGACGTTTACATATGGTCTGTATGACAATGTGCCAGCAGGCGCACAGCAGTCCGTAAGCGTGCGTTATGAGTTCACCAAGCCCGTCACCCACGCGACACTTCTCGAGCGTGACCTCGAGGTCTCGCACTGGGGCGGCAACTTGGCGTCCGAGGAGCGCTATTGGCTCGTCAACCAGGGCGCTGGGCTCAAGAACCACTTCTCCCGCGTTGAGTGGCAGAAGCAGTCATACATGAACCCACCTACGTTCGCTCTGAAGGGCCTGAACCTACCATTGGCTCCTGGCGCTGTTGATCCGTACTTCACAGACGACATCGGCAATGTCTCGACATCCAAGTTCCGCCCTGGCAAGAAGGAAGCATTGTTGGAGTTGAAGCCGAGATATCCTGTGTTTGGAACATGGAAGTATAGTTTCCGCGTGGGCTGGAATGCCGACCTGTCGAGCTACCTGCGCAAACTCTCCACTGGCGAAACCTACGTTCTCAAAGTGCCTTTCCTCGAGGGTCCTCGTTCATTCGAGGGCATCTCTTACGCCCGTGTGAACCTACGCGTTATCCTCCCCGAGGGTGCCAAGAACGTCAAGTTCTCTACCACCGTCCCGCTCGTGGACAACTCAACTAGTCTTCACAAGACGTTCATGGATACACTCGGCCGAACAACGCTAAGCTTGACTGCTATCAACTTGGTCGATGAGTTTAGAGATAGGGATTTGATTGTGACGTATGATTACCCATGGACTGCGGGATACAGGAAGCCAATCGTTATCACGCTTGGCTTGTTTGCGTTGTTTGCAACTGCGTGGGTGTTGGGCAGCATTGATACGAGTATTGGAAAGAAGAAGACGGCGTGAAGAGGGTGATGAACAAAGTGTGTATAAACAAGATAGTGTGAAGAAAAGTCACGTTGACGGAGTCATGGTTGTCTTGAATTGGATTTGCCTTGAACTGGTTTCAGCGACATGTCAGGTAGATTCATTCTGTTCCCTTTTCTTTCCCATGTAAAACAATCAACATTGGGTTTTAGGTTCGTTTCTCCTGGATCCAAGAAAGATTTATCGTCATTGTCGTCTTCATCAGGGTGTTATAGCAGCATCTTCTCCTCCACTGCCAATTTCCCCAACCTTCTAAACCCACTCAGCCCCTATTTGCCCTCTTCCCTCTACAGCATGGAAATGAATGTACCTTGGCCGCACGCTCTCAGAACGGGTCCATCTTCCCCCGAACCCGATGCACATGTCTGACCACAACCCTAACCCCCTCCGGCGCCTCCAACCGCCCAACTTCATTCCTTACCTCCAACGCAATCAAATCCGCAATTGCAACACTCCGGTGCGTCCCTGCATGACAACACACACTCATCGCAACCTCCATCATACCCCTTTCCCCACCACCACCACCTCGTCTCTGTTGCCCCACACTCCCCTTTTGTCGCTCCACCTTGCCAAACTCTAGCAAATCCCTCATTCCGTTTCGGATCGCCTTCCTCGCGCGAGGGTCATGCAGCACGTGAGATTGGATGACGGGCGAGAGGCCAGAGTACACGGCGCATAGATGTTTTGGCGGGACGAGCATGGAGGATGCGTCGATGGTGTAGAGATGTGGGATTGGGGGGTCGCGATGGGGAAGGTGGGTTTCCAGTAGCGATTTGAAAGCTTTTGAGTTGGGGGTGCGGTCGGTGCTGTAGGTTATGATGTAGATTGTCGGCTGGGTTGGTTCAGGTGTGTCCGGGAGAGGTTGAGGTTGGGGTCTAAGGTTGGAAGGGCGAGGGCGAGGCGGTGCCTGTAGTACTGTTCGTGGGGAATTGGACGTGTGGCTTTCTGGCCCAGGCGGTCCGTCGTAATAGTCCTCATGCTTGCGAGTATGCCGGTTTCTTGTCTTTGTAGACACATCGAAACGCACGTGTCTTTTCGCCTTGGTGCTCAGATGCTCGTGCCGCCTTTCGATCAAGATAGACTCTCGCTGGACAGGATACCTTTGCGAAAGGCCCGCAGCCCGCTCCGGTTCTCGAATTGTTGGTAAAGCGGGATAACGTGGCGGAGATGAGTCGAGGAAACTTGGCTTATGGAGGTATGAGCGAGCAGAGTGTAAGAGGGATGATCCAGGCATCGTGGGAGCAGGCTCGCTATATGATCGACGGGGTGTGTGGATAGGACATTCAAGGTGAGGTCGTCCATGGACGGGGCAGATGGACATTTCTCGTCTCAGTGAGCTCGCTCATGCGAGGTATTTGGTTGGATGAATCGTAGGCAGGGAGCGACTTGAAGAACAACGCAGGTGAAGGATATCGAAATGATGAACAACAGGTTTAAAGAGTGGTGTTGATAGCTCGCAAAGTTTGCTCAGTATCGAGGAGCCTTTCTCCTAGTAGACTAATGTAACACATGGCGTACTATGCGAATCGCTGTTGCCCACCAAGCTAATCAGAGCAGTGGTGGCGCGTGGAGTCACAGTCGCACGGAGTGCATTCTCCTTGACTCCACAATGAGCCCTGTGCATTCAATTGCTCATGACGAGGAAGGACCGCTGATATGTACTTGGTTGGTTCTTTCTAGATATTATGACACTGAGAGATAAATGTAGGAAAGAGAGGAGAGTGACTCCTGAGAGGGGAAAGAATGAACGTTCAATGTCCGAAGAAGCAAGTCATTCTAATCGCAGCATTATCTATGGACTTCATAGAAGTGCTGTGGCTCGTAGTCATTGGATTTTTACCGCTGTGCGGTAGGTACAGTCATGATTAGATTAGTAGTCTGAGCACTCGATAATCTATGTTGTTTGAGCGAGTATCAATCACATGATCACCTTCTCATCCTTTCTCTAAAACGAGAGCAGATTAGAGAAACCATGTGTCGAAATGTCGAAATAACTTGGGTATAGTATGTTATACATGGGCTCGAGGATACAAACTAGGCGTTGCATTAACCTCACTGACAAGCTTCTTTGATGCACACCAGGAACGCGCATTCTCCACAGTTTTCCACAAGGATGTTATACGTCGTTGCTGTACGACATGCATTGCTTGCGCCATAACGATGTCGGTTCGACGCTCACATGTTGATCGTACAACAGGCTCCACAGTGATCCTACCTACGTGCTCCTTCTCGGTCAAGGTTCTCCGGACCGTGATCGTCGGTTAGGCATCGCTAATGCCCAACACTTGGCATTGTAGACTCCGATGACTTACTCATTAGAGCTCCAGTATGCCTTGCCGGAGCCTTCGCGCTTCTGACTCAATAACCTCGTAGCTCTCGATATTATCCGAGATAGCAGTGTCATACCTCGCGTGCGTTGGGCACCGCTCACTCACGGGAGCCAGGGCGTATTTGCATGACCCATGTGCCACATACTGACACTTGTCTCATCAATGTCAAAGGTAAATGCTCCGCAAACCTTCATTGGCAGGGTACGAGGGTTAAACACCTGCCTCGTGAGTTGAGCATCGCTCTAGCGAAGTACCTAGCAGGCGCCCTCCATATCGCTCGGCTGTGAGATTGCTTGATATTCGGCATCGTTTCATCGTTGTCGCACTCTCTTGACGTCATGGCGTCTCTCCATACAATCTGTAGCTATGCTTTTGCGGGGGAAGGTCGTGCGTGAACAGCATCTATGTCCAACAAGCCCGAGGCAGCGGTTTGACGTGCTGATGGGTGAACCTTGAAACGCCACTTTGACCGGCGTGCAGCCTACGAAACAAAAGTATCGAGTTCCTAAAGAATGGAGGGAATAGAGGAGAGAAAGTCATACGACGTGGAAGTAGGTTGGCTCGAGAGCAAGCCAATAAAGAAACATGGAAAAGGAAAAGTCATCGGATAGGCTGGAATTGAAAACCGCGTCGTCTTCTCGCCCCCGGTAAAAGCCGTTTGATAACATTTGTTTTCTTCTTTAGTGATGTTGTGCCAGCTTACCATGGATGTTGTGGTATGATTAATCGAACCATTTTCCTGGACGGTCCGAATTGCACAGGTGTCTCACCCGCAATCTGCTCATTTACAAAATAGACTTTGCGAGGCGTGTGTCATCCGCAGTGAGCGGTTCGTCGACATCGGCTTCGGAAATGGATAGACGAGCTTTGGTCCGAGCAAGAGGCAAGTGATGCGAGAAAGCGACAAGAAACTACCCATCGTGTGAATACGAAGAACGCCCTCCGTCCTGGGTTTCGCGTCTGGGCATCAGGGGCCGCCTCGTGCCACCCAATACCTAACCCATGCACTCTACCAGCTGCGAGGAACTTGGAGATATTCTCCGAGTAATCTCCTCGGGACCAGCCTTCACAGATGGCTGAAACGGGATCTCACAGCCGACAGCGCAGCACAGCACAGCACAGCACAGTACCGCTGCATTTGCCAAGCCAAGTATAACCTGTTCGCCTTGTCGCATCGCATCTGCATCTGCATCTCGCATGGCCTTGTGCCAGGGCCAAGCTGCAATGTCGGCTGCAAACACTTGACTACCTGCGGGAAGGGCCTCTAGCCGACGCGATTCTGTCTGATCGGTGAAGGATGAAGGCATGGGATTGGCGAACGTACGCGGCCGAGCAGAGTGTGTGGGACCTCACGTTGCTCTTTGTGCGACATTTGCTGTCAACGTCTTGCTTCTTCGGTCCAGGCAATTCGTGGAGCCGTAGCACTGCCGGACAGCACGGAATGGGGCTGTGCAACACGGGAAGTGAGGAACTGAGTTGTCGACTTTAGACGTCGTTGTGTCAGGCGGGGGAATCTAGATGCAAGGCAACGGCGAGCGACAATGTGACATTGCATAAACCGAGTCAAAGTGTGGCGCGGAGTGCACGGAAAAGCCGTTCCCGTTGTCGCTATCGAATTTAATGCTCACCTACTCTTCCTGTGCTGTAAAGTGCTTCGCTTGACGCTGTAAAGACCCGTGCGGGCGTTACCTTGGATATCATATCCTGGGGTTGAACCAAGATGGAGCAGCTTGCGGCGATGTCCTCCGAACGTCTTATCATCGTTACATATTGTCCGTGACCAGCATGTTTGACCGAGCGACATGGTGAACACCATTTATTCGTAGTAGTTACAATTTTACAAAACCATGTATATAGGTCCAAATCTAGACGCAAACGTATCAAGGTACCGCACCCTCTACTATCGTAATCCTAGACTATATCGACTCACAACCAAGCATCCTAATCATTAAACATCTGATAAGACAAGGTAGGCGCAAGCAACATGGGCGTTCACGCTCGGGCGTGCTTGTTGGAGAGCGATCTCAACGCCCAACCGATTCGGAGAATCTTCCGGTACGAATGATTGTGAGGCACTTGTTCCAGCGATACGGATTGACAGAACGCTACTGCCCAACGTCGCGGACATACATATGACTAGCAGATCATTCCCATACTGCCCCCCCAGATTGAAGCTGGGATGTCACAATGTCTGAATGTATCCAAGCTTCCTAATGGACCGAATAGCTCCATCGAGCATGATATCACGAGCATGATATCAAATGACTTCCAGAGGCACAGTAGGCATGTCCCTTTGTAGAAAGCGATCGACAGCACTCGAGGACCGTGTTTTGCTCACATGGTCAAATCTGCGACGCAGCTCCCTACCTCTTATAGTCGGACTTGCTTTGCTGTACGTACCCCAAGTGATCGACGCCCCAAAAAGCGAAGCGAGCGCGCACTCGAGAGAAACCAGTAACGCGCTCTAACAAAGTAGCCTTGCACATCGCATAACAAACTCTCACGCACATCACAAGGGCCCTGGGCAAACTCTTCACCGACAAAACAAGAATCATGACAAGATCTCAACAACCCCTGCGACTCCCATCGTATATCGAGCACGACTTTTTTTTTCAGCCTCAGATATTGGCAAAACGTCGCATTCATCGCCCCGACGTTACATATCGCCGTCTGTGGCGTATTTTTGTTTTCTTCTCACCGTTCCACACTAGAATATTAAATATCCACACGGGCGGCGGCAGATACCGCTGCCGGCGCTATGTTGTCAAAGCTGCCATCCATGGTACAATCCAGCGTAGGGCCTTAGCCTCGGCTAGATATGATGTGGCGCTTTCTTTCGGTCCAGGAACTTGTCAGCATGACGGGGGACGGAGTGGAAGGATGGCGGTCCCGTGGAGATACTCAACTGCAGTGGGGGGGTTAGAGATAGTCGGACGACCTAAGATTGAGGTTGGGCTGCGATCAAATCTTGATAACGCTTACTGGGGTTACGAGACGCAGAGAGAGGTAGTACGCCACCTGGGCATGTTGCGAAATGTTAGTTAGACCCCCATTTGATTCGAGTCGACAGGTGGGCGTGTATTCTTCTCGGCGATGCCAGCCTGCTTAATCTCCTTGGCGATGGTCGCCGTGATATTGTCCGCCCTAAATTTGATAGAGCATGCATCATGCGTCAAGTGGGGATAATAACGGGGACAAGGTGCATGTGAAACTACGCCTTCCGGCTCGACGCGCACGTGGGAATTTGAAATAACAACACCATTTTAGCATCTTCTCCACCTCTGCATAGCCGTGGCGGAAAGGGTCGGAACTCTAATAGCTCAGCGCGAAGTGCGGCAAGTCCATAATTAAATTCTCGTCCAATAGTGAGGCTTACAAGCCTGCTACTTGTTCACGATCAGCATCCAACTAAACTATCAATGATAGAGTTTGACAGCTTCGCATTATTACAAAAACTTTCAGCCTGAGATGCGTGAGCTTCTCATCAACGGCAGAGGCGCCGTAGCTAACCATCTAATCGTCATCCCACACCTTCCTCATTCAAACGTACAAACACACCGAGAAAAAGGCCGTTAGCTTAGAGCCGTAAACTCAAAAGCAAAAATGAAGCCAACCCCCAAATAGGTGCATGACAGCTCTCACAAGCGACAAGTTCCCCACGAAGAAAATCCTACCCCAAAGTAGTGGCTCTTGCCGCAAAGCGGTCAGCCTTTTCCAACCCTAATCGAGTCCAATGCTCAACCGTTTCCCCCTCCACACCGTCGCCAAACCTGCTAGTCCAAGGTATAATATTTTCTCGCCAAAGTAAAAAAACAAAGTTCAGAGGTACCGCCCAGGCTTGCATGTGTGTTTGAAATGCAGCAAATGGTTTCAGTGCTAGCCGCCCAATGATGCGTACGTGCGTGATATGCCTACAAGAGGAAATAACGATGATGATATATACGCCAAGATAAATGCAGGAAATCAGTAACAGAAAGATATATACAAGATGTGTGCGACGCAGCGCAAGCTGCACTTTGAGTAATGTCATTCGAGTTATCCAAAAATAAAAAAAGCGGAGCGAAATTGCGGTGAGCCTTTTTCCAGCTATGTATTAGACGACATGGAGGCTATGTTGTTTCCGGACATTGTAAAGAATTTCGAGATCCATTTTCAGGATCGGCGAGTTTGGTGAGACTTCTTCTAGCAAGTTGATGGTGCGCGCTAAAAGGGCGCTTAGATTCGCCTTGGTGAGCTGCGTATCGCTCGGCAACAAGGGGTAGAGCTTGGATTTGTAGACCGCTGCCAGAACAAGCATGTTTCCAAATTGCCTGGATATCTTTGTTTAGTAAAAACTTAATAGAAACAGGGAAACAACTTACGCGTGAAGTGTGCCGAAGATGTTGGTCACGACGAGTCTGCATGTACGTGTACTTTTGAAGTCTCTGTACTTACTGCCGGGAGGGGCGCCGACGCGATCGAACGCGATGGTACTCTGGATAGCACTGTCTATGCATTGACATGCGACCTTGATGATCTTTCGCTGGTCCTCAGATAGTTCCACCATTTGAACATTTCTGTTCGTAGGCGTGGACGCATACTCCCCCATGTATGCTGGTGAGTTGTGCAGTGACGTATGTGCCGCGCTTGCTGCTGGAGGTGGGAACTCGATGGTGTGACTAGCGATGCGCAGGTAGGGACGCAACATCATGTAGAGACCTCCATAGTATTTGGCGCGTACGCGGGCAATGTTCAAGTCGGTTGAAGGAGGGTCTTCATCCTTCCAGGCCAACGCTGGTGGCAGTACTCGTCTCCAGCTCTGTAGGATGTCAATGTGGGTGCTTGCATGATCGGCAACCTCCTTGACGTTGCTAGTGTCAAAGCTTGAGCGTCCGTTAGCGCCGTACAAGGCGTTATGTGCCTCGTTAAGAATGACGCGAAGCCATATTTGGCTCGAGTAAATCAACATGGAGGTATCGCCTTCAGTCGCTTGTTGAACTTCGGTCTCATCCGTAGGAAACTTTTCGTACACGCCTTCAGGGTACATGATGTCGCTCTGGTGCGCGGAGATGTTACTCGGTGGAAGAGTGCTCATCTCAGCCAAGATGTCGCTAGAGGATGGTCAGCAAAGACGTAGATCAGTGGGGCAAGGGCGACGCACGATTCCAGTTGGAGGCATGTCCAGTAAACGCACATGACCAAATTCAGTCTATATCGCTCTTTGGCGGTCAATGAGGTCGCCTTATTGTCGATATAATAGGTACGGACGAGTTTGGGATAATCGCTGTGGAAAGTGGTTAACTCGAGTCCAAAGACAGGTGAGGGTGGTGGCGCTTACGCTTTGACGAGAACCATGGTAATCCGGCAAGCGTTGTTAATCCAGCTCCAGCTCTCCAAGACTCTTGCAAACTGGCTCAGATAGAGCGCAGCTAATATCATGGCTTGCGCATGAGCAACAGTGTTTCCTCCTTGCTGGTTCCCAAGAATGTCCGTAGCGTAAGAGAAATAAGCCATGCCTGGCAAGATATCAATGTTCCTTGGACGATTGTCATCGGAATAGTCACTATTGAAGCTGCCATTGGGCCGTGGCGACTCGCGAGTGTAGCCCCAAGCACCGTTAACGTAAGGACTCTTATCGCTTTGAGGTGCCGGTAGCTTATCCTTGTAAGCGCATACCTTCCCCATGGCAAGGACAAGGAGGACAATGGCATTCCGCAACGAACGTTCGATTGCGCCTTTGGGGGAATAAGGCTCGCCAAAGGCGCTGCTGGATCGCTTTCTCTTCATTCCGTGATGAAGCTGTTGTTGCAGGCCAGTGCCAGCGGGTGACCTTGCGTTCGCAGACCGCACGTCAGGACTATATTGCTCGATGAACTCTCTAACCATCCGTTTAAGTTTGCTAGGGTTCATGAACGGGTGCAGAACGTGTATGTTATCCAGGTAGGATCGGAGCAAGTCTTCCAAAGTCTTGGAATGGAAGTTGGGTCGGCCATCTTGGCCAAGTCCGCCTTCGTATCCCTGATATTCTCGCGGCGTGTTGCCGCTCATTGTACTTGGACTAGAATGATCCAGGGGCGGGTGGCCCCATAGGCCATCTTTTCCGGGTGCTGGAGACGGTACGTCTGAATCGTTGCTGCTTTCTGGGCTTCCGGGTCCCTGTGCTCCATCATTCAAATCTTGACCCTCGCCAACACCCCATACGCGTATCAATCCACGGTCCTGCTCGAGTTGCATCGGATAATCCGACACATCGTGGCCACTATCCACCAATCTATTCAGGTAATCGACATCCTTGTAGAAGGTATTCATGGCCTGCCACTCTGACAACAGCTTGTGAGCTGGAGTGGTATGGTCGCTTTGGAGCCCGCTCTTTTCTCTCGAACCTCGATCTGTGGCGCGGCTGTGGTCGGTCCTTACGCTGTCGGCTGGAGTCGCTGGTTGTTGGGGTGCGGCCAGAATGGCTTCCTGCTTAATTGGAGTCGATGCTTGTATACCAATAGGCGACATATGGGAGTGGGAAACGATGGGTGAGTCCATTTTCTTGCTGTTGACTCGACGAAGCTGGGCTCTCCCTTGAATGGGCGTGGGCCACCTGGACGTGCTGGAATCCCTCATAGGAGCAGAAAAGGCCGCTTCAGGTGAGGCGTGGTTCGAGACCATTTCGAGGCCTCGACCTGCGGGGAGTCTGCTCTCGACGCTCTGCTTCCACGTATTGAACTCACCGACGAAATCTCTCAGTACGTCGGATATGTTATTCACACTGTCCTGAAGCTGCATCATGCTTCTGTCTTGCCTGCAAAGCGTCAGTGACTGATTTTAGGCGACTGTAAAGTAACGCACTTTGGTGGTGGAACGTCTTTGTATTGGCAATCAAAGTTGTTCTCCCTGCAGAACTGGCACGGGCGGGCTTCGTCGCACTTTTGCTTGCGCGAACGGCAATGGTTGCAGGCTTGGGTGGCTCGAACCTGCTTTCTTCTTACTTGCTGTGCTGCGCTTCCATATTGGCTCCCCATGTATGGACTCTGGGCATAGGGATCCCCCACGGGCTGGCCGTACTGCTGGCCTGGCGGAGGTGGAGGTGGGTGGAAGACGGGTCCGTTGGCATGAGAAGGACTGATGGCGTGGTGGTAGCCATTCGAAGCACTGCCGTTGGAGCGATGCTCTGGGTTCATGGGCCATGGACTTTGATGGCCACCATGCTCCATGCCTTGAGATGGAGGCTGAGGAGGCTTTACGTCGATGCTGAGACTGGTAGAGCGAGAGCTGGGAGGTTCCGGGGCGGAGATGGATTGAGGCGTAGGCGGGGCACGGTACGAGGAGAGGCTGCTGTCTTTGGGGAGTGTTACGGGAGCAGGGCCGGCGACGCCATGAGGACGTTGGCGAGGCGAGGGAATGGTCCTGGGGTCCGCGAGGGCACGGAGATCAGAGGGAGGAAGCGATGGTGAGGGGAGAGGACCTGGGTAAGCTAGGCCTGGGGGAGGGTAGGCCTGGGTAGGCGGCGGCGGTAAGCTGTGGGGGGGATAGTGACGGGGGGGAGGAGGAGGAGGAGGAGACGAGGGTTGGACCAGCGAGGAATATGACGCAGGTCGAGTGGGTTGGATATGAGGCGGCGGCGGTGGAAGGGGGTGTGGACGGTGGCCGTTATAGACGGGGTTGCCAGAGTCCAAACGAGGTCTCTTCTGGGCAGGCGCGTCCGGATCAGCCATCCTTACATATGCCAGACAGACAGACGAGATCCGCTCAGGCCATGCGGCTATGTATGACAGAGCAGCACTTGGGCAACGCAAGCAACGACTACGGATGCTCCCACGACCAACAAACGGCAGAAGCCAGTAGGGGCCGCGAGGGGCAGCTGATGGAAAGAGCGGCGGCCTCGGCAGTCGCAAAGACAGAAGAGGGTCCAGTTCTCTCCAGCACGTCAGGCGATGGTTGGTTGGAGGGGGATTGCAGACGACAGCCCAACCCGCGTCATCGCCTGTGAGGAGGGAAGACTGGAGAGTTTGGGAAGCGTGGCAGTGGCAGTGGCAGGGCGGGTGCCCGGAGCCAGAGTGGGATGCAGAACGGGAGCTTTCTTACGCCGCGCGACGAGGACAGCCCTAGGCAAGACCTGGTTCCATGGAGCCGGAAGACACTGGAGCTATCCGAAGCAGGCAAAGGCTGTGGTGGGTGGTGAATCGCGGAACAGCCCAAGCGTTGAGGGTCGGTGAAAGGGTGGCGCTAGTTTCGAAGATGGGCCGTGCAAACGAAGGGGCCAGGGCAAGCCAGCAGAGGCGCGAAGCTAGTAGATGAATGAATGGGCCGACAAGAGGAGCAGCTGGCCAACAAGACACAAAGGTGGCACACACGGGAAGACGACGGGCCAGGCGGGGATGCTGGCGCGCGCAAAGAGTGGGTGGTGTAGTCGCTGGACGTGGTGTAGAGACGAGAGAGAGCGAGAGCGAGAGCGAGAGAGAGTAGAGAGCACAGAGAGGGGACAAGGCCCAGCCTCGACAAGGTGGAGAATCTGATCGAGCGACACAAGGGCGAGTAAAGTGTGCCACCCTCTCCCCCAACGCGATTCAGCGACGGCCTGCAGCTCGCTTGCGCAAAGGAGGCTTCGCAAGCCATCAACCCAGGCCCAGGGGGTTGGAGAGCCTGGGTGGTGGTGGTGGTGGTAGTCGTGGTGGTGAGCCAGCCTGCGCACTGTGCGGCCGCGTCCTCTTGTCGACGACAGGGCAGTTTTCTATCTATCCATCTATCTATCCATCCATCCATCCATCCATCTATCATCAAACAAACTGCGACGCCGTTGTACAGCCAGCAAACGTCCGCTCCCGTATGCCGTTGGCCATCAAGACGACCAAAACCCCGCTGGCGGGGGAAAAGTGGCTGTCTATAACGCTATAGGCCCTCGCTGGGTAACGTGACTTGCTGTTGTGCGCGCCATGCGCCTTACTCCGCCCTGCCCTCTCTCTCTCTCTCAACCCCACTGGCAACAGGTTACAGCACAGTAAACAACACAGCAATCCGCACCTTGTTGACGGATAATTTCGGTGCATGCGGCCAATTGCTAGCCATGAGGAAGTAGATCCGACGCAACCCTGGCCTGCGCTGGATCTGACTTGTTACCCTTCTTAGCCCCCCCTCCTCCTCTGAGTAGCGGCACACCATGCTTTCGAGAAGCTCCCCATAGAAGTGATGCGCTGCTGGTGGCTGGCGAGAGGTACCGAGGAGCATGGCATCGAGATTTGGGCTGCGCCCTCACGTCGTTGCTCGCAGTCGCCCATGTCGTGCTGTGATGCTTCCTGTGCGCCGACTCCGAGTCGTCTCCGCGACACAGTAGTGGTAGTGGTGGTGGCAGTAGCATCGGTCAGTCACGAGTAATACTTCCTGATGCCCGAGATCAGCGCTTTCGGGCAGCAGACCCCGACAGGCTCTCTCTTACTGAGCAGTAGGAGAATAGCAGCACGGCACACTCTGTGGAGGCTACTCTTGTGCGGCATGACCCTGTCCACATCGTGTGGGCCCCTCTGGCATCCCACCTGCTGGGTAACTCCGGGGAGGCGCCGACCTCATGGCTTCGTTTCAAGACACCAGTTCCACATTCACAACTAGCGCGCCGCAATGCGAGACCGCTAGAATGGCGTCAGGAACATTCGCGAGTCGAGAAGCCCTCGTCCATGCATCCCAACGCGCTCGTCAGAGACCATGCAAGACAGCCAACCGAGAGGGGGGGGTAACCTAGAGTTTGACAGTCGGTCACCTGCCCGGAACTTTTACAGAAAAGGCAGGCCGTTTGATGCGAGGCCCGTCACAGACCAGCTACTGTGCCCGGCATCAACTATTAATTACTTGAAGCTAGCAAGTGCTTCATTCAAAACCTTGGAACTTCAGGTGAGATGAACACTTTCAATACCACTCTTCGCTACCTCGTGGCATGTACCATGGCTCGCCCACGTGCATCGCGACACCACGACGAGGCGAGGCGTCCATTCAGAGCGGGCCTTCATGTTGCCGCGTCGAGTCAAGATGGTCCATGTACATTGCCATCGAGTCGCTCTAGTCGCTTCACTTCTGATTCCAGTTCAGTTCAGAAGACTTGTGCTTCAGAACGGCAAGCAGGGCGATGTCAATGATTCGTTTCATTGACGCTCCGCGGCCGCACATTCAATTGCTAACTGCTAGGCTAAAAAGCGGTGTATCTTTTTACACTACGAGTTACACTACGAAGTTGCTTCAACGAGGGATGCTTGCTTTTTTGCTTAGTACTTCTTGGAACTTGAGCGGTGTTGTCGTGCAGAAACGTTGTACCCGAGTGCAAATTTTCTCCAATGCCTGGCGGTGCAGCTTCCGATGCCCTTCTTCCTCCAACGTGACACAACTCGATGACTTTTGCCTTGTCTGTATTCTGGAGAGACGATGCGGCGAGCCCACGAAGCCTCCAGACGCGACAAAGATGGCAGCATGTACGCGAGGGCGCGTCAGATGGTAATCATACACGGCTTACGTGAGTGTCTGGCAACCGAGAGACTGAAACGGCAATGAGGCAAGCACGCCCGCGTAATGGCTCGAAGACGTCACAACATTGCCTCGGGAAGGCGATTAGCCGCCCACAAGCAATCGCATTTTCAACGTCCTTACTTCATAGCGTTCTCGAATTGTCTACAACCTCCCAGCGAGCCTCTATCACGTTCTCTTTTGTTCTGCTTGCAACCAAAAGCGGGGCATCATGCTGTTCACGTTGATACTAAGCGCTCTCGCCGTCATCGTCTTCTATCACCTTATAAGCAGACATCGGGCCCTTTCGCGGAATATTGCACTGGCAAAAAGCTCGGGACTGCCTATAGTGGTGATGCCATGGAATGTCCTCAGCATCTTCTGGATATCAACCCATGCTCTATGGACACCGCTGCTGAAGACGCTCCTCCCGGCTTCCCTACAAGGATTATGGATAGAGTAGGACTCCTGCATCCCTCTCCAAAAAAAAAAGTTAACGTGGAGTGATTCTCTAGACTTCTGCATCCGGAATGGGGTTATCGCAGCGGGTACAAGCCATTCGAGAAGCTCGGCATGGATGTCTTTCTTGCCGTCTCTCCCAGAAAAATACATGTCTTTGTCGCCGACGCTGAAGCAGTAACCCAAATAACCACTAGACGGAACGACTTTCCTAAACCGCTTGAGATGTATGGTGCGCTCGACATCTACGGGAAGAATCTCGTCTCGACAGAAGGCGCAGACTGGCGTATGCATCGCAAGCTCGTTGCGCCAAGTTTTGGAGAAAAGAACAACGAGCTTGTGTTTACAGAATCACTTCATCATGCACAATCGCTACTTGGTCTTTGGACCGGACCGAATGGAAACGGTAACCAGACTGTAGTGGACCCATCTCTAGGCGCGATGCACTTTGCGCTCTATGTCATCAGCAGCGCGGGTTTTGATGTACGCGTCGTTTGGCCGCATGAAGAGGGAAATCAGGCCTCTCCGAGAAAGACGGTAGGAAACTCCATGTTCGTTGGGTCAGAGGTGCCAGCCGGTCACAAGATGAATTATCGCGAAGCCCTCAGCGAGTTACTCCACAACATTATGTGGACACAAATCATACCACCCAAGTACTTACGTAAGCGCTCTCTTCACTCCTGAGCGTCTGCACTATCGCCAAATCGTTTCGTAGAAAAAAAGGCCCCGCTAACACCTTTCTTTGAACAGCGAAATCTCCAATCAAGTTTCACCGCACCGTAGGTACGGCAGTGGTCGAATGGGGCAAGTACATGGATGAGCTCTACGACCTCAAGAAGAACCAAGTAGCTTCCGGCGAGAACAAAGAAGGTATGGATCTTTTTGATGCCTTGATTCGAGGAAGTGGTATCATCGACGAAAAGAAGACGAATGTACAAAAAAGCGATTTGCTCGGGAATGCTTTCGTGCTCATGCTGGCTGGCCATGAAACTACTGCGAATACGCTCCATTACTCAATGGTCTACCTCGCTATGAATTGGTCCTCGCAGAAGCGGCTACAAGATGACGTTGATAAGATCCTAGAAGACAAGCCCATCAGCGAATGGAAGTATGAAGAGCACTTCCCGAAGCTCTTTGGGGGAATGGCAGCAGCAGTGATGAACGAGACACTGCGACTCCTACAGCCCATCGTCAACATTCCAAAGTCAACCGCACCTAGTCGACCACAGCAGCTCAATCTCGGCGGACAGCAGCACATGATTCCTGGCGGAGCGCACATTTACCTCAGCGCAGCAATCCACCGCAATCCAAAGTACTGGCCAGCACCGCTAAATGCATCCAAATCAGTCGGTGTTCCTGATGTTGATCAATTCAGACCAGAGCGATGGCTCATAGATGCCAAAACCACCGTCCAGTTCGAGGACATAAATTACGATGACGAGGATCTACGTGGGCCATCTGGCGAGGACACCTCGGCGCAATTATTCAAGCCCACCAAAGGATCCTACATCCCCTTCAGCGACGGCTTCCGATCTTGTATAGGACGCCGTTTTGCACAAGTAGAGATCCTCGCCGTCTTAGCAGTCATTTTTTCACAATATAGCGTCGAGCTTGCAGTCGACGATTATGCAAGTGATGAGCAGGTCAAGAACATGCCGGTGGGTGGTAAGGAACGAAGAGAAGTGTATAAGAAAGCAGTGGACAGGGCGGACCATCTACTCAGGCACGAGGTTGGTAGCATCATAACGCTTCAACTACGAGGAGTGTCGATTCCTATTAGACTGGTCAGACGAGGCGAGGAGAGGTTTGCTTTCGATTAAAGGCTCAACTACAACACATGTTCAAATGTTGAGAGCTGGTGGAAAGCTACCCCACATTGCGTCACAGCAACGGAGCTACCCCGCGATGAGAGCTACTGTTTATAACAGCTCCCTCCGAGGCGAGAACATAGTTGTATTTGTAAGAATAGTATACGCTCAAAAATTATTTTCATAAGCCTTGTTACCTTGCAAACCGTACATCCCGTTCAATTCAATAATTCTCAAGGAAGCACCATTTCCTTAGGACCTCATCATGTCATCATCAAGCTTCCCGCCCGAGGAGCTTCGGCAAATCGTTCAAGAGGTCGCAACCCTCCTAAAAGAACGCAAAGAAACGATCTCCGTAGCAGAAACAGTAAGCCATCAAACTAAACATCGCCATCATCTGCACAATCCCACGTATTGAAACAACACCCAGGCAGCCGGCGGTCTAATCTCCGCGACCCTCTTGTCCTTCCCTGGCGCCTCGGGCTACTACAAAGGCGGCCTTACCCTCTACACACTTGAATCCCGCATCGCATTCGCAGGCTGGACACCGGAGCACATCAAAGACTACAAAGGTCCCACTCCAGAAATCGTCACAGGGCTTGCTGAGCATACGCGCAAAACGCTAGGAAGCACGTATACCGTCAGCGAGAGTGGGACAGCAGGGCCGACAGGTGGGCAGACGCGGAATAGAACGCCAGGGTATGTGGCGCTTGCTGTTGCGGGTGACAAGGGGACTGTGACGAGGGAGGTGGAGACGGGGAGCAGTGAGCGTGAGGACAATATGGTGAGGTTTGCCGTCGAGGGGTTGAAGTTGGTTAGGGATGTAATCAAGGGCGAGGGGAAGCTGTGAAAGGGCATGTTGGTAGTGAGTATTGCAGGACGTTGTGAGAGATTATAACCTTGTCTTACGTATGCGATATCGAAGCTGATAGTTGCAGCAGTCACTCTGTCTGGTACGATAAAACCCCTATGGGAACATTTCTCAGCTGTCTTCCCCTTTCAAGACGCAAATCAGACGCCACTCTACCTTGGAGCTCATGTTTTGTTTTCTTACTAGTCATGATAGTCGCCTGAAGGCGCATATGCATGGCTGCGGCGTAGCAACCCACTTGACTCAGTCCCACTATAACGTACCCCGTACATATGATGCACCCGCGGAACGATGCAGATACAATAATTCTCCATAAGGCTACGGCAGGGCCCGCATTCATGTACTATTTCTTAAGCGCCGGGATATCCGCAACACGAGCAAGCTTGGGTACACTGAGGCATGCCGCGATCCATGCAAAACCTCATGGCATGAAGAGATCGGATCTTGTTTTTCAGCTACTTCTTGAGCATCGAGTAATAGTCAAACATGCTAGGAAGGTAATAACGCGTGTCGAGATGTTCAACTCCCTGCTCTGTAGCACCACCTCGTTTGATTCACAGTATCTTCACCACATCCACGTTCACAGGAAATAGAGCCATCACTATAATCCTATAAAGGCATTTATTCAATCTAGAACAATCCCAGTACATCAAAATAGCCCTCATGATTGAGCATCCATTGTCGTTAACGTGTCACTGCGTTCCGCCTTCACATATTTCGCTTTGATCTTTACGAATCGACGTAAGTCACTGATTCTCTCCTTGTATACCTCACGTATCATGTTTCCTTTATTTCCGCAAATGCATATCATGCCCTTGCAACCACAAGTCTTCATACAACCGCCACCGTTGCTACAGCCTCAGATATTTATACACCCGCAGCCGTTGCTACACCCGCCACCATTTATACAACCGCCACAACTACTACATCCTCTACCACTCTTACAGAATCAACCGTGTATTCATCAGCTGCCTCCAATCCTACAGAGGCCGCCACTTCAACACCCTCAACCGCCACTACAACCGCCACCACTCCTGCAGCCTCAACCGCTCCGACCCCCACAGCCCCTACAGTTAGCAGCGATAGACCCAAACAAAACAGTCTACATAGTATCCTACTCCTCTGACACTGTTGACCACAACCCAGGCGCAATAGCCCAGGTCGAAAACCTCATCCCCCTTGGCATCCCAACGGTGCTCACAATATGGTGTCAAACCTGGCGTGCACCTCCAGGCGATATATGCCGCCACTACTCAGGCGTGAGCCCCATCGTGCAAAGTGTTATCAAGAGGAGTCGAACAGCAATGTGGGAGATGTACGTACTCGCTGCTAAGCACTTGTCTTCCGTTGTGCACAAATATTTTCCTTTAATTGAGTTGAAAACATACTGACTAATACGTCTGCGATCAGTGACAACGCGTTCACTAGGGCTGTTAATTTCTTGAATTCAGGGAATCACACGGCGGCTGTCCAGACTACGTGTCACGCAGGTACGCATCGAAGTGTTGCGGCGGCGGAGATTTTAGCGCTGAAGTTGAGGAGGAGGGGTGTGAATACGGTTGTTATTCATGCGCATCGGAAGAGACTTGCTGGTGATGCTTTTTGAGATTGATTGGGTGAGATAAGAGCTAGGATATGCTACGATAGGGGTTGCGTAATAGTGATGATTATATGCGATGATGTAGTTAGTTGAAAGACGGATATAGACTTACTATATAACCTGACGTATAGCTGCACTGTTCGCAGAAGCAGCACATTACTTTAGCCTCGTTTGGCTAGCAAGACGATTGGTGAATTGGGGTTCAGTATGACCATCGCATATGCTGGACTGATGATACAACAAGTGTACACTCCAGCCTTCTCTATAGACGAACACATGGTAAAATGCGTAATATATCCTACATTACTATCTCTTTCAATACGCACGCAATCACGACGTCTGCATCCTTGCTACCTTGACCTCTGCCTTCGCTTTCTTCCCTTGCGCTATGCTCCTCTCTTTTGTAGTTCTCGCTTGGCCTGACTGGCCCTTACCCGCACCCTCTGCTAACCTCTTCTCGTTCTCTGTATGCACTCTCAGCCCATTCATGGCCTCTTCCAGCGTGGGTATCTCTAGCCCGTGCTTTTTCGCCTGTGTCAATCTCTGCACACTTGTCTGCCTCCCCCGTTCTGCCGACCGCACATCCTTGAGTAATCGTTGTTTTACACGTAGTTCGTCTAGTTGGGTCTGGGACAGGACAGGTGGGCGATTCTCAACGGGCTCACCGAAGGGTGCGACAATGGATGTTACGACATGGTGGATTGCTTTTGAGGTGCGGTAGCCGGATGTTATGCGCACGATGTCGCCTTCGACGAGAGAGTTGTTGGGGTCGCGGACGAGGTGTGTTGTGTGTGAGGGGAAGTGCTACAGAAGCGTTAGAATTAGCTCAGTATTGACTCGCTATGCATCTACCAGGTTCACATAGAGGAGAAGAGCTACGTCAAGTTGGCGGACTGACCTTTCTGAACTTCTTATTCCATTCTTGATCTGCGATGCGTACTTTTACCGCCCGGTCCATCTTGCCTGCGGAGACTACGATGCCAACCTTTTGGCTGGAAAAGCATTTTGTTATGACTGGCGTGCCCTGTTTCAATAGCGATGCCATGTTGAACGTGTACGGAGGTGGTGCGGAGGTCTCGCGGAGGTCTGGGCGCTCAAGGCGCGCTCCGGTGCAGTTTCGGGATGTAGGTATTTATGAAGCAAGTCAATGCGTCGAGTTTAGTAGGATAGGCGCGGGGGGTTCGCTCAGGTGTCGTGTCGTCAATCGATGATGTTTCTCGACGGTTGAAGTCCGCACAAAAAGTGGAAGGCGACGGGGCGCGCCAAGATTTACTCCGATTGGCTCCCGTTCTTGCTATCTGTCCCAAAGCTCATTGACAGCTACTCGACTTCCATGTGGAAAGACAGTGTCGCCTCCAACTCTGTACCTTTTTCAAGTGTCTTACTTCGGTTTCGTCTTTCAATTTCATGTAGTCTTTTGTTCGCGAACTAGCTTTGGAACTCGGCCTCCGTCCACTCACTTTCCAAGTCCAGATACCGTCGCTGGTGCGCTTGGCAGAGCAAGATGCTCTTGAGAATAGCGCTCGTTGTTGCCTGTTTGGCGCTGTTGGTTCTAGGTGCCGAGGACTACTACAAGGTGTGTGAAGCCTCTGTTTCTCTTCTACTAAAACGGGTTCGAAGAACTACCCAAGTATGCCGTCACTGATCACTCCTCTCGTAGCTACTTGGACTTAAAAAGAGTGCCACCGACCGCGAGCTTAAGAAAGCATACCGGAGCCTTAGCAAGAAATACCACCCAGACAAGAATCCGTACGTCAAACCACCCCGCCTACCCCCACTACCACTGTCGAAGCGTTGCGAGCCCTAGCTAACGTGTTCCAGTGGAGATGACACAGCAAGTCAAAAGTTTGTCGAGGTAGCTGAAGCCTACGACGTCCTCAGCGATGAGGAGACTCGCAAGATCTACGACCAGTATGGCCATGAAGGCGTTCAGCAGCATAAGCAAGGTGGAGGCCCACGCCAGCACCACGACCCCTTCGATCTATTCTCGCGCTTCTTCGGCGGCTCAGGGCACTTTGGACACCATGGCGGGGAGCGGAGAGGGCCGAACATGGAAGTTCGAGTTGCTATACCGCTTCGCGACTTCTACAATGGACGGAAGACTGAGTTCACGATAGAGAAGCAGGCAATCTGCTCGGCTTGCGAAGGCTCAGGCTCCGAAGACGGACATGTAGAGACATGCGACACATGTGGCGGACGCGGTGTACGGATACAGCGACAACAGCTCGCACCTGGACTGTTCCAGCAAGTACAAACACATTGCGACAAGTGTGGCGGCAAAGGAAAGACAATCAAACACCCCTGCCCCGTCTGCAGCGGCAGCCGCGTCGTTCGCGAAGCCGAATCTCATGAACTCGAGATTGAAAAGGGTATGCCTACGGGCGTACGCATCACGTACGAGAACGAAGGCGATGAGAGCCCGGACTGGGTAGCAGGCGACCTGATTGTGCACCTCGTTGAATCTGATCCAGTGCTCGGCCAGCAAGACCACGAACGCTCAGACGGAACATTTTTCCGCCGCCGAGGCAAGGATCTATTCTGGCGCGAAGTCCTCTCCCTTCGGGAAGCATGGATGGGTGACTGGACACGTAACATCACGCATCTGGACGGGCACGTTGTCCAACTACATCGCAAACGAGGTGATGTCGTCCAGCCCAATACTGTAGAAGTTGTCAAGGACGAGGGCATGCCGATATGGCACCAGGAGCTTGAGAACAACGAAGGCCACAAGTGGGGAGATTTGCATGTTGAGTATGTAGTTGTGCTGCCGGATCTCATGGAGAAGAGTATGGAGAAGGAATTTTGGAGCGTGTGGGAGAAGTATAGGAAGAAGAATGGTGTGCAGCTAGATGGCGCTTGGGGGAGGCCGGAAGGAGGGATCGAGATGCCGAGCCCAGAGGAGCATGATGAGTTATAGAACATGACATTCTGTTTGCACGAACTTGGACGAGGATACCCGTTGATGGAGTTGAGGCGCACTTGCGGACAAAGCACGAGGATTGCTTATAGAGTGTAATCATTACTGGGTAGAAGTGGAATGCAGCATATACTATACAGGCTTGAAGGGTATCGCAATAACAGGAACCGCCCTTCGGTTTTAAATGGCCAAAACTCCAAATACTATGCTGACAACGAACCGCATGCCTGTGACGTCGGATGTCCGCCAATCGTGCTTCGTGTATACATAAAGGTCGTCATTACTCTTACGCTTCTACAAGGTCAACCATGTCTTCATCCGCCTCGCTCTCTTCAAAAGCTTTCGCAATGAAAGGGTGACGTAGAGCTTCATCGGCCGTAATGCGTTTTGCTGGGTTACATTCCAACAAGCGATATAGGAACTGCACGGCTTCCTTTTCTTCTCCGTCAAGCTCTTTCTTTGGTTGCGTCTTGTCGCCTGTTCGGCCAGTGCACCAGAGGATGATCTTGTCCAAGCTGTGACCGCCCTCACTGTAACTAGGGACATTCGTCTCAAAAACCTGGCCGTGCAAGAGGGCAGTCTCTCGCATCTTTTTCCGCCCAAAAATGGTCGTGATCTCCAGTAGGGCATCGATGTCGTCCGCGCTGTGGAAGAAGGGGAAGCGACGCGAAAGCATGGTTAGTAGAATGACACCAACGCTCCATATGTCGAGCGAGCATATCTGCTGTGTGCATTTGAGCAGCACTTCAGGGGCACGGAACCCACGGGTGCCAGCACGGTTGGCGCGACGGCTGTTTCGTGTATCATTTTTTGGGTAGCTCGAAATGTTGTGACCTGATGACTGCGTCTGTGCATATACACTCTGACTGACCCTATGGCGGCGGTCCTCGTCCGACATGTGGCAGGCACAGTTATGCCAGTCCGTACCCTCACGTTCGGCAAGGCCAAAGTCGACAAGAACCCCACGGGACTGTTGCGGGTTGTAGAGAAAGTTGGTCGGCTTGACGTCGCGGTGGATGATGCCCTTTGCATGCACTGAACGAAGTGCTGTAAACAGGCTTCGGAAGTAGGGGCGCATTTCGGAGATCTTCATGTCGCGGTAGTAGTCGCGGAAGTCAAGATGCTGGAAGTAAGGCAGAACGGCAGCGACCTGGTCCAGGTGGCGGAAAGCGGTGATGAGTGGACAGACTGAGTCTGAATCTCTCAGGTCGTACAGGAGTTCGAGCTCGTTGAAGATGCGAATGGGACTGCTCGTAACATAGATCTTCTTGATAGCAACATAGTGGGTGCGTTTCGAGGGGCGTCGCCGGTGTGCAGGCGACGACCATTTGCGGTCCTCGCGCTCATCAATGTCCCAATTGTTGTTGTACTTGTTGTATTCCAGGTCCTCAGCCTTGTACACGGTTGAGAAGGTTCCTAGGAGAATGCGTGAGCCCACCCCCGCTACCCTGCATACGGCAAGCCAATGATTTGAGACATACCTTCTCCGATGCGGTTAATGAGTCGAAACCGCTTGCTGATGCCGACAAAAGTCTCTTCGAAGCGCGCCATGTCTTCTTGGACCGAGTCCTCGACTTCTTCGTCGCTGCTGTACACCGTGTGCCCGCTTTCCTCGAGCGGATCCATGCTTTCGTCCGGTGTTCCTTCGGCCTCCTCTTCCTGCAAGTCGTCCTCATGGACGTCTATGTGCTCGGCATGGCGTAGGCCCACGCGTGCTTTTGCCATGGTGTAGTGAGTGGCTGGAGAGGTTGTGTTGTGTGGTGCGCGTAAAGAGTGCTCATCGGAATTGCTTGCAGACGCGCCGGAACGTCACATGTGCTAGGCCGAAAGCGGCTACATCATCACAAACAACACACGGGAAGGCGCGCTCTGTGCGACAGCGGGCTGCACCTTCCCTACACTTGCACAAGCAGACGCTGCATCCTCGGCGGCCTATTTTGACGTTTCCTGTGTCTGCTTTCCCTTCTTCCTCTTCTTCCAAGCGATTCTGCGCATCATGGACGCGCCCGTGGATTTTGACCTCAACGAAGCGATAAAGCTGTTCGACAGCGATCCTTCGACCATTCCCACGCCAGAGGCTCCACAAGCGCTGCAAGACTGCGAAGATGACCCAGAATTGCTGTCGTCGCCCGGGTTGGTCAACGGGGAGCTGAATCCCGTTGTCGACGCCGTTGCGGAGAGCCCAGATGCGATCACTCGCAGCTCTGTATTCGATACACTCCAGTTCCTACTCAAGTGTGTACCTACCTATCCGGAACACTACAAGCTATGGAAGACAGACCCTAACTGTAGCCTCTTCGCTCTCTCTAGGCTCTCTTCACAGATACCACCGGCAGCTCTCAGCAAGATCCTCGACCTCATAGTATCGGCATTATCGACACAGGCCGACATCATACACGCAGACTTGGAAGCAGAAGATCAGGATGCGATCCCACACCACAAGAACATTCTCGAAATGTATGCCTTCCTCCTCCGATGGACAATATCGGCGGTGGAGACGAGAGCACTTGAGAAGTCTGCATCAGCACCAGCAGCCCGAGGGCGGGGCAAAGGCACGAAGACAAAGTCAGGCGTGGGCAAAGATGGTAGCTGGGATGCTTCGGCGCAGCTGGAGACGGCCCTCAATCAAATGAGCAAAGTGCTAAAGCTCAAGCTGGGCCGCATTTTCGTTACCACGTCGGAGCGGGACACCTTTATCGGCTTATTCACCAAACCAGTATACCACATCCTCGAGAATGAGGCTAGAGTCAAGAATAGTGCGATACGGAACCACTGCTTCAGAGTTCTATGCATCGCCATAAAGCACCATGGACAAGCCTACAGTGGGTTCAGATAACGCCTTTTGACCAACATACGCTGACACCTGAAAAAGCTGCACAGACTTCGATCAACCAGAGCCTGACATATTTTGAGCACCTTTCCGAACCAATGGCTGAATTCCTGTTCACTCTGGCTGATGCTTACGAATACCCACAATTGACCGAGGACGTCCTAAAAGACATCAGCGGAAAGGAATACAGCGCTACAGATCTCAAGGGGCCAAAGTCAATTTCGACGTTTCTCACCAAAATCTCCGAGTTGACTCCGCACCTCGTCATTAAGCAGATGACCTTGCTTGCAAACCTGTTGGATAGCGAGGTACCAACACTGCGATCAACTGCCGAAGCACACACTGACCAAATATTAGTCGTATACCCTCCGATGCGCGCTAATTGAAGTATGCGGGAACTTGATTGTCATGCTGAGCAAACTCAGCCAAGACGATCGCAGCGAAAACCACAAAGCGCAGATTCGCATTTTCTTCGACGTACTTGAGGACCGATTTCTCGACATCAACCCTTACTGCCGCTGCCGAGTGATGCAGGTCTACGTGAAACTTTGCGATCTCGAACAAAAGTATCCCAAGCGCCGACAGAAGGTTGCCGAACTCGCTGCACGAAGTCTCGAGGACAAGAGCAGCAATGTACGTCGAAATGCCATAAAGCTACTTGCAAAGCTCGTCTCAACACATCCGTTTACCGCATTTGATGGCGGGCTGCTCTCAACCAAGGACTGGACACAGAGGTTAGAGGATTGCGAAGAGCAGATAAACACATTGCAACCCCCAGAGGAGTTACGAGAACGTGCGCCAGGCGACCAGACTGTTGATGAAACTTTATTGCAGGATGCGACGCAAGCCGAAAATGGAAGCTCCCAAGAGCCGAAGCAGCCCTCCGAAATGACCGAAGAGGAAAGAGCTGCTGTGATCGAGAAAGGCCAAAAGGACGTTGCGACCGCGCAAGAGCTTGCGAAGTTTCAAACGATGCGGAAGTTCTTACTGGAAGCACTCAAGTTCATTGAGGTCATCGATGAGGCCGCTGAGATAGTCACTCATCTGCTATCTTCCAAGAATAAGAGCGAGGTCATTGAAGCCATGGACTTTTTTACAACAATAGACGCCCACAAAGTCGCGAATTCGAGGCTCGGTATTCGAAGAATGCTACGTCTAATCTGGACGAAGGGTAATAGTGACGAAGGCAAGGGCGTACAGACACACCTAATCGAATGTTACAAAGGCCTCTTCTTTGATGCACCTCCAGGATTCGATGCAAACGCAGTCGCCAACTACATTTCCAAGAACATGATTAGTCTGACTTTCGGTACAACACCTGCCGAACTCACCTCCCTCGAGCAGCTTCTCAGTACCATGATGACGCAGGGTCACGTCAACGAACTAGTCATCCAGAAACTATGGCAGATTTATGGATACCAAAGGAAGGATATCTCCAAGAATCAGCGTCGGGGAGCTATCATTGTCCTTGGCATGTTCGCACTCTCATCTCCAGGCATTGTTGTGCAGGAGATGGAGGCTTGCCTACGCATCGGCCTTGGAGAGCTAGGCCGCCGGGACTTGGGTTTAGCTCGCTATACTTGCATTGCCTTACGTCGGATAAGTCCGCCACCCGGCAAGCAGGCAGCTACTACTACTAATACTCTGGCGAAGGTTGTTAAGCTCCCCAACGATCACGCAGTGTTGGTGAGACTGGCCGCTATTGTCGAAATGGAATCGGATAGTAACGAGTGGTTTGGAGTCGCAGAACAGGCCATCAGCGCGATCTACGTCTTATCGAAACACCCAGATGTACTCTGCTCACAAATCCTTCGGCGCGTCACCAAACGCGTGTTTGCCGCACCTATACAGTCTCGGCCTACATCAAGATCTAGTGTTGATGATGCAAGCCAACTACCAATGCCAACCGAAGAGGCAGTAATAGAAGACAGGGCAAATGAGGAAACACAACCGAAAAAACAAAACTCTGCCCTTGGGTTGTCGCAACTCCTGTTCACTGTGGGGCATGTCGCCATTAAGCAAATCGTCCACCTCGAACTCTGCGAGCATGAATTCAAGCGCCGAAAAGCTGAGAAGGATAAGAAGCCGGCTCCGACACCCCGAGAGTCGATGGCTTCCACGGTGGAGCCTACACCCATCAAGAAAGGGCGCAAACGTGGTGCTACCAAGGAGCCGATGCCCGCGCCTGAAGAGGCAGTGGATGAATTGGATCTCATGGCGGGTACCACTGAAGATGACTTCACAGATGCCATCGCGCATATCCGTGAACGCGAACTCCTTTTCGGTCCTCAATCCCTCCTTGCGAACTTTGGCCCGCTTGTCTCCGACTTATGTGCAAACAACACCTCGTACAATAACTCGACCTTACAAGCACAAGCTGCACTTTGCTTGGCCAAGCTCATGTGCGTGAGCTCAGAATACTGCGAGAACAACCTGAGTTTGCTGCTCACTATCCTTGAGCGCAGTCAAAATGCTGTTGTCCGCAGCAACCTTGTTGTCGCTCTTGGTGACATGGCTGTCTGCTTCAACCACCTCATCGATGAGAACACTGACTTCCTCTACCGCCGTCTAAACGATGGGGATGCGAGCGTCAAGCGAACTTGTCTAATGACATTGACCTTCTTGATCTTGGCCGGTCAAATCAAAGTCAGGGGTCAGCTCGGTAAGATGGCTAAGTGTCTCGAGGATAGCGACAAGAAGATCGCAGATATGGCGCGCATGTTCTTTACCGAGTTGTCTACAAAAGACAATGCTGTCTACAATCAGTTTGTCGACATGTTCAGTGTGCTCAGTGCAGACTCTGCACTGAATGAAGATGCGTTCAAGAGAATTATCAAGTTCCTAGCTGGGTTCATCGAGAAGGTATGTTTCCAACTATAAGAGACACGTACCGGATACATGATACTAACGATATATAGGACAAGCACGCCAGACAGCTGTCAAGTAAGCTCGCTTCTAGGTTACCTAGAGCAGAGAACGAGAGGCAATGGAACGATGTCGCGTATACCCTGGGTCTCCTCCAACACAAAGACGAGGATATTCAGAAGATGGTAACCGAAGGCTTTAAAGTCGTCCAAGCGGCGGCCTAGAGAGCTTAATGTTTGTTTTTAATGAACTTATATGACGAACTAGATACCTTGGGATTGGGTTGGGGCTGGTTTGGCGTTCTGACAATGATACTACTGTAGTTCATGGTTTGGTTATATCATGATGCATGTGGAAGTGCTAGGTCTAAGCGGATTTGCGAAGCGTTCAAACATCTCAATGTTTACAAAGAACGGCTTCGTTTGTGGCGTTCCTATATAATTAACGCTGGGTGGCATATTGACTTTAGCAATGAAGCAATGATTGCGACATTGAGGACTTTTGACTTCGAAGCTGCTGTGGACGACATCACGATAAACCTGCAACTTGTCAGTTCTAATCTTGGATGCAGCGCTTCCTCTCCAACACCCGTTATTATGTCGACTCTCATAGCTACTTCGCCCGAATAGTGTCCTCGCTTTATCTACTGGGGGTTCCATCCAATTTAATATTAATGACCTCGTGATTAAGCATTAGATATATGCGCACGGCCCCGAATTTGCCTAAAGACTCTTAATATGGGTCGGGTATCAATTCTTCGTAGCTATGGCATGTTTAAGTTGCTACCTACATATAGTTTCGTTATAGACTAGGTTACGAAGCTACATTGGAGTCACTTGACTTCCTTCCACCTTTAGGAGAATGAAGGTGATGACTCTCCAAAAGGCAAGGAATTACGATTACTCTTGGTAGAGTTATAGCTTAAAATAATAGTTTGATCTCCCTTGCGTAGCGAAATTACCTTTATTTGCAAATTTAATATCATTGAGACTACTATAGGGAAGTGGAAAGGCATCGGTTAACATCATAACGGAAGGCGCTCGGGCCAGTACCGGTACGGTACCAGCTTGAAGCCTGAGCAGCGACACCTCTCCGTCTTCTTCATCTCCTCGACACATTGTCTCATGATCTTCGACCCGCCCGTTCTGAGGACATCGCGCAAGCCACTTGCATACAGCCACAAATTTCAGATCGTGCACACGTGGCTAGCTCGACCTATCCTGGAAGAATCAATGTAATCACAAACATCTCCGCACTCAAAGTACTTTCACAGAACCAGCGATAGCTCAACTAGGGCGTAGGCGCTTTGAAAATCCTCTTAGCTCCCCATAAGTCATATGTCCCGAAAACCCGTTCGGACTACCCCTCGGAGAAACCAAAGCTGTGCAACCTGAAAAGCATCACGATTGACATGGTATCTAGCGTCAGCGTGAGGATCTCTCTTTTTTCGTCTTCTCTCGCCTCTAGCCATCTTGGCATGCTCGAGTTTCTATCGTCCCTCTAAGTTATTACTTCAGCACGGCAGTCCATGCCAGCAGTCTCCATGAGTCCCAAATGGAGGATGTACTGCTAGTTCATATGATGTTCCGGGATCGTAGACTGTATCGTAGCGAAGGAATCGGGCTCGGGAATTTTGGTGAGGGATGGAAGGTTTTGCCTTGCAGCAACTTTGACCCATTACTGGTGCCCCGTGTCCTCGAATATCCGCCATAGGACATTGCCGCGTTTCTTACAAAGTTTGTACTCCCTGACTAGACACCGAACGCTGCAGCTGGGGCGATTTGTGTTACCCTCCCGGTCATGCGAATTCCGACGACAGGACAGTTTCTGCTTCTTCCACCTCTTCATTCTTTCAAGGACGTTGTCACTATGGGATCCAATCACTCTTTACCAGCGAACTACAGCGCTGCGGCGTATGCAGTCTTGACGTTGAATATCATCTTAACAACTGCAGCTGTGGTAGGAAGAGCCGTATCGCGCAAGCTTATGACAGCAACGCTCTCGGCGGACGACACACTTACATATATTGCCTACGTTAGTACCAACCCCGTACCCCATCTTCGTGCACGCTAATAGAAACAGTCTGCCAATCTTGGGCTTTTGGTCTCCGGCCTGCTTCTGATTGCTCTTGGGTCCGTCAATCTCGACGATGTATTAGTCCAAAGCGATGAAAAGCGACACTTCATGAGAGCCGCATACAGTTCTTTAGCTATTCTCTACGTTTGCACCATCACGTTCATCAAGCTATCTATACTCTTCCTTTATAGAAGGACATTTACGATGTTCGAGGCATGGTTCAGATGGGCGTGGTGGAGTCTAATGCATCTCATCATCTTGTGGACAGCAACCTGCGTTATCCTGCTCGCTCTTCATGGAGTGGGACAGATGCCGAAGACTGGATTTTCGAGACTTGGCGTATCTATCACCGGAATTGTCAATGCCTTCTCGGACATTTTGCTTCTGTTGATACCAACGGTAAAGATTTATAGGATGAAGCTACAGAGGAAGCAGAAGAACGCGTTGATCTCAATTTTTGGTATTGGAGGAATGTACGCTATCTATTTCCCTTTGCCATTCCCACGTCCTGACTAACAGCTACGACAGCGCCGCAATTATATCTACTGTCCGCGCAACCATATTCTTTATGAATCGCGATAACCAGCTTAACGAAGCATACTCCAATTACCTTGACATAGTTCTTGCCGCCACGGAATCTTCAGCTGGCCTCATGTGCGCTTGCCTCCCTCTCACCAAGCCTGTCGCCACCCGCCTCACGCGATGGATCCAGCGATTGCGAGGATCGAACACTGAACACCAAGGCTGGACTACCGTTTCCACATCCCAGAAGAGCATAAGCAAAGAAACGGATCGGACGATTTTGAGAATCGATGACTACCATATCCAATTACTGCCTATTGCTCTGTCGACAAGTACCCAGTCTGGGTCTAGGTTGGAGCGAGAAGCCATGGTGATAGAGAAGCCCTGGCAGAGCATGGGTCCATATGAGACGACAACATACTGCGAATCGCATAGACCTTAGTGACGGGTGGTTCAACTACAGAATGCATGGGGTTGGCAGAAAACAAGACGACCCTTTTTGACATATGCCAATCATATGTACATCCATCAGCATTCCCTCCTAAAAGCCCTTCTATGCAGTCTAGGTTGGCTGATACAAACAGCCCCAAGTACCCTCTACTGATTTTGGAGTTCGCGCCCCAATTGTTGCCGCTCCTGCCCGTCGTAACTGCCCAAAGTGCCATTTCGGTTAGTCAAGAGGTAAACAAATGTTCCTTCTACAAACGTCATGCGCGCTTGTCCGCTCTCTTCGATCCCAGAGATTCTGACCTCAGGCTGCAACTTGCGTCCTGCCAACAACAACTGTAGAACGCACAGCTGCAGCAACACCATGGACCACGATATGTCTCCCTTGCTCTCAGCGATGGACGCCCCTCTCATCAAAGCAGAATCAGTGTCCAAGCCTACCGAGCCTGAGCTTGTCGCGGCGCAGTCCGTCAAGCTCGAAGAGGGCGAGATTGAGGAGCCAAGGATCGAGATATCACCATCACGGTCTTTGGCTGCGTACTCATTTTCCCCTCCACCACTGATCGACGATGGCACATGCACACTTACGCAAGATGATGACACCGAGTCACGGGATGAGCCGGCCTCACTGCGCGGTAGGTGCAATGGTAATCCCTTGAGAGCTCTACCACAGCTGACACACTTAGCTGAGTTAGAGCTTGCGAAGCACGAGTATGCTGCTCTCGAAGAGCGTTATTGCACACTCTCGAATCAGCACCGGGAGCTTCGTAAGCTGGCCTCAGCCTACAGCGATGTCATTCGAGGCTTCTCTTCGAATGAAGATGAGACATCTAGTGTTGAACATTTTAGAACAGCGAGCGGCAGATATGGTCTACAAGCGAGAGCTTTCGAGGCTGACGTTGCTGGCGGTCTACAGGCTCTCGTCTCACGAGCAAAGTCTGTGCGGTCGCTGATCGAAAAAGCGGGAGGCATACAAGAGCTGGAAGATCTGGTATCAAAGGCGCACATGTTTCGAAGAAAAGTAAATGAGGTGGGAGGCCTACTGGCTTTTGACCATCTTGTGTCAGAAGTGAACCTGCTACGATCGAAGCAGCAGGAGCATGCCGAGCTGATGCGGAATATTGATGGTTTGGAAAAACTCAAAATCAAGGCCGCAAAGTATGATAGGCTGGAGCAGACGTTCAACGAGATGAAAAATGCTCATAGTGCGGCCGCCCACGGATCAAGCCTTTTGCACGCAAACATGGCTCCGATGCACGCATCGCACAATCTTACTGAGATACCTACGGGAATTGACCAGAATCGTCTTCGTAGCAACACAACGCCTGTTGCTGCAGCTAACATGAATCCTGCACGTGCCAATCGCATCTCTGCCACGCGTGTCGTGGACGACCCCGATCGCGACTTGTACGAAGCAGAGGCCCCTGTAATCAAGCCACAAAACAGGACCGGATCGAACAACGTGCCTCTGGGTCCTTCCCATGTATCCACTCTCTCCGTCGACAAGGCTTACAGGCGGGCAACACTGAAGCGAAAGGGAGATAACGAGCCCCCGTCAAATCATATCAAACGACCCCAAATCGATGTTGGACGCGCTTCAGCTCTGGTGCAAGCTATCTTGCCTACTCGAAGTACCAAACGGTTAAAGCACGATCTTGTGCAAGTTGACTGGAGGAGTGCGAGGATCGTAGACGGTAAGCACGCCAGAAACCTAAATGGGGGAGCTCGCTTCGAGAGCCTTGCCAAAGGACCATCTGTCACTACCGCGCCTTCTCCAACAGTCATGGCGGCTACAGTTTCATCCGAGATTTATTCAAATGACTTTCAAGCCTGTGGATATTCAGCGCCTCTACCAAGAATCAACTTTGTCCACCAGTCACGTCTGCCAATGGTGAAGACCGAGGACACTGAGAATAAACAACTGAGTCATCATCCCATGTCCATATCAATTGTCAACGATATGAACCTTCAACAGGCTGCAATTGTTTCGGTTAGGCGCTATCCAATTGCAGTCTGGGTTGGATCTAGCCCTTCAGAAACCGACTCAACGCCCGCCGACCTGAGGAAGACCGACGAGATGCCTTCGGACCTGGCAAATTTCCTCTCAAGTGAACTGATGAAATACATCAATGTTACAAATTTGGAAATTTGGAACTCAATGCCGGCAAATCCTGACACGTGCATTCTTCGATACATTGTTGACGGTCATAGACCCTCCGGTCAGCCACAGACGCGCAGGGTTTGTAGGACGTGTTCTTCAGCATTTGTTAGCCACCACCGACCTTGCGCCTTGCTCCAAGACGTGGATGGTGTACGCACCGTCGTCTTCTTGCCTCTTCGAGATGCACTCAGGCGCGGCATCAGCTGGACGGACAAACAATATTGGGTCATGGATCCGCAGTATGGTCGAGGTCTTCAGGCTTGAACGTTCGATTCCTATTGACGATGTGTGACAGTAGCGAGATGGTTAAGCCTGAGGCCATGAGAGTATAGGCAATAGTTGGAGGCTAGTCCCTGATCACTGTCACGTCTAATACATTCGACAAGCATCAGAGTGGTCCAGTCACACTATGAGCTCGTCTATTTCATAGATTCTAAACCATAGTTAGCTAAGGTATCTCAGCTATTGTAGTTCAAGGTAGCTTCAACAGCCCCTCATACATCGTGACAATCACCCTAGTGAGCTGCTGAATGTTCGACTTGTCCTCAGGATCTGAGGACTCGATTCTAGTTCCCTCACGATACCTCGGAATGGCATCGTCGTGCCGAACTTGCATACCGTCAACTCGGACTGGATGAGTTCACCATGTGGGGTGCATTATAGTCGATTTAGGGCCGTCATTCTTAGCCTTCTCGAGAGATGCCCAAAGCGCCCTCCGTGATATTTGTTCAATGTGAACTTTCCTCCGACATCTCAGGAGGTCATCCCTGATTCTATACCCATCCCATACCCATGCTCATGCCCATGCTCATGCACATGCCCGTGTCCCTGTCCAGCAGGATCAGGCCTTTTAAGCGCTGTCCCCTCCTTCAAATACAGGATCAACCTGAATGCCGCATTCCCATTGAGGTAATACCGATGTAATCTTTTGCTTCTCAGAAAGCCCAATCTTTCGTACAACTTCAGACTCGCAGTGTTTGTGACTTCAGTCTCTAAGACTATCTCGTCGGCGGAGCGCGAGGCCATGGCTTCGATGGCCAGCCGTACGAGGTTCGTAGCGATGCCTCGACCGCGGTAGGTTTCTTGTACTGCCAGCATCGCGATGTAGCCGCGGAATGTGCCGGAACGGTGGGGTTCGAGTTTGCAGACTATTACGCCGATCAGGCTGTTGTTGGCGTCTAGGGTCTATATAGTTCATCGTGTTAGCCGGTCATGTAGCTACTGGAATGAGGTGGGGTTTGTATGAAGACGATGTGTGGTTGTGAAGGCGGATAAGAAGGGGAATGTTACCATATAGCATAGATAACCCCATTGATAGAGAAAGTACCTGTACACATAGATACTGTATGGCTCGGAAAGGTCCTTGGAGATCAATTGGCGGATTGCGGGGAGGAATTGCTCTTCTTTTGCAGGTTCATATTGAACGTATTGGAGATCGGGCTCTTCTTTCGTTTCTGGGGCCTTTTGATCCTCCATGGCGAGAGGAATGGGCCAGAAAAGTCCAAGAATAATTAGAAGCTAGAATAGTTCCGAGCGCATCGGAATGGTGAAGGGTTGCGGAGGTGGAGCGGAGCTCTCCCGGCTTGGCATTGTGCCCTCAGATCCCGGCTGTCGATCATTTACCGTTTCGTCGTCACATGCCGGAGGCTCGGATAGCCAGGAGCTTAAAAGATAAAAAGATAACTACGTTCTACCACACAAGGGCCTCTCTCGATCCTAACCTCAAAGGTTCCTTGCCTTCACACATGTCCTTCCTAAGACGGCGCCTCATCGGCGGTGGAGGCGACGACTCGCCCTCGGACATCTCCCGCGAATCTTCACCTGGACCAGATGGTCAACAAGCGGCCAACCTCCTAATATCAGCGAAACAACTTGACACGCTCAAGAAGAAAGGAAAAAGGGGCAAGAAATACAATGCCTGGGTCTTCGGGCTCGGGGGCCTATTTGGTCTCGTCGTCGCGGGCTTTTTCGCGAGTAGTAATGATCTCATCGATATGAAGAGCTTGGAGAATGTGAACTTGGAGAGCATAATGGATGCGCTGCCAGCGAATTTTGTGAGGAGCGCGCAGCAGTTACAGGTAAGAAGCTTCATTTTCAAATGAGGGTTAATCCACGAATGGCTGGCCAAGTCGATTGTGACAGGAGTGACCCGAGGTGCTGATTTCCCCAACTCAGTAGAAAACCGAACGCGACGCCGTGAATTACGATTCCTTCGCCGTCGGCCTGTACGCACGCAAACAAGGCATAAAGGCCAAACACCCCGTCATAATGATACCGGGCGTAATCTCCACGGGCCTCGAGTCCTGGAGCACAGAGGAGGGATCGAGACAATATTTCCGCAAGAGGTTATGGGGATCTTGGTCTATGATGCGAGCACTCGTTCTGGACAAGGCTACCTGGAAACGGCATGTCATGCTAGACAAAACTACGGGCATGGATCCACCAGGTGTCAAGTTGAGGGCGGCGCAAGGCTTTGATGCTGCAGACTTCTTCATCACAGGATACTGGATCTGGAACAAGATCCTCGAGAACCTAGCGACTATCGGATACGACCCGGGAAATGCCTTCACAGCAGCCTATGACTGGCGCATGACCTATCTGAACTACGAGATTCGGGACCAATACTTTACACGTTTGAAAAGCCATATCGAAGTAGCCAAGAAGGTATCGGATGAGAAAGCAGTACTGCTATCACACTCCATGGGCTCCCAGGTGCTATACTACTTCCTTCACTGGGTTGAAGCAGAAGGGTACGGCAACGGCGGACCAGGCTGGGTAGAAGAGTACATCGATTCCTGGATTAACATTAGCGGATGTATGCTCGGCGCGCTGAAAGACGTCCCTGCTGTGCTGAGTGGAGAGATGAAAGATACCGCCCAACTCAACGCCTTCGCCGTCTACGGCCTTGAGAAATTCCTCTCGCGCTACGAACGCGCTGAGATTTTCCGCGCTATGCCGGGTCTCTCATCCATGCTACCCATGGGCGGCAATGCAGTCTGGGGTGATGAGACAGGCGCACCGGATGATGTGGAAGGGCAGAATGGCACGTATGGGAACTTTTTACGCTTCCGCAACGCCAACTCGACCCTTACGAGTAAAAACTTGACCGTGACCGATACTTTACCGTTCTTGTTCAAAAATACGGAGCAGTGGTACAAGGACATGATCCTATCATCTTACTCCCATGGCGTAGCACATAACACCAAGCAAGTAGAAGACAACCAACAGATCCCCGCGAAGTGGGTCAATCCACTCGAAAGCCGGTTACCACTCGCCCCGAGTCTGAAAGTCTACTGCTTCTATGGTATTGGGAAGGCCACGGAACGAGCATATTACTACCGCACAGACGACGAGCCCTTGAGTGGGTTGAACGTCACTCTCGACACGGCAATCATGGGCGGAGATATAGACCACGGAGTAGTAATGGGTGAAGGCGACGGTACAGTCAACCTCCTTAGCTCAGGATACATGTGTTCCAAAGGGTGGAAGATGAAGCGATACAATCCAGCCGGTGTACAGGTCAAGACGGTTGAGATGTTACATGAGCCTGATCGGTTCAGTCCGAGGGGTGGGCCTAATACAGGTAAGTGTTCCCAATTCACTCCGGTCCAAAATCTTGGCTAGACAGCGTGGAATAAGAAAAATCCTCAAGAAGAATCTTTGCTGACACTGAACAGCCGACCACGTCGATATCCTCGGTAGTGCCTCACTGAACGACCTGATCTTGCAGGTCGCAGGCGGCCGAGGCGAACTCATCGAGGAAACAATTCATTCGAACATTAAGGAGTATGCGGAGAAGGTCAAGGTGTATGAGGAATCATGAGTGAATGAAGTTCGCTTGTGGCGGAGAACCGTGATCAGACTAATGATACAGGACTGATTTTGATGTATATATGGAAGATCCTCGGTGCTATAGATGGCTGTCATTTGGGTGGCTCGGACGATTGGGATGATACCACAGAGTTATTTACTTGCATGAATTTGAATCATTTATAGAGGCGATCATGATTATTATATTATGGCGTAGATCGCGCAAGTTGTAGTAGATTAACAACGAAATCTTAAGTGAGCAGGCACTAACATTATATCGTTTCGCATTTTTGTTCTTGGTAAACTCTAAAGCGGATACACACATTCCCCCTAGCGCCGATCATTTTGTGCTTCCTCACTTTGCCGCATACTACACTTAGTCATGACGTACGAACGCTAAGCATACACTTCTACAATCCTTTCGAGCCCTATAATGCTATCCAATACCCCGAATATCTCACCACACTCCTCACTCAACCAACAAGTCTCAGTCCACTAGCCGGTGCACCAATCTGACAAACTTCGCAAACCTTGCAGACTGTACCCTTGTACTTTCCATGGTACTTGCTTCCATCATACGGACATGCCACACTTGGACTACCGCCATAAATGGGTGTAAAGCTGGCTGCGCAAATCTCAAAGTCTGCAAACTGATCGAAGTCAATCTCAATAGCATCCGCTGGATTCCGCTCCGCAACAGTCTTGACGCGCTTAGCCGACTCCTTCATCTTTGCGTTACCCGTGCGGTCAAGCAGGGCATTGGCGAAGTTGAGCGCAGTGTTGAGTTGGCGGTTCTTGTGGGCGAAGTTCATGGCTGCAGAGAGAGGAATGGATCTGTGGGGCCCTTCGAGTTCAGGAATGGTAAAGTAGGCTGAAAGTTCAAGGACGCGCTTCTTGTTGTCGTCGGAGAGTGCGGATACGTCAGTTGCGCCTTGTAGAAGTGCGCGGCGCTCGAGCTCGATGGACATGGCGAGGGTGTATTGTGCGGCGGTGTGGATCGCCTTCTTTGCCTGTTCGTTATGTCAGTGGCTGCTGGTGTAAGGAACGCGAGCTTCGACTTACCTCAGATAGCTCTGCTTGTGAAGCAACGACGTTGACGATCAGAAGGTGTAATAGCTTCTTAAAGGAGGCAACACCGTCTTCCAACTTGTTTTTCACCAGCGCTTGCTTGCCAGCTGTCAGGTCAGTCGAAAGAATGGACTCCAATTCCCTCGGGATGATGGGTAGAATCTTTCTTGAATCGGTCTCATCAACTGTCCTCCGCACATAGTTGACCAGAGACGGCATGTTGGGCGTAGCCGGCAAGAACGTCCGTGTGGCTTGGTAGATCTCCTGGAAGCGGTCCTCAAGCGGGGAGAAGTTGACAGCACCAATCTGTCGGTTCAGGAGTTGCATAGCCGTCTCGAATGAGCCTGCAGCGACATGATCTGCCGCCAAGGGTGAGTTGCGTGCCCACAGGTCGGCTTCACTACTGCCGGCCCCTGCTTCAGCACCCTCGACCTCGACAAAGTCGTCCTCGACTTCAATTTCGCCGTCATCGCCCATGTCCCAACCACCAACATCATCCTCTTCATCGCCTCCAAGCTCAGCCACAGCACCTGAAACTTCAGGCTCGCCCAGCAAATCTTCATCTCCATAACCGTTTGCTGCTGGTTCTTCAGCTCCAGTGCCATCAACTTCGCCTTGAAGAGCCTTCTCAAATACAGTCGAAGAAGCAGCCTTTGTTGGCCAGTTCGCTTTATGTGTCGGCACGATGGGCTTAGTAGGTGCAAGGGGGCTACCTATTGAAGGTAGGTTAATTTGCTCTTCGGTGACGCCAGCAGCTTCTAGAATTGTTTGCGCTTGCTCGTCAAGGCCGTTAGCCTTGGCAGTTGCATACGCTAGTGGGTAGAGATCAAGTTCTTGGAACATCTCTATCCGGTTCTGTACATCCCCAAGGTAGAGTGCGTTCTGGAATCGTGCCGTCATGTCCCCGCGGTGCTCGGCGATCTTGGCCATACGCTTCAGCTTATCTTGATCACCTGTTGCGAGGTACAAAAAGGACAGCTTATCGAAGTTGCGAAGCTTCTGGTACGTCATCTCGACCGTTGAATGATTGCCATGTGCAAGAGCTTCGGCGCTGAGTCTTTGCCAGAGTTTCGGCCGATCAAGCTGCTTGGCCATTTCGACTGCTACCTCAAGGTTTCCGCATTCGATAGCAAGCTCGAAGCGCGTCTGGGGATCTTGAACGAATTGAAGAGCAATCTCCGGGTATCCCTTCTTCTGCAGATACGAGATGATGCTTTGACCGACCAAGCTCGATGTTTTGATGATGTTGAGCATCTCGTCGTAATTCCGCTTGATGAGGGCAAGCTTAAAGCGATATTCAGTAGGATCAATCTGGAGGATCTTCGGCTTCGCAGCTCGGTCTAAGCAGTATACGTTTCGTCCCTTGACTCGGACGAGATACACAGTTTGCTCTAGAGTTCGGACGATCCCGTTGTCGCCGTTCATCAGACTGTACTTGATGTGATTCAATGTCGAGTAGAGCAGGACGCCAGTGTCATCCCATGTTGCGCTCTTGATTCGGATTGTCTCGTGTAAAGTGCTGATCTGTTCGAGGTTCTTTGAGGCAATGGTGACGTTGTGTTTGCTCAGAAGAGCTACATGCAGACCATCTGACGACCAGACGACATACTTAACGCCGTTAACAGCAAGCTCCGCGAGATTCTTTTTAGCTTGAATGTCGTACAAAACCACGTTTGTGGGGGTAATCAGAAGTAAGTTGCCAGTGCCGCCGAAATAGATGTCCGTGGTACCGTGTGGAGGTTTAATTGTCTTCGTGGTTGCATTGCTGAGATCTTTGATGTCAATCTGTTGGTTCGACTGATTGAAGACCGCGAATCGGTTTCTCGCTACAAAGACAGCAGAATTTCCCGAGCCGCGCTTTGTGTCCGTCGGCTCTACTGCTCCTGAAGCGTCGCGCGGGAGGCTGATCAACTCATATGTACCACCATCGGCTGGAGATGTAACCAGAATCGAGCGTTCGGCGGGGTTGTAGGACACGGTTCGAGGAGGTACCCATGCGCTTCCGAGCTTCTTCAGGGACAGCATCGATGGTGATTCGATATTCTTCTGGAAATCGTAGGAGCGAATATGCTTCTCTTTCGTGATATAGAAAAGGTTGTTCTGATAGACGGCGGACGCGGGACGCTCCCGTTCCAGTTTGAATACCATCACTCCGTTATCGTGACCAGCGGCGAACAGGTTAATCTCCGGATGCGCTGCAATAACCCAAAAGCGATCGTTCTCCCTCTTGAAAGACTGGACGGATGTTCGTCGGTTGAGGTCCCACACTCGGATGGTCTTGTCTTCACCAACAGATAATATGAGGTCCTGATGAGGGTGGAACAAACAGGCAGATGCGTTCTGGAAGTGGCCTCGGCAGGTATCAACTTCCCAGGCTTTCGTCTCTGACATCCTCCACAGCTTCACCAAGCGATCATCACCAGCGGAAACGATTAATGGAAGCGTCGGGTGGAATGCGACCCAGTTCACGCCTCGATCATGGCCCTCGAGAACGAACTTGACGACTGCATCGGTGTTTCCAAACATATCTGCCTGATTCTGGTTGGCGCGAGCCATCTGATCTTCGAAGGACATTGCTGTCGGAGCGGAGTGCTTCTTCCTTAGTCCAGAGATATCCCAAACACGGACCGATTGATCGAGCGAGGCGGAGACGATGAGGTCCTCTTTGGGATGGAACTGCGCGCACATGGTGTAGTGGTTGTGGCCAGTCATTGTACATACTTCGGGGGGTTAGGTTGGTAAGGCAAGGGCGGTACAGCGGGACTTACTCAATGAGCCTGTACATGTTAGCTTGCGATACTGAAATGGAGCGATGTTACTTACGATTCTGCCAATTCCATATGCGAATGGTCTCTGAGCCTCATTAGCATATACTCTACCAGTGTGCACTATGCGCTTACGATCGTCGGAGCTGCTCACTATCCACGGCAGCTCGTGGTGGAAGAAGACAGTCCGGACATAGTCCAAATGACCGTTCAATGTGAACAGACATCGTCGCGTCTGATATGACCATACCTTGATCTTGTAATCATCACCGCCAGAGACGAATCTGCCCTAGTCTCAGTATACATCTACACGTAACTCTCAACACTGTATCGGAATGCTCACAATGGCTGGGTCTTGTGGAAATCAATGCCGCGGACTGGACCATCGTGCTCTTCGAAGCGGTCTATTAGGGTCCCCATGCGGTAGTCCCATAGCTGGATTGTGGAGGAGTGTAGCGACACGAGGATCCATGGCCTGAAGGCGGTCAGTGGGGAAGGGAGGCATGCGGAAAATGCGGAGGCACCTCTTGGGGTGGAAGGCAATGCCCTTGGCCCTCGAGGACTTGGATTCAAACTGCGGGTTATTAGCAAGCTGTGAGAGCGCGTTTTGCGGGGAGCTCTCTACCTTGGTCAACATGGACGGAGTAGAAGACATGACGGAATTGAGGTCGAAGCCGCAGCTTCACTGGCGCCAGGAGCAACCTCAATGCAGGAGAGGGTCGCTAAGGAGGTAGAGAGGGATAGGTAAAAGAAAAACAAACACGGTGTTGACTACTATTCTGGTACTGCTGCCTCCCGCCTGCGCTGCTTTGGCCAAAGTTCGATATGCCACGCAGCACGCAACGGATTAACTTGAAGGCACGCCTAAGCCGAATCGGTCGCCTAGCGCCAAGGTCCCCGCTACCACGTGACTTTGGACATCACAGTGGACCCTCCGTTTGATATTACAGCCCAGAGCACCACAATTCCGATTTAGAAACCCTCGAACAGGTACATGAACTGCCGCCAACAGAGCCTCATCCCTCCGAGGCCGCACCAGCTCGAATTTGCCTCCGCTGCGTGGGCTCGGTTGCCCCGGTCTGGCGTGCTGCATCGATGCCCCGCAGAGCGCTCACCAATGCCCCCAGTGCCAGCTGGCCATCGTAGTGCCAACACTACCCTACCCGCCCTGCGCGTTGCAATTTTGGACGCTGACCTCATTGGGTGCCGTCCCAGCCTGACGCAAGGTAGAGTGTCCGAGTCTTCTCGTTGCAACTAATCGTTCGCGACCACATATGGTGGCAGCATCGGAGTCATGAAAGGAAAGCACAGCTGCAGATTGACCCGCTCCGTGGCCGGCCAGCTCATTCCTGGAACGCAGGTGGATAATTGGCGACAGTTCCGCACACATTCCCAGACGGCAGGGAATTGTGACCTCCTCCAGTACTCTTTTTCTTCTTCCCCGTCCCCATTCGACCACCGCACACGCACCACACACGCATCGCCACCGAACTGACCAGCAATTTGTGGCTTTTTCGGATCTGCGAGCTACATTTCCTGCATTGCTGCCTATAACACCCCCAATTCCACCTGCACGATAAGCCAAGGCGTTGCAGGGTTCGACTTGTAAAACTCTCCACCTCTCCGCCTGCCCTCGCCGCCTCAGTGATCCCAGTCAAACACTCTTAGACCACCTCCAGAATGAGACAGTCGACGAAACTCCTCTTCCATACTTCAAAGATTAGACACGTCCGTCGGACTTTGATTCCTTGAGATTAGCACACACTATAGAGGAGACCCTGATACGTACGCTTTTGCAATTGGCTACAGGCCAGCCTGACGCAACTCTTCCGGTCAAAACACCACAGTCCTCTTCAGGCTATGGCAACCCACGACCAGCCGCCAGCCGCCATGCTTGTCGGCCATCCCACCTCACCGCCCATGACACCCGGCCATCGCACTCAAAATCGCTTTCCGCCGCAGACACACCAAACCTCTCCGCTGTATAAGCGTATGGGCATCCCGAAATTTGCCCAGACTCCTCCATTGGAGTTCATCGAACCCACTGGCGAAGACCATCACTTCAAGTTCACTCGCCCACAATCACTCGAACGGTCTTCGCGCACATCCGCTTCCACTGGACGAGCGTATGCAACAACATCTCTACTATCCGAAGATGACGACGATTCTGAGGAGGAGAGCGAACAGGAGGAGGAAAGACCCATGCGCCGGGTAGAAAAGGCTCAGTTTGTGCTCGAAGAGCTAAACAGCGATCCAGGCTACGACTGTGACATAGAAGTCGTACGGCCAGACAATTATGAAGACGCAAAAAGTGACAGAAGCGGAACAAAATCCGAGGTCTTTGCTCGACTGAAAGAGCTGCAACTCGAACAAGACAGTTCGGACGAGGAGGAAAGGGAACGCATTTACCGACATAAGAAGAAAAGATGGAGTGCAGGAGTCTTCAAGCGCAGTCATAGTCAGAGCGTCGAGGGTGACAGCAGTTACTCTGACAACGACCCACTAGACGACGTTGACCCAACTGCTCGCCGACTACGACGCCGCGTGCGCGGCCCTCGCGGGCCTTGCGACAGGCGAGGGTCACTCATCTTTGAGGACAGGGGCTTCTCAAATACCAACAATATCGTGGAGGTAGAGGAGCCGGATGAAGGACGAGTGATACACTCGAAAGGCCCGCCATCTATTCCTAGTGATGACGCGTTCACCCTGGATGAGCTCCCATTTTGGAGAGGGGGCGACTTGATGGACGTTGAATTTGACTCTGATTAGACTCTCTTAGTAACGGCTGTCTGCGTTGCCCACAGCTCGGATAATTTCCCGCAGCTTCTTGTTTTTCTGTCTACTGTCTTCATTTGCGATCAAATGTTTGGCGTTGGTTGTGGTTAGCATAGCATGTTCTTGGGCCAAATCTCATCTGTTTTTACCTGAAGGATTGTAAGCGCTCATCAAGTGAAACCAAAGTAGGTATGGCACGGTAAAACGGCACAGACCGCGCCGCGTCTGTGGCCGAGCTGTTTGTTTGCAGATGTTTTTACCTGAATCCTCGCAGCTCTATTTATGGTAACGCTGACAAGCCTTTGCGCCAAGGCTAGGCGTCAACGCCTTTTGGAAAGCTGACATCCACCCAGACGCTAATAACGCTCAACACATGTTCGAGGCTGGGGCATTTTGTGAACTGGCACGGCTATCGACTTTGCCGTGATTCTTGCGCCTCGCTGGGGCCCTTGAAGTCACGAGGCACCGTCCTCTGTGTACACAATGCCTGCTCGGGAGTACCTCGCAACGAAGGGCCAACCTCAGCAAAATAAGCCGTCTTGACAGCAACATCAACAGACCGCTTGATCGCCAATGCTCAAGCATCGCAGCCGATGCACGATCAGCTTTTACTACATCTGTCATTTTACTACTTCCCCAGAAATGTAGAGCTCGCCATACACCGCCACATTCCGACCGCGCGCCGTTCAGCAAACGCCCCGTCAGCGCTTCGACTGCAAGGATGACGAACGGAAACAATGTTTCAAGGCTCGTGCAAAAAGTATCTTTAGTACCTCAAAATCTAAGCAAAAATGACCTGTCATCGAATTTAAGCTTAATTTTAGTCGTTGACCACTAAGCTCAAGCACTTTGTACAGCCTGCTTGTAGTTTTCGGATCGAGGGGTTGCCGTCTAGAACGTCTAGTAGCACCAGGAAATGAGAATCATCAGTAAAGGTATAAGTATGGCGTGGTCGAACGCTCTTGGGAAATCATCTCCTTGCCTACAATCATCAAACCATACTCAAGACTTTCCTATCTGTCTTCATTTTCTTGTCTCCTACTGTTCAAGTTCACTCTTTGCTTCTTAATCAGTAATCATGTTCACTGTTACCAAAGTCCTCGTCGCTGGTCTTGCTGCCCTTGGTGCCGTCCAGGCCCTCCCTCAAACTGTCCGACCATCTTCGACTCCTGCTCCAGCCGCTCCCGCCCCCGCTCCCGCCCCTGCTCAGGACCAGACCGCGCTCTTCCGCGATCTCTCCGCGGCGCCCACTCTTGTGCAGCAGTTCCGACGACTTCTCACCAGTGGGGAGACTCTGCTAACCGGAGATGCCCTGAAGAAGCTCATTGTCTTCTCTTTCAACGGTGCCACGCCTGCTAATGGCGCGAAAGGTGGAGCTACTAAGGCTGCCGTACGTCCCTCCATACTCTGAGTCTCTCCAGCCTCACTAACATCGTCATATTAGAACGTCGAGACCTTCCCCATCCTGTATAAGCTCGGCATCTCCACCACCGTCGGCTTCCTCGAGCCTTGCGGAATCAATACGCCCCATGTTCATCCACGTGCCACTGAGTTCCTTACTCTTGTCGAAGGTTCCAACCTTAAGTTCGGCTACGTTCTCGAAAATGGCCTTGTCAAGGCGGGCCAGAACCCCGAAATCGCCGGCGCCTTGAACAAGTTCGAGGGTACCGTCTTCCCCCAGGGCTCCATCCACTTCCAGTTCAACGACAACTGCGACAAGGCTACGTTTGTTGCGTCGCTGAACTCTGAGGACCCGGGAACGAGCCAGATTGCGCAGAACTTCTTTGCGCTGAATGCGAATGTAGTTAATGCGACGCTTGGTATGCCTAAGACTATTGATGGCAAGAACATTGAGACGTTCAGGAAGATGATTCCTGCCAATCTTGCTCAGGATGTTGATACTTGCTTGGCTAAGTGCAACAAGAAGGGGTACTAGGTGCAACGAGAAGTATCAAGCTACTCAGATGATGGGCTGGTCGGGATGAGATGAGATGGGAAATGGGATGGGCTATAACAGATACGGACTGCATCTTTGAGTTTTTTAGCACAGCGACGGCGTTTTACACCTTCTTTTCGTGGCTGATGATACTGTTACTGATCCTTCTTTTGTGGATTTAGCTTAGAATACTTGCTTCTAGTTGACTTATATTATAACCTTGTCGTTCTATGCTCGTGTGCATTAAGATCTCAACATGTCTAACCTTTTTTTTTCTAGAGCAGGCTACGAATCTCTTGGTAATAGCACAAGTCGGCGACAAGTCCCAAACTAATCACCAACCAGGCCTACTTGAGGCCGAGCGCTGAACGGTTTCGACAGTTCTAGTGAGCAAGCACGAGCTATTCAGATGCTTTTGCTTCCCAGTACTCTTTTGTTATGAGAAATGTCAAGTTGCGCACAAGTCAGTATACGTGTAACTAGCCTCAGCATATATCTGACATGAGCTGTATCCCTGTGGGATGAGCTGCTAAGTATACACCCTGCAACGCTTGGTAGGCTGAGAAGCTGAATATTGAGAAGTTGTCCTAGAATGGCTCATTACTTGATTCCAAGGAAACGTTTTTGGTACAAAGATTCAATTGTTCGGAGAAGAGTGAGATACAGAAGAAATTGAAATGAAGCTAATCAGAAGATCAATATGTTTCATGTATGCAGAATCTTTTTCAGGACGATAACAGTGGCCAGTCTTGACGGAGGCTTGCTGCGGCGGCGCAGCGTGGTCCCGAAGCAATGGGTAACTTTTTTCGGACCCTTTTTATCCTAGCCAGACTTTTGTTGTTGCGCATGCAAGCCCCACGTCCGACTCATTCAGCTCCCGCCGCAACGACCAACAACAACTTCCGCTTCAGCCTGAGCTGAACATTGAAGACAGGCACATATATACCTGCCTTCCCTTCTCCGCCTTATTTTCACATTTCCAGTCCCCATCCAATTGGCAAAAGCACAATAGCTGCTTACCCCTCCATACCACCAGACCCCCCACCATGGCGGACCCAGTCGCGATCCAGGACGAAATCGCAGTGATTGAGAAGAGAATCGAAGAGCTACAGACCCAACTCAAAGATGCAAAGGCGAGATTACTCAAGAGCCAGGAAGAATCGCTGGCCAGCGGGCCCGGCGCACACTTGTCAGAAGAAGAGAAGCTGGCGCTCATCAAGGTCAACTTGCAGGAAGTGCTCAACCCAGAGATCATGGAGGCGGCGCTGAAGAAGCAGGGGCATTTGAAGGTCTACTGGGGCACTGCGACGACGGGGAGGCCGCACTGTGGATACGTGCGTATCACTTCTCGGTAGTGTTGCTCGTTTCGTTGCTAATCATGGTGTGTAGTTTGTTCCTATCCTCAAGATCGCACAGTTCCTCGCTGCAGGCTGCCACGTCAAGATCCTACTCGCCGATATCCATGGCTTCCTCGACAACCTCAAAGCGCCGATTGAGCTCGTCAAGTTCCGCGCTGAATACTACCGCTTCACCATCACTGCGCTCCTCCGCGCTGTCAACGTGCCCATCGACAAGCTCGAGTTCGTACTGGGGTCTAGCTATGAGTTGAACGCGGACTACACAATGGATTTGCTGCGGTTGGCGTCTATAACGAGCGAGCGCGATGCGAAGAAAGCGGGTGCTGAGGTGGTCAAGCAGACGGAGAATGCACCGCTGAGTGGACTGCTCTACCCGCTTATGCAGGCGCTCGATGAGCAGTACCTCGATGTAGACGTACAATTTGGTGGCGTGGATCAGCGCAAGATCTTTGCTCTGGCAAAGGAAGTCCTGCCCAAGATTGGCTACAAAGAGCGCGCACACTTGATGAACCCTATGGTCCCCGGTCTGCAAGGCGGCAAGATGAGCGCTTCAGACCCAGACTCCAAAATCGATGTCCTCGACGACAAAGACGCCGTCAAGCGCAAACTGAAAAAGGCCTTTGCACCCCCCAAGATTGTCGAGGAGAACGGCGTGCTCAGCTTCGTCGAGTACGTCCTGCTCCCCGCTGGCCACCTCATCTACGGCGAGTCCAAGTTCGTCGTCAACCGCCGCGACGCAGAGCCCCTCGTCTACACCAACATCAAGCAAATGCAAGACGACTATGTGAATGATATCCTGATACCGCAGGACTTGAAGCCTGCTGTTACCGAGGCGCTTAACAAGCTACTCGAGCCCGTTCAGGCAGAGTTCCAGGCCAGTGCTGAATGGAAGGAGATTGAGACCAAGGCGTACCCGCCACCGCCCGCGGAGAAGAAGAAGGAGAAAAAGAAGAAGGACAAGGGCACCTTCCACCCGGGAAAGAAGGTCGAAGCGAAGCCTGATGGACATGTTGAGGGCGAGGACAAAGCGGCAGTAGACGTCGGGAGTGCGAGTGGGGAGAAGGCAATTGAGAACTTGACGTTGAAGGAATAGAAGGCATGAGTGGGGGAAATATAGATCTATACCCACAGCGCGGTTGACTGATGGTAGTCACAAACTAACGATCTGGTACGACAGAATCTACTTGTGACATGCTCTGACCAGTTGTGTAGCGTTGCATTTAGTTCGAAAGTCGAGTCCTCGGTTAGACGACATCTAGGTAGGCGATCATATATGAGAGTGCATCTCGCTCGAAGGCAAATAAACACAACCACGCGAGCAATTAGAAACTGTTTGAACATAATCCAGTTTAATATTTACTGACTGCTAGTCGTACAACAAACAAGGAGATTATCATGTACAAGAAAGACATTTAAAGATGAAAAGGTATCGAGCCGGCCCAAAGAAACGCAGCCACCGGCATTCGTATGCCCTCGTTCGCGCAACTTCGAAGCGTGCCGCGCGTATGAAAGTCCGAACGCCATCCTAAACCATGTCCGTAGCACCGTACTCGTAATCAGGTTCTCTTCGTATCGTTTTCAAGGCGCCACCCACATTCAACTTCAGCACACTTATCGCACGATCCCATCACCACCCTTGCCCGGAGGCGGCCCCGGAGGCGGAGCATACTGCGCGTTACCACCGTACGTGGGTTGCGGGCTTTGCAGCTCTACGCCATTCTGCTGGCCATAGTAGCCCTGGTTGGCGCCATTGTTGTAATAGCCTTGATTCGAGGTGGGCGCGGTGGTCGCAGAGTACGGCGGTGCAGGCTGTTGGGTGTTGTAGTTGTTATTGTAGTAGGGTTGCGCGTTGGTGCCCTGGCCTGGTCTCGCAGCCCAGCCGGTGCCGTAGAAAGGTTGACGACCAGCCTTGCGGCGGCGACGTGCGGTTAAGCAGCTACGATGATGGTTAGACACGGCCCGGGCAGTGCGGGAGGGTGAGACTTACGAGCAGACCACGAAGAGGAGGAAGAAGCCAATCACCACGACTGCGAGGACGAGCCATCGCACCCAGTTATCCCATGCGGAGCGGTAGCAGCGGGTTCTGCCGAACTGGTCGCGGTAACATCTAGCCATGATGTGTTAGATGTATGTGTAGAATTAATTGGTGTGGTTATTTTCGAGTGGTAGTGGTAGTGGTGAGAAGACGGAAAGAGTGTTCAGTCAAGTACAAAGGGTGCTTGATGCGCGGTGTATGACGTGTGTCGCAAGCAGTCGAACAAGCGCATGAACGACAACCCAGGTGCGACAACAGCCACTTATAAACCCAGCAGGAAAGTAAGAACAAGGCCAAGCCACGTCGTAACATACCTGTCGTCGTAATAGTCGTAGCTCTGTCTAGCCTGAATATACATGTTGGTCAAATTGGCCTGGTCAACGAAAGCGCAAGACCAAGCGTGTCTAGGGCAGCGAAGGAGGGCTGATAAGAGGTGGTGGTGAGGATGGAAAGAGTGGGACGCAGGGATGGGCTGGGGAAATATGACGACGGCTCAGGCTGAAGAGGGCAAGGATGCGAGGCATGCCGGCTGCTCAGCCACAGCCAAGGACATAGGGCTTGGGAAAATCGGGTAGAGCGGAGTTGACAAGTACGAGGACGGCTGTGTGCTCATTGGTGGCTATGGAAACTTCTGTTGGTCCTGCTGATGGACTGCTGATGGCCAGGCCAGGTGGAACGAGGCGCGGTCGCATCAAGGGCGGCAAAGGACTGTGATGGAATCTTCTCCTCCCATCTCAAATAACGACCGGCAAGATTCTGACGGCTCGGGGCTTTCTACGACAGTCAGATGCTAATAGGAGGAAGGCTCTCTGAGGAGTTCTTGGGGTCTTGGTATGCTGCGCCTGGAGCATACGCATACTCGGACTACTGAAGTCATCAAATCAAGTCCGATTCCAAATCATCAACATCTCGTTTGCTTGCTTCACATCTATCAGTGGGATTGTGTTTGCCCATCTGGTCATCTCTGACGTGCAACTGCTCTTGAAGCAGTGCATTGTGTGAATATATTCGCATCTCCAGATTCTTGAAGAGTCCACGTCCATGCCAGTGTTGTTACCTGAGAAGTATACTGAATGAAGGGTATTACGGTTATCGACGGTTGATCAAACATGGGACGGTTCTCTGCCAGAGATTCGACATCTACCCAGTTCCTTGGACTCTATGTCCTGTCGCATTCCATTCACCCCAGCCACATGCATGCACACTCCACTCCCGCGCCACACCAACCCTCAACCCCCCTCCATCGTTCATCGCCAATTCTTTCCATACTGCTTCGCCGTCTCGGTTTGCATTCCGTCCGTCGCGCAACTCGTCTACATGGCAGGGGTTTGCGCCTGTCCCAGACTACACAGCCAATCAGCACCCAGCTAGTCAAATGCCTGAAGTGCGCTAATGCAGGATGAGTTGTTCAATTGTCCATGGCATGGTTTTGCTTGGGTCCCACTACTGCCAGCGGAGAAGCCGCTGAAAGAATTAATAGCTGTTCGTCGGTCCCTATGGCTGCTGTCTGTGCCTCTTCTCTCTTCCTGCCATTCTCTCTCGTCTTCTCGCTGTATACGCTTGTTGGGGAGGAGCTGGAGAGCGGGCTTGGGTGCGGAATTGCGTTTCGACGATACACTGCGCGGACACGAGAAAAACCGATCAGTCATTGAACACCACGAGCCGATGTTTCCGCACAACAATAGTCTGATGCGACGCGTCTGCGCTTGCCCTGACAAGCAGGCTGCTCGGGCCTGGCGAACAGACACATGTCTGCGACACCAAACAACCTTGTTACAGCACGGCGCGACCGTCGGCGCACACTGACGCAAAGTCACGAGCACAGCAAGGCCACTCAAAATGGAAAGAGACAATCGTCACCATTATACGATACGAACTTTGGGCTATTCTTGTTGAAGTCGACAATCCCGCTACCGTACACTTGTATCTGGACCCAAGTCTCCTCTTCTCTTCTTGGAACCCGCTGCGCCCTTGCTCAAATAAAGACAGATGATGCCGTCGCGTACTGTCGCGTACTGTCGCTGAATGTACGCTATTGATGACCGCCGTGAAGAATGATATAGAAAGAAGCGTGCTCGAGTTGGGAAACTGGAATGGCCATCGCTAGCCTGCAGAGCGATCTGCCCGTCTTTTCTTCCGTCACATCGTAAGAATCATTAAGTATGTCGTAGAAAGCTGACTACCGTATTTTGTGAGAACATAGGCACATCAGCGTCGTGAAATGGCGAAACAATAAACCGAGTCAAATGGGGTGGTGAGCGGCACGTGGTCGCTCTTCCTCTTCGAATGCGGACCGCAACCTACTTGCTCGCTCGAGCGATCAACCACTGGAGCACGGCATCGAGATTGGTCTCTTCCTTTGCGCTGATGCCGTAGCAGCTCACTTCTCGGTGCGATACGGCCTTGAGGTTCAGCGATTCGATCAGTTCGTCCACGGAGAGCTTGTTGGGCAGATCGGATTTGTTGCCCAAGACAAGGAGAGGGATGCCTTCCAGGGCAGGCTTCTCCAAGAGAAGGTTCAGCTCTTCGCGCGCAACCGGTAGCGCTTCCTTGTCAGCGGAGTCGACGATGAACCTAGCACGATGAGCGACCACCTCGGAACACATGCAAATGGGTCTTACACAATGGCATTCACACCGCGGCAGTACCGCTCCCACATGGAACGAAACCTGGGTTGGCCTCCGAGATCCCAACTGTGGCGATGGTCAGCAGACACACCTTGGCTGGGTAGATTGCCCGCTCCCTGCAAGGCTGGCTCCAACGGGCTTGGCGCCGCAAGAGGAGGACATGCGTGCAGGTGACCAGGGAGGCAATGCGTAGTACTCACCACTTCAAGGTTACATGACCTTTCTGGACGCGCTTCATGTTGAAGCCGACGGTGGGGATAGAGCTATGACCAAGATTAGCGCTTGGGCCCCCTCTATGATGGCGCCCATGGTTGCGCGAAGCTGGAGAATCGGGACACTGATGGGACAATGTCGCCCTCGGCTTGCGGTACTTGGGATGCATGTTTGGCTTACTCGACAGTGAACTCTCCTCCCTAGACAGCAGTCGGTCAGCACAAGGTCGTCGCAAGATATCGTCGGTCTGGCACAGCCATTACCGCATCAGGAAAGAGACTCACCGCCAGAACTCTCAAGAGCGAAGTCTTGCCAGCGTTCTGCAGTCCGATCATGGTGATGTCCATCTCGGTCGCCCTAGACAGTGAGAATCATCAGCATCCATCCCAGTTCATCGTCGAGTGCGGGCTTGCTGGTTCGTGCAGGGACGAGCGCTGGAGGGGAGGTATCAAATGGCGCATCAGGCATCTAGGCGTGCGCAGATGATATGACGAAAGGGACATGACAGTAAGGACGGAGGCACAATACCAGAACAAGCGGAGGAGCCAGTCGTAGAGCCGTCGAAATAGGTTGGCCATGGTGAGGGACTAGGTAGGTAGGTAATGACTCGGGGGATGGTGTTGACGGCTGGTCGAGAAGTGGTGATGGGATGGGCGCTGGGTGGGAAGCCTGGGACCTTGATCCTTGCTTGCGGGGCAGCTTTGTAGCGATTACGCCGTAGATTCAACAGCAACAGCAGCAGCAACAGTGAATGGACCAGCAATCCAATACATGTGCAGACCGCGTCGACAATGCAGTGAGGAAGTGAAGAAGAGCGAGAGCTGTGCCGCCCCACGGAAAAGCTAGGAGCGCTTCGTTGCGCACCGCATTGGAGCCACTGCGCGTGACGACGGGCGAGCCTCTCTCGCCTATGGGAACTCTTGGCGGCCGACAGGGGGGGGGGGAGAGGGAGACAGACCCTAGCGCGCAAAAAGTTCGTGATGGGCACCCGAGGAAGACATTCACTCAATTTGCGAATCAACTGCGACGACACAGCTTGCGTCCTCATGGTGAGCTGCGCATTCGCCCCCTAATATCTTACCCCGTCCTCTCTCTCTCTCCACGCGACGCGACATACCCTACATACAGTCATTGCCTGCACAGCCATGGCGCCTGTTGCACCCAAAGCCAGGAAGCCACAGCAGCAGCAACAGCAGCAGCAGCAGCCGTGGTCGACCAACTTCGACACGCAGCGACGACAGAAGCTGTTCCAAAGCCCCCCCAGGGACAAGACAGCCTATCCCACGCTCGCCGAAGCCGTAGACCCCCACATCAACTCCTTCAATGCCGTCTTCGCCGCGGGCGGGCAGCTCGAGCAGGGCATCAAGGAAATTGGCACCAAGATGTTCCTCGACGGCGACCCATACGATGCGCGGCCCGAAGAAACTGGCCCGCGAAACAGACTCTCGGTCCGCATACAGGATGTCTTCCTCGACCGCGCCGTCCTCCCGCCATCCAACAAGGTTGCGCTCAAGAACCGCAACATATTCCCCGCAGAATGCAGAGAGCGACACGCCACCTACCGCGGCAAGATGCGCGCACGGCTCGAGTACAGAGTCAACAATGGCGACTGGCGAGAGGAGGTGTGCGATCTGGGCACCGTTCCCATCATGCTGAGGTCAAACCGGTGCCACCTCGAGAACATGAGCCCGGACCAGCTCGTCAAGGCCAAGGAGGAGACCGAGGAGCTGGGTGGATACTTCATCGTCAACGGCATCGAGAAGATTATCCGAATGCTGCAGGTGAACAGGCGAAACTACCCCATGGCCATCAAGCGTGGCGCCTTCACCAACCGTGGCCCTGGCTACACCCCGTACGGCATCCTCATTCGCTCCATGCGCCCCGACCAGACGTCCCAAACCAACGCCCTCCACTACCTGAACGACGGCAACGTCAACTTGCGCTTCTCGTGGAGGAAGGCCGAGTATCTGGTGCCAGTCATGATGGTGCTCAAAGCGCTAGTCGAGACCAATGACCGCGAGGTCTTTGAGGGCTTGGTGGGTGCAGCTGGCTCAGAAGGACTCGCCGAGAAGCAGTTTGTGACCGATAGGGTGGAATTGCTCCTCCGGACGTACAAGGTCTATGGGTTGCACTCGAAAGCGAAGACGAGGGCATATCTGGGACAGAAGTTCAAAGTCGTACTGCAGATCCCCGAGGACACCAGCGACGAAGAAGCCGGCACCGAATTCCTCCGACGAATCGTCCTACCACATCTAGGAGCCTACAATGTCACGCCAGCCCAAGATGCCGACAAGTTCCGCATGCTCCTGTTTATGATCCGGAAATTGTATGCCCTGGTCGAGGGTGAATGCACCGTGGACAATCCGGACGCTGTCCAAAATCAGGAAGTCCTGCTTGGCGGCCAGCTCTTTGGCATGATTTTGAAGGAGAGACTCGAGGACTGGCTACTTTCCATACGGGTTGGCGTGCAGGAGTGGGGACGCAGGGCAGAATGGAAGCCCTTCACCTCTGAAGAATTCAAGAAGGATTTTCTGCCCAAGATTCTGAGAAGATCCCAACTGGGCATCGGAGCGGCCATGGAATACTTCCTGTCGACCGGAAACCTCATCAGTCCTACCGGTCTCGACCTGCAACAAACGGCTGGTTTCGTGGTCGTGGCTGAAAAGATCAACTTCTACCGCTTCATCAGTCATTTCAGGATGGTGCACAGAGGCGCCTTCTTCGCTCAACTCAAGACAACAACCGTGCGGAAACTGCTACCAGAGAGCTGGGGCTTCATGTGTCCTGTCCACACCCCTGACGGATCTCCATGTGGGTTACTAAACCACTTTGCACACAAGTGCAAGTTGGCTACACACAACGTTGATGTCTCGGCGATCCCCATGCTGGTTGCACAACTGGGCGTATCCAGCAAGTCGTCCGCCTCTCTTGAGGCGAGCGTGGTCGTACAGCTAGACGGCCGCGTTTTGGGCTTCTGCTCGCCAAAGCAAGCCAAAACCATTGCAGACACGCTTCGCTACTGGAAGGTTGAAGGCTCTCACGACGTTCCGTTGGAACTCGAAGTCGGCTATATTCCCAATTCCAACGGTGGCCAGTATCCCGGCGTGTACATGTTCTCACAGATGTCCCGAATGTACAGACCCGTCAAGTACCTCCCTCTAGACAAATTGGACTACGTGGGACCGTTCGAGCAACCGTACATGTCGATAGCCTGTACAGATGCCGAGGTTGTGTCAGGTGACTCGACACATGTCGAATACGACCCCACAAACATCTTCTCCATCATCGCCAACATGACACCATTCTCAGACTTTAACCAATCGCCAAGAAACATGTATCAAGTGGGTTATAAAACTAGCCTTTGCACTCTTAATTACCTGCTAATATTAACAGTGCCAAATGGGAAAGCAGTCCATGGGAACGCCTGGAGCCGCCCTGCGATACCGAACGGATAACAAGACCTACCGCTTGCAGACGGGCCAAACACCTATTGTGCGACCGCCACTGCATAACGAGTATGGCTTGGACAACTTTCCGAACGGAATGAATGCTGTTGTGGCTGTTATCTCTTACACGGGGTACGACATGGACGACGCCATGATAATAAACAAGTCGGCGCATGAGCGCGGTTTTGGTCACGGCACAATCTACAAGACCAAGATATGCGATCTCGAAGAAGGAGGGCGGAAAAACAGATCGGGGAGGACCGTGACCAAGCTTTTTGGATTCGCTCCCGACGGCCTCATCACGGCGGACAAGAAAGAGACGATCGACGAAGATGGGTTTCCTCGCATTGGGGCGATGCTGCGTTCAGGCGACGCTATCGCGGCATGGCACACTGTCTCGTATGACCCGGCTACCGATGATTACATCAACCGCGACGCCCAAACAAGCTATTTCAAGTACAAGGAAGACGAACTCGCCTTCGTAGAAGAGGTGCGTATCATCGGCTCAGAAGACGGCACGCAGCCTTGCCAGAAGATTAGCGTCAAACTTCGTGTCCCGCGTTCCCCAGTCATCGGCGACAAATTCTCGTCTCGTCACGGCCAGAAGGGTGTCGCTTCACAGAAATGGCCTTCCATCGACATGCCTTTCTCCGAATCCGGAATACAGCCCGATGTCATCATCAACCCGCACGCTTTCCCCTCGCGAATGACAATCGGTATGTTCGTCGAGTCGCTCGCAGGCAAAGCCGGTGCGCTTCACGGTTTAGCACAGGACTCGACGCCGTTCCGTTTCGACGAGCAGAACACTGCCGTCGATTTCTTCGGACACCAGCTTATGAAGGCGGGATACAACTACTACGGCAACGAGCCCATGTACAGCGGAATCACAGGCCAAGAACTCGCTGCGGACATTTACATTGGTGTCGTCTATTACCAGCGTCTACGTCACATGGTCAACGATAAGTTCCAAGTGCGTACTACGGGACCCATCAACTCGACGACAGGGCAACCCATCAAGGGAAGGAAGAAGGGTGGTGGTATCCGTGTCGGCGAGATGGAGCGCGACGCTCTTATTGCACACGGTACTGCTTTCCTCCTGCAAGATCGTCTCATGAACTGCTCAGATTACACAAAAGCAGCCATCTGCCGCGCCTGTGGGTCTTTCCTCTCCACTGCGCCCACGGTCAACGAGTATGGCCGCAAGAAGGAGAAACCTGGAAGCAGCTTGACGATTCGTTGTAGACGTTGTGCGAAGCTCGCGGATGGGGTGAACAGTAAGGCGGATGTGTGGATGGATGGCCAGGGAATGCGGTTCAGTGGCGGAGATGACATTGCCATTGTGGCTGTTCCGGGTGTCTTGAAGTATCTGGATGTTGAGCTGGCTAGTATGGGGGTTAGGCTGAAGTTCAAGGTGGATCCGTAGATACTGGAGCGGCTAATGATGTTGGAATCGAGGTAGGCTTGAATAAGCATTGCTCGGCGTTTTGGACACTAGGAAAAGTTCTGTTCTGTAAGTAGCATTGGCATCGCATGGAGTATCTACCGGACTATGATAGATAGATGAACATGGAACGAGTTTTGTATTACACTTCGAGCGGAAGAATATGCCCCTTTCAATGACAAACAATGCTCTTCTCCCAAACAATACTAAAAGATGCTGTCAAATCCACCCAAACAATAGCGTAGACCGACAAAGTCAATCATCCATCTTGCATCCAGTCCCTTCCAGACCTCCTGCAATCTCCTCGTACTACCTACAGTGAGGTCTTTTGAAATTGCAGTCTCTTGGTGACTCTACATGCATTATAGCCAGCAGCCCATTTCCCCTCGAGGGTTCGTAAACACATGTTTGCTTACGGATCATGCTTTCCCAGGCTTTATTGCTTTCGCACACTGCTAGAAAAGAAAAGCCCATGGAAAAATTATCTAACATAGACACGAATCGAATCGCAGATGACACCATGTGGAATTAAAAGTCCGTCTTCCCACCCATGACTTTGGCAGCATTGACAGCGTTCATCTTAGCCGCCCAGCCCGGAGCAGGCACAATCTTTCGCACAGTGCGCACTTCGTCGGATGCGTAACCGGGGATGCGGATGTTGTAGTTGCGCTCGAGGATGACTTGGATGTCGCGGATATCGAGTTGAGGTGATTCGCGCAGCTTGGAGAGCTTGCAGGCGCTGCTAATGACGTTGTCGACGAAGTCGTCTGCGAGTTGGAGGACGGACTGGAAAAGTGTTAGAATACGCATGCCAAGTAAAGTGATATTAATATCTCCTACCTCTTCAACCTCCGGTGTCAGCGCCTCCTCCGAGCCACCTGTAACCTGTCTGACAAGCTCATCAAGCTTGCGCTTGCTGAGCACACGATCGCCTTCACCCTCAAGCTGGAAAGGTGGAGGCCGCGGGATAACAGGTTGACCCATCGGGCCTGGCGCACCATTGGTAGGGCCTTGCATGGTCGGGCGAGATTGGCCCATGTGGACGGCGGATGGGGTCGTGACGTTGAGGTGTCGCGGGATTGGCATCTTGGGATTATTAAGTTGCTCACGCTCGCGACTGCCAAAATTGCCTTGACCGCCTGGCTGCATGGGCGTGTTTGTGCGCTGAGGATCGGTGTAGGAGCGATTCGCAGCGCTGACTGCGGCTTGGTGAGAGAGTGGGACTGGAGGGCCGTTGGGCGCATTTGATGTTGCCGATTGCGGATGTGGCGAATTGTTCTGCTGGTGCTGCATTGCATTCGCTTGCATTGGGTTGATTTGCGGTCGCTGTTGTTGCTGCTGGAAGTTCTGCTGCTGCTGTTGGCCAGGCTGAGCGAATTGTAGACCTGGGTTGTTGGGGGGCATGGATTGTGAATGAGGCGCGGGAGGCGGGCGGGCCTGCTGCTGCTGTTGCTGTTGCTGTTGCTGTTGCTGTTGCTGTTGCAACTGCTGTTGTGAAAGTGAAGGTGGCATTTGAGAATTTTGTTGCTGCAGCGGTGGCTGTTGGTTTCCTTGCATGTTGTATTGCGGTGCCGGCTGTGGCTGCGGCACTTGCCCCCCCTCCACCTTGATCTGGGGCTCCTCTTTAATCGGAGGTTGCATAGGCATATTGGGCTGTGAAGGCCGACGCTGAGGGGGTTGTTGTATTTGTTGTTGCTGAGGCGATGCTGTGGAGGGCTGCTGTGCGGGGGGTTGCTGAGCGGCTTGTTGCCCTTGCGGTTGCTGTTGCGATTGCTTCTGCTCCCGTTCATCCTTCCACTGCTTTTGCAGCCTTCTGAATTTGTCCAGTTGGTCCTTCATTTGAGCATGCTCCTTCTCGACCCGGGCCCTCATGGTAAGAAACTCCTGAGGTACTTCTTGTCCGGCATTCTGTCGCTCCTGTATCTGGTTGGTGATTTTCCTCCTGCTCTCAGAATAGGAGGCCTGCTTAGCCAGCATATTAAGATAGCCGTTCCTATATTCCTTGAGCTTCACATCGTACTCTGGTGTCCCCGGGGGAGGTGCAGTTGGCGGTAGCTGGATGGGAAACTCGTGGACGTGTTTGAGAATTGCAGGATCGACCGGGTTCTGCGGTCGGGGTTGACCTGGATTTGATGGAGGTTGTCCCTGAGACACAGGCGCAGCGACATTTTCTGCGCCTCTATTGAGAACTTGCGGCGCCTCCTGCTTGACTGGATTCTGAATCTGTTGCCCAGCCTGGCTGCCCTGGCTAGATTGACCCTGATTTGCTTGCTGTTGCTGCTGTTGTGCCTTCATCTTCCCGCGATGGGTACGCTCGCGCGCAATGAATTTCTGCGACCATTCTGATAGTTTCTGGCGGGCCGTGGTGTGCTCGGGGCTGCCTTGCGGATGCTGCTGGATCATATTCCAGAAGTTCTGCATGATCAAGCGGTACTTTTGCTTCTCATCATCGGGGAGCGACTGCAGCTTGAGGATGTCATCGGCGCGTAGCAGTTGCTGCTGCTGTTGGCCGCCGCCCGTCGGCTGGGGCTGGGAGTCGCTCATTCTTGACGAACGCGAACTGCCGAGTCGCGAACGACAAAGGAATGTTTGGTTGGATTGTGTGCGAGATTGGCCAAGTCGGCGATGGCTCTAGGTCATATGCTGGCCTTGCAATCTGAGAGGTGCGTGTTGGTTGTGTGGGATATTGTTCTGTGAGGGATGACGGAAGTAGCGTTGAAGTCTGGATACTTGAGCGCTGGGGCGTCTTGGCTCCACTCTCATGTCGCGCAATTGTACGACTGCACGTGCACTTGGCTCGAACACAAAACTTCTTGGATTCGAAGACAACTTTGCGATCTATGTATATGTGTATTTACATGTTATGCTAGTATTGTTACAACAGCGTCATCTCTAGGACTCATCAGGTATGCGATTAACTTCAGCGCTCGACTTGCCTCCTTTCGCCAGGGCTCGCTCCCTCGTGTTTCGAACCTCCCATTCGAATTCTTTGAGTGCTCTGATCTCGCTACCAATGAACAAGAGCCCCATGAGCCCATCAATGACTCCGACGCTCAGGCCGAGTGAACTTAGCAGCATTAGAATGAAGGACACATAATTGTGCGGCGACCACCAAACGCCGATCAGGCATCCTGTCCAGAGAGAGAGCTGGAAGAAGAAATGCCCTATGCGCAGCTTGCGCTGCACCCGTTCGCGGACTTCGTACTTGTTTGTATTTGCAAGAATCTCGTCGTAGATCTCGATGGGTAGATAGCGCTCTGGCAGCGCCAAGGGGCTGAGTTGGGTAGCGGATGGTGTAGTAGGGGTCCTCGTCAGCGTTGCTTCGACCGAGAAGTGATCGCTGAGCGAGCAGTGCAGCGTGGGATGTCGCATCGCCATACCAACATTAGCCTCCTTGAGCTCCCACTCGGCCGTCTCCTCCCCTGTCTCCGCATGATGAGATCTAACGCTACTAAAGAAGACATAGTCAAGTCGCTTCGCGTACGGATCCGGTACGGCAGGATCTATCTGCACGTTCTCACCTTTTGCGAGGCGCTTCTTGTGTGCTTCGTTCCACCGCCAGGAATTCAATTCACTGTCGCAAGTGGCACCGTTTTTCGTCATGTTGAAGTGTGCTGTGGGCATTGGCAAGCCTCGAACCTGTTCGACCTTGTCTTTTGCTGCACCGATCGAGGACTCGGGATGTAGTATGCGCCATACATCTCGGACTGGTGAATGCGTTTCTATGATACGATGCGCGAGGGATAGTGGTATCATGTTGAAATCGCCGAGCCCGATGACCAGGTGACCACGCTCGGCAGCTGCACGCATAAGTTTTGTTATTTCCCATGCTTGCGCGGTGCGGTGGCAAAGGTACGAGTCGTGCGGTTCGCTTTCGTATGGAGCGTGGAGCTACTTGAAATCAGCAGGTCTTGACCAAGTAGTGTACCATTGAGAACATACATGTGTGCAAAACACCTCTGCAACATCTCTTTGCGAAGGTCCCATGCGTATCCGCGCACATGCAACGCCCTTGCCCACAAACCAGTCTCCGCGGTAGAACGCAGCAGGCCGTCCATTCAGCGGATACCGCACCATGTTGCTCTCTTCAATCGGCCATCTTGACAAGATCGCTAATCCGCCACCGAAGATACCGCTGTGGTAGAATTTCCCATACGGAAGTATATGCTGTGTCTTCTCGCGTATGGCATGGTAGTCCTGCTGTGTCCAACACTCCTGAAGACCGACAATATCTGGTTGGGGAGTTGCCGCCGCGATCTGGACGCCGATTTCTGTCAATCGCTCATTGCGGAGCTTGGAGATGAACTTGAGGCCCCAGCAATTGAGTGAGAGGATCCTCAAACTCGAGGGTGGTCGACTGGCATCCGAAGCCATTGTGAGGTCCTGGGATGTCAATTGACCTGTGATGATGCAACTGGGGGTAGCTACTACAGGGATCATTCACCGCCTGTGCACTAACATGGCAGTATTCTTTTGGTCGCGTTCGCGTCTTCTCCACCCCAGCATACATCTATTCCTCTGACAAACACTATGGACGGCACACGCTCCACCTCACCAAAACGCCGGAGAGACAACGACGACGGCTATGATGACGCGCCGCCCCGCAAACGCTCCGCATCCCGCACACCACCCAATGCCTCTCCATCCTACCGACTAGCGGAGCGACCCGCGCGCCGTTACAGCAGGGAAGACAGCGAAGACGACCGACGATACTTCAGGGATAGACGAGCTCCCCAGTCCCGGTCAAGATCACGGTCACGTTCAACATCACAGTCTCCTTCCTCATCTCAACGGCACTCGCGCTCTCCTAAGCCCCCACCAAAGCCCACAGAACTCCACTACAAACCAACGTTGATACTACGCGGCCATAAGAAACCCATTGCCGCAGTCCGATTCTCACCAGATGGGAAATGGATTGCATCTGCAAGCGCAGACTGCACCATCAAGATTTGGGACGCGCATACCGGCCAACTCGAGCACACACTTGAAGGCCATTTAGCAGGTGTGTCCACCATCTCGTGGGCGCCAGACTCTAGGATCTTGGCTTCAGGCTCAGATGACAAGAGCATACGGCTGTGGGACACGACAACAGGCCTCGCGCATCCAACACCCTTCATTGGTCACCACAACTATGTCTATTCGCTCGCCTTTTCGCCAAAGGGCAACATGCTCGTTTCTGGATCCTACGATGAAGCTGTCTATCTGTGGGACGTGCGCGCTGCAAGAGTGATGCGATCGCTACCTGCTCACAGCGACCCCGTGGGCGGTGTAGATTTTGTGCGCGACGGTACACTCATCGTTTCCTGTTCCCATGACGGCTTGATCCGAGTATGGGACACAGCGACAGGGCAATGTCTCCGAACTCTGGTCCACGAAGATAACGCCCCTGTATCGTCAGTGATTTTCAGCCCAAATGGCAAATACGTGCTAGCTTGGACATTGGACTCGTGCATCAGGCTTTGGAACTACATCGAGGGGAAGGGGAAGTGCGTCAAGACGTACCAGGGACACGCCAATAAGAATTACTCCGTTTCGGGCGCCTTTGGAACGTACGGTGGTCAGCCACCGCACGAGTACGCGTTCATAGCATCCGGCAGCGAAGAGGGAAATGTTGTGCTGTGGGATGTGAGTAGCAAAAACGTGCTACAGAGATTGGAAGGGCATACCGAGGCTGTTCTCACAGTTGATACACACCCCACAGAAAAGCTTATCGTGAGTGCGGGCCTGGATAGAGTGGTTAGGTTGTGGAAGGCTGCTAATCCGCCAGTGGGTGGAGAAAAGGATGGATTACGGAATGGGGTGGTGGAGGAGAAAGAGAAGGAGACAAATGAATTTGATCCGGAGACTCTACCACCAAATCCTTTCGCAGAGGCTTAAGACGAATATTTGTTTTCCACGGAAGATAAAAGGGGCATTTGGGTCTGAAGAATACCGTATCACTAGAGAGATGATCAAACATTATTTGGAGGAGCCTGGGAGGTCCGCAGTCCCCTATCATGTTTCAGGAAATACCAGGCGAGTGCACTGTATTCCTCAAACTGTGAGTACAACCAGGCGAGATGCACAGTTTCGTAGTTTTGTAGATACCCCAACTTTAGCGCTTTGGAACTTGTGCATTTCTTGATTTGCAAGTCTCTTTTCGACCGACCGACTTTTGCCTGAAGCCCCTCGCATTTGTCGCTTCTCAAAGTGAAGATACGTTATATATACAGCAAGGAATTAAAAGGCCCGCAGCGAGTCAGTAAGATGATGTCACTCCCGGCTAGCCTTTTTTTGTCTACCGTACCTAGGATATATACACAGTACTAGTACAAACCCAAATGTGAATTAGATTGAGCCTTGTGCTCTCTCTCTCTTAGGATCCAATCGTTCACTTTCTCCTCTTCATGACCTTGGTACACATCTCGATCAAGCCGGTTTTCGCTTCGCTCTCGGGAAAGAATGATATCGCCTCGATCGCCTTGTCGACATACTCCTGGGCGAGCGCGCGCGTTTGCTCCAGTCCGGAACTTTGGCTTACAATCTCTCTGGCCTGTGTTGTCGTTAGTCACTATTGCTACGAAAGTTATTCCATGGGAAAGGATTGGCAGCCTACCCGTTGGACATCGCCCTCCCCACTGAACTTCCGCCCCACCAACCGCCCAAGACTTCCATTCTCTTTCCATGCAAACAGCAATGGCGCCGTCGCAAGTCCTAGCTCCAGATCCGCACCCGCAGGCTTCCCCAGCTCCTCTCCACTAATGGTGTAATCCAGCATGTCATCAACCAGTTGAAATGCGAGGCCCAGGTTCTTGCCGTACAGGTACGCCGCCTCGACCACCTCTGGCGTCGAACCACCTAGGATAGCAGCGGCGCGGCAGGACTTGCTGATCAACGAGGCGGACTTGAGGTATGTCTTCTGCAGGTAATAAGAGACGGTGTCTTCGGTCCAAGATGGATTCTTCTCATCCCTCGCCGTGTTCTTAAGCTGCATAAACTCGCCCTCGACCAAATTTGCAATAACCGTCGCCAACAACTCGGTTACCTCGGGATCTCGTAACCGTGCCAGCGCGACGGAGGCGCGGCCGAGGAGGAAGTCGCCAGCTAGCACGGCCATTTTGTTTCCAAACTCGAGGTTCGCCGAGGGCGCGGAGCGGCGGGAGACAGAGTGATCGATGACGTCGTCATGGAGGAGAGAAGCAGTGTGAATGAGTTCAGTAATCTCAGCAAGGCGGCGCTGTGACGGCAGGATGTCGCTATCTTCGGCAGTGTAGGCGGCATCGTGCTGTATAGTGCTGATTGGACTTGTCTCCGGGTTTTCGTCTAGTAGTATCGACGGGTGAGTGAGCGAGCTGTCCACACTTCTGCTCCCATTTCCCCCAGCTCTGGCAGACTGCGGTGTCAATGCCGTTGCTCTGCTCATGAGCAGGACTAGCATGGGTCGTACATATTTCCCCTCACTCTGAGTGTAGTACTTGGCCACGGTATCCAGCGTCGGGTGTCCTGAGCCTAGCAATTGCCGTATATTCCCCGTCAGGAACTTCATCTCTCGTGCAACTGTCTGGAAGGGGTCGATCTGGATCGGGGCACCTGGTGGCGGCGTGCTCATGATGTTCTGCGCTACGTTGACGGCGGCTGCCCACGACGACTGGTTCCGCCGCCGCGGGGAGTGGTAGTATGTCGAGACATTCGGATTCTGCCATTGTCGAAGGGCAGTATCATGATACGGACATGATGGGAGTCGTGAGGAAGTTTGCTGGCGCGCAATGCTCGTTGCGAGCCGGCAGCTTCTGCTCGTCATGGATGTTTTTTTCTGCAAAACAGTCCGGTACAAAGAGAGCACGAGTGCAATTGATTCTATGCCCAGCGTCTCGGGGTAAGTATTCGCGGGGATGGGCGAGCAAGGAAGCTGTCTTCAGCCATCCGGGAGTTTTTGGGACCAGATCGAATAATCATGACGCGCTAGCTAATCGCATCCTGGTTGCTCTCGCGGCGGAACGCGAATCCAGGCTCCGACAATCTCACTCTTCGACATCAGCTATGGTGCTTCTTACGATGACAGCCGGTATAGTCCGGGCAGTCTTCAAAGCTGAAGAGTTGTCGTCGGATGGGTTTGCAGAGCTTCAGCGACCGGGGGAGCCTGCGCTTGCAGACCCAAAGCCCGGAAACCCCATCTCGCATAGCCAGTTAATTGACCTCTCAAAACTGCTCAAGAAGCACTCTCTCGAACTGTCCAGCACTTCCAAGCAAGACACCCAGGAATCCTCAGAGCCCCCAAATCATGAGCAAGAGGAGCCAATACCAATCACTCTCAACGCCCTCCTCCAAAACAGCACCGTCTACACCCCACCTCTTCTCCCCAAGAAACACCACACCCCCGAATACACCGCCCTCATGGCCCGTCTGCGTGCCCAAGAAGAATCCCGCACCTACGAGCGCATGCTCCACCCCCCTCCAACACGCGAATCCTTCTCCCAACGCTTCCCGCGCGCTCCAGAACCATACAGCATCGGCGCCTCCGCGCCCGTCGACGAAGACGAAGTGAGCTACGAGGAGGTCCATCGACAGATTATCCTCATCATCAATGTCTTGGTGTCGATAGTAGCAGTGGCGGTATTCATATGGGTCGCTGCTCGGCACTGGAGCGTTGGCAAGAGACTTGGTCTGAGTATGGGAGGGAGTGTCGCTATTGCGATTGCTGAGGTCGCCGTGTATGGTGGCTATGTGAGGAAAGTCAAGGAGGCCAAGCGGCTCGAGAAGAAGAAACCGGAGATCAAGGAGATTGTCAAGAGCTGGGTCATTGAGAAGGATGACACCAGTGGGGTAACGGGCTTCAAAGAAAAGGTGGATGATGGTGTGAGGTTTAGGAAGGGGAAACATCGCTGAAGGGAGCACTGTATTGGATTGAACGCCGGTAATGCTTGAAGGCTAGTAAGGCAGTACTCCATTCAACCTCCCAGGACGCCCGGAATGCATGTTATGTCCTCCACCAAAGCATGTACAATCTGTACCCATACCCCAATCCACGGATTCTTATTTCTTCTTGTTTCGCCCAGCCACGCCGCCAGCGAATCGACCGAGGTTACCGAGACTACCTCTTGGCTTATGGCCAGGCTGTGCATTCTGCGCTGCTGGCGGATTACTCGCTGCTCTCATAGGCCCCGCCGGACTCCCCGGTCGCAGTCCCGCATTCTTCGGTGGCACAGGTGGCGGACCCATCCTCCTCTCCTTCTCCTCATCAACCTCCAAATCTTCACCTAAACTCGCCATCCTCTGGCTGCGTCGTGCCTTCTCTTGTGTCGCCTTGAATCTGTCTAGCAACTCCGTCCACTTCACACTTCCCTCTTCTCTGGCCTTAAGACGGTTCGGCCGCTCGAAATTCGACACGCCTGAGGGGCCGGAGGGGGCACTAGGAGGACCGACTTCTGAGCTCTTCTGCCTCAAGTGGTTCAATGTGGGGGAGGAGGTGGGAACATACGTGCTCGTTCGTGGCGCGATGTGGAGGTAGCCTATGGCAGCCACGCTATTCAGGCGGTTCTTGAGAGCCGCGAAGGCTGATGATTGGGGGAGGAGCATGAGGAGCCCATAGAGGCATTTGTAAAGGTGGGGGTATCGTTCGGGTTCGAGGAGCTGGATGCGGAGATCTGTGATATCATTGACTCAGTGGGAGTGTGTGGCTGTATTGCGGAGCAGACTTACACGTAAAGACAGGAGATTCGAGAAGCTGGACCAGCTTATCGATCTGTATGAGCATATTGACCGTCATCTCAAGGTCGGCACTAATAGGGTTAGTGTATTCGCTATATATCAGCACAGAGTAACATACAAGACTTGAAGAAGATGATATGCCTGTTCATAAGCTTGAGCAAGAAGACAAAGCGAGAAGGTAGCCACGGCGTTATGGCACCAGGCCTTGAAAAGTGTAACGAAGAATGATTGGCCATCCTGCGAACGTTAGATTCCGAAGGTATGCCAATTCAAGTTTAGGTACCTTGTTGTCTAGATTCCTAAGTCGCCTCCTCAAATCTGCTAGCTCAGGTGCGGTGATGAGATTGTTGTTGAGATTCTGAACCATTATGCTCGCGAACTCGACGTCCTCATCTTTGGCCAGGCAGTCGGCCATCGTACGGTATATCCTCTCTGCGCTGAGGGTTAGACATAGTTGTCTGATGATCAGATTTCCGCGAGTCTCAAGCAATCTTCGATCAGTACAGAACAGCTTCAGGAGATTGACCATGAAAGAAGTGAAGTATGTATCGTCACTATGCAGGGAAATCTGTGAAAGTAATAGCAAGTCCCGGGTGACGACGGCGTCTGAAGGATCCGAGAGCGTCTTAAGCAGTGCCGGGAAGGTTCCATCATCTACTGTGAGTATCTTTTGAGATGCTGTTAGCGCATGTGTTCATTAAGCTTTTCAAACTTTATGATACTTACTCTGCCCGGTGCCATTCTATGTAGCATTATCAGCCATGCGATAGCTGCGACTCGGGTGGCTTCGTGCTCGTTCAGAAACTGCAAGGTGAGAGCACTAACTGCTGCTTGATAATCGAGCTCAGGTATTGGGCGCGGAGAAGGACCGCGGTCACCTTCTGCCGGTGTAGGCGATTGCGTGCCCTTGCCCTCCGGCGATTCTGCCTTGTTTGCCTGGTCCCGTATCACCGCCTTCAGCAAGCGTCCAGATAAGTTTGAATCTCTTCGCTGTGCACCTGTGAGCTCTTTGCCCAGCTCCGACAGCGATGGTGGTAGCTGGATCTGGCCGCCTGCGGTGCCATCTGGTCGGCGGTTGTCGTCGGACAACGACAGGATGTAGTCCATCAATGAGGCATTGACCTTGACAGCTGCCTTACGAACTGTATCCACTTCATGGGACATTCTTGGTAGAACGTGCGATAAGAGGCTTGGGACAAACGGCATGATGTCTTCTGGACAGATGTCGAATAGGTTGTCGATCCAGCGAAGGGCAGTCAGCAGTATCTCCGTTTGCTCGTCCTCCGTATCTAGACTTGTCAGTTGAATTCTTGCTCGAGAGGAGTACTTCGGACGTACCCGATGGCGCGATCAGGAAGTCAACCAAGATCTCCAAGATCTTAGGGTGGTCAACATGCACATCTTGACCAGGCACCCAGTCGCCGTCTCCGTTGACAGATTTTCCACTGTCTCCAGAGACCGAGCCACTCTCTCCGCTAGCGTCTTCCTTGTCGTCGGCGGCCTCTTGATGCTCAAACGGCGTACTGCTCCTAGCCTCACTCTCATCGTCGCCGGGGCTGCTATGAAGACTTGAAGTGGAATGCCTATGTTCATCTTTGCTGCGACTCTTCTTGCTCTCTGCTATACCCTTCTTTATTCGGGCAATCTTTTTGATCTCACTCAGGAACCTATCTAGCGCGGCCTGCGTCATGGTATACACATCTTGATTCGAGTCGCTAAGAAACTTGAAGAGGCCACGCATGAAGCGCGGCAGGTGGGCAATGAGTTCTAGATCTGGAATTGAGTCTAGCAAGGTTATCCATGCGACTAAGAATGAGCGTGTGAAAGGGCTGATGACGTTGATCCTCTCTTCAAGGAGGGGTAAGAAGCGTTCGAGATTGAAAGCGGTTGGCAGGTCGTGTGGATGCGGCTCGTGATCGTCAGGGGCTGAGTGGTCTTGGTGTTCAGGCGGAGTATGGAGTATCGAGACATAGGTTGCGGCGGACTCGGAGACGATGTCTTTGATCAAGCGATCGAGCAGTTCTGCTCCGTTCTTGACGGACAGCTCCGAATCTGCTGCCATCTGTTTGGTGCAGGCCGGGTTAGCAATGTCCCCGTTTTGTCATGAGTTTCCAGAACGTATGCGCTTACCTTGCAGAGAGCATCGAATACTTGATTAAAGTAGACGAGAATCTCTCCCTTTGCAACCTTTGCGATATTGTACATGCTCTCGCAGGCGTAGTATCTAACACGCGCATCTTGGTCGCCGAAGCAGGCAAGGACTGGGGGTACGATTTCTTCGAGATAGCGAGCAACTTCCTGCAGTAGAGTGAGCTTATAGTCCAACAGGCGCATGTCTCGTATATACGCACCGGTCCCAGCGCTATCGAGGCGGCCGCAAGACCGATGAGGCCACCATTTCGAGCGTGGGGCTGGTGGACAGCATATGCATACTCATGGCAGAGCTGGTGCACAATCTTGGCTATCCTGTCGTGGTCCTGGGCAGAGAGTGCATCTCGTATGAGGCCCTCGAGCTCGAGTGCTCCGCTCTTACGCTTGTCGTAGAGCTTGTCGTTGAGCAATTTGGTGATATTGATGTCCATGTTGAAGCAAGTTGTAGATGGTCTCTACATGTTGCAGCAGCGAAATCCCTGCATAGTGTAGTGGTTGGCAGGGCGGGTGGGCAAGCAGTGTTCGTTCACCCAGGCCTGGTTGATGTTTCCTCGCGAACACGCCTCGAGGCGCGAGTCTGGACGGCCGCACGTCATCGCCCGGCATCCCTGCACACTGCACCGCTCACTAGGACGCCGCTGATAAACGAGACATGCCCAAACACAACCCTCCGTCTCGGTTGTCACCTTTGTGAGAATGCATCGACAGCGACGAGTTTCCCTACTTCACGACGCGCATTACCATGACGCTTAACGGTCGTGCTGGCGCCAACCGCACATGCTCCTTCTCGCCACAGCTGTGCATCTCACCAATACAGCCAGGCGCTATTCCCTACTGGTCTGACGTCTGATATCCTACACTGAAACTGTCAGGTGCCGCGAGAGAGAGAGAGAGAGAGAGAGAGAGACCAAAATGGAGAAACTAAAGAACAAGTTCCTGTATCCTCACCGACGCACTCGGCAAGAAAAAGACATGGAGAAAGAACCAGCCGTCCGCACTGGGGGTTTCCAACACTGGGCCATAGCTTTGTAAGTAGCTCTCTGATGCTTGGTAGCAAACACTAATACACACAGTGTCGTTTGTAACTTCAACGTTGATATCGGGTAAGTAAGAGTCCATCATCCTGTGACAAAAACAGAGTGTTGAGGTCATCGTGAAGCCCAGAAGTGGAGATTTTGTATCCGCCAGACGTCCCTTTCACGACGGCGGACTTGAGTGCCATATGCTTCAACAGGTACCGTCTGCCTAAATGTCTACCGTGGTGTAAATGCTAAGTCGTAAATAGCTTCCCCGAACAGCAAAACACTGAGACGGCAGACGACCTGGCGTTCAACTTTGCCATTACCAACAACTCCCCTGACATCAGGCTGACGTCGCCAAATGCCCCTCATGGTAGTGCTGACACCTTCTACGGCTCATGTGTCTTCCGCCAGGAGTTCGACCATAACATGAAGAGGAGTTTCAACCAGAGGACTTTAGTTCTAATATCCCACCACAACTTCACCTCCCTATACAACCGCATCCTGCAACGGATGACAGAGTCGGGGGTTATTAGCGACCCTACGACTTTAGAGGCGGCCTACTCGCAAATGGGTACCTGGGCGCCTCCTGCTCTAGGGCGCCATGACCTCCCGTTCTTAGGAAACATGTTGACGTTGGACATCGCACCGCACCCATCTTTCCCTCTTCAGGGCCTCCCAGGACCAACTCCTTTGATATCGGATATACGCTACGCCTACGAACCCATCGGCTCTTGGGACAATGTCATGCATTACATGCCCTGCATCACGGACCTTTACGTACTCTACGAGAAGCTTGTTCTTTGCGAGAGTGTCATCGTCATCGCCAAATCACCACAACTGGCGAGCGAAGCAGTGTCCTCTCTCGTGGACCTGATTTGCCCCATCCCGTACGCTGGGGTCATTAAACCATACATGACCATGCAAGCCGACTTTAAGAGTATTGGTATTGATGGTGGAACTCCCAGGTCGTTCATCATCGGTATTACGAACCCTTTCCTTCTCAAGCGCATCGTCGCCGCCGCCGAAAGTAGCCACCGTATGAGGCCGCATATCCTGTACCTTCAGAACTACGATGGGCCAGTACCAACAAGACGCCATCACTCCATACACCACAAGTCCAGTCGTAATGCGCTCCTAGACCTTCCCGGTGGTGGTATCGAAGTTCACACGCCTTCCAAGCGCTTCCTTAAAGCGGAACCGACTGTTGTGTCGCATATTGAAGCCCTCCTCAAGCTAGGGGACCAAACGCACGAACTCGGACCGCTCATTCGTCGCCATTTCGCAGAGCTCACAGCCCAGTTCGTTGCTCCCATCAACCGCTACCTCGCTACATCGAACGTCGTCACACCAGGTGGAAACCATCGCTACGCTAGTTTTCACGTGCCAGACTTCTTGAGCAGTCTGAGCAAACATGGAACCAGCGTCAAGTTTCGCGGTCAAGGACCAATTCAGCGCCATCGGGCAAGGAACGGGTTGTACGAGAACTTCTGTAGCTCACCAAATTTCTACTCGTGGTTGGAAATGAAGATCTCTCTTGAGAATGAGGCTTCGGCAGGATTGCTGGGGCCTACTGTTGCGTCTGCGTCTGCGGGTGGCTGAGCAGTCTCTCCTGCGTACATGAACACGAAACGACAGTTACATTTGCAAATTCTCCGGTGTCTCCTATGTAGCTAGTGAGTTGGCCATTCTGAACCAGTAGGCCGCTGATACAGCATACTTTTCTAGGCGAGCGCACAATCACCGCGTCGGGCCAAACAGAGAGTGCGTAAAGACTAAGAACATCCAGCAACGCGAGGTGTTGACGATTGAAAAGAGAGAGGAGTCTGATATACATACGGTGCATCTGGATCATGAAGAGAGCAAGTGGGAAATTGATATGTTTTCGTAAAGCTCGCGCGCATTGCGAACGCTTAAGTCATAATAATCATATATAATGAGAAGAAACAAGGCTCCATTTACTTCCACTCTACACTCCACGTCTGCTCCCCCTTCCTAAAAGGCACAACCTCCACATCCACGCCGTCCTTTTTCAGAACATCGACAATCTTCTCTTGACGCTTCCTCAGCACCACCCTTTCATTCTTCGTATCATCAACCTGATAGAATTTCCTCCCCCACCCAGCGAAAAAACCTTCCAACACCTCATTGCTCACCTCTCCTTCCCCAATAACCGCCCTCCCAACGCCCTTCTCCAATGCATCCAACACATACCCCACCGCATACGGCTGCGTAAATACACCAGCGGCCACTTTATCCTCGCCGCGCTTCTTCACACTCGCATGGGGCGCAGAGTCTGTGCCGAGGAAGAATCGGCCACTGCTACTTACCACAGCTCTGAGCAGCGCATCGCGGTCCTCGGGCGTCTTGGCGACAGGTTTGCAGAAGCAGAATGGGTCTCCGGCCCAGTCGTCGATGATGAGAGACAAGTGATGCGCTGTGATGGTGCCGGCTACCGTCGGGCCACACGCACGCACAGCGTCGAGTGCAGCGGCTGTACTGCAGTGCTCGAGTATGATGCGCAAGTTAGGAAAGCGTGCGTGCAGGGACTTGAATGTAGGCAGGAAGGCTGGTTCGGCGTTCAAGATGGTAATTGCTGCGTTGGAGTCTCTTGTTGTAGGCGCGTCAGCGGGTGTGGAGGGGACTTCGCCATGGAGGTTGAGGACCATGTTTTGCTTTTCCATTTCTGCGAAGACGGGGTAGAAAGTTTCATAGTCGAGGACGCCAGATGAAGAGTTCTACCTCTGTGATTAGCCGTTTGGGAAGCGTTAATTAAGATTGGGGTCTGGAAAGCTTACCGTTGTCACACCAGCAGGGTATGATTTCACGCCTGTGATTCCTGCCTTCTTCGCCTCGCGAATAACCTCTGGCGTGATTGACTCGTGAAGGTACAGAGACATGACATAGTCCACATTCGGCTCGATGGCTCGTAGTCTGTCGCGGTACTCGAGACATTGCTGAACGGTAGTAATGGGCGGAACAAGGTTTGGCTAATCAAACATCAATGACCGTATTTAAATAAACCAAGAACCAAAATTAAACCGGGAAATTGAGCAACGAGATGAGAACAAGACTTAGACAAAATTGTAGACGCAAATGACTGAGAAACAAGGTCTGTATAAATAGCACTAGCTTACCATGACATACACCTGATTCACACCCCCCTTGCGAATCGTCGGCGTAACAAGCTGCGACATCTCACCATCCCTCAGGTGCACGTGAGCGTCAAACGCCGCTGATAATTCAATCTCTGTTAGTTTCGTGAACTCCATCTTGACCAGGACACTGCAATTGCCCAGAACTGCGTTGTGCTGCTGAAATCAGAATTTTGATGTTGCAGAGCGGGCGAGATCGGGGGCAGTAGCGATTGGGCAACACTAGTCCAAAAAGAGCATGCATGCATCACCTATTTCGAGCTCAAAACGTAAACATGTTGCATTTCGAATAGCCGTCGATATACGTTGGGTTTGTGCAGATATTGTGCCTATAACATATGAACTAATGCGAAACCCGTCAGACTATTCAAGTCCTTCTTGATTCATCGTCTCAGCCTGTAGATACCCCTCCATAGCTTCAGCGTTTCTGTTTACGCTTGCGTTCCACCCTCTTGCTCCAGTCCTCCGGGACAAACTCCACTATTAGTCCAGAGTGACGCGTGTGGCGCCTCTTCATCGAGATTTTGGTGCTGTCATGCGTGGTTGCTCGACTCGTGTTGCCGCTTTCCATCCCGCTGGTAGCAGCAGTCCTGGGCTGGGAGAGCATTGTCCGTTTTCTCGGGCTCGATGACTGCTCACCAGAAGTCGATCGCTTGTCATTGACTTCTGTCATATCATCCTCCGCCCCTCCTCTGCTTCGTTTGGTGTGCTTCGATACTGTTACTGGTTTTGACAAGGGTAGTGCTGACGACAAGAATCCTCCGGCACTTCTTAGGAGAGCAAGTGATAGACTAGAGATAGTCCCTTTTGTGAGTGGGAGGGGGCTGATAGGCTGTGAGAGTTCGAGGGTAGGCGGTGCCACATCAGAGGGCCCATCCATTTCATCTTTCCTAAGGGGTGCTGCTTGATCAGCTTTGCTAGATCTTGGTAGATTTACACCAGGTCGGGGGAGCGCTGAAATCTCCAAGGAGGAGCGCGGTCGTGTCTTGGCTTGCTCTTCTCGTGCCAGTGTGGGCACTTGGACACGTATCGTCGGGCTAGTCGCATCGATTTCAGCTTGGTCTTCCTCTTCGCTTGAGCTGGCGATCGTTTTCTCTACCAACTTTGTAGGTTTAATCAGGTGTCCACTTGATGCGCTCTTTTCTAACGCTTGAAGCAACGCCAGTCCAAGAACAAAGGAGACCTTGCGATCAACCCCGTTGCCAACAATCACATATTGTTGGGCAAGATTCCCGATGATCGGCTCATGATCTGGATAGCCTTGCGCACGTCGGGCCTCTAGAATACTGATGGGTCTATCCTCTAACCAGTGAACACATGCACCATTTCGAGAATCTTGGACACTAACATTCGTTGTGATGGTAGGAATGAGACCAGCTTCTTTCACGCGCGTATACGCCTTTCCCGTTTCCTTATCAATCCGTTGGAGCGACGATGGAATAAGGCCTAACTCATAGGCTTTCTTGTATCCACTTCCAGGAGGGTACTTTGGAATGTACTTCAGGAGCGCTCGGTGCTGAATATTCGGCGGACAGGACAGGCGATGGTCAGGGTGGGAACTACAGGATTGGACAATGCCATTGCCAATGCTTGGCAGGTCTGATGTAACTTCTCCTGCTGAAATATAGGGGAAAGGAGTGGGATACTGTTTGCGCTCACCGAAGCGTTGTCCATTCGGAAGCACTCCTAGACTTCTACTAAGTGTGTCCTCAGGCGCGCTATGAGTATGCCACGGCTGAATAATCGGATTCATCCCAGGAGCAGCTATAGTGAGAAGAAAGCGAGAGCGTTGCTGCGCGCTGCCATAACTCCATGCATCCATGATGTATTGATTCACTTGATATCCCATGGAGACGAGACATGCAACCACCTGCGAAAGCACATTTTCGTCCTCGTGACCTTTCCGGGTAGCGGTCATGCTGACCACATTTTCGAGTATGCCGTATAGAGGGCGATACAAGTCCACATAGGAACAAAAAGTGGTGATGTGAGAAGCATTACGTTTAGACTGCGGACTCTTAAAGTTCTGTTGTAACAGAGAAAAGCCTAGAGTAATTAGTACATAGCGAGACGTACATGTAAGAACATAGGGATTATACGTACCCGGACACGGGGTTCCACCAACGATCAAATCCACCTCGCCGATGCGGACGATTAAGTAAGGTTTGTTTCCTTCAAGGGCCGCTTTGAAGTGGTCATCGACCGACCCACAGTACAGTCGCATCGTGGATGGATCTCGGGCGTTGGCTCGCTGGGTGTGCATAGCTGTAGCACTCAAGTCGACTGCTGTCTTGAACTCAACGGCGCCACACTCTTCCAACCCCCGGTCCAGTGAGCCGCCACCGCTGAATATACTGAGCCCCCTCAGGCTATGATTAGTTGTAGTCCAATCCGAACCTCCATGGAGGCAACTAGGTTGCTCCTTCAAGAATGCTAGCTGCTGACTACTGCTCACAGTTGTGACTTTCATCGAAAGAAACCAGAAATGCCCGGCACCCTCTCGATTGTATGGAAAGGGGATCTCGCAATTCAGCACGTCCTGCTTTGGCACGAAACGAATTGAGCATCGCCGCTTTATCCGTAGCACATTTACTTCCTCGACTTCGTCGGTGAGAACAAGCTCGTTGGAGGTCATGTTAGTGCGATTGACTCTGCTTGCTAGCTCTGAGCAATCGCGTTTAAGGCGGAGCAATTTCCGAACAGTAACTTTGCTTGAAGACCTGTCTATACGTTGAATAATAGTAGGCTCCAGAATTTCACACTGTTGAATAGTCCTTGACATGTAAACTGTGTCGCCTGGTCGGAAAGTCACGATGGGTAACGTCTTATCTCTTTTGCACTTGCAAGTCTTGTGGTCCTCATGAAACGTCACGAAAGCGCTTTCGCTGTTCTCTGTGATGTATGTCTGGCGAATGAAAAGTCTCTTCGTGGAGTTGATTATTGTAGGTGAGAATTTGACGCTGTACTTCCCCTTGACATGAGTTGAGAGGAGCTCCCCCGCGCTTTCGTGGTTGCAATGGTCTGAAAAGAACAGTTCGTTTTCGAATGGATATTTCGCTTTAAAGATGTTTGTATCTTGTGGTCGGTAGATCCATATGACAGACAATCGCTGGGTTCCGTTATGCAAAGGTATAACACCTTGGACGTAGGCAAGCCACTCCAGATCAGCATTCTTCCATACCTGGCGGTCTAGTTCCGTTGAATCAAGTCCAACTATATCGCCCACTCTGATTGCTGACCTGCCATACGGTTGGCACAATTGTGCTAATTGGAGAGGGGTAGAGCTTGAGCCTGAACAGACACGGCCAAATCCAAGTTCGCTTATCCGAAGCTCTTGCTTTCTTTTGACAGGTTCTGAGGCTTGCCCCTGTTTGAGATTTTCTCCAAAGTACATGGCTTTGAACGAATCATATACATGAGGAGTTGCGAGGGTATTCTCGACGAGCTGAACTTGTGGCTTCATGCTCGTCAGCCCCCCAGCCATACACTCACTCCACAGCGGATGATCGAGTAGCCGCTGGGAGTTAAGACCAGAAGCATGGTGGTAGATGAAGTTGATATTCGCATTGACCGCAACTCGAAAGTCAGCTTGAGATTTCAAAGACTGGCGCCATTGTCGGAAATCTTCGCTGCTGCTTCGAGCGAATCGTGCAGCAAGCCAGCAGTGGAAATCTTTGCGGAAGTTCTCGAGCCCAACTGAGCGCGCGGGATGGGTCTCTATATAATCGATCGTATGCTTCGTCAATTGCGCCGCCCACAGGAATGGTTCGTGGAATCGCTTGTATTGTTGAGCCGGTTCCCCCAACTTATACCAGATTTCGTAAGTACTGTCTTTAGATGCTAATGTAGATCGGACGTATGCGAGAACACCAGGTTCATCGTCATCACCAAAGCCCTCGATCGAAGAGTCTTGCAAAGCGACCCTTTCCACGTAGAGTTTAGTCTCTCCTATACAAAGAAACCCGTCAAACCAGAGCTTTCTTGCTTTTGGAGCTTCGAGGTGGAGCAGACTCGTCAGCTCAAATTCCCGGCCTGGGCAACCCGAGTCTGGGGATCTGTAGATCTCGAAATCGCAAAGATCCAGATATAGGAGTTTTTGCTTGGACTGGTACCCATCGTAGGTGGTGAGCTTAGCGGGGTGTCGTTTCGACTCAGCCTCCATAGGGTTAGCAGTCGACGCACAACCGAACACTTCAAGTACTGACTATTAAGCTTCGGAGAGCCTCTGTCTCTGGTGTGACTGGCAATCGAGGAGATGAATTTGTTATATGTGATCTCGGGAAGTCGTCCTGAGAGTGGTTGACTTGTACTCTGTTTGTTTGTGAGGATGCTTCTTGCGACCTCGGTCGTCCCATGGCGATGTTGACTTTGCAGATGCGCTATCGTTAAATCCAAATATGCTTCCGTGGCGAGTGTGGAAAACGACTGTCACATCCACGAAGACGCACACAAACCGTATAGCTTGCGAGACAGTGCGGTGTCGTTGCGTTAACGTGAGAGGAACTGACACAATCTTAAAGTTTTCTTGAAGTCTCGCGTCGGCGGTCGCGCATTCTAGAAGCCTAAGGAATTCGTTGGTGAATGTGAGTTGCAAATAACCTCGTGCCTTCTCGTGCGATCTTTTGAAATGCGTTAAGCGAAGATATGGTTTTCTCAATTTGAAGAAGCGGAGTTTGTGTTGCGGAAAGTTACAGTCGTGTGGGGTAGATACATCTAAGGGGGGTGGTAGTCGTGGTGAAGACCCGCCCCAACCACCCGCATTAAACAGAGCGAAACCATCATGCAAAGAGAAGGGGATATACATAAAGATATCGACAATGCAAAATATTACAAGATAGCTTTTATGCGGAAATGTGAACGGGGTTTAGAAGTAGTGGAAGGCCTCTGGAACGAGAGACGTGGGGTGGCTCTTGAGGCGAGAGAAGTGGAGCACTCAAGGCGGTAAACGTGCGGTGGTGACTGTTGCTAACCAGCAGGGCCAACAGAGATGCGCCGTAGATAAGATTATGAGAGGCACGGTGAGAAGCTCGAAAGAAAGTCAGGATGAGAGCTTTATATGCAGTTGAGCAAAAACCCTGGCAGGTCGTGCACGAGTCCGGGATCCTTACAGATATCGTAAAGAGTACTATTGGTTACTGAAGTCAGCGCCTTACTTTCAGTATGTAAACAGCCATGAAGTGAGAGAACCGTAGAGTTAATTTAGGATAGACTAGATTGAACTAAGAGCTCTCTATAAGAGAGGACAAAGAAGAAACCTCGCATCAAACAAGATGGGGAATCGTAGCTCCCGCTACTGAGCCTCGTTGCTATTGGTCGACTTTGAGTCACAGAAGAGGAAAGAAGGTATATGATGACAGACTTCTTGTGACTTTTTGAAGCCCGATCAAACTGTGTATTTCTAATATGAACATATGCCCGCTTTTTTATGTAGAAGGCCCTGCCTCTAGAACCGCAGATATCATACAAAACATGAACGTTCATTCCAAGGGCCCACATTCTAAACGCCGACCCATATGCGCCTTCATATGTACCCGTGGAAATGTCTAATCGCCATGCGGCGCATAGTCCCAAATATGCGAAGAGTCCCAAGTCTCCGTCTCCTCTTTCCTCGCCTTCGGATCATCTCCCCTCTTCTTCGCTTCTTCCCGTAATTTATCCATCTCCACATCCATAGACCCGATTGTGCGTCGCAGCTTATCCCGATCTTCAATCTCCGTTTGGTTGAAGCCCGGGTCCTTGTTCTCCTTCTTGGCTTCCTCCTCTCTCTTATTGTACGCGTCCAGCATCTCATTTTGCTTATTCCGCTCATCCTGTTTCGCAAAGTAGTCGTCAAACTTCTGCCGACCGCCGAAGCAGATACCGTAACCGTCGCAGTAGCATGTGTTCATGGCGGGGCAAAGGACCTCATGGCCGGTGAAAATATAGTGCCATATGTATTCAAACACGCGGCCAGAGAACTGGTCGTCCATGCCTGTGGTGAGGAGCCACTTGCGATAGTGTATGAAGCGCTCGATGGGCACCTCCCTGATACGTTGTCGCGACACGGCAAACTGCGCGCAGCAGATACCTGATATCGATGGCGGGATGGATGCGCCAGGGTGTATCTCTTCCCAAATGGCCCTCCGCCAGTAAATCTCCTCGGGCTTATGGTAGAAGTCAAAGTCGCCGCCGGGGCGGTCCATGTGTATCCAGTCTGGGCAGCCCGGGTCGTGGTGACAGCGTACGTTCATGTAACCTAAGCGAGCTACGCGTTCGTGGTTCAAGCGCTTTATCATTTGTGCAGCGTCGAGGCCGAGGAGCATGTTGTTGTGCCACGCGTGGCGGTGGGCGTGCATGAAGATAGTCGTGTCGGGGAGATCGTCGTAATGGTCGATGATGTAGGATAGGTACACCTGGCACCTCAGTTAGCATATCAATTGCCTAGGAAAGCCGTCGTGCATACCATGGCCTCGCGGCCCTTATTCTTAGGGATCTTGTGCTCCGCATCTGCCTTGTCTACTTCGTAGATGACTAGCGGCGCATCTGGAATCTCTTCCGCCATCCACCCTATGTCTTCTTTCTCCGTCTTAGGTATCACAATCTTGAAGGTGTAATTGCTGCCTGGCGGTTTAGCCTGGCCATCTGTAAACCGCAGCGGGATTCCAAAGTCGAGCGGGTCGCCGCGCAACGACGCGGGCGGCGTAGACGATGTTAAAGCGCCTGACTTCCATGCCGGTATTGATGACGCGCCTGGGACAATGTGAAGGTACCACCACACAAGGCAAAGAACGAGGAAGATAACGACGAAGGGGACGATCCTCGGGGGCCCGCTGAGCATCTTGACGTAGCGACCGGCGTGCAGCGATGGTATCGGTTGTTTACCGCATCGGTGTTGCGGCGGAGAGAGATTGCAAATGGTGTCAGGATCATAGCCCGGGGCGCGGAGGTTCGAACGCCCCATCAACTTTCCTTATTTAGACTAAGACAATCAAGCTTGAAATGAGCCCTCGTATAACTAGGCCGCCATCACTTCTGCATGTGGAAATATCTGACATGGTAGATTGTCTTGCGTGTTAACAAATAGTCCAAATAATGCTTTTCGTAAGATCGACCGTCTTGAGGCTGCGAAGATCTCCAGCCTACCCTAAGAGTAGTCCGTGCTAATCATTCGACAGATGGCATGAGAGTAGTAGACGAGTGTGGTGAAGAGCACTGAAACCCTCCAGCCCTCACTACCTGTCATATCTACAAGATATCATCCTCTACGTGCTGCCATCAAGCACTTTACTCCCTCTTCTGGCCAACCTTTCCAATGCCTCTTAACCCCCAGGTGAACAGCAAACCTGTTGCACAACTGAGTGCGAACAGATACCAAAACGCAGCCCTGAAGCCCTCCATGAGTGCTGCCGGACTCTCTTTCTTCACGTATCTCGAGTGCTCAGTGACACTCGTAGCAATCACTGCGCTTGTCGCAAGACCAACGCTCTTGCCGATCTGAGCGATGGTATTGAAGACACCGCCAGCAAGTCCTTGTGTGCGCGCAGGAAACACAGAAGTAATGACGAGGTTCGATACTGTGAATAGAGCATCTGCGCTAAGCGGACTTAGAAAGAGGGCAAGGAAGGCGCAAGTCCAGTATGACCACTCCGGCTGGATGATACACATAAGCAACGCACCAATGCTGGTCAACGCGATGCCAGTCATAACCATATAGTCCGCTCGTACCTTGTGGACAATCAGAGCCACCACCAGGTTGGCTATGGCGCCTGCAACGGGGATAGGTAAGAAGCGGAGCGAGGTCTGAATCGCAGAGATCTCTTGCACTTCCTGGAAAAAGAGCGTCGCATAGGATTCGACGCCATTGAAGACACCCCAAGTAATGAAGACACCGATGCAGATGACCGAAAAGATTCGATTGCCCCAGAGCGAGTTGGGAATGACAGCTGGCCGGCCAAGCTTCTCCTGTCGTCCGACCCAGAAGATGAAAGACGGAATAAGGACGATTGCAGTCATCAGTAGCCCGAGGGTCTGTGTCTCGCGGATCTTTCCCGTGTTTTCGGAGATCAGACTGCTAGTTGTCAGTCCAAGCTGTTGAAATGGTGTGGAAGCGTACACCTACGCAAAGCAGTATGATAAAAGGGCTAAGGAAGCGCTTCCCATGGCGATGCCAATCCAGTCAATCTCATCTCTAAGCCGGGCGAGTACGTTTTTCTGCTTGCCATCGACCTCTGGCAGCCCAAAGAGTGCAATAACAAACACTACTGTGTTTACGATGGCAGAGAGGCGAAACCCCCACCTCCATCCTATGGTATCAGAGAATATACCACCTAGAACAAGTCCAAGAGAAAAGCCAAGCGGTTGACCCCCACCCAATGAGGAGAACGCAATATTCCTACTCTTGCCTTCGGGGAACGTGTTCGTAATGATGCTAACTGTCGACGGGAGGCAGAAGGAGATGGCAACTCCAGCGAAGGCACGGAAAACAATGAGCTGTGTGCCTGTTTGAGCGAGTCCGCAGGCTAGAGTGGCTATAGACTGGAATATACATCCCGTCAGATACACTATTAAAGAATAAGTTAATATACGTCCATCACGCAGTTTGTGTAGCGGTACGTACTAGGTCGAGACCCAACCACATCGGTAACAGAACCTAGGAGGAGAAGAGTACAACCACACGTGAGAGCGTAGATAGAGATTGGCCTGAAGCCGTCAGTACTACATAACTGGCTGCAGAGCAATGTCTAGTCACCAGAGAAGCACATTCGGTGCCAGTTGTAATTCTCTAGCTATAGTTGGAAGAGCCACCGCTGTAACTCCAGACAACATGGTGCTAATCATGCTGACAGACACCACCGTGACGAGCACTATAGCGGTAGTCCCTTTTCCTGGGCTTTCACGCTGCTCAGCCGAGAAGGATTTGACTGATGCATTTGTGGTTTGAAGACCGTCAGGTAACGACGCGGTGTTGTTGCCTTTGGGATGGATGCTAGACGGTGGGGTGACCGTTTCTTGGGTCGGTGGGTACTCTACAAGTTCGATACACGTTGATGTTTGTGACATTGTGAACTACTAGTTCCGGGGAAGTACAATCAATGTGCAAGGAGAGAGTGCGGGCTCAGAGTAAAGCCTGCCGAGGAGCAATGGTACGCCTTATATACGATGCTAATTTGTAACGACGCGGGAAATGCTTGTACTTCCAAGACGGAAAAGTATTCGAATCATCTGCAATTCATGCTGACTAGACTGATTGAGTTCAAGAGTATGACGTTATACGCGTTTTGTAGGATTTTGATCTAGCTTGAAGCTCAATGGGTTCCTGTTGAATGTGGAACGGCACGTGAACGGGTACAGGGGTGCGATAAGATAAGCGACACCTTCACGTCGCGCTGTAATGGCCTACCGTAGTCATGCAGGGATACGGTTCCTGAGGCTCGGGGACACCTTGGAGAGTTGGAAGGGAATATCATGCTCCAGAGCTGAGTGAATACCTCGTTGGTGTCCAATCTTGACAATTTTTACACTCGATGTGTTGACTCCTACTTTACTATTTGCAGTTCTTCAACCTCGTCTATTGAACGGACTTCAAGTCCCAGCCGAAATGCTATACGTTGCAACTTCTCAACACCAGAGCTGATCTATCAACATACATTGTGAATCTCGCCGTATAACAAACGCCTCGGAAGCTCCAAAGCTCGTTTGGGAAGCTCCAGGCAGTATCTTACGCCATGCGAGCTTCAGCCTCTTCGCTGGGTGCAAGAGCTCTCTTTGCGCTCGGCGCTTTTCGACACTTTGGCGCTCTCGCGAGTCCAAGCATTAATGTCGCTCTTCGAGCTTCGTTCAACCCTGCGCCATATCTGGTAGAGCTACTGTAATCTCTTGCACCCCAGATCCATCGAATCCAAACTAACGCATACAGCGAGACCGCCGCAGAAGAGAACGCGACCGCATACTATCCGATCCTCGACCGAGTATCGCAAGGCTATTTTAACGAGAAAGCCACAGAGCTAGAGCTGTATACCGCATTTGTAGATCTATTACACAGCGATGGCCACATCACCGAGCCCGAAGCCCTCGCCTCTTTCGAATTCGCGCTATCAGTTCGATCGGCCGCGCCGCGAATTGAAGCACATTACCAGTTCTACAAGACCTCTGTGGAGCCCTCCTTGACTGCGAAACAAACTGAAGCATGCGAGATATGGGCCTCGTTCAATGGGAAGCAATACTGCTCGCCACATATGGACGAGCCATTTGGCGACATTAAGAGCGAACGGTGCGCATAGTTGAACGCTCAAAGTGCAAGGAATAGGCGCTGACCCAGGAGCAGAACATACGAATTACCATTCGACCGTATACTCGGCAACAGCTCGGCTTTGTCTGCCATCATATATGCCGACATTACCGCTCCGCGATTCAAGAAATGGCACAGGACCTTCAGCGATACGGCCAAGGAAGGGAAGACATCGTACCGGGTCCGACATAAGCCTTCCTTGAAGGCAGCAGCTTCTCCACTCATAGTGAACGGATACGGCGTTGAACTCCAACTAAAGCGGACCGACTACATTGTCATTGATGACAGGCAGGAGAAGAGCGTTGACCAGAAGCCGCTGGGTACGGGTCTTAATGACGATGATGAAGTAGCGGACCTTAAGCCCCTATCCAAGGACGAAGTCTCTGACCTTGGTCTGAAAGCTGCGAGCTTTGTGATGAATAGCAAGGAGCCTATGGACACACTCCTCAAGCTGGTACAGGACTTCCCAAAGTACTCATCGATCATTGCTGGCCACACCGCATCTGAAGAGTTTCTAGATGAACATACCAAGAATCGCGAACAACTTCTTCCAACAGGACACAACGCCATTTGGATCAATGGCGTACAGATCCCGGCGCGTGACGTAAACCCGTACTATCTGCTAGCACATTTACGACGCGAACGAAAGTTGATCAATGGCATTCGAAGTCAGGGTCTTTCTGGTGCTGAGACTATCTCTTTGTTGTCGCATTCCGCTATCACAGAGACCCAGACGGAAGATGAGCCCCAACGTTATGACTTCAGGGATACGGCTGAGGGCGGTAACGTCATAGTTTGGATGAACAACATCGAGAAGGACTCCAGATACGAAAGCTGGCCCACAGAGCTTAGGGCTGTAAGTCCAACCGTTTCTTTCTATCGAGCATCTGTTAACAGCGCCTATAGCTTCTTCAAAGGACGTACCCAGGTCAACTACCCGCTGTCCGTCGGAACATCCACAACGCCATTGTCTCTGTCGACTTCACATCCGCTGAAGATGTCTCAACTGTCCTTGATACGATGCTTAGTTTGGTCAAGCGTGGGATTCCACTACAATGGGGTCTTGTGCCTCAAACCTCTACAGCAGGTGCATTAGAACAAGCTGCAGTTGTCTACCACCTGCAGGACGCCTATGGTCTTTCTGCGGTGATCAATTACCTGCAAGCAGTAAGTTCACTTGAGACTCTATAGGATATTCAACTAATATATATGTCGTAGTCAGCCGACGGTAAGAAGCTAGCGCGTCCCGACAAAGCCACCTTCGAGATGGTTGTCAAAGGCGCCAAGCTCCGCAGCGAACGGGAAGCGCTCGCACTCGCAGATGTACTGAAATCAGGGGAGATAGAAAAGCGCATCGATGGAGCCAAACTGTACCTGAGGCGCTTAGCCGCAGATGGCCCGAAAGCACCAGTATTCGTCAACGGTGTCCCGATCGTGCGAAGTGAAGAATGGCTCTCGACACTTAGCCAGCGAATCGGAATGGACCTTCACCAAATCCAGAAAGGTGTCTTCGAAGGTGTCCTCAACGACGAAACTTGGGTGCCACAATACTTCTTGTTCCAGGCTGCTGCTAAGCGCAATCCGCTAATCATACCGGAGAACGAGAAGAACATAACCCTTGTCAATATGGCGGAGTTCGAAGAGAAGCATGGAGAGGTTTTCAAGAAGATGCCGCGGATCGAGGCCACTGAGTCAGCTAGCAAGAGCGACTGGGCGCATCTTACGCTTATTGGAAACTTTGATTCGGAATCTGGACTTGCTCTGCTAAAGTCGGTAGCCGACTTTCGCGCAACAAACCAGAATATCGAAGTCGTTCTAGTCCACAATCCCCAAACTGGCGCGGAACAGTCCAATGCGTCAGAAGATATACTGGAAGCTTACGTCAAATCGGGTCGCAAGCTCACAAGTCATGCCCTATCGACCATACTAGCCCAAACGCCAAACTTTGGGCCTACTCCAGCAAATTCTACAATCTTCTGGAAGGTCGCAGAACCGGTTTATGATGCTTTTAATCTGAAGCCAGGTCAGCATGGTCTTCTTGTCAATGGCCGATTTGTTGGCCCAATACCGGAGGACTTAGTGTTCTCAAAAGAGGATGTTGAGAGTCTGTTGGCATATGAAAACAACAAGCGCATTCAGCCTCTAAGTAAGGCTCTGGCAGACCTGAAACTCACAGATAAGATTGCGTCTCCATTCGATGTCGCCAAGATCCAGTCCCTGGTTGCGCTCTCCACGATCTCTGATGTTCCAGAAGGCATCTTTGAATCGGCCTCAACGTTGAGGATAAGTACATATGATAATTGGGCCGCCGACCACACTGCTATCATCAAAGGTGGCCACGAGAAAGCTGTCTTCCATATTGTAGCCTCTATTGACCCGGCTACGGAGTTGGCGCAGAAGTGGGTTCCGATACTGAAGACGCTGAGCGATATGGCTGGTGTCCATCTGAAGCTCTTCTTGAACCCTAAGCAGACGCTACAGGAGCTTCCAGTCAAGCGATTCTACAGATACATCCTTGATTCTCGACCTCACTTCAACTCAGACGGATCTGTTGGCACTCTAGAGGCGCACTTCTCTGGTATTCCCAAGGAGGCTTTGCTCAACTTGGGTATGGACGTCCCACCCTCGTGGCTCGTTGCACCAGAAGAATCAATCCATGATCTTGACAATATTAAATTGAGCTCGCTTCCTGCCGGAGGCAATATCGATGCGATATATGGATTGGAAAGCATTCTCATCGAAGGACACTCTCGCGACACAACGAATGGTGGTCAACCACCGCGCGGTGCTGAAGTCGTCCTAGCCACGGAAAAGGACCCTCATTTTGCCGACACTATTATCATGGCCAATCTAGGTTACTTCCAGTTCAAAGCCAATCCCGGCTTCTATAATATTCAACTCAAGAGTGGTCGCTCACAAGAAATCTTCACACTTGACAGTGCTGGACCGAAAGGCTGGGCCCCACAGCCAGGAGACGAGACAACCGAGATCGCTCTCATGAGCTTTCAAGGAGCCACAATTTTCCCGCGCCTATCCCGCAAACCGGGACAGGAAGAGGCGGATGTCCTCGCAGCCGAAGAATCGCTCGCCTCTGAGCTTGTAGGCAAAGGCACACAGAAAGTCAACAAGTTTCTCGGCAAGATCGGGTTGAATTTCAACAGTGAGAAAGTGATTCAGAAAGGCGCCGAATTACTCGCCGGAAAGTCCGTGAAGAAGGATACACAAGCCGACATCAATATATTCTCTGTCGCATCGGGTCACCTCTACGAACGCATGCTTAACATCATGATGCTCTCTGTCATGAAGCACACGAATCACACTGTTAAGTTTTGGTTCATCGAGCAATTTCTCTCGCCTAGCTTCAAGTCCTTCCTTCCGACCATGGCGCAAGAATACGGCTTCGAGTTCGAAATGGTGACGTACAAATGGCCGCACTGGCTACGCGGACAAACCGAGAAGCAGCGCGAAATCTGGGGTTACAAGATCTTGTTCCTAGATGTTCTGTTCCCATTGGATCTCGAGAAGGTCATCTTTGTGGATGCAGATCAGATCGTGAGAACGGACATGTACGAACTTGTGGAACATGATTTGAAGGGTGCGCCGTACGGCTTCACACCCATGGGCGACTCGCGCACCGAGATGGAAGGCTTCCGCTTCTGGAAAACAGGATACTGGGCCAACTTCCTCCGCGGCCGTCCGTATCACATCTCTGCGCTCTACGTAGTCGACCTGCTCAAGTTCCGGCAACTCGCTGCTGGCGACCGCCTACGACAGCAATATCACAGCCTCTCAGCTGATCCAAACTCCTTGTCCAATCTAGACCAGGATCTACCGAACAATATGCAGTTCAACCTCCCAATCCATAGTTTACCACAGGAGTGGCTATGGTGCGAGACATGGTGTAGTGATGAGGATCTTGCAAAAGCTAAGACCATTGATTTATGTAACAACCCCCAGACGAAAGAGCCGAAGCTTGATCGTGCGAGGAGGCAGGTCCCCGAGTGGAATGTATATGACGAGGAGGTTGCGGCGTTGGCGAGACGGGTTAAGGGGGAGAAGAGCAAGGCCGAGGAAGTGATTGATGTACAGGCAGAAGAGCAGATTAGAGAGAAGAGAGAGAAGGATGCAGAAAGGAAGAGGGATGAATTGTGAGTGTGGTGACCGTGTAAATTAGCGGGAAGTAGAGGAGCGAAAACATTCCAGGAGTTTGGCTCGAATTAGAAAGCATATGGTTTGAAGGCAAAGTGTTAATCATTTTGATCTTAAATGAGACTTGTAGACTCACATTCATGACCTTCACGCTCATTGATGTTGTGCTTTAACATCCCGCCAAGTCATTTGTCTTTAACATGAATACAATTATATTGCTTGAATACCAATACGCTCATCTTGCAGTTTAGTAATTATCAAAGCTTCTCTAGAGTCCGATAGATATGAGGCGGTGGACCAAGGCCGCATGGCAAAAAGTTGAAGTTCAATCCGAGGGGTACAATCCACGCCTTTCCAAAAGAAGAAAGAATGACATCATCCCTTCATTGCTCTCACGTCCGGTATTTCTTCTAAACCTTGGAAGCATCGCGACACCCATTCCCATTTCAGCATAACTCACACACCATTATTTCCAAATACATACATAAACATCTATTTCGAACGAACAATCTGTCAAGACTACAACATGGCGACCGCATCTGAAATCCCCGTCCTCCACTCCAAAGCCGAATACCTGAAAGCCGTCATGTACGAAGGCGTCACCATCCTCGAAGGCACAGCAACTTGGTGCCAAAACTGCAAGGTCATCGCGCCTGAAGTCCAGAAGATGGTGGCTGAATACCCGGACGTAAAGTTCTACCTGTACGACGTGGAAGAGTGTGAAGATATAGCACACGAGTTGGGTGTTAGCCAGATGCCTACGTTTAGCATTTTCAAGGATGGAGATATCCAAGAGGGTGTTACTGGCGCTAAACCAAAAGAGATTAGGAAGGCTATTGAGGGGTGTTTGTGAGATATGGATGCATGCGTTGTTGCAAGTAGCGAAATGGGAGTGATGTCATGAAAGTATGTTGGAGGTTTTAATTGCATCTTGTGTATAGTCAATTCGGCAAATTTTGATAGTTCAGAAAGATATTCAAGGCCTTGTGAGCTACGTGTCATATCTTGGGGCTGAGAGCAAAATGGTGTTGTTGTACATTAGCTGAGCTACAAGATCCACTTCAGCTAGACTATTTTTTTTTTTCAAAATGCTACAGCTCAAGACATGTGCTCAGATATAGCGCATGTTGTCCGTCTCCAAAGCTGAAATGGCTACCTGGGCGCTCAGCGGCAGCCTGCTATTCAAAGGAAGATTTGGAAAAGGGCTTACGCTCTAATTGAGCTATCGCTAGTTGGTGAAGTCAGCCTGAAATTGTCTGAAGGCCCAACCGAAGAAGAATTGCGGGGGCATGTCTTGTTCAGGTAAAAGAAGGAAAGTGTTTGCTGTATGAGTTTGTACCCCCGATTTCAGGTTTTTGTGGGCAGCTGATCTCGACAAGCCCGGCTGTTCTGTGATACTGTTACAAAAGAACCCCTCCAAAACTGTCTACTATACATTCGACACCTTTCCCCTCCTCTTTTCCCCTTCTACCTTTATTCATTACCTTTCTATGCTCCTCACAACGCAGATCGAGGCAATCGTCGCTACTTTTCCTAGCAACACGCAAGTCATAATCTCAATACTTTGGGATCTTCATAAGAGGAGAGTGATTTGTACTGTACGATGTTATTGAAACACCGTCTTTGATTTGTTTTTTATACTTGGAGCACAACCTTAGACTATGCTGCGAACACGAAACCCCCTTTCACAGCTGTTGCTAACCTCACCTTGATATCTTCAGGATGCGAACTCGTCGCAATTAACACTTCATACGCCCCTTCCGTAACTCTCCACTTGTCTGACCCTTCATCCCAATACGCCGCATCGCTCCTCCCAAACTCTATCTGCACCTCCCGCTCTTCGCTAGGCTGTAGTTCCACCTTCGCAAAGCCAACAAGAGCCTTCGTGGGTCGAGCGAAGCCGTCTACTACAGGAGGCGCTAGGTAAGCCTGCACCGTTTCGGCGCCTGCAATGGTCCCTGTGTTTCTAACCTTGGCTGTGATTTTGACCTTGGCAATAGGATCGCTGGAGATCGATCCTTCGACCACGGCGTCTTTAATCTCGAACGATGTGTACGAGAGACCGAAACCAAACGGAAACCTTACCTCCTGCTCTTGGCCCCAGAACTTGTCAAACCATCTGTACCCCACGAATACGCCTTCTACATACTCTACTTTCCGCGATTCGAAGCTGTCGAGGCCAAAGTTGCCGTAGCAGCCTGTGTGTTCGTACTTCTTTGGCCAGGAGATGGGCAACTTCCCACTCGGGCACGTCTCGCCAAGTAGTACGTCTAGAATCGCATTTCCGGTTTCTTGACCTGCGTACCACGCTTGTACGAGTGCTGGAACAGCGTCGAGCCACGGCAGCTCAACGGGTACGCCGGTCGTGTTGACAACTATGGTGTTTGGGTTCGCCGCAGCAACGCGGGCGATTAGGTGGTCCTGTGATCCATCGGCTGGCAACGTCATGCTCTCCAGATCCTGGCCTTCTGTTTCCCATTGTGTGGTGTTACCTACGAATACGATGGCCAAGTCTGCTTCTTGTGCGAGACTCACGGCTTCGGCAAGAACATCTTGTTCCATTTCCTCTTGCGCAATGAAGCCGAGGTGAATTGAGCACTGGTTGTCCAACAGGTAGATCTCTGCATTGGAAACAGGACTTGGATGTGTCTCAATGACGACGCGATATTCCTTTCCGGCTTCGAACTTGAATCGCACGCGGACCTCCTTCTGTACGCCGAGCAAGAAGCCCATGGCGTCACTGCAAGGCTCCGTTTGCTCAACCGCCAACTCATCATTGATGAAGAGTTTGGAGGGACCAAGCCCAGAGAAACTGAGATAGTGGGACCCGGAGACTGAGGGACGGTAGTTTGTTCCGAAACGCACTGTTTGACAACCTGTAACACGGGTATTCATCAACGTTGTGAAGCTGCTACGCGGAAACTCCTCAACGAGAAAGGGCACATTTGTCGTCGTTGGAGTCATGAAGTACTCCGCAAGAAAGCCGGGATTGCCACGAGCATTGATACACCCCGTCTCCAGATCAGGATAAACACGGAAAATATGTGCACCTGAACATTGTTAGCAATCACATGATTCGTTACAATCGGACGGATGGACCGACCTTTTGAGTGCGTGATCTCGACTTGTTCACCCAACCTACGTGTGAACGCATCATATGGAGTGACCTGGGGTACGGAGTTAGTAACCTTTTTCACGAGTTTCATAATTAGGAGAATTCTTACTTTATAGTGACAGTTCAGACTTGCGCTACCACCACCATGAGCTGCCGCATACTTTGCCAACGGGCCCAGCAGCGCAATCTTCTTAGTTTTCTTGACATCTATGGGTAAAATGTTGCCCTCATTCTTGAGCAATACGATACCTTCGCCGCCGGCCTTTCTGATTAGCGCGCGATGTTCCGGTCGATCTATGGCTTCTTCCTCTGGCGTAGTCTTGCGGTCATCGAATTTTCCAACCTTTTTGAGGAGCTCCAGCGTTGACAAGACACGTGCGTCAATATCGGACTCGCTAATGGCTTCGCTCTTCAAAGCCTTATTAACGGCTTCTGGCGTCCTAAAGCGTGGTGGCCCGGGCATTTCGAGATCGAGGCTGGTGAATGTTAGGGAGAGACTAGAGGGGGTAAAGCGTCATGAACGTACCCATATTTCACGCTCTCTACAGTGCTCGCTGCACCCCAATCGGAGAACGCTAAGCCTTCATAGTTCCATTCTTTCCTTAGGATAGTGTCTAAAAACTTGGGCTGTGCATCAACGTGTTTGCCATTGATCTTAGGGTAGCTGGACATGAAGCACCATGGGTCTGCCTCCTTTACTACCATCTCAAATGGTCGCAGGTAAATTTCCCTACATGGCGTCAGTATCCTTTGCACCAATGTAGCTTTCGAAGAAAGTTCTTGAAATACCGTAAGGCTCTCTCAGAGATGGTTTGGTTAATTGAGAAGCGTCTCGTATCCTGCTCATTCGCCAGGAAATGCTTGACCGTTGCCGCGACTCTCTCTTCCTGCAGCCCTTTCACATACTCGCTCGCCAAAACTCCGCTCAAATGCGGGTCTTCGCTGAACGCCTCAAAGTTCCTCCCTCCGAGCGGAGATCGATGGCAGCAAACCGTCGGTCCCAGAAGCACATATGCTCCTTTGGTGATGGCTTCTTGCCCGAGGGCTTTTCCAACCTGCCGAGATAGGTCGGGATTGAAAGTCGCGGCTAGGGAGACACTGGCTGGGAAGCATGCTGCAGTCGTACCATCAAAAAATGATCCACCGCGTGCGCCGTTGGGCCCGTCAGACACCTACAACAACCATGAGTATATGCTGGTAGGTCTTCTGGGGCGTTCGAGGGACCTACTTTCAACGACGGTATACCCAGCCTATCAATCTCAGGTGTCTCCCATACGTTCTTCCCCGCCAGCATTGTGATCTTTTCCTCAAGGGACATCTGGTCAAGCAGATGTCGTAGATCGTCCGTGCCATTCTTGTCACCCGTTTGTGCCATGTTTGCTCTGTTCGTTCGTTGGCCTGGAGAAGTGAGGAGTGAACGGATCAAGTATCACAGGGCAGGAATAACCCTAACGCGACTTATGACAGCCATGAACGGTGCTCGAGCGTTCCACACACCCAACGCGCGGGAAGCGGCAGCGGGAAGCGGGAAGGGTAGAGTAGAGGAAGCCAAGACCGCGGAGTATCTCGGAGAATCATTCATCGGGAGTCGGGTCGCTCGCGCGCTCACGTGTTTGCGGGTCTTAGTTGCGCAACTTACCCTTTGATTCGTCTAACTCTAGTGCATGCCGATTAACTCCCCTATTCGCAACACGAACGTCTTCTCTAGGGTTTCTCCGTTGATATTCCACTAGCCCGTTTCCCGTCTCCACCTTGTTGATTAAACGCCGCTTGACCCTTTCCCCACGGCTCGGGTCGGGCTCGCGGGGGTTCTAGCGCAATGGCATGGGAACAATGCGTGAGCTGTGCATATAAATGTTCATCACTTCCAGTGGGCTCATCTCCCCGCAGAGGTCGATCCCTTCCTCCCTGGAATTTGCTGTCTGTCGTTTTTGTCTCTGCCAACTCTTAGACACCACCTCAGTTTCTTCAGCACCATGGCTGACTCCAAAGCTACTGCGGTTGCCGCGGTTGGTCATGTCGAACCTTCTATCGAGGCTAATACCGCTGTTATTGATACCTCTGAACGCCTCAAAACCTTTCTTGTCCGCCAGCATTCATTGACACGAGTTGAAGCCATCAAGGAGCATCGGAAGGCGGTAGCATGGTATGATCTATCCTGCACAACACACGTAAAGGAGGTCTGCTGATTTCATCTCTTCATCTTTCAGGTGTCTGTACATGTTTTTCACATGTATCATGTTCGGCTTCGACTCCCTAGCCGGAGGCGTGGTCATCTCAATCGCCGAATTCAGGAAAGACTTTGGCAAACCTTTCGGAGGACAATATGTCATTGACGCAAACTGGCAACTCGGTTTCCAGGCTGCCACGCTCGGCGGTAAGACAGTTCCACTCCAAGCAATGTCAAGAGTTTCGAGGGCTAAGTCGTGGTGCAGGTATCATCTTCGGTGGTCTTCTCACCGGCTTCGGTGTCAACAAATTCGGTCGCCAGTTTTGCATCCTAATCGCGTATATCCTGAATACTGGCGGTATCTTCCTGCAAGTTTTTGCTACGACCCCAGCGCATTTCTTTGGCGGCAAGATCCTGACGGGTCTTCCACTTGGATGCTTCAGCACTGTCGCTCCTACATACGCATCTGAGATGGCGCCACTGTCAATTCGCGGAGCCATCACCGCTGGAATGAATTTTGCCATTGTGCTGGGCCAGCTGATCGGTTACGGCGTGTTGCGAGAGGCGAATAAATATACAGGAAAGGCTTCCTACAGAGTCCTATTCGCGACGCAGTGGGGCTATGTCGCTGTTGGCCTGGCGATCTTGCCTTTCTTCCCAGAGTACGTTCCCAATCCTCACAAAAGATGCGGGCTAACCGTGTGTCTACAGATCACCATACTGGCTCGTCGCCAAAGGCCGCCACGAGAAAGCACGCCACAACCTTGCCAAAGTGCACGACGCTGGCTACGACATCGACGGCCACATGGCCGAAATTCACGACTCGCTTGCACGGCAAAATGCCGACAACGAATCTCAAGGCTCCATCGCAGAATGCTTCACGAGAAAGCACATCATACGTACCCTTGTCGCCACGTCCATGTTCTTCATCCAGAATGCGTCGGGAAATTCCTGGGTCATTGGATACATGTCATACTTCATGCAGCTTGGCGGCATGAGCGTGTCCAAGTCTTTCGACACAACCGTCGGCATGTCAGGCTTGATGGTCGTCGGTAACATGTTTGGATGGCTGCTCGTGGAGAAGTTTGGGCGCAGGACCACGGCGCTGTACGGCACGGGGGTGCTATGTGTGACTTTATTCGTCATCGGCATCATTGCAAGTGTGAAGAACGCAAAAGGCGCGATCTGGGGACAGGTGGCGTTTATGGGAATCTGGGCTTTCGGTACGTCGACACACACTTCACACACACACACACACACACATGGTGGTTTGCTAGCGTCCATGTACCCTTTACTAACGATGAATTAGTTTACCAAGCTACCGTCGGCTCCTCGGCTTGGCCGATTAGTGCGGAGAACCCGTCTTCTCGCCTCCGCGCCCCAACACAGGCGCTTGGCACCATGATGAATGGGCTTTCGTCTTGCATTTGGTCCTTCTCACTTCCTTACGCTATCAACCCTGACAAAGGCAACCTGGGCGGCAAAGTTGCGTTTATTTTCGGAGCCACGCTCGTCCTGTGCTTTGTCTTTGTGTTCTTCTTCATCCCAGAAACCAAGGACAGGACTTTCATCGAGATCGATGAGCTATACGGACGAGGCGTGCCCGCTTGGAAGTGGAAGCAGACGCAGATTGTGACGGTAGCGGAGGAGAAAACGGAAGAGGCAATTGGAGGGAAAAGCGAAGTGGCTCATTGAGAAACGAATGGAGAGATAATGTTGGGAACCGACGGCTTGTTTAATGTGTTGGTTGACGTAGTGGTCAAATCAAACAGTGTATATAATTAAATTTTTTAATCTTGTGGAAGCTTCACTATCTTATACTGCCTTGAACGTGCTGGGTATTGCGGAACCATAACAATTACTAATCTTCCTGCTGTTGTACAACCAATTCCTACAAATTTGTCTTTTTACCCTATCCCTGACCCTCAAAAAAAAAAGAAACAAACGGTTTTAAAAACTCGGAGGAATAATAGTAGAGTACCCCATATGATCCAAATCCGCCAAAATGCCGGCAAAGTGTACGACATATTGACGGGATTGCTCCTCTAGCTCAGACGTAGCATCGAGTTCATGATCGTTATCCAGTAACGTCGCAGCAATCTCGCGGATCTTCACAATCTAGACCAACACGTTAGCTCTCATAAGTGTAAGCGAAGAATGACTAGGGCGGCGGCCTTACCATGGAAGATCCATTGGCCTCCAACGTCCTAGACGAGCAGAAACGTAGGACGTGAAGCAGCTCATGAGCGATACTCTCCCGGAACTGCCAGAGTTGTGTTCGCGATCCGTTCCCAGAAGTGGTAGATCTCAAGTCATCCTCTGGCGACGCGTGATTTTCGTCCGCCGCACGCGAGCATGTAAAAGCGCCCAGGCAGACCTCCAGGATCTTGCTCTGGATGTAGAGGCTCGTGACATGTATGTTTGCGCGCATAATGTCGAATTGGTTTGCTTTCACAGGCGAGAATTCCGCATTTTGGGCATGAATCTGGTTGTCGCGAGTGGGTATCTTCAACTCGTGTGGTAGTTCTTCTATGACCCGCTGCAGCCTTCGTAATATGCGTAATAGTGAATTCAAGTCGACCGTTGACCTGAAGGAAGCCGGCGAAGGGGCAAATTCCGGGTGTTCTGTCGGGCTGGCCGGGTACGCTAGGGTTTGAAGGGAGCCCGATGTCATGGCATAGGCTTGGGGCGGGGCGCCTGGAAACCCGTTGGACAGAAAATCAACGACGCACAGGAAAACTTTGATTAGTGCGATGAAACCAGAAATGACGGGGAGTGGGCGGCCTTCGAAGTCCGTGTCCATTGCGCTGCGGTGATCGTTCATACTTAGCAATTCTTGGGTCGGTATTTCTTCATCTTCAAGTTCGGAGGGAAGAAGGTACTCCCAATCAGTATACAGAGGATTGAAGCTCAGCCCAGTGTGAGGGACGATGAAAGAGAGGCGGTCGTGACTATGCTGCTGGTCAGCGCCTGCTTTTAGTGGCATCAACGAATCGAGCCTCGGAACGCTGGATGTACTGACATTTGAATGATGTACAGCACCCAGAAAGCCCGCTTGCACAGTTCTCCTTCGAGAACAGTGAGCTTCTCATACCCCTCCTTCCTGAACAACTCCAACGCCTGAAAGAATTGTATCGCTTCACTCGCATAGCTCCAGCCTTGGTTGTGTCTTCCAGCGTAATGGCTTGCCATGCTCAGCATGATGGAGACGATCATGCTACTCATAGAAGGCTGATTCTGCCAGTCTGGCGCTGATTGAACCCGACTGAGGAGAACCAAGTGGCATGCTCGATCCACCATGGCAGCAACGTCGGAATACCGGGAGCCGCCATACTGTTCGAATTTACGTGGCATGGAGGCTACCGTTACGGCGCACAAGGTGATGCAAAGACGAAATGATGTCGAGTCGGTAGCATAGCTGTGTTTTGATAGAGCGGCCCTGAAACCCGGTCGGTGGACAAGAGGGAGCAGAGGCCAGACCAGATCCAGATAATCGTCGATGATGGCCAAGAAGACATCTCGTGGACAGAGGTGCTCGACCAGGAGCTCCCCCACGGGGAGAGTCAGAGCGGTAGTGATTGTCCTAGGTCACGCTCAATGGGTGGGTCAATATCAGACTTGATGTCCAACGTACCTCGGAGGAGGACCTCTTGCCCTACGCTCCTTTAGGAACGTGCACTCTGTGTTACCTTGACTACATCGGCGGCATGCCGTCCTCTCGTCTTCGAAGACGCATTGAACTTTGCGTTCGCGACAAATATCGCATGCTTTGGAAGCGATGCGACGACCCCGGCGCGAGGCTATAGGTGGCATAGCATGGTATACGAGCGAATAACATATGGTCTAGTTGTAATGTAGGAAAGGTTACCTCCTGGTTCAATATGACAACTGTACCGATGCAATGGACCGCTTATTAAGCACGCCCAAAGGAGCTAGAGAATCTTGGTCTTTCCAAGGGTTGTTGTCCGCGGGCTCCGAAATCTTATTACCTAGGAGACGCAGCGGCTCAAATTGTGCTGGAACATAGCACAAAGCTGCGAGCGGTATGCTGCGAAGCAGCAGGCAATGCTGAGAGGTCACATTGATCTATAAAGATCTACATTAAGAAGCCTTTAACTCGGTCCTACCTCTTTCACCCACCGAGTAATGTGCCGAGGACACCAAAGTGTAGCTGCACTTTGCTACCTAGAGATGCACATGCCTCTCTGAACATGCATAACCCATCGTAACCAGCTCGTAAGGCCAGTTTGACCAAGCGTTCTAGCGCTAAAACCCATTTAACGAAAGTCGTTTAGATACAGAATGAGCAGTTGAGTATATGGGAAGAAATAGGATATAACTGTACGAAGAAATGGCAAAACTAACCTTGAAGTCCTTGATCCTTCTTTGAGCATTACCGCAGTCAGCAACTGCCTACCCGTTATATATATGATTGATGCCTACCCCGGCAAACGTCAACCAGATCAACCTAGCACCCTCGGGCCATTCATCTTTCCCTTCTTCTGCACACCCCTGGGAATGAACATGGCCGGAGACGCAACTACGGCAGGGGTGCTATTAGCACCAGCTTTGTTGTCTTTGTTATTCTTATTTTTGTTGAACTTTCCCTGGTTTCCGTTCTTGCCATGCTTGTCGTCTCGCTTCGTCACGGCCTTTACCTCGGACGTCGCTCGCTTGATCAGCACGGGATGGCTGCCAATGTACTTGCCCTGCATCTCCTTGGCGGCGCGGAAGTAATCGTCGGTGTCGGAGAAGCTCACAAAGCCGTAGCTTCGGCTCTTGGTTGATTTCTTGTCTCGAACGACGCGGGCCTTGGACAGGGATGGGTACTTGGCGAAAGCTTTGAGAAGGGAATCATCTGTGACCTCGCCAGCAAGATTTCCAATGAACAGTCGTGGGTGCAAGGGGTTCCACTCGAGCAGCGTCTCGTCTTCCCACTGCTTTCCACCCCCCTCGCGGACGACAGTCTTGCGCTTGCCATCCACCGAGGGTCCCGTCTCGGCGTCTGCAGGTGCTGCAGCTTCGGATCGAGCGCCAATGTTCGCATTGGTACCTTTCTTCGCGTTCGCGTCCCCTGTGTTATATGCGCTATTCCACTCGGCCATCCGAGCCTCCTCCTCTGGGTCATAGGTGCCAGTCACGCCGCGGTTCATCGGCGGGGCAGCTGAATAGGATGTGGCAGGCGCAGCTGAAGCATAGCCTGGGTACGAGTAGTTGTTGTAAGCATTGCTGGTCGGGTAAGCGGTTGCTTGATGTGGAGCGCTCACAGTGGCTTGTGGGTAGTGTGTCGGTGCAGCAGACACTTGGGGAGGGGCGTGAGCTACTACGGAGCGCGGTGTGAAGCCAGCAAACATGGGCGAGTTGGTCTGCCCTCTTGCGCCAGCATTGTTTGGTCTCGGAGGTGGTGCTGAATAGGTCGATGGCGGAGGGCGTGCGGGTAGCGAGTGATGAGGCTGCAAGTTGGAGTCTCTGGACGTCATTTCGAAGTGAGACTGCACGTCAGTTCAGGCTAATTTTAGCGAAGTGATGACTTAACCAGCTACTGGTTGGGGGCGCGCTTCTGAGGTGGCGGTAGAGGTAGACTGGTGATGAATTTGTGGCGAGCGCGGGCGCGGGCGCGGAGGATGAGGATGAGGCTGAGGCTGAGGCGGTGATGATGGCCAGGCGCAGATTGACTACAGCGGCGAGTGTGGACGCGGGGTGCCGGCCGTGGGGGTGGGTGCAGTGCTACTGGTAAAGGCCCTGTTTGCAGAGGGGCGTGAATAATGCCGCAAACGATGCAGAGGCCCAGTGACACGATGCTGACTAGACGGCACGTCGCTTACGAGTCTTTCCTGAAGCGTAGCTCCGGATCGGCTTTTGATTTGAATGGCGCAGAGGGAGTGGGATGGGCGGGCCGGTACAGAGTGCAATTACCGCCTGGGTTGGGTCAAATCAAATGGGGTGCTAAAGGTGGTAATTTGTTGGGTGAATGTTGCTGGACGTGAGAGCGGCTTGGCTTGGCCGAGACTGCGGCGCAGGGCCTGCACGTGACCCGGCTATCGGCAGCCTTCCCAAGAACGAGACACCCATGGTAACCTACTAGTCGGCATATTGCCTCTACAGCGGCGACGAGGATAGTGAGACAGCTTCAAGGACTTTTTACACCTGCAGCTTTTCATAAAGATTGCAAAAGTTCTTTGAAGTCACAGGCGGCTCTAGCGGGTCCGATGATCCCTGCGGGCTGCCCCTCCTTCCGTAGGCCAAAATGTTTAAGGCTGAAATGGAGGGGCTGGCTTGTTGCAGGCAGAGAAACGAGCTATATGGCATTTCCGCGTGTCCGTCGGAGGCCCCGTCTTGGTCTCTATCTCCGGAGCAGAAGACGAAGAAGAAACAGATAGTGTAAATGATTGGTCATGGCCCCAGGGCTGCATGTCTTTTCTTTACGGGTTTCTACATTTTTCCACAGTGAGAGCGAGAGAGTGGCACAGCGTGGGAGGCTGCTTTCTAATCATAGTCACATAGTATAGCACCTGGGCAGCTTGTACCCCCTAACACCGGAGTAACAGAGCCCATTAGGAGACGGAATTGGCAATCGTTGGCTTGAAATCAATTGGCCTCTTTTCCCGCCGCGGCCGAAGTCTTTCTCCGTTACTCTGTTTGGTTTGTAGGGATCTTGGACGGGACGTGCTTGCACTTGACGCAACCTTTTAGTGCCCCGCCTTGGATTCCAAACTCTTCCGGTCGGAGCAACTACTTATCTGCAGAGCACCCCGCCGAAGCTCGCCCATCCTCCTTTTTCTCGTCATCATCATCACCAGCTTTTTCAAGCCTCCAACTACCCTCTTCTCGTGTTGCGCGCCAGGTCGCTGCAGCTTTACCCCACCAATACCCCCCACCACCTTTACCTCACCACTTTTACCCAGTCGACAAGATGACTGAAGCTGTCGGAGATGTACGCCACTGCCCATGTCCAACTAAATACGAGGCATATAACTGACTTTGTTGCCACCTTTAGTTCGGTTTGATCGGTTTGGCCGTGAGTCTTCTCCATCCCAGCGGCGACAAAAGGAACTGGTGAGGCCTGCCTGAATGTCCCTAGAGGAGGGTTGGCGTGTAGCTTGCATACTACGGGCGCAACTCTCTTCCAAGACTCTAGACTGCCTCATCGTTGCGATTGTCTGTCCAGGACCAACAGGAGAGCTTGACCCGCTAACCCCTCCACGTACAGGTTATGGGTCAGAACCTGATCCTGAATGCGTAAGTCATTACTCACCCCGCCATTGTCTTGATAAGCAGTGTGCTAACGAAACATAGCGCCGATCATGGATTCACGGTACGGAATATCCTTCGATAGCATGCTGAGCTGCAGCACTGACAAGTTCACAGGTCGTCGCTTTCAACCGAACGTAGGCGCCCCGGACGCATTAACCCGGCCCCAACTGACCAACTGGTAGCGTTTCCAAGGTCGACCGATTCTTGAACGATGGTAGGCCTATCTGTACTCTAGAGTTGCAGCAATAGCAAGCTGACAGGCAGCAGAGGCCAAGGGCAAGTCCATTGTTGGCGCCCACTCCATCAAGGAGTTCGTGTCGAAGCTCAAGAAGCCCCGCCGCATGATGATGCTCGTCATGGCCGGCAAGCCCGTCGACGACTTCATCGAGCTCCTCCTGAACGAGGGTGGCGCTGAGGAGGGCGACATCATCATCGACGGTGGCAACTCCCACTACCCCGACACGAACCGCCGCACCAAATACCTGGCTGGAAAGGGCATCCGATTCGTCGGAACCGGTGTCTCTGGAGGAGAGGAGGGCGCTCGTTACGGCCCTAGCATCATGCCCGGTGGTAACGAGGAGGCCTGGCCATACATCAAGGTGGGCGAGTCGTGAAATACGCATGGCACATATCTGACAATCGGCTAGGATGTCCTCCAGTCCATCTCCGCCAAGTCCGACGGCGAGGCCTGCTGCCAGTGGGTCGGTGACGAGGGTGCTGGTCACTACGTCAAGATGGTGCACAACGGTATTGAGTATGGTGACATGCAGTTGATTTGCGAGGTGAGGCTGCCAACGACGACTACGACATGACGCATGACTGACAAGCCATAGGCATACGATATCCTGAAGCGCGGTCTCGGCCTAAGCAACAAGGAGATCGGTGATGTCCTTGCCCAATGGAACAAGGGCGTCCTAGACTCCTTCCTGATTGAGATCACCCGCGACATCATGTACAAGAACGATGAGGATGGTGTTGCTATTGTCGAGAAGATCATGGACTCCGCTGGTCAGAAGGGTACCGGCAAGTGGACCGCCATCAACGCTCTGGACCTCGGCATGCCCGTTACCTTGATCGGAGAGGCCGTCTTCGCTCGTTGCCTGAGTTCGCTCAAGTCTGAGCGTGGCCGTGCTTCCGGACTTTTGGATGGACCTACCCCCAGCTTCACTGGCGATAAGCAAGCTTTCATCGACAACCTCGAGCAGGCTCTTTACGCATCCAAGATCATCTCGTACGCCCAGGGTTTCATGCTGATCCAAAACGTGAGTAGATCCTGACAAGACAGTGAGCTCGTACTGATTGCTGCGTAGGCCGCCAAGGAGTACAAGTGGAAGCTGAACAAGCCCGAAATCGCGCTCATGTGGCGTGGTGGCTGCATCATCCGATCTGTCTTCTTGAAGGACATCACCAAGGCGTAAGTTCGAAGAGCTGCGTAAACTAGACGGAGTATTGACAACCACGCAGATACCGCTCCAACCCCGAGCTCGAGAACTTGCTCTTCGACGACTTCTTCAACAAGGCCATCCACAAGGCGCAGGCTGGGTGGAGAGAGTAAGCAATCGCTTCCCAAAGACTTTAGAGACAGTACTAACAACGTGCCAGTGTTGTGTCCAAGGGTGCTCTTTGGGGCATTCCCCTCCCCGCTTTCAGCACCGCTCTCAGCTTTTACGATGGTTACCGCGCCAAGGACCTCCCCGCCAACCTGTTGCAGGCACAGCGTGATTACTTCGGCGCGCATACCTTCAGGATTAAGCCAGAATACGCCAACGAGACCTACAAGGAGGGCCAGGACATCCACGTCAACTGGACAGGAAGGGGTGGAAACATCTCTGCTTCCGTAAGTCTCTGTTCGATTGTCAATTGATCAATACTAACTTGCTTTTGCAGACCTACAACGCATAAGCGTCTTAATATCCGATGCGTAAGGGAAGGGAGAATGGCATTGCCTATAATGTGCGCCTGAAAAGTACCACATGAATGAATAAGATAGCTCGAATCTAAACTGATAATCGATTTGTGTGCCTTGAACCTGCTGCTGCCAATAAATAAACACAGCGTGTAAATGATCTTCGACCGCTCGTCGTGATGTTGTCGTGGGCGCTAGCTTGGAAGCGTGTAGCTGCAGTGAGCCTCGGAAGAACATGCCACCACCCGTAGACACATCAAGTGGATGCACACGCCGCCACACAAACTTGCCGTTCGCCAGATGCAAGTACAGAAAACAGAGTTGAGGACATAAGCACTACCTACCGTCAAGACCAAGAATCCGTGTGGTTGGTCGACCACAAGCGCCGGCAACGAAGCCTTGGCACAGCGACCGCCGACCTGTTGAAGCGCATCACGACCATACGACCTGCATCCGCTTTGAGCTACAATAGCTCTGCGCCGCGCTCGCGCTTTCCCCCCTCCTCGTGCGCGCATCCTTTACTATCTCTCTTTCTTGTCGCTCCTTTGCATCATTTTTTACTTGCATGATTCTCTGGCGTTGGCTTGCGCGAGTCTTTGACGAGCCTCCAATTTCGTGCTGACGAGGTCCAACGTAGCGTGGCAACCGCCACAGCGTGCACAGCTTGCGAGAGAGTCAGAGTAAAGATCGAGAGCGCGAGACAAGAACACTGTCATGGCGGACAATAAGCGAAATAGCATTGCGGGGAAGATTGCGACTCCAAACTTGAAGGTCGGCGGCGGATCGAACAAGGATGGCATAGATGCAGATTCGAATTTGTCCAAGGCCGTTGGATCACGGTAGGTGATACCTGCGCTAGTTCTGCTCCTCAGCTACTGGACGAGGGCCCCAGCATATGTACAGCTGAAGCTGACACTTGGTTAGCATCAAGATCACATGCGCCCCAAACAACAATGTGCTCGAGGGCACACTCTTCACGGCTTGCAACCTCACCAACGCCATAGCCATCAATACCGCACCCGCCCCACCGAACCCCTCCGCACCCCTCTCCAGCCAGCCGGGCGACTACCACATCATCCCCTTCGCCCACATACTATCATTCGAGATCGTTGGCTCCGGAGAGCGGGTAGCCGAGTCTACACCAGGCTTCAATGGCTCGCTCCCAAGCATTTCAAAGGTGGATCTCGCTGCGCTGCAGGCGCGAGAAGAGCAGACAATTCGCGAGATGAAGAAGAAGGACGCACAAAAGGGCAAGGGTGTTAGTAAGGAGGCACAGGAGTTGTTCGATGCCATATCTAGAACGTAAGCTCACTCTAGTAGCCACATGAACCTGGAGGACCGCAAGCTAACTATGCTATTGACAGCCTCCCAACCCGCTGGGCAGACACGCAGATCGTGGTCAGCGACTCCGTCCTCATCCAGGCTCCATATACGCTTGACAACATCAGAGCACCCGCCGACAAGGCACAAGCCGAGAACCACGTCCGCAAAGTGGTCGAACACTACTACCAGCGCAAAAAGGGCGCTTCTTCAGGGGGGACTGCTCGCGCTCCAGTCGCCATGCCCATCGCCCCACGAAAAGGAGGTTAAAGATACAGCCCCCACAGCTATACGTTGTGAAAAAGGAACGCAGCGAAAAGTCAAGTCTGGATGTGGGGAGGCTATAGTAAGGGGCAAAGTGTTTGGCTTTCCTCGGCTGGCATAACAAAACTGCCGCCATGCACTATGTAGAGAAAACATGAGCGGAAGAGAGTGTGTGTGAAATAACGTTGGCACTGGAATGAGTGGACTTGGGCATTAGGGGCTGTGGAAAGTATCATATGAAAATGTACGTATCACGTGGAGAACAAGGGAGACTTTGGGTGTAGCTAGCTATGTAGTCGATGGGTGGATGCATCGGAACAATTGAAACTTGTCTAAATACTTTATATCCTCGTGCAAGTAAACATTCTGGAGTTTTAGACCGGTTGGTATGAGCTGCCCTGAAAGAACATTCTCTATTACACCCGGAAACAATTCGGTTCATCCAAGATGGAAAACAACCACTGGTGCGCTACGTCACTCATCACTTTGACATGTTATGTGAGTTTGGAATTTCTCATTTTCAAGGGGAAATGCATATCAATTTGGATTCACTTCGCAAAGCTATCGCTAGATATATGACTTGTATAACCATGGTAAAACGCCGTGGGTATCGAAAAGAGAATCAAGCACAATGCCGGGATATATGGGAGAACAAATTAGTAGGATCGCGAGGCGCTCGATAGGAGGCGAGCTAGGAAATGCACTGATGCCAACCGTCTAGTACTGGAACTTGCGGTCGCCCATGATGTTCCACAGCTCCTCCACAACCGCCTTCTGCTCCTCGCGCTTAGCGTTGCGCACCGCAAAGTACAGCCGGCCCTCGAGAGTAGGATCCCAGTCCCCAGGGTTGGCGCTCGCAACTATTCCTCCAGCCTCTTCGAGGATGATCCATCCCGCGCAGACGTCCCAGATCCAGACGCCGCCCTCCCAGAACACATCGAGTATGCCCTGAGCGACGTAGCAGAAGTCTAGGGCAGCAGAGCCGTTGGAGCGGACTGACTTGCACATTGCACCGCCCTCTGTCTTGGAGGTTAGGAGCTTGTTGTGCACATCAGTTCGAAGCGCCCAGTTCGGACCAGAGCGCTGGTTGCCCCACTCGACAGCAACTAGACATGCATTGAGGTCGGGCATCGGTGGCGGGACAGGCTGCATAGGGAGTTTGATCTTGGTGCCAGTCATCGTCTTGGTCAGGAACGACCCCTGATTCTTGATGGCAGTGTACAAATCTCCTCGAAAAGGGTTGTACACGACTCCAACGACGGTCTTCTTATTCAGAGTCAGACCCAACGAGATGGCGCAGTTCGGCACACCCTTGCTGAAGTTCAGCGTGCCGTCGATGGGGTCGCAGACAAAAGTGGGCGAGTCTGCGAGCTTCGTGCCGTGCTTGAATGTCTCTTCGCCCAGGAAGCCGAAGCGAGGATATGCGGCTCGGGTGCGGTTCTCGACCATGGCCTCAATCTGTTTGTCGTACTTTGTGACAACATCAGAGGTATTGTTCTTGGTTGCAGCGATGATGAGAAACTCGTGTTCAGCCTCGAGCATCATCTTCCCGCCGTCCATTGCAATGTCGACAAGAAGATCGTGCGCGTTCTTCAGGTCTGTCTCGGTTAGGTCATGTTTGGCCAGGTCGAGGATGAAGTCTGGAGTGCTCGATGGTGTCGACCGAGTCGAGAAATCGGAGCCCTCATTCTCTGGGTTGGTCTTCTGGGAGGTAGACATCTCGCGGACTAGTATCGTCTTTTGAGTTGGGTAGATGGATGCGACTATCGGTCGAATTTGTAGAGTGTTGTATAGAGCGAGTTGTGATTGTTGGTGGATGTGAGAGTGTGTGGAGAGTCTATAAGAGTGTAGGAAATTTCGATATAAGAATGTCTGGGAGAAAGCTGAAGATTGTGAGAGTGACCGCACAGTACGATTGAGAGAGGAGCGTAAAGGCCCCTGTGTACGCTGCATAGTGAAAGGAATCCACAAAGTTGCAATACAATTCGGTGTTGCTGATAACATTATGTTCGTCATTTGCGATTACGGAGTTGATTTCCTTGTGATAGCGCGGCAGCGTGAGCTGATACCATCCGTAGCCCGTTCCGTGAGCCGCATGTAGCTAACGAGCCTTTGATCCTTGTTGGCTGCTGGCTGCAGTAGCGTCCTTATCCAGTCAAGATGCCTTATGTTGGGGACTTGAGGGGGCATTGGCCAGGAAGGCTCGTAGCCGCTGGCCTTCAAGATCGCCTAGGCATAGCCGAACTATACTGGAAGTCCTTTTTAGCGATTGCAACGATACTTAAAGGTATCTAGATATATGTCGACACCTTCTAAGCAAACACCCTTAGATTGACAATTGGTCACAATCAAATGCGGTACGACAGGTCCTCGCGTAAGGTTGATTTAGCAATCCTAATATCCATGCCGACTTAGTCGCGTTACTATTTGTTGCATGTACTCAAGTGGATGTGGAACGCATTCGAGATTTGATGGCTGAGCCGAGTCTTTCCGGACTGCTTCCGATGGCCTCGGTGTTGAGCTGCCCAGAGGCAAGCTCTAGACCCACGACCGTTCCCTTTACTTCAATTTCGAAGTACCCCAAACTGATTAGGTTAAGGGCTATGTGCTACTGTGAAGCGAGCTTGCTAGGTTGTAGGAAGTCTGACGATACCCTGTGCAGCACGTTCTTGTTGTGTGTGCACCGTGCGTGAGCACCGGTCAGCACGGCGTGAAACTGACTTCGTGTGTTCAAGTGGACTTTGTGAAGAGTGTTGTTAGGGAACTGCTGAGCCGCTGCGACAGGGAGTGAAGGCCTGTGCGCGAGCTCGCTTATACAACTACGTCACATATCTTGCTCTTACACGACCAAGTTCTCATCACGGAGCTCATTGTGGGGTGCATGGAAAGCATACGAACGACTTGTATTGATAGATAACAGCTCTTGTCCTTCCACCGATGGACCGCGATTCACCTCCTCAATAGTGTTATCACATAGCTATATTCCTGTTAACACCCAATCGACTGCGGGGATCTAACATGCCGGGCAAGAGGTCAATCCCCAAAGAGCGGTATGAGCGTCAACGCAAGGCACGAGAAATACGCAGGGCCTTAGCAGCGATCACACCAGAGAATTCGCGCCCACAGAGACAATCTCCGCTCTTCTCAGTCCTACCAGCAGAGTTACGCGTCCTCATCTTCCAATTCGTACTCAGTCAAGCACTTGATCTAGCTAGGCCTCTCGATATCCATTGCAACAGTCCTCTATATCGCCCAGGTCATACCCACCATGCCACCCTCGACATCTCTCTCCTACTCACATGTCGCTTGGTGTACTGCGAGGCACACACTATTCCGGTCCGAAGCGCTACATATCACTTCGGGCATCTGAGCGGTGCCTCATGTCTCTACAATGACTCTGCCTGGCTCCATCACGTCACGAAGCAGCACGGCGCAGAGTTGTATCATTTGCACGATAACGTCATTTCTATCCGCTCAAATCATGTTACAAAGTTCTTACTGCCGCACCTACACTGGCGAAAAATTACTTGGACTGTATGCGGCTACTTGCTAACACCAAGGCTGTATGCGGAACAGACGGGATTCGATTCCCCTGCGAACACATTGGCCGGATTGACACTTCCGGCTAGCTGTAAAGAAGTTACGTTGGAACTGGAGACTCGAGAAGACTTGCTCGACGACTGGCCACAACTGCTTCAACAGGCGAAGGCTTGCCAGCAAGTCTCCTTGATGAGAAGCGATGGCACCACACTAGAGCTCGATAATAGGTATGTTGTGCGGTACAAGTGGGTTGGTAGCGGTCAGTTACAGGAGGGAATACGTGAGGATGCGTTGTTGACCAAGTATACTATGGTATACCACACAATCAGGTTGTGCTGGCGAGCGAAACTTGCTAGACGGGAGTATATGAGTTATGATCGTTTGGATTGCTTGAGACTGGAAGGGTGTGCGGAGGTCACCGAAATCATGGCTCTTGAGTAGTAGTAGTCATAGCATGACAAGGATGGCCACAAAACAACAACAAGGTGGAATGTAGAGAATAGATTTCCCTTAGGAGGTACCTGGGATATCAGTTGGGAGTCTGAATCCATTCAGGCAATCAGATTCTGAGTTTTTAGCTTGCCATAAACTCTGCCCATGTTATGCAGCGCAACGAGTGTCTGCAAGAATCAACCGGCTGCTCTTGCCCTCGCACCTACTGAATGAAAATGCACAGAATACGTGACAAGCTCTTGCGCTTCGACGTTTTCGATGTCCAAAAAAAGCAGTCACTCACGCTCTCCAGCACTGGCCGTCTACACACAATTCCATCGATACTCACCAAAGCTTTACGCCTTCATTCTAACGTTACATACCTACTACACAAGCAGATTCACATCAAACTTCACTGATCGAGTCCTACCACAAAATAACATCTACATCTCTGTTCGCCGCGTCAATACGCTAACGCGCATTCTTCCCATTACATCTTTCATCGCGAGACTAGACTCAAAGCATCGCTTGACCATCAGTCTTATGCGGCGCTGAGCTCTCAAGTACAAGCCCTTACTTGATCCTTCTCGACTTTGCTACACGCACCCTACCACATTGTACCATTGCGAACCGCTAAGGGAGCCTAGAAAGGAAAGCTCCGAAAAGTACGAATCGTAAACCGAGAGCCTGGCTAGTGAGGCTGGGAGAGCGCATTCGCGCAACAAGGTCCAACGATCGTGGACAGCTTACCAAGAGCACGCATACAAACGTCCGGAAACGCAAGAGCAGCAGACACACTCATCCATCTCGTTCTCTTACACCACAAGAGAGGCTTCAGGTAGCAAGACGTCGACTACGCAAGCTTGAAAAGCAGCATACTAGAGAACAGAGGAAGTCAGTGTCTCGGAAGCAGCAGACGCCTGTACGGAAACGAGATAGGTTTCAGAATCTTATGAAGAAGATTGCCATTGGGAATCCCAAAGATATTTGAGGTACCCTAGACCACCTTCGAGTTTTAACACCCTGTTAATGATTTGCGCAGAGAGTACCTGTCCTACTCCAGTCTCCTCGACCCCGATCATCGTTTTGGTTCTAGGAGCTGTTCCTTCAACTTTAAATCACACCCCCAAGGCAGAAGAGAAGTAGAAGCCTACATACCATCACAACACCCCTACTTGCATGTCTGGTTGTAGAGCATCCGGAGTAGGGTGCAGTGCTGGATCCTGTCCGGCTGGAACAACGTCTGGACTCGGTACCTCTGGAATCGGACTCGGCACTAGTTCCTTTTCGACTGGTTCAACATCTGGAGGCACTACATCATCCGTACCTTTCGCGGCCGTTGCAGGTGGTACAAGCTCGTCGTTCTCTAGAAAACATCCTCTGACTCCTTTGACCCCCGAAGAAGAGCAGGCGAAAATAGCGCGTAAAGCGGCAAAGAGAAAGGAACGAACGGCCAAGGTAAAGAAGTTGCTCAACAAGGCCAAGTTCAAGGTCGCGACAACTGTCTTTCGCAAATCTTGATCACACTCGCCACTGTATCAACCTTGCTGGTGGTAAACGCGAGCACAGAACCACGAAACCTCAACCACGCGGTCCTTTAAGCAAGCTAAAAGTTGGGCCGCGAGGTATCCAAATGGGCAGCATTCGGTTCTCCAGCGACGTTCGTGATCGACTAGACCCAGACATCAGTCGTTGGCCGGGCGTGTACGTTCATCCTGGTGAGTTCAAGTCTGCTGCAGATAGACCTAGAGAGCCACACGCTTGGGAGAGATGTCGTGATCTGCTCAAAAGGCTGAAGACGACAAACAAAAGACGCGCTCATTCGCATGGCAAACGTCGGTGGATCCACCGAACAAAATCTTCAAAAGACAGTGTACCTACTATTAACACCCACGGTTCCTGATGGTAATCGCATGCGAAGGGATTCAGGGCAAGAAATGGACGTGGCAGCGAAGCCAGGGACAGGCGTTCGCGTATAGTTGAGTCCCAAGCTTCAAATATTATCGACAGGTGTTTCCATTGCGTAGAAAGATATGAGAGGCTTTTGGTGTTGGCAGAGGTATCGACTCCAAGGGATGGTTGGGGTCGGACATAGCAGCGTCGATACCGTTCGGAAGTGGCACGGACCGCCCGCGATTGTCCATCGCATTTGACGTGCAGTTGGGCAGACCTCACACCATGCTCGCTCGCAGTACCCGAAATACCTTTATTGCAGCCCCCGGTCGACCGTACATATGTCAAACATGTCTGCGCCGAGCTAGACGATCCCAATTGGGCCCTGCGCACCCTCCTACACGAACCGCGATTCGATCTCTCCAAACTAAGAGCCAACCACCACCTCAAGATGATACCCCGTTTCGCAAGCTTCTGAAAGATGCCGCAAAGCAACAGAAGAAATATAATGGCGGCGCCTCTAGCGTATTAAAGACACAAAACAAAGGCCAGGACCCACGGCTAGAGAAATGGGAACTGACGATCGGAATCGAAGTACACGCCGAGCTGAACACAGCGCGGAAGCTCTTCTCGAGCGCTGCCACCTCTGTCAGTGAGGCACCGAACACGCATGTTGCTCTCTTCGATACTGCATTTCCTGGAAGCCAGCCCAATTTCCAGAAGGAAAGCCTCATACCTGCCCTACGTGCCGCTATAGCCTTCCAATGTCAGATCCAGCGCAAGAGCAGCTTCGACCGCAAGCACTACTTCTACCAAGATCAGCCTTCCGGATATCAGATCACTCAGTACTACGAGCCCTTTGCCACAGATGGCAAACTCACACTGTACCCACATGACTTCCCTCCTGGTGCCGCCCCAGAATCAGGTCCTTTCGACATTGGTATCAAACAGATACAGATGGAGCAAGATACCGCAAAAACTATACAACAACCTCCTTCGACCCACCTACTCGACTTCAATCGCGTCTCTCATCCCCTCATCGAAATCATCACCCTTCCTCAAATCCACGATCCTGTGGTTGCCGCCGTCGTTGTCCGTAAGATACAAACTATACTCAAATCTATCAATGCTTGTACTGCCGGTATGGAACTGGGAGGGCTGCGTGCTGATATCAATGTCTCGGTTCGGGAACGTAATGGGCAACAATCGGATGCTGTTCACTCATACCATGGCGTAACTGGCCTAGGGCAGCGAACCGAGATCAAAAACCTGGCAAGCGTGAAAGCTGTTGAAGACGCTATCGTCGCCGAACGTGACCGCCAAATTGAAATTCTCGAGAACGGGGGTGTTATCGAGGGCGAGACCCGCGGTTGGACCCTCGGCAGCAAATCGACTAAGCGCCTGAGAGGCAAAGAGGGTGAGATCGACTACCGCTACATGCCCGACCCAGACATCCCGCCAGTTATTATTGGACAGGTATGTAGTATTGCTTCTCGGTGGCCAACATTCGGCTAACTTCAACAGGATCTCGTCGATCACCTGAAAGAGACCTTACCTAAACTGCCTGACAGAAATGTTGAAACACTTGTACTCGAGTATGGGCTTACGACTAAGGATGCCCTCACTCTTCTCTTTCTTGACGATGGCGAACGTTTGGACTACTTCATTCAAGTGATGGAGCCCCTTGTGGAGGAAACCTCCTTGCAAGAAGAAGAAGATATCCCCAAGTCCACGCTAGGCAAGATGGCAGGAAATTGGTAGGTCGTGAATTGTGATGCATGTAATCAAGCTAATTTGACTAGGGTACTTATGGAACTCGGAAGTCTACTTAAGGACGAGCCATGGGATGCGAACCGCGTACCCTACAAGTTCCTCGCTAGTATTATATCGCACGTCCGGCGGAAGCAGATAACGTCTCGATCTGGCAAGCGTATCCTAGCCATGAAGTTTGAGGGCGACGAGCGACCTGTGGAAGATATCGTTGATCAGGAGAGCTTGCACTTGAGACCGTTGTCTCGAGAGGAGTATGTTGCGCTCGCGCAATCGCTGCTCGACGAAAAACCGAACATGGTCAAGGATATCATCGAGAAAGGACAAAGCAAGAAGATCAAGTGGTTCGTTGGACAAATGATGGCAAGGGGTGCGGCTGGTAGCGTGGAGGCTGATACCGCGGAGGAGACGCTGAAAGAGCAACTACGATTGAAAGAATAGGTGTGTTAGTGCATGACGCTGTGGTAAGCGGTGGATACTCAATGAAACATATCCCTATCTGATTACGATTGTGCGCGTATTGTTCATGCGTGGATTTTAATAACAGATTGTACGAATCTGACGGGTACCTGGATCCATGGTCACCGAGGGTTTTTCGATATTCGGCTCCACGCTCATGAATCCACAACGCACAATTGAGGTGACTGCGAAAAGACAAAGTCTTCGTATCCATAACTACTCTGTCTGCCCTCAAGCCGACTCATAATCATGCTAACGTAGACGTGCTAGATTAGAGCTGTCTAGCTTCAGGTACGTTTGAAAGCTCGATTAACAAGTAGCGGGAGCGTTGAATTCATCCAGGCTACATTATGGCACCAGAACTTCGGCCACGAAGTCACACTACCTCGTCAGTAGTGACCGATAGCCTTGAACCTGTCGTACCTGCGCAGGAAAGCCATAGGGGCAGCTATTACTCGCTGAATTCAGCGAAGATGAGGAGGTGCACCCTGGAGCAATTGGAGAAGGAGTACGTGCCTGACAGGGCAGAAACGGTGTGTAACTAGTCTAGTCTTAAACGCTGCGAACATCTCCAGCCTACCTGGAGAGTAGACTAAGCTAATCATTTGACAGATGGCAGGAGAGCTTCAATGGCCTACCGCGCAGCAAACACATGCATCAAAGAGCACTGAACAACTTCAGACCCCCTCGTCACCCCTTCAATCTGCCCAGACATCGACCTTGGAAACCCTCCAGCCCTCACTATTCCTACCACCATCACGCCAGCCCACTAGGCCTGGTTCATGGGACCCCAGCATGGCACTCCTACCATTCCACCACCCTCGCGATGACACGATACCCTCACAACGACAGCAGACTTGGGACGAAGTGTCACAGTACACGCCAAGTCTAGGGAACATGGAAGCATTGCATTCCGCCTTAATAAGGGGTGAAACAAGCGATACGGAGTGCGGCGACGAAGATGAAGTTTCTCCCTTGTCTGACAAGGAAGATGAAGAGACAGGAATAAAGAAGGGCAATACGAAGAAGAATCGCGCGAGTAACCGCTTCTTGCACACTCTACTAGTAGGTGAAATATTTCAAGATAATTCTTTAAATCCGCACAGCTTTTCAAAGGAGTCCTTAAGGAGTTGTATCTAAAGACGCTTGATATACCCCCTTATCAACATGTAAATCACACACTAACTAGTATTCCCACATATAGTGCCGCCCTGGATCCCACTCGCCCGAAGACGCTTCCTCATCTTCTCCTATTCGTTTTCCCATGCGCGTCAGCGGTGCTTCGCGCCCGGGCATGACGCGGTATAAAATGAAAGGCCTGACGAACAGACTGCGTGGAACGCCGCCTGCTCCCGGATCACCACGTGGGAACACTAGCGGCTGCTACAAGAAGAAAGCCCAAGTCGGCGAAGAGCAAGCTGATGTAGAACTGGAGGAATTACTTCCCCAGATCTCACGCGATTGTCCTCGAAGATGACACTAAAAAGCTGCTTTGAAATATACTTTCTTCCTGTCGCCATACAGGAGCTAGTAGCCAGTCCGCGAAGGTCTTTACCACATCGTGGAACCATGTCATGCAAGTGAGAGTCTGAACAACCGTTTGCGAGGAGCCTACGATACACTTCCACGACATGGTCATCGTGATGCTGGTACAGGCGGTCCAGGGACTCTATGTTCGAATGGGAGTTCTAATGCACAGTGTCTGAGCTGGAGCAATCGGTAGTGTCGTGAAGGCATCCACACGCCGACCAGACTGACCGGATGCAACTCAATGGAGCAGCCAGAACAAACAACGGCGTAATGGCACAATGGGAAGCCGTATCGGGAGAAACGAAAGTTCGCGGTCAAGCCAGTGAGAAGTTATTGAAGTGTTCGAATGTATTGGTACTTGTTCTATGGTGCTTGCTCGATGTATTACAAAAGATCCGTCGGTTAGTAATGCTCTACTCTACTCGATCCAAATCCCGTTCAGGTTGTCAGCACTGAATTTACGTCGTACAGTGGATTTACGATAGCCGTGCATTATAGCAAGAACTTGATGCAAATGATCACAGAGCGTCAAACTCTCCAGTGAGCTCGCTAGGCGAAATCCCACAAATGAATGAAAATTCGGCCTGTAGTCAGCATTTCGGCATCACGGCGCACTCGCATCACGACATCACAGCATGGTGCAATGAACCTCGCCGTAGCATCGAAGCTACCGTCCGCCCAAAAGAGCGTACACGACTGGCAAAAGCCATCGGGCCAAAAAGGTGTGTTTAGGAATGTGTGTATTCGCTAGAAGACACCATCCCTCAGCCGACCACGCTGCAAGAGTCTCGCGCAGGCCCATAGGCACCACGGATCCCTAGTTTCCATCCCAATCATGACTTTTATCCTTATTGACCGAGACGCCGTATAGCCGAGCATGTCACATTCATCGTTCCAGACATCTATGCGACGAGCTGGACAACACCACCAGCCTCCTTGATCTTCTTCTCGGCCTCGGCGCTGACGTAGCGGGCGCGGACGACGATGGGGATGGGGGGCAGACGGCCCTTTCCGAGGACCTTGGAGTAGCCGTAGTCGAGGAGGTTGAAGACGGGAGCGTTGCCGCCCTTCTTCGCGAGGTACTCATCGCGCTTCTCGACGGGGATGAGCGACCAGAGCTTGTCAAGGTTGATGACGGGCTTCCAGAACTGGTTCTGCATCTTGTGGACTGGACGGCGTTAGTGAAATAGTCGAGGCTGCGATGCTCATGTTACTCACAGTATCTCATTCCGACCTTTCCGAAGTAACCAGGATGGTACTTGTCGATGTTGGTCCTGTGGTGATGTTGGCCACCCTGTGCAAAATGTCAGTTGGAGGCTATGTCGAGATACGAAAATTTCCTACAGCCATTCCGCGACCTCCGGGATGCTTCCTGTGCTTTCCTACACGACCGTGTCTGAGTAATGAATTAGTATTTAATTAGAGACTCGAAGATGTGTGCGACTTACCCGGCGGAGACATGACCGCGATGCTTGCGGGTCTTGGACAATCTTCACACCATGTTAGCATCGAACATCGTAATAGCCATGGCGATATATGGCGGTGCATAGCATTGTACGAACCTGGAAGGCATATTGTCGACTGTCTTGTTAGTATCGAAGAGAGGAAGAAGTCGATCGAGAATGTGCTAAGGTGCAGTAAGCAAAAAGCTAAGCGAGATAGTACCCACATTGGCCGGCTATTATTCCGATGGTCACGTGCTGGCGCGAGTCCTGACGAACACGAAATCTGCAAAAGCAACAAAGAAACCGATAAAGTGGAGAAGTGTGTTGTGTTCATTTATACGTGTCGCGTTTGCTCTATAAATCATGCGCCGCATCCCAATGTCGCTATGCAATACACGCTTCTCAACGCCGGCGTCAAAGTCTCTATCCCCAGTACGGTGTCCGTAAGCCGACGAACGTCGATCCCATGTCATTTGTGTTATCATCCTTCTTCCGCTGTCCTGCAAGCTGTTTGATCGTCAGCAGACTGCACGCCCAAGTTTAAAGCTGGTCTAGCGTACCTCTAGCTGTATGTGTCTGTGCACGTGGACGAGCCAGTCTACATAGCTTTGTGCCTCATTGTTGCGGTCCTCGTAGAGTAATCTCGCAAACTCATACTCTGCGCCGTCCAAACCTTGCCGAGCAAGCTGTATCGTCAGAGCCTTGGACGCTCTTGTGCCCTCCATGTATTGCAAGATGTTACGGACTTGCGCGTTCAAGTGTGTCTCCAGAACGGGAAGCGTGGATAAGAAGGGGTCGAGTGCCTTTAGGCTGTTGTTGCCCTCGCCGAAGAGATCTTCGAGCAGATTTGGCGAAACGTGTGCATGGAGCCATAGTAGGCAAACCTGGCCGTTGTCGACTATGTAGACTCCACCCTCCTCGACCTTGGAAAACGATGCTCGCACGCCTTCTGGCATGACTAAATGCCCCTTCTCGTTGGCGAATCCATCCCTTTCATCAAGGTTGTGTACCGCGATGATCCGAGGGTAGAGATAGAGCGACAACTCCAATGGTCCCATCGACTTGATCATTCTCATGTCGTGTACCCTCCTATCGGTCGGCTCTTTCCCTCCTTTGAAGGCTCTCGACTTGGTCAAGCCCAAAATATACATGCCGAACTCTTTGAGGTTTTCTGGTAGGACGAGCTGACCTGGAGGACTATTTCCAGTAAAGTTCTTCCTGTAGCCAGCAAGAATGTCAACCGTCTTTTCCGTCAGAGCTCCTCTAATCTCCTTAAGATTCTTCTCGGTCATACGGACAGCGGCTTCCTTTGCGATGATGTTGACAACGGCATCCTGGTCAACGAATTTCATGCATTCGCCAGTGTTTTGGCTAACGCTGGCTACGATGTTGGTACACCGCACCCGTCGCTCGCCGTTGGCAGTTGTGTAGAGCAATGCACTCTGGAAATGGGCATCAAGCTTCGGATCCAGTTTGCCATCATAGCTGAACATGACGCCAATAGCCTTGTCGGCATCAATGACTCCAAACTCGAGATCGGCGCCAAAGGTATGGTGGTAAAAGTTGCCATGATAAGCGGAGACCTGCAGACCATTTGAGCAGCGAACCTTCATCAGCGCTTGATATCCGGTTTCTCGCGTGACTGTATGTTTGATCTCCTTGGACAACTTGAGGGTGTCCCGTGGCGAGTGGAAGTTGGGATAGTAGAAGACTTCGCCACCCGTTATAGCTGAGACGTGGCCTAGAATAAATCAGTACTTGCCATTGTCAAAACAGGTTACTAAGCATACCGATTGTCGCGATGTCCAGATAGCCACCACTGGGTGCCGCCATAAAGAAGTCGATACCGATACCGCTTTGAACCATCTTCTCCGCGACTTTCCGGAATCCAGGATGTTCCGTTTGGAGCAGCTTCTTCTCGGCATCGGTATTGTGCACATTGCCATCGTCACGGAGGAACAGGCGACCAGGACCAAAAGTGGGTAGCGCGGCTAAAGAGCACACAATCTTACCACCAGTCGCCGCCAATGCCTCCATCGCTGAATTCAACGTTGGCAGCAAAGCCGGCTCAGGATTCTTGAACTCTGAGAACATGCTTGGCAGTTGTGTAAGCAATTTTGTGATGACGGTCTTGGATTCCGCCGGATCGACAAATAGGCCGTCGCCCAACGGTACAAAAGGATCCTCAATATCTGACATGACTAGCATCTGAGCAGCATCCAGATTCGGGCTTAGGTTGTAAAAGTGCATTTCCTTGTCGAACGTGACAATCCCAACTTTGGCGCCTTTTGGTAATCGACTTGTCGTCTCGCTTTCTTCCGTCTGCTCATCTCCGCCGTAAAGTGCGTGCATGATGCCTTCGCAGAAGCCGTCGAGGAAGCCTCGATTGACAGCCTCCTCAGTGACATCGATCAGGAAGAGCCATCGTAGGCCGACAGGCTCCTTCGACCAGTACTCTTTCGGAACCATGAAATCAACCGTACCTAGGGTCAACTCAGGTCGTTGTAGCCTGTCTACTCTCACACCTGTGTGGTCTGTGGGTGAGAAGTATTCTCCTGGAACATCAATGGGATAGGTGCACATGTTGCACACGACCTTATTCCCACCAGCCTTGAACTGCATGAAAGGGTTGATGTACGCTCGGCACCTTGTACACCTCAGTGGACCGGTCTCGCCAAAGTCTAGCACCGGAATGGGCTGCTCGCCCTCTTGTTGAGAAGCGAGCGGTTGTAAAACCATGCCCAGTGGCAGGGCAGTAGCAGCAAGAGCTTGTGCTGATATGGGAATGTTGTTCAGCGTTAATCTTGCGAACTTGGGCGACGAATTGCCTTGGTCGTAGGCGACAAAGGGGACAACAGCGGGAGGAGGAAGATGGTGTTCCATAGTCGGGTATATGTGCTCCAGATAATATCTTGCTGGTGCATCTCGAGACCTCGGAACGCTTGGTATCTGCTCAGGGTCGACACGGCCTTGGGCTGATGATGCTGGGGTCCCTCCCATTTGTTGTTGTGCTGCCACCGGCGTTCGTGCAGCGTGCTGCATAGGCGAGGCTTGAGCTGCAGGACTGAATATAGGATTTGCCGCTGCTGGGAACTGGCTCATCGCGGGGGTGATTTGGGGTTCCATCCACTGCGCTCCCCCAACTTGCGGCGAGTTTTGGTTCAGGTATTGTGAAGGACTACCCATCTGTGGCGAGCCATTGAAGCCCGGTGTACTTCCTCCCGGTCCCTCGATGTTGTGATATGCATGCCTGTCCTTCTTCTTGTGCCTGGGTTGCGCTATTTGATTCACGCCTAACCCCACCGCGCCCACTTGAGATGCTAAATTGTTCACGTCCTGGTCGCCTTGATACGAAGGATACGCTGGCGGTGTTGGCTGCGGTGGGAAGTAGCCCTCTTGTTGAACAGGCGCACCGTACTGCACTGGTGTGCCCGTGTACTGGTTCTGAGCTTGACCCACTGCAGGACTGCCACTCTGCTGGTAGCCCGCAGGGCCCGCAGCAACAGGTGGCCGCCATGTATTCGGTTCGTCCTTCTTTCCTGATCCATTGGGATTCGGTGTACCCGTGCCGAGGGCGTGGTACATGGCGAACTCGGACATTGCTGCGGCGCGGGGATGCTACGGTCGAAGTCGAGGTCGCGAGTCGGGATGGAATGTTGCGCGTCAAGCTCTTGGCGGAACGGGTCAGAACTGCGAAGCAATATCGGAAATGATCATGTCATAGTCTGAGCATGCTGGAGCGGATCTGGCGCAACCGAGGGGTTACTTTGGAAGTTGATGATCTGGCCCAATTTCTGGTCGACGCTGCACTTTCCTATAGACGCTCGGACCAACATCTATCCCTCGCATGCAAGAGCGAGACAAGGGTCCTAGCAGTTATGTGTTGCACTCGGTAGTCTTGTCAGGCAATGGAGTAGATAGAGTACTGTGAGATATTGAGACCAAGGCCATCTTGTTCTATGTTTGACGGCTTGGGTTCTATAGCAAAAGCCGCGTCATCTTGCGTATCTATGGTATAATACCAGTGCTCTTCGCGATTGCTGCAGAGCGTCTCCGACATGAGACTGCGTACAATCTGCAACCTATGTTCATTCGTGTTGTCAGGCCCCAGACCGCAGAGGTCTCTTTCCCAACCCGAGGTTCGTTCTGCCAAAGATACTTTAGCAGTATATCGTTGGCCCTCACAGACAACACCATTCTTCATATCTTCCAAAAAATCTGTGTCCTTCATTCCAGCTTATCCAAATGTGCCAGCCGCGTCAAAACGACCTGTTTACTCGTCTCCTCAATCTCACCCGCAAGGAACACCTCGTCGAGAATCGCATACACCTATACACTTTTGTCAGACCAGCCCTATTGCAACAACTCCTGCCCCTCTCTTCCAGTTCACATACCTTGTAAAAGTTGAACACAAGATCCAACTCACACACATTGCCAAAAAACGCATCCAGCACCTCGACGAAGAAATGTATGGCCTCGAGATAGGCCAGCTCGTTATCGTTTGTGTCGACGCATGCGCAGAAGAAGAGCCCTGCGTACCGCCGGTAGACAATCTTGGACATGTTGCGGAACTCGACGAAGTTGGACTGGTGCTTTTGGTCGCGGGGGGCGATGAGGCGGTGGACCTGTTGTAGTCAGAATAACACTCATGCTGTAGAATTTTGGTTCATGCGATGTCATGTTCGATTGGACGGGTGAAGGTGCGGGTAGAGATGGGATGCGGAGAGGAGCAGTGGTGGTGTCGGTAAGATTGGTAGGTAGGAGAGATGAGCGATGCGTACCTCGCCCTTCATCTTGACTTTCTCTTCATCCTATAGTACAGTCAGCTACATTATTCTCTCCAATCTGCGCATCATCACCACTTACGCTATACGGCGCATACCACTTCGCCAGCCGCGTCTTCCCTCTGCCAATTGTCAGTCTCGGAGTCGACAACACGTAGCAGCGTCCCGCTATCGATGTGCAGACACATACTGGCGATTCTGGATCAAGATGAACGAGAGCACCATCTTTCAGGATGCCTCGCATTCGAGCACGGCGCGCTTGGGACGAGGGGGATGTCAGGAACAGCGGCCGTTTGCCGGGCTTCGTGGAAAGCGGCGGGGCCGTGCCTTGCGGATCCCTGCATGGATGTGACGGTGACCCACTTTTAGCCGCACTTGTTGAAAGAAGGTGGTTCACGCATTCTTCTGTGCTGTTATTCACACCCAGAGACGGGTTTAGTAATATTGCATCTACATCAAAGGCTGCGAGGTTATAGTAGCCGCAGGATCCACATCCTCCATACCATGTCAACAAGGCTCAAGTACAGACCAACTTTTCAAAAAGGATACCCTCTAACCATCTGTCCATGCTGCTGTCGATACACCTCGAGCCAATCGCCCAGATCCTTAGGCGGCACAGGCGGGCCAAACTCGCCTTTGGTGTATCGTTCGTACGTCGTCTCAATCGAAGGTCTTATTGTGCCACCAGGCGACCTTAGCGCGTCGAACTCCCATTCTGGAATCTCTGCTACTGGTGGTAGTGGATTGGCGTCGTCTACGTTGCGGCTATGGAGGCGCTTGATGCTACTATTTACGAAGCTCCCTACGCGTGACATGACTAGATCACGTCGATCGTTGCCGTTGGGATGATCGAAGATGATGGGGATTGGGCGACGCGGTGCAAATAATGGCTGTAAGAAGGGCAGTGAGGCACATATGAGTGCTAAATTACACTCTGTCTGTGCACAGACGAAGACATTGTAGCCGTTCCCTGCTTTGTGGTCAGTATCAAGCTCCGCATATAGCAGGGCTTTGCTGGAGGTTCTAGTCGGAAAGAAAGAAGGTTGTATGAGAGCGTTGACTAACATGTAGCATCTCCATTAGCGCTAATCGCAAATCGATGAAGAAACACTGTTCGCGCAATCCCCGCTCCGAGAACACTGCTCTCTGTGAGCATGCGGCGTTAAGTGACATCGCTAACACACGCACCTCAAGCTAACCAGGGAGATGCATTTCAATCCAGTCCGTTGAAACTTTGTCATTGGGATGTGGCGAAGGACCAAAACGGGTATCATGACTGTATACGTCGTGGAGAAGCAAGTAAGTAATCCATGGACAGGATAGTAGATGTTCTTGCTGATGCAGTGTCGAGTATCTGCGTCGGTAAGGGTAGAGACCCTCCAGGAGGCTGTGATGGGTTGGCATTGCTCGACCAGAACTAACGCATCCGCAAGGGCGCCGCAAGCTGTGAAGACCATGAAGGCGTAGATGACACACTTGAGGCCGGTGGTGCACGATGGCTTGAGCTGGTGGAAGAAGAACAAGACGGAGATCTTTGTGAAGCATGTGCTCAAAATGAAGGCAAGTTCGCTGAGCCAATGTATCTGTGTGCTGTCAATATAGGAGCGAGATGGAGTGGTTATGTGTCCGCACCAACGCAGCACGATTGTACAGTGTGCGAGGCACGTCCCACATGTGCCGGTCAAATCCATAATGCTGAATGCCTACCAAAACGGTGGCGGTCACGAAGACACTGAAGATCTACTAAAGTGATCAGTATATATCGCCGTAGGCTTGAGAATTGACAAACCCAGCCGATGACGCACAGCACATCACCAATGTCAAAGCCATGCATCCTCTTCTTTGCTTGCGACAAGATCCGGCCAAATACTGTTACGGAGGTGAGGACTATCAGCGTGATACTGTAAGCCGGTAACCAGGTTCGCGACTTCGGGTCGATGATATTTGGCTCCGGCCACTGCGAAATCGTCTTTTCATCAAGGTGGATAAAACCGCCTGCCATCGAGACGCTGTGATGATGAAAGATCAGTACAACCCAACAAAGTCACATAGGTGGCAGAAGATAGCTGAAATGATTAGCAGATGTATCAGTTTGAGCAAGATCTGACTCGGGTGGTCTGATATATGTCCATCTCTATGCTCATGTGCTCTGTCACTTTCGTCAACCACGCTCTGGGATGGCATATCTGGGGAAACCCTGCATGTTGCACAGCGGAAACACATGTCCCGTGCGGGGACTGGTATTTGAAGTTTGGAAAAGGTGTCTGGAGATGCGTGACGCCCTAGTCGACGGTGTTTGTCACCCACTAAGAATGGAATTGGATAAAGCTGTCTACTATAGCCGAGGTGTGCAGTGCAGTTCGGTGCACATGGTTTTGGTCGATTGACGACGATCGGATGTAACATGTACGTTGCCTGCTCGGGAGATATGTGCATCTTGCCAAGATGTCATGGGCCCCTCGATTTGAGGGTGAGGCTTTATCCACCGTATCGCAACCCTGGAGCAGAGTTGTCTATTGTCGACATGGGTATGGGCGAAACGGCGATACGGTCTAGGCTGGCAACGTCAGGCAGTATCCTGAGAGTAGGAGTGAGGTGAGGTGAAGCGAGCGGGACTGCAAGAGTGCCTCGATTGCTCTGACTGACGGTTAGAAGAAGCTGTGGCCCGAGTGCGCTTGAGATGACACGAGAGGTGCGTTTCACTGGAAGCGAGAGCCGTACAGTCCAGGGCCTGGCTGAGCAAATGCGGGGTCAATAATCGATCTGCAGGTGCGAGCTTCAAAAATGCAGGAAGCAGGATGTTGTTCCAGTGTGAGTGTGGTGTGAGGAGACGGTGACCAGCTAGCGGTTCTGGGCAATATGAAGTTTGATATTACCCGCTGAAGCTCCTTCCGTTTCGCCCAAAGAGGAAGCACGTGTGAGCCAGGCAAGCTTTACTCGGAAACTGGCATAAGCCATAATATTGCATGGCGACGCTGCTGAATCTTGTGGTTTCAACCGACGTCTTCTGTATTCGTCGCGTGATGTGATGTGACGGATTGGGCAATGCATACTGTGTGATGAGGTAGCCTCAACCTCTGGGGATGGTGTGAGAACCTCGGTAGTGACGCTGACATATGTGTTGTATATACAACAGAGTTCTCCAGCATTGCTTTGGGAAAATCATTTGTTCTCCTTGAAAACAGGCATTTTCAAGCAGGGTAATGCTGTCCCTGGGCATGAACCCAGAATACCCTTGTGGTCTCTGTCTCGCGTTCTAGCAGCCACTACAGTAGAGTTTGTTCACCTGACCAAAGCTAATTTTTTAAGAATAGCTGGTGGAACCTTTCTTACTTTCTCATGTGTAGCCCTGCTTCTATGTTTACCACTGCACGCAGGTTTGATTCAGACGTGCAAGCTGTCTCACTTGGACCCTCCAAACGGGTCCAGGAGAGAAATGGGTCTGGTCGCACAAGAGTGAGATGGTGTATAATTGGCGTGTCCTGTTGCCATGTGCAACCAAGTTATCTAGGGATGCAGTCTAGAGTTGGCCATGTCAGCTTAGAAGTGTGAGGGGTGTATAGAAAGTAATCGTGAACAGCACTATCAAGGGAGTGGTGCGAGTTAACAAAGAGGGATATCGAATCGCAAGTAGAAGACCATTACAAGTCAACGAGGGCGAAAGGCATGGCCAGACTGACTCGTGTCCAAGGCTTTGGTGTAGGATATGTAAGCTAGGTGTAAGTACTGGGTGGAGAAGTGATAGGGCGTGACTTATTACGTAGTCATGCTCCGAAGCCGGGCGTGCGGTCATTGGCCCGGCGGCGGTGCACGTCGACGAAACGTGCTAGAATTGCAAAAGATTTGACAGGTTCAGATAAAGGAATTGGATCCCGCCTGCACAGAGGTTTCGGCGAGGTGTGCGAATCGAGGTACGAGATTTGTGGAAAGTGGACGCTCGGATGCAGCCAACAGTTCTGTGCGGTCGGAACACCCAAAGTTCAGCTTCCCCACGCTGGGTACGCCCACTTGGAAATGTCGACGAGCCCACCTCACGTCTCAGGCAGAGGCGACTACTGGCTCGCTTCGGGAGCTGGGCTCACATGTTTGGCGACAGTCTTCTGGTGTTAGTGGCGCGGGGCGGGTGCGGGAAGGCATGTTGACCTGCAGACGCCAGCCCTACTGCATGCCACTCGCACGGGTGGTGCAGAGATGACAGAGGCCTCAGCTGCGCAGCTTATGCCACAGTGGATGCCTCGATGCAGTGGGGTGTATTGTTGTCGTGTGCCACCATGCAGAGTCTGAGAGTCAGGCACAGAAGGGTTGAGTTTGCTTCTGGAACAGGGCGGCCTGTTCTGGAGGCGTCAATGAATAGTGCATGAATGTGTGCCGTGGGCCACGCACGCATCAGGACCCAGCGTCTCTCATGCGAGAGTCTGGGAATGGGCCCAAGACGCGATGACAATGGGGTGCCTGAGGAGTTCGACGGTGCAACGATAAGATGTGTACCACCAGCATCGACAGCCTTTGGTTGGGACAGTAGTGCAAAAGGGCGGCCGTTATTCGCCCGGGCGCTCTGATTGATTTGAATGCGTGTCGCAAGCGCTCACTCACCTCACTCACCTCGCTGTCCGCGCCGGCCCTTATCTCGCACAACGTACGTGAATCACATAAAAGTAATCCCCAGGGACGCGTCGGGCATGGGCCACGGTGGTACGCCACATCAGGCCTAGTGCACCCCGTCGGCCAATCAGCGCCGCCTTGGCCCAAGTTCCTTATCTACTCCTCTCCAGGCGCGTCAAATCGAATTGACAATGACTTGATCCAGCAATCCCACACCGCCAAGGCCTCCGCCCTCGATGGCCCTCCCAAGTGCCCGTTGCAATGGCTGGCGTGTTACCGGGGCGGCGTCGCTGCTGGTGGACCCGGCCAAACAGTTCACATTATGCTGTGTGTGGCCGTCAGCCATGACCATACATACTCTAATAACGGCCCTTATCTCTGATGACACCCAAGCGCGTTCCAGGACCGGCGAGATAAGCCGCGTCAGGACAATGACGGACCCTTTGCCTCGCTCAAGCCGGCAGAAAAAGAACAAAGCTCCATAGCTCCAGATGGAGCGCCAACCCCACGGCCGTCGTCGCGGCTGTGGGAGATGCATGTCGTTTATTTTGCCTCGAGCGTTGGCCCGTGGACCAGGATAGATAAGAGTAGCACAGCAAAGGCACCACCCATAAAGCCCCCGGCCGAGCTACCGCAATCTACAATAGGGCTCCGATTTCTCCCTTTGGGCCTGTATATTACTGGCACGCATCCGGCCTTTGCCAGCCTTCTTCTTCTTCTTCTTTTCCCATCAGGCCCTGCCCGAGGAACTTACCTTCATTTCCCTCCCCCCCTCCTCTCTCCACCCCTACTTCCTGGCCCTTGGACACATCTCCCAGGAAATTCCTAAGCCATGTCGTACTCATGGACTGGCCCGCCGGCCCAGTTCAATGGCACCGATACTACCACGGGTGGTGATTCTGGTGAGTTCAACTTCCCTTGTACTACATCACACGTGCCAGGGCTACACTTTGTGCCACTCCAACCCAAGGAACCATTGCGCAACTCTAGCGAAAAGCATACTGACATGAAAACCCACAGCCACCGAGAACCTGAACCAATGGTATCAGTCGGGTGACCAGGCCTACATTCTCGTGGCTTCGGCCATGGTCTTGATCATGGTCCCTGGTCTCGCCTTCCTCTACTCTGGTCTCGCCCGCAGAAAGTCAGCCCTGTCCCTGATTTGGGCCTGCATGTTCTCCGCTTCCGTCATCACATTCCAATGGTACTTCTGGGGCTACTCGCTCGCCTTTGGCCCCTCCACCAATGGCTTCATCGGCAACCTCGACAAGTTTGGTCTCAAGGGCGTGCTGGGTGCTCCCAGCCAAGGAAGTGTTCTGATTCCAGAACTACTCTATGCCTTCTACCAGGTACGCCGCAGTCTCCCTCTTCCAACAACAATTCGCGCTAATCCCAAGCTAGATGCAATTCTGCGCCGTCACAGCTGCCATTGTCGTCGGTTGCGTTGCCGAGCGCGGTCGCTTGATCCCCATGATGGTCTTCATCTGGCTCTGGGCCACCATCGTATACTGCCCTGTCGCATACTGGGCCTGGAACGCAAATGGCTGGTTCTTCAAGTGGGGAGGCCTTGACTATGCGGGTGGCGGCCCCGTCGAGATCGTTTCCGGTTGCACAGCCTTGGCCTACTCCATGATTCTTGGTCGTCGCCAGGAGAAGATGATGCTCAACTTCCGACCCCACAACGTTTCGCTCATCACCCTCGGCACCGTCTTCCTCTGGTTCGGCTGGCTGGGCTTCAACGGGGGATCCGCTTTCGGTGCCAACCTCCGCGCTGTCATGGCCTGCTGGAACAGCAACTTGACGGCCATGTTCGCTGCCATGACTTGGGTTCTCCTCGATTGGCGCCTGGCTCGCAAGTGGTCCATGGTCGGCTGGTGCTCAGGTGTCATCTCCGGACTGGTTGCTGCCACTCCCGCTTCTGGTTACATTCCCCCGTGGGCCAGCGTTGTCCTCGGTATCACCACGGGCATTGTTGCTAACTTTGCCACCAAGAGTACGTCTATCCTTTTTGAATGTGCCCATACCATTTGCTAACACACTCACAGTCAAGTTCTGGATCAAGATTGACGATTCCCTCGATGTGTTCGCTGAGCACGGAATCGCTGGAATGGTCGGTCTCTTCTTCAACGGTATCTTCGGCGCCGACTACATCATCGGCCTGGACGGCGTCAACAACGGAGTGGCCGGTGGTGCCATTACCGGCACCCCGGCTGCCATCTACAAGCAGATTGCTTACATCGTCGCCTGCACCGCCTACTCTTTCGTCGTCAGCGCCCTCCTTGCCTTTGTCATCGACAAGATCCCCGGTCTCAAGCTCCGCGCCACCGAGGAGGCCGAACTACTTGGTATGGATGATGACCAGCTTGGTGAATTCGCCTACGACTACGTTGAGGTCCGTCGTGATTACCTCGCCTGGACACCCGCCAAGGGCCAACCAGTCGACGGCGAGCACTCGGTTCCTCAGGGCGAGCGCCACGGTATCCTACAACACAGCCAAATGCTCGAGGGCAAGACACCCAGCGAGGATTCAGGTCACGAGCACACTGGCATTGCTGGCGATCGCCATGCAGTTGCCATGGGCGCCGAGCATGAGAAGCAGGTGCAAACCTAAGCTTCTCTGCTGTTCTGATTTGGATTTGTTGCTTGCGTCTTGAGTAGCTTTGACTGGAATTTCGAGATACCACAATGCGCCTGTCTTTCCCACATTTATATCGAGGGCTGCGCTTCTTGATATACATATACTTTAGACCGATATATCAATGTTCTAATTCTCCTTGCGCATGTAGTGTACAATAATTCGAAGCATGATACCTCTTGTTCTTTACTGTGCTCCTTCACTTTTCTTTTCAATACGTACATGTGCAATCCCAGCCTGCCTTGCCCAGTATCAACTACCCATCTCTTATCAGTCCTCGTATGATCTACTTCCGCTTTAGTCGAGTGGCTTCCACCGCCAAGCCCCCTCTATCTAATCTCTCTCGCCCTCCACTTTTCACCCTTCGCTAATACTATAATCCACCACTCCGCTACCACGGCCGATCACAACACCCTGGTTTACCCCAGATTGTCTTCTTTGAAATCATCTTATTCCCGCGCGGTTCTGGAATATAGAGGTAGCCAGGTGGGTAAGTAAGGTAACGTAGACGTCATCTATGTTTCACGGAACTACATGTAGACATCATGACACTTGTACCTTATCTTCCCTTCTATTCTGCAGCCGTGGTTGGTAGGGTGAGGCGAGATGAGGCATTTGATCGAATCGTACGAGCTGATCGAGGCAGACGGCTACTCGCAAGGTCCTATCATATCATGTAATGTACAGCATACAGTTGCCTTCCACTCATGCCAAGGAAGTAGCTTGACTGGATCGATCATGTCGCCGATCATCAAGTCGGCGGAGAAGGGTCTTATCTCCTCTTCTTTCCTTGGTCGGCTGGTTATGCTGCGGTTTGAGCTAGTGTGGGGGAGGCTGAGTAGGGGGAGGGACGATGAACTTCATGAGCGAACGGAGAGCGCCACAGCCCAGCCATGACATGGATATCGAGGGTGAAGAGAGCGACAATTTCGACAACTCAAGAGTGGCGCACGCCTAACGACAAGCAACCAGTTCTCTACCCCTTCGGAAACATGGCACTTCCAAAAGTAGCAACAGTCTATACCACGACAGGAATCCACGCACGTGGAAATGCAGCCCGTAGAGCCTCAGGACGCCCAAAAGCCACTTTGGATAAAGAGAGTCCCATCCACTAGACAAAGAACATGGCTGCGCAAAGTGACGACAGCGGAAGGCGAGATCACGAGAACAAAGGTCACAACTCGAGGTATCTTTGTCCGTACCCCATCCGACTTTAGTCAAAGAACCCAAAGAGCTCGTGTGACGACCATGAGCTCGCCATAGCCTTGCGCATGATTAGAAAGAAGCAGCTTGTTCCGTCGAGTGTGGGTATCATTTCTGTGCTGTTTGCCTATTCCTTTTTCAATTCCCACACCGTCACTACGACTTCAGACCAAAGCTGGACTTTGCTATATTATTCCCCTTCACAACGCTCTTTCTGAAGGCCAACTTCAAAATCCGCAACCTAGACATGACAATGCCAAAGTCGAGAAACCCAAATGCACTGAGAGTCACCCCCGCCCCATTCAAGCCCTCCTTCCTCTCTATCCCTCCGTCTCCCTGCTCGCCTCGTACACCCCTCACACCACCTCCCGCCCCCTTCCCCCCGCGCAAAGCCGCACAGATTCTAGGCATCTATCCACTACCCGCCTCTACCGCGCCGCCAAGTCCTCTTTCATGGATATGGACATGCCACCAGTGCCACCGCGACTACCACCTCGGCGCTACACGTCGGTGTCTCGACGACGGACATGAATTCTGCAGCGGCACGACGACAGTCAAGCTCTGGCGGAAAACAAGCAACACCCGGCGCGTGCGGAAACATCGAGCCTGTTCGAGCGAATTCGACTATCAGGGGTGGAAAACCTGGGGGCGATGGAGGAGAAGCGGGGTAAGTAGTAGTAGTACTCGGGAGTCCAGAGCCACGCAGTCTACCCTTCTAGCCGATGATAATGGTGGTGGTGCTTTAAACAAGAAGAAGAAGGATTGCTGGAATACATGCGACTACCCGAGCGAATGTCGCTGGGGCAAAAAGTTCGGTATCCACACCCCCGTTGACGCGCACCTTGCTTCTTTCGAGATTAATGTTGGCGTTGACGCTGGTGTGCAGTCCATGCATCTCTCCAGCGGGGACATCGTAGATGGTAGCCAAGGAAAAACGTCCGAGGAAGCGGAGAAGGATGGATTCTGGAGTGGGCTACTGGCTAGTACGGAGCGGAGGAAGAATGGGAGTAGTTCCGCTTCCTCTCCGCTCGCGATGGCGGTAGCCGAGGACGAGGATGGACTGCACGATTGGCGTGGGGAGAATACATTGCCAGCGTCGTTGCTGCGGGACGGCGATGGAGATGTCGTCATGACAGGCTCGACTATCGATCCCTCGCTGCTTACCAAGAACGTTGAATATCCGCCATCCATGGACTTTGCATCCTCGTTGTCGATACCTTCGTCTTCGGCGACTTCTTCCTCAACAACTTCATCAGCGGTGGCAGTTGCTTCTGCAGCAGTGGATTCTTTCAAAGCCCTCCTCGGCAGGAAAAAGGGTCGTCGAACTCGTTCCTCCCGATCCAGTAGCAGTAATGGCGAAAGGAGATACGCGGGCTCCCTGCTTACAGTACCCAAGCCAGTGGTCTTGCAAGGCAGTGAGTTAGACAGACTTCCGTATTCAGAGGCGTTAATGGAGGGCTATGCACCGCTAGAGAGGGTGGCTAGTCGGGATACAGGATATCACTGTACTGTAGATGTCGTGTGAGCAAGTGCTGTGCTGGTATTGTGTGTAAGATAATTCCCCGCTAAACGCATCTACCGGTAGATGCCTTTGTGTAGTACCTGCTTAATTACTGTATACTATTCTATTTATACCAAGACATATGCACATCTCAGTCTCAGTCTCAGCATACCACGCTCCTTCACTGCACTCCCACGATCAATTGAAACAGGCAGAGGTTGATTTAATTAAGCATACTATTCGATCCTCTTTCTACTCCTTGCCCCCCCTCCACCAACTACCTACCTCATTCACTACATACAACAGGACAGAACATACAAAAAATACTGCGAACGAGCCCCAGGCTTTCCGCTTCGTGAAATTACAAACGTATTTGCATCAGTAAGGCTACAAACACAGCACACGGGTAGGCTAGATACAAAGGAAAGATTCGTAAATGCGGGTTTGGCTACATGTTTGTGTGCCCATAATAATGCTTAGTTTAGTAGAAAACTTGTGGCTGCTGACATGGTCTTTGGGCCGAGGGATCTAGATTGTGTGTAAAAAAAGACAACATGAAATCCCAGGCCATGCAAATAAACAAACTAAGGAAAAATTGTGCGAGGATATACAACGTTCCCTTCCCTAGCTAGACTGACGATGATTTATACAAACCTGGGGTATACTTTTAGATTGTCGCAAATTAAAAAGGCTAGTGCGCGAATCCTCCTTGGTTCCCTCGTGGCAGTTGTGGTTGCCACGGGGCACTGGAGACGTATCCTGACTGCTGATGGCCGAGCTGGGCGTCGCGAGCTGGGCTGCTTTCACGGCTTAGGCTTCGGTCGTGCGTCGCTACTCTGCCAAATGTGGAAGCATCAGCGAGTAGATGGCCCCGGTCATCAGAGAACTGGCGACCACCAGGACCGCCGTAGGCAGTGTTTTGCTCTGCGAGAGGAACGCGATCGTAGCCGCCGGCGCGGGGGCCGAATGGCGAAGGAAGAGAGGTGCGCTTGTACTCTTGCGGATCCATGAGGAGTGAGTTGCGTGCGTCCAGGGGAGTAAGGTTGTCTAGGTTGCGGGCCTTCTCTGCATTGGTTGTTAGCTGGGGATGATCAGAATGCTTTGCGGGAAACTTACCAGCCTCCTTTCTCTTCTTGCGATGCGGGTTCTCCTTGCAGCAGATGATGATGGCGTTGACAGCAATGAGAACAGCCAAAACACCCGTCAAGGAGGCTTGTACGACGACAAGCACAAGGCCGGTGACAGTCTTAGTCGTCTGGGTCATGCCCAATTCCTCAACGAAAACCAAGATGCAGACAACTGACAACACACGGACGACTTGAATGACGATATTAATCCAGTTGGATGACTTGAGCGAGTATGGTCGAGCCCAAAGGAGGGTAATGAGGAGGAGTGATTCCACGATGAGTTGACCGGCAGCCTGGGCAAGGCCATGTCCGTTTGCTCCTGCAATGACGCAACCACGAGCGAACATGTACACGATCAGTGGAATGAAAAGCCACCAGTAGCTCTTCTTGTAGTTTTCGTAGAACATGCTGTACTTGCGCCAGACTTCCTTGTCATCATAGAGTCCGGCAGGACTTCCCTCCAGCTTCTTGAACTTGTTGGCAATGCTCCAGATCTTCCACGTAAAGAAGGCTAGGACGGATGTGAATGCGACCAAAGTGACACCAGCGAGCGTCTTTGCAGCCCAGGAGTCTCCATTCTTGAACTGGTAAATGCAGTAGAGAACCCAGATACCATAAAGTAGGAGAATCAAGTTGGTGAGGGTCTTTGCGAGAGTCCACCAGTATCGCTTGCGGAAGCCTGTTAGACGCTTGGGGAAGCTGCCAAACAGTGCCCAGGTTTCCAGAATGACCTTGAACAGCAGGATTCCGACAGTAATGGCGGCGATGACAATGGCGAAGATAAGTAGGACTGTCATGAAGGCGTTGCCGTCCGGGATCTTGTATTCTTCGACAAAGCCTTGGATTCCCTTCACTGCGTGAACAACCTTGTTGTCACTTTCGCCTTCGTTGGTACCGTTGAGGTTGGTTTTCAACTCATCGCGAGACCACAGTAGGACGCTATCGAAAGCGCGTTTGGTCAGGGTCACGTTCTGATCGACGTGTACGAGTGTAGCGTTGTTGAGGTAGTCGACGTTGTTTGCGGTAAGGTTGCCACCAGTCTTGGAGCGGAACGAATCGATGGAGGTCTGCATGCCTTCCCAGTAGATTATGCCGGTGCTGAAAGCAAAGTTCTTGGACCAGCTTCGGTAGACACCTGGGACATCCGCGCTCATCATTCCATTCAAAGCCATGCCCTGGAACCATCCGATGACATCGGAAAAGGTAGGGCTCGAAGTCGGCGCACCAGCCTGGCCAGCGCCAGCAAGCGCAGACAAGGCAGAGACAGCCAGAGCAGCACCGGCGATACCAGCAGCAATATACTGCACTCCTGTGGTAGATAGGGATTTTCCGTTGCTGACCTGTGATGTGATACACGCAAGATCCTGGCCTCCGTCTATTGCCTTGAGCTGCATCGTGGCCTGGCTGTCGATGTCGGGTATGTTGAATGCGATACCGGGGATCTGGGAGATGTACTGCTCGGGAATGCTTTGTTCGCCGCTTGCACCAAAAGTACCAGAAGGCACTGCCAACGTTAGTTACTGTTGCTTTATTCGGGGGACTAGACACATACCTGGACATAGCTGCTCGACCTTGGTAGGCCCATCGCAGGGATCGAATTCGTTCTTGTACACCTCTCGGCCATAGGCGTTCACCCTGAGGATAGCCCTGACCTTCTGCTCCTTCTCGTTGGTACCTGATACATCGAATTTCACCTTCTTCGTCGAGCGATCAAACTCGATGTCCAGCTTGTTCACTTTGATGTCTGAAACTCCATTAAGGCAGGAGCTGTAACCGTTCGTCTTGAGCACATCGCCAGCCAAGACGCTCAACGGCGCCGAGGCCAGTAGTATGAAGGGTGCGAGCATGGCCGAATATGTCGTGTGAGGTCTCATAGGTGCCGGATTTCGCCCCTAGGCGGTCTTTCTCCTAGGTGGTAACGCTTTGATTGCGAGCGACGTGTACGTTCAAGGGGACGCTCGAAGTGGCGTAGGTGGTATATGTAGGAAACGGTCGTAACAAACGGGAAAAATGGTAGGATTAAACAGACGTCGGCCGCAGGGTCAACCTTTCTCGTGCCTTTTTCGAAGCGGGAAACAGGGCAAACGCTGTAAAGTGACGATGGAAACAGGAAGACGGAAACGTATGAAGGTGCTGGTGTGTTGCGGAGAAAGCAGATGTGAAACGAGAGACGAACAACGAGAGTGTCGAGTGAGTGACGGCGGTTGAGGAGCGGCAGGTTTGGGGCGGTCGCAGATGAAACCTTGGGGCGCCGTGGGTAGGGGTGACGGGTGGCAGTTCCAATCAGGAAGCGACGCGCGGCGCTAGTACCTCTTGGTGGACTTGGAAGCTATCGAAGGAGGATCGTTGAGTGCGTTCGAGAACATGCGGGAGACTGGATCAGAAAAAGATTGGGTCCGTCAGCACGAAAGATGGAGAGGGCAGCGCTGCGCGCGTTGAGCAAGCCCTTCTTCTTCTACTTCTACTCGTGGACTCTGCAGAGCAACGCTATTGCGCGAAGGCCATGAGACCTGCTCTCTGCCACACTAGCTTCACTCACCTGAGAGCTGAAGAATACTACCATGCAAGGCGAGCCTATCGGGAGGGCCCTGTCCGCTCGAGACCACGCGTGGCTCAGTATCAACGGCGCAAGCGACTTGGCCAAGTGCCTATAGTTTTGTCTCCGACGGGTCGACGCACACTGGAAGGCTTCTTGTTCAGTTCCAAGGCTGCGAAGCTTCACGCACGCGCAAACATGTCCTCTCGACTTCTGCCGACCAAGCTTCAGCTTCAACTCGACCCTTGATCATGCTTTTTCGGTACGGGGTGCTGATGAAAACTGGCCCCTAGCAAGGGATCCATGTGTCAACGTTGTGGCTGTGCGAGCCATCTGAGACCAAAATAGATCTTGGCGACCAGAAAGACAATCCAACAAGGGACAAACGAATGCTGCAACAAAGAGTGACGTTTGATCGGTGGCATGCTGCAGGGCCATGCAGCTTTTGCTGGAAATACCTCCGATCTAGTGAGAAATCTTTTACCCCATTCCGATGTTGAGGGGTATTGGCAATTGTCCATCACATGAAAGGAGGGTCCAACGTTACGACCAAGACATCACTTGCATTGTTTTTGTTGGTAATAGAACCGACGACCATTCTCGTTGTATCGTCTTGCGCAGCGCATCAACTCCCGTTCAGAGATCTACATCCTTCTTGGAAGAACCCCCGACTTTGCTGTTCTCGTTGTCCGGCCACGCGATGCATCACCCCTACCACCATCGTGCGGCATCCCAGAGCCATGAGCATGCGACAGAGCCGCCTGAACACAAGTGAGACACCAGACTAGCCAGAGTACTTCTGACTATGTGTGATTCCGCCTTTTCGCCTTATGTTACCATCGTCTGGTGGCTATGGCAATTCGTTGGCGAGCTGCTGATTAACCTTCAATGCTCGTGTGCACAATGTCGGGAAGTCGGAATATGCTGACATAAGTCAATGCCAATTTCCTTGACCCGCTCCTTCAATCAAAGACCCAGAATTATTTGATTACCCTCGGTCCTTTGCCTTTGTATTTGATGCTGATGTGCTCAGGGTTCTCACTCGCCTTCTTCTACTTTCTACAGCGCGCTGCTCGTGATTGGGTAGCAAGGAGATGTATTGCTGGTGTTATCTTTCGATCCTCCATCAGTCGCAATAATTCGCTCAATGACAGACACTCCTATCAAAGGGACAAATTCGGGTTAGCAGTCCGTGCCATTTCCTTGTCGAGAAATGCACAATCAACACTAGGAAAATAGTAAGAAGAATACAGGCGCTTTCCTCAGGCCGTCCACCGAAGCCTAAGCTCTCTTCAAGAGCTTCGCAATTTATCTTGGTGAAGATAAACTGCAGCAAAGCTCGGTGGAATGTAAAGCCTAATAATACTCTTATAGGATTCAATCAAGTATCTATATGCGAATGATATACACACACAGCCAGGCAACAACTGCCCCCTTATAACCCCCGATGGCCTAAAATAATTACTACAAAATGGCCTCCCTAGCCCATACCAAACCATCTCTTCCTCCCTCAAGCCTTCTTCCATCCGTCGTCCCAGTACTCCCCTGGCCCGTCGTCCCAAGCGCCTGGGAACCCGACATTGTCATCATCATCACAGTCAAGGTCGTACTCCCAGTTGTCCTCGTTCTTCTTCTCCTGAGCATCCCAAGGCTTACTAAACGGTGGTTCAGCGTCCGCTTGCTCATCTCCTTCCTTGTTTTGCGTTGCCCAATTCGTATTCGAAGGCTTAGTGTCAAAGACATCATCTTCTCCTTCTACCGGTTGTACTTGTTGCACTTTGGAAGTCGTGTCGGAATCTGTCGATGCACTTGGCGAAGGCTGTTGGTCGTCGACATCCTCTTGCTGTAATTCAGTGTCCGTATTTGTGGGCTCATCATTCTTCTGCTGTACTTCTGGCTTCGAGTTGGGTTGTGTAGACGAGTCAAGGACACTGGGGTCGTTATTGTCCTCACTCTCAATCTGCGCTTTGGGGGATGCTTTCTTCGGCCAGTTAAACTCTCTAGGCCAGCCAGACTGCGCTTGAGATTGTGGTTGAGGCTGCGCTTGAGGCTCCTCTTCTGATTGTGACTCCAACTGCGACTGCGACTCTAATTGCGACGGCGATGGCGACGGCGACTCTAGCTGCGACTGTGGCTCTAACTGCGACGGCGACTGTGACGGCGACTGCGCCTCTGAACTCGAATCGAAGTTCATTTCGACATCCTGCTGTGCATTCACACTCCCAGCTCCCAGCATCGAGGCCGCATAGGCAAGGTACCAAGTCCGACTAGCCCCTCCGTCTAGGTCCGCGTTGAAGTTGGGATCTGCGAAGAAATCATAGCTCGTCTGCGGATCGATCAACGCAAGATTAGCGTATATAATAGACTTCCAGCCGCCCTGGGCCTGGTCAGCGCGGCCGTTGCTAAAGTACCTGTCCCACTCTTCTTGCACAAACCGTTGAGAACGGGTGTAGGCTGAGGAGGGATTGAGAGGGATCATGTGGATGCCTTGAATGTACTCTGTGTTCGCGCCAAAGTATGTCGTGTGGTCGATCTTGTTCTCGAAGAGAATGCCAGTAACCTTATTTTGTAAGAACTGTGGCGGTTGGTTCTTGTTGTCGGACGTGAGAAGGAAGTAGTTCTTCATACTGCGCGCTTGGACAGCAAGTTGAAGGTTGCCACGAGCTTCCATATTCGGGTCGCGAATAATCTTACCCCACATCTTGAGGGCGTATGTAGCGAAAGCGTCCTCGGAAGTCGACTCCTGATCCTTGCCGTCGCCGGACTCGAACAGACCCTTGGCCCAGGAGTGCCCGTGGAACCAGTCAAACGAGCGCGAGAACGGAAAGTAATCATCAGTAACCGGGTTCGCGAAGTCTCGGACTAAGGTGTTGACCCAGGCTTTGTTGATGCCTTCTTCGAGCCAAGTAGGATCAAGATGTCCAATCACCGCGGCAGTCCAGACGAAGTAGCCGTAGTGGAAGTGATGGTCGTTATACAGGGTGTTACCGAAGTCAAGGCCGGTGTCAAATGGCGGTCTGTACGTCGCACTTGAAACGACGCCCTTCCAAACGGTGTCATAGTAAAGCGGTTCAGGTTGAGTGTTGTTGACAAAAACGTTCAAAGCATCCTTGAGCTTCTCAAGCCCAGCTGCTGCGTACTGACTGTTGCCGGTCATACTGTTCAGCGTGTATATAATAGCAGCGAACTTCGCAAGGCCTTTCCCAGAATAGTACATACTATTCAGTCTAGTTTGCTTGTCCATGTTCTGGCTCAGCTCAGCTATACCGGCTTGATTGATGAGTGCAAGAGCTCCGGAATTTAGATTGATATTTTCTGAACCGCCAGCGGCGCCATTGGCAGCCTTGGCCCAAGGAGCAAAACCGATTGTGTCAGGAAGATCGTTTTCGAGCATGGTGATCTTGTCAGCTTGCACTGCTCGGGCATACCCCTTGGTGATGGTGACAAGCCTGATATTCCTCATAGCCGCCTTGGTTTCTTGGTCGAATGATTCCACATGATGTGGTAGCGCATACATGAGCAAAGTCTGGCTCTGCACACCACCCTTCGCCCAGGTAAGCGAGTAGCTTCCTGAAGGTCCATCAACAGAGCCAGAAATTGAGGCACCGATAGCGTATGCGCCAGCACTTGCGTCAAATACCGACTCTCCATCGGCACCTTCTGGATTCTTGGTGATCTGGATCATTCCCACAAATGAAGCCGGTCCAGTAATAGTGGTGCTATTGATAAGGGTGAACGGTGGGACACCCTGAGCAGTAGTTGGCGTGGCGTAGAGGAGCCATTGTGTGCCGTCGTTGAGCTGAATTCGGTATTTATGTGTGCCGACGCTGGCGCCAGTAACAGGCTTGACGTAGTCCAACGTGCGGAATAAAACCCCGGTATTCAGAATTGGCCTTGCTCTATCATAGATGGCTGTCACAAAGCCCATACCCTGAACACAAGGAATGGACATGAGGACGCGAGACGTCTGAGAGGCGGCCAAGTTCGCATAGGCAGAGAAAGCTTTTAGGCCTTCAACGGAGAGATATGTATCTCTGCCAAGTTCGGCGGCAGAAAGTACAATGTCATGAATGCCAATTGGTGCGATGAAGTATCTCGGCTTATCGTTACTAGGACCACCGCCGAAAGAAAGCTTGTCTCGCTCTACGTGACTGATCGCCATGCCATATGTATTTCCAACACCTTTAGCCCAAGATAGAGAATAAGGATGCGTCCAAACCGGAAATCCCTGGCTACCAAGGAAGAGGTTGGCATAGAATTTGTTTGTTTGGATTGGTACGTCTCCATCGACGATATGATTCTTCTGAACAACGTGGCCACCCACGAATTCAATATCAGGTGCTGGCCCTCCCGTTGCTATAGGCTGGAAAATGTCCAATGAAGGTTGCCCTAATGGTGCTGTCGGGCCAGGAGCAAGCGGCGTTTCCTTTGGACATAAAAGCTCGCTTGCCTGGGTGGCACCAGGCCCCGCGATAGGGTCTCGTGTGAATCCGCCCGGTGGGAATCCGGTCAAAATGCTCTATGGATCATGTTAGTCGTGAACTTAATCTGAAACAATAGCAGTATAGGGCGGGGCATACTCCTGTGATTGATGGAACTATTGTTGGTGATACCGACTGCAACGTTTTTATAGCCCTGCTGTAACTGGTTGTGGGTTGTAGATCCGTGGAAAAGGTTATTGCTCGCGCATTCTGGACATTTGATCTCTTCTCAAGCTCTCCTGCAGGTACACAGTAGCCGGATGTAAGCTGGGCATAAGCCAACAAGACGATTGCCAGCTTCGACATTCTTTTCGGCTAGAGATAGTGAAGGAGGGACCGAACAGAAAATGGAAGACTGTCTTAGAGACAAGTGAGGAATCGACGTGTCTGCACGAACCGAGAGTTTGTTGTTTTCTCGAAGGAATGTATGAAGGAATGCGTGGTTGCTAGGCGAAGAATGCTACCTCCTGTTCATGGGCACTATATAGCAAGGACAATAATGCAAAGCAATCATCTTCAAGACGAAATCTCATGCAAGAAGCGCCTTCTTTACTCTGTTCAGGCAGGTCGTGAGCATACCTAAGACATGGAGCTCAGGTGTGCAGGCGGACGACCTTTGAAGACAGCCACGTTACCCAAGTAAGATAGAGGAATGCAGGTACCTGTGCAACAGGTTACACAAGCCATCTTCGGTATCAAGACTAGCGTTGGACCCGGTCCAGGGTCCAGCTTCCGGGGTTGTTTAGCTCGCACGATAGTACTACATGTAGGCGGCACCAACCGTTCGGACGACGGCTCTAGCATGAAACCTCAATCCACGGTCATGGTAATATTCCCCTAGACACTGAACAAGGAGGCCCGCGACTGTGAGGGGAGCGTACACAGACAAAGCGTGTCGTGCAAGACTGTCACAGGAGACAATGCCACAGGGTCCGTGGATGTTGAGAGTAGCTTGAATATCATCCATTTGACTGTAATGGTTCGCTCGCCTGACCTTTGATAATAACAGAGGAGTAAGCACCTGATGTGATGCCGGTCTAGCTTAGTTACATGATCGGGCGATGTTAACGGGCGCAAGATACGTAAGGCTTGCCAACAGTAGCATTATATTCTACTGCATGGGAAGGAGCGATAGACGGTTCATGTGACTACGGTCAGTCTCTCGGGCATTGCAACCTGCCATGCTCCTTCGGCGAGATTTTTTTGGGGGGGAGGGGGGGGTTTTGTGCGTGTGCTGTCGACAAATTTACTTCTATCTTGACTTGACATGAAATCGTCGCGAAGGCGCCTTCCAAGGTGTTCGAGAAAGCGGGTGGAAGAGTGCTGCGATGACCAAGCAACTTGATCGGATCTGGGCGGTGGAAGGCGAGGGTGCTGATGGGACTTGTAGCATACAGTCAGCCCTTCCTCCGCGAATCTGCCAGGTGATGCTGTTGTAAGGTTAGCGGCGGCCGCGTTTGAGACGAATGTAACCGACGAATTACTTGGGCGCAAACGCCGTCATGCACAAGACGGTGGATTACCAAAACGGAGCGCTGTAAGTCTCGGCTGTTGATCTCGAGATCTTCTCACTGAGTCATGCGCCTTGATGACAGTGACAGTGAATGCTGTGTGACAGGGAGGGCATGATTTGGAAATAAATTGAAGACTTGGGGGATCATGGTGAGATGTCGAGGTTGTATCCAAGCCTCATATTCAGTTCTGCTCCCCATAGGGAGGCAAGGGTTTCTAGATCTTGATGTCTGTACGCTCAACGGAGCTGTTTCCAATATAGAGAGGCGTTCGGTACGTGTCACCTATCGCAGAGTGTACGAAAACGGCAAGGGGCAACACCGAGGCTGACTAGCCAAAACACGGCCACATTTACGTCATCGCAGTGGCGCACCTTCCTTGTCACGATGATGTTGCTCCCAATACGAACAAACAAACACCGCACGTCTCCAAGCTCTAAGACTGGACACACATCCTTTGCTCGCCCTGAAGCAGCGAACTCCAGTTACAATATCTCACGCCTATAGCCACAAGTTCACGCTTCGATATCAGAACACACCAGCCATGTCGACGTCACAGTCACCAAACGAACCACCACCGACCTACGAGGCCGCCACCGCCTCCTCAGCAGCACCTACTCAAGGTATTAATCGTGTATCCACGGATGGTCCCGCCGCCCGCACAGAACGCAATGGCATCCCACCCGAGCGACGGCGGTCTATGGAAGATGAGATGCGCGAACTCCCTCCAGGCTGGGTGCGTTCGTTTGACCCTCAGTCTCAGCATCAATTCTTCGTAGATACACGAACTAACCCACCGCGCTCAACATGGGTACATCCCTACGATGACGACGAATACCTCAGCACACTAAGTCCAGAGGAACGCAAAAGATACACGAGGATGAAGAGGACAATGACATTAGAGGACCTAGCGGCAGAGGATTCAGACGACGAGGGCACACAATCACACCAACCGACGCGAGGGAAAGCGGTAGGCGCTACCTCTGGGTCGAGCACTGAGCCACAACCTACTGGTCTTCATAAGTTCTCGCGCAAGTTGAAAGACAAGGTTACAGGCCAAACGCACACCGAACGTGAACAAGCCCGCACTCGACGCGCCGAAGAAGAACGCCAAGCCTACATAGCACACTTGCGCGCTCGGCAGGCACTCATTAAGGCGATCGAGACAGGTCAACCGCAATTTCTCTGCAAAGACCGGCAGGGTCGAGACGTATACATCGAACCACCACATGGACCTTACGCACCTAGGGGGGCATATGGATACAACCCGTATGGCCATTCCAGCCAATATCAGAATCCCAATGTGAGGTATATGAGACCGGCCGGACCGTATGGGAGGCCATATGGTTATGGATATGGTGGCGGTGCGGGGCTGCCGATAGCTGCTGGTCTACTAGGCGGTACGCTGCTGGGTGGCGCGCTATTCTAGGAGTTCTATTTTGAGAGGAGCAATGAATAACCGTGGGCCGTAACACAAAGATGACTTTAACCAAATGGCGCAGGAACACGATACCTTTTGGGTTTGCACAAAGACAGGCATCTCCCTCTTCTAATGATGAATTTCCTCATCGTCTATAATTCCCCTAGATATCCCAGAAGTACTTCATCAACGAGTTAAAATTAACATTAATATTACGAACTATCCCTCATAATAACTCGCATGATTTGCCTATGCTTACTCTAACTGAGTTTCCCAAGTCTTGGATATAATGAGCAGTGTTCAACCATTGACCAATTAAGCACATCGCTATACTTTACTGAGAAGGGGCCATTTCTAATACATCGGGTTTCTCTCAACCAGATAGTACTCTGTTTATTGAGGAAAATGTGTTTCATTTACACACGCTCCACATGCTCATCGAGCCAGGAGAACGAAGCTCAAACTAACCATGATTTGTACGTCATGCTGATGCGCGTCTTAGATTTCCCAAGCCCAAAACGGAGACACTCCTACCACAGTCTCGCAGACCTCATCCCTTGAGCCATCCAGCGTTTCCGTCTTACGTGCGCGTACTAATAATCTCTCTACGGCACAATCATTCCCCACCCTCGTTGATATGTCGTAAACCCATGCATTCCTTTTCAATCATAACTTACTATTGCAGTGTTTCACGCGGGCTATCGCTCATCGCTGCACAGATTTCAACTTGACCATCAAACTCGGCTTCTCCCAAAGCGCATAGGTTTTTTGTTCCTTCATCCAGTCCTGGCTATCATTCACAATCTCCAAGTCGAAGTTAAACAGGACTTTGGCGAGTATGAGACGCATTTCCGCGTACGCCAAGCTACATCATACGGCGTTAGTTTCGTGTGTTCCATGCATGAAAGCTGGAGGAAGGGGAGGCAGGGAGGCAAAATGCACACTCACCTCTTGCCCAAGCAGTTTCTAGGCCCAAAAGAGAACGGATTCATGCTATCATGATTATCATCTTTATATCGCTCGTCACCTACCCATCGCTCCGGAACGTATGCGTCAGGATCCTTGAAATTGCGCGTCGAGCGGTTGGAAGCATGTTGAGAGACATACACAGAGGTTCCTCCGGGGATGTAATGCCCGGAAATGTGATCACCTCCTGGGGGAACAACACGCGGGAAGCCACTAGGTACAGGAGGGTAGTATCTGAGTCCCTCTTGGAGACAGGCAATCATATATTCCAACTTGTTGACCTCCTCGATTGTAATTTCAGCGTGAGAGGTGAAAGTGCTGCGGATCTCGTGGACCAACTTGGCGTATGCTGCTGGATTCTTGAGAAGGAGGTAGGTGGTGCCTGAGAGGGCGGTAGCAGTCGTCTCTGAGCCAGCGATGAGGAAACCAAGCGCATTCGTATCCATTTCTTTGCGAGTTAGAGCTTTGGATTCAGTCTCTTGGTTCTTGATGATGAAGCTGAAGAAGTCTGGTCGGCCCTCTGCTCCCTTCTCTAATCTGCTCTCCACTTTGTCGTGCGTCAACCTGTAGAACTCTATGCGGGCACGTTCGGATCCCTTGGTGTCTTTGAAGGTGCCTTTTACTATATCGTAGTATTTGAACAGCGGATACTTGTTTCGGATGGCGATGTATGCGCCGGCTTTGTTTGATGCGAGGATCATGTTAACCCAGTTGTGGTACTGATTGTCGCGGAGGCAGTACAGTGGCTCTCCGAAGGAGAGATCAGCAATGACATCAAAGGTCGTACAGTTATACCAGCGCATAATGTCAACGTCTTTCCCCTCTGCGGCGTTCTCGCCTAAGCGGTGGACCAGGAGATCGACGTAGGATTGGACGAGTGTTTCTTGCTGTCTCAGTGATTTGTCACTAAAAGCATGGGAGACGTTACGGCGCATGCGGGAGTGGTCTTCTTCGTTAGCACCGAGTAGAGACCAAACTTTGTTGACTGGCGTAGGACTACTTTTCTTTTAGTAATGTGCTGCCTAATTTTAACTTGGAGTGGCTCACAACCAGCTCCGATCTTTTGAGTAAGCGCCAGTGTTCTTATACTTCTTCCCCGTGCGGAAGCCATATATATCCGGCCATGCAGTCTCCCCGGAGATGAACGAGACTTCGCTTGGAGCTAGACGGACGGCGTCGCCGTATCTTTCGTGTTGCTCTCGAATCCAGGGAATGATGTTGCCATTTCGCATGCGAACGGCATATGGGATGCCGCAGGCACGTGCAAAAAGCGGACCGGGGATATGCTTGAGTGGATGAAAAAAGACATTGTAGATAAGCGTGGCGAGGACGTAAAGGACAGCCTTCACGGTGTTAGCAATACTCGTGACGATTCTTGTCAGTATGATTCTCCTTCTTCGGACCCTTGCGTAGAACTTTGAGGCAATCCAATACTTCAAAGCGCCATAAGGGTTCGACAAAATGCTAAGTAGACTCACCAAACTGAACAGTGACCCGAAAGACGAAGCAATACCTGTCAAACTGAAGAGCGGAATCCAATCGGGGAGCACATTAGTTGATAAGGTCATGCTATATTTGAAGGTTTTTGCGTTCTCAAAGACAAAACACTTGAAACAAAATGCTGTGTCGTATGCTGGAGCTAGGGTCTCTTATATTTGGCTGCGCTTCCCTTTGCATACACTAGGCCGCGAAAGCTCTACTCAGATCTTTAGCCTATTGACTGATGCAGTGACCCTAATTCAGCACTTGACGTCAGCAGACGGCCCGAGGGTTCATCCAATGAAGTTATGCATGTTTTCAAGCATGTGATGCTGCTGAGCGACCGGCCTAGTCCTTTAATGCCACAAACGGCAAAGCAAGTGCCGGATCGGCATGCCGTGCCCCATCTCCTGTAATCCTTTCGTCGCACACAGGGATCGATATGACTTCGAAATTGTTGTTATATGGCTTGATTAGGCAGGTTGTCGGGAATACCGGGCTTTATCACACTGAAACGTCCATCCGGCGATCGGTGCTGGTGTGCTGATGTGCTCCAACCCCGCAATGTATACTGGTCATATTTGATGTGATTATCGAAGTGTCTTTGCATTGTGACAGACTTATTTAAGAAAGCGGGAAAGGTAAGAGTTCGTGTCCTGTACTGCTGCTAGAGGCTCACTACATCAGCAATTGTCAGAGTGCTTGACAAAAGACTTACCTAGGTAGTTTGAGGTAAACTAATCATCTATCTGATACGTTTCGCGGCAGTATCGCGATGCAACGTAGACTTTGGTAATTTGATGGTGATGACTTTAGCGCTACACCCATTACGCCAGTTGTTCATATTCAAGTCTGCTGAATCACCTCGATATCGAGTCATGAGCTTAGTGTTTCGACACAAGCTCAGTGATCGTCTCCTGCGTTGGGCTAGCCGCGTCAGCTAATGGCTGAGAATATTAAGACTGAAAAAGGCCAGCCTTTGGGTTACGTTTTCAGGAGTACCACACTAGTCAGCTACTAAATACGAGCTCTTTTGTAAATATAGTTCGCAGCTTTGTGTTAACACTGGGCAGGAAGCACGGGCCGTTGGGCTAGTCGCTGAACATGACTACAAGAGGCAATTTGCCGCCTTTGGGAGTATGATTACATGAAAGGTGTTGGTTGTTGTCCGACCGACTAGATGCCTCGTGTTTTGATTGCACCGTTACTAGTATCCTGCCTTAAAGCCGACTAGAATCGCAAACTGTGATTATATAGCAAGCCCTAGTTACCTGCCGTGATCAATTAGCTAGATCATCTTGCCTGTCGCTCGATTTGCTGATGATATCCCACGCCCTTAAGCCAAGATAAGAAGAAATGTCCAATGCACTCGCTCGAATGGAATTCTCGTTCCGCATCGTATCATCGTCTCTACTTAGTCCGCGATCGAGTAGATGAAGCTGGTGACCTGTTCCTATGTCAGTACACACCCGCTCCTAAAAACTATCGCGAGACCTACCCATCCTGCGCAGCATTCCACGTTTTAACGAAAGCCCTCTGTGTCTTGTCCGCATATGCCTCTGCGCTCACCTCCTTCACTCCGACCTTTGCGCCATCCTTTGTGAATAAGACGTTCTTCTTCTCCATTTTCTTTACGCCGCGCTCCGCGAGTTCGTTCGAGTAAAGGAAGACCTATAACGACGCAGATATTAGTCGCTAGATGTACTAAGACGGGAATCTGGATGACAAACCTGATAGCAGACCCACCCTACGCCTCCGACGACTGCGAATAGGACCACTAAAGGAAGTAGATTCAATGCGCCCATCTCGTTGTGACGTAGTGGGGCGGGTTCTGAAGTAAACAGCGGGGTAGCGCGGATGGGCGGATTAATGCGATATGGTAGAAGAAGACACGCTGAAGTGGAATAAGAAGAGGAAATAGCAACCTCCGATCTCTCGCGAGTTGGAAATGTTGAAGTATGAAGACCCAATGTTGCGCCTCTTGCGTGGCTTGACATATGAAACGGTCCAACGAATTCAAGGGCTGGCTTGGCGGGCGGGCCGCGGGTCCCTGGTGATCATCGTCCGTGCAGCCGGTGACATTTAGCTATTCCATGTGACAACTGCATTTCTACTGTCGGTCATCGGATAACGCAGCTGATATCTATATCGCTTACAATACTTCAATCGAGTTATAGTGCGGTATGTACCGACTTGGAGGCCACTGTCCGACTGATCAAAGTCCACTTAGATACGTCAGACGAGCATTTCCCTTTCTCGGATCAGGTTCGGCGTCTAGCAAATCTGGACTCCAAATCTCCGAGAAGGCATGTTCCAATCAGAAGACAAATCCGACTCTAAATTTCCGAGAAGTCAAGTTCTCATCAGGGGGAGACTCACTTGCTGTACTTTGTATAAAAAATCTATATTACAGATTACGGCTATGTAGAACGTCTCATATAATCATAAAGCGTCAGACCAGTTGCTGGTCTATATATCAGCGCAGAGTCCCTCCCAGAAGAACACCAACAAGATGGCTACCCTTCGACTTTTACGGAAACATAGGTCCACAAGTAAGCACATGTCTTCTCGCCAGGACCAAGATTTGTGCGCTGCTGAGTCCAAACTTCGTCCCGATGACGGACAGTCGACCGAAAAGCCAATCTCGCTGCAGTTGTGGAACGGTTTCAGCGTTCGCAGCGACGTAGAGGGGCCAGACGAGGGAGTAGCCTCCAAAAGCTTCCGCGGCTATGTCTTGTTGTTAGTAATCTGCGTGTGCGGTCCATGTGTATGCAAGCAAGACGTACCATTCTCCTCTAGTCCCATCTCCTTAGCCACAGGTTGCAGCTCATAGCTCATGTGAAATGGCACACACGCACTGATCTCATCCACCGTCTGCTGAATGGCGAACACGGACTTGTCATAAACACCTTCACTGTCGACGTAGCCGCCAAAGTTTAACCATGTCACACAGGCCATGATCACTCTCCGGCAGAAGATTCGACAAACTCGGTAGTCGTTCATAATACTCGCCAGCGGTACGTCGTGGTACACATGCTGCTCGCCCGGCCATTTATCTGCTAGAGCCACATCTTCGGGTGTTACTGTCTCGCTTACGATGCCAATGATGCGGTGTTTCCACTCCGGCGGTAGCGTGCGATACCACTCCTCGAGGTTCCCGTCGACCATTTGCGCGAAGTCGAGGACCTGCTTGGCTTCCGACTCTTGAGTGACATCGTAGGGAATAGTGGTCAGGCGGTTTGCTCGCGCCCGGAGGTTGGGCAAGTCGATGCAGATTAAAGTGAGTCTATTGGCCGCATTTTCGTCGCTGATATTGCCGTGACCTACCCAGCCTTTGCTGCCGGGGAAGTCCTCTACGGGTTTGGAACGTTGAACACAGCTTGTTATCTACCCTCGTTAGCCTCTATTCGAAATACCTGTTAGTGAGGGATCCTTACCATCATTGTTCGCACAGCTCGAAAGATAGCATGAGATAGCGGATCTTTAAACTGATCCGTGCCCCTCAGCTTTGTCAGTGCCACAGCACCATCTACATGGTTTCCCCACGCTGTTATCGAATCGTCTGTTGACATGATAGTCTATTTCGAGTTAGTCTAGGTTCAACGTGATGGCGCAGGCGGAAGCAAAAACTACAGAGACGACCTCGCAGAAGCAGCTAATCGACTTACTTCATACAAGGAGAACATCAGAATGGCAAGTACCGTCTCGTCACTCTTCGACATCGCGGGATCTTTTAGGTCATCATTTAGCTTTTTGATAGCTTTGCCGTAGGTCAAAACTGCTTGGCGAAGGAGGTCTTGTCGTCCGGGGTATTGGCCGCATGTCGCCATTGCGACAGCAGTGGTTGCTAAGTGCAAAACAGAAGTCGACCGCGCGCGGTTGTAGAGGGGTACAAGGTACTCGAGGTAACCTCGCGTACTCTCCGCCTGCTGAGGGAGCGTGATGAAGTTTTTGAAGAAGAATGGTATTGCTTCGCATTCTGGAGCTAGTTGGATGGTGGGTGGGACAGCGTGTTCGAGGTTCCAGACGAAGGCTTCGAAGTCAAATATTTGGTGTAATGGAAGCGGTGGTGTTGTGTAATTGGGGAGGCCCAAAAGTTGTTGTGATTGGCTGAGATCGGATGGTGTGCGAGATCTGGATAGTGCGACTTGGAAGGAGCTTTCTCCAGGGGAGACCTCGAAGCTCGGAGAAGGTGAACTACCATGGTTAGCAGACGTTTTATAGAGGTTTTTGCATGCAAAACGATGCAGTGTTGTTTTTCATTTGCTGACGCACAAACTATCCTACTTCACTCTAAATGCAAGAGCGACCAAATGTGCAGTGTAGCTCATTTGTGGAGAGCCGCATGCTTTGGGCGGGGTGAGGCCGATCAAGAATGGTGCAACTCACAGATTTGGAGAAGCATGCGAGCTTGAGCCTACAGCACTGCTTGAACCTATAGTGCTGCTTGAACCTACAGTACTGCTTGTCGACAGTGTCGGTCCAGACGACTTCCTCGCTTTCTTTGCCATGGCTTTATTCTCATCCCGGAAGACTAGATCGAACTCATCCGGATACCCTGGACAATCGCGGCCCGATTTCTTGCAGTTGCCACATATAGGTCGCTTCTCATCGCACTGTTCAGGGTCAGCGGGGACTACCCCCAGTGGAGGCCTGGCGAAGTCTTGGGTAGTTCTGTAGCTTAATCATCCGAGAGCTGCCACCGCTTCGGGGGAGGGATTAACATTCGCAAGACATGGATACATACCTTGATTCGTCGGTTCTTACACATGCCGCACCCGCGGCTAGGCTTGCCTGTGTACACCATCGTGATATAAAAAGCACTTGAAGGAATGAGAGAAGCAAAACGAGCAAATCTCTTGACCCACACAGAACAATTGAAGTTGTTCCCAAGTCCGATCCTCGCCTTTTCATGTAAAACCTAGAGAGAGAGAGAATATGATTATCCCGAAGTAGTTCAGGCAACTCCGCCTCCAGTGCCTACGAATACCATGGGGACTACGCTACCACTAAATCGCAATTATACCTCTGATACCCTCAGCTCAAAAAGTCCCCGAAATGAGATGACAAGGTTTGGAATAGGAACTGAGCCACGCGAGGTTAGAGATTCGTGGTAGGGCTGGGCGACGTCGTGTGGTTACGGCTGACAAGACGAAGTCGTAAGAGTAGGAATAAGCGATAAGAAGGAACGAAGAGAAAACTAGCCTATTAGAAGAGTAGAAGAACAATGACAGAGACAAGATTACCACGAGCAGGATTAATTGATTGGCGTTTCTGTCCGACGAATCTCGTGCGCTGCATCGCAGTGCAGAAATCACCGGTGTGGTTTGTCAATTTTCGCAAGAAACACCACATGCGGTTTAGCGTTGTGGCTTCTACGCGTGGCGCAGCGACCGTTTTAATGGTCATGTTGTTACCCGCTGGACGGCCTGACAGCAGAACTCCTGTTTGCTAGGTTTTTTTTTACCCTTGTAATGCGTCTGCCTGAATATACGATGCGGTCACCTCGGGCCCTGACGCAAGCGCATACGCAACTCGCGTTTCCCTCCCTCAAAGGGTCGCTCCCTGAAATTCAAATGACCGATACGTCCGGCCGTCCCGGATCGCAGCGGTTGCGCTTACCACATTGCTCTTGGCTAATCTATGACGAGGAGAAGAATGAAGCTCGATGGGAAAAATGGGGAAGGTGAACGGTGAGGGTAAACGCGTCAAGAGTATGGCTGAACCTCCGTCTGACAACAATCAGCAGCCACACATATTGAGCATATTGGCCTTCCTTTCGCCGTCACCGTCATACACACAACTGTAAAGATACCACGACAACTAGAATTGGCATGTCATTTAGATTAGATGTCATGTATTCGCGACGACTATGTCTCAACGGACTCAAGAAATGCTACAATTCACTCAGAGAGTGTATATAAACTCCGGATTCTCCTTATCAGTAAGATCCAACCACCTAAGGCACTTGTTAGCCATGCACTCACACTTCCAACGCATTTTGCACAAGAAGACAAAACGGGTCCAACATACTCCTGATTTTCAAGCCTCTCATACTCTGCCGAAGCTCTAATCTGCGCCTTGATCTTATTCTGCCGAACGCAGTAGCAATGGATAAAAGTCAAAATACCCAAGCAAACAGACCAACACACGATGATGGTGATTTCCGCAGGAACATATCTAGGCGCATGTTTGGGACGGAAAGTTTGGGGACCTGAGGCGTAGCGTTAGCGCCAGTGCGAAACTACATTGCAGATTTTCCTGCCCACTCACCGATGATGTTGCCAGTACAGTACCCAATGAGGTACATGGCAGCTACGGTCGTTTTCTTCGTGTAGCCCGCAACGTTACTTGAGATTAAGCTTAGCAGCGCTACGAACGGCGTCGGACTGGCTTGCGTCAAGTAGTATCCCGCCAGACGGCCGGAGTTGTTGCTCAAGGGGAGAGCTACGATGAGAACCATGCCGAGAATAGCGGTACAGAGACCGATCATCGAGATGAGGATACGATAGCCGTACTTGTCGCCTGCCCAGCCGCAAGCGATGAGAAACACCACTTCGACAGCTCCGCCTGGTGTACCGTATAGGAGCGATTGCTCAGGCGTGTAGCCGAAGCCAACGATGAGTTGGGAGAAGAAATTCGATATGCCACCTACAGGATCGATGTCAGCCTGGTCTTGGAGTATGTTCGTGGTGGCGCCTACCGTTCGGAATATCAGCGATTAGCGCGAAGAAGAAAAAAGCCCAGCTCAAGGGATCAAGCAATGCCTCCTTCATCTGGTAGAACTTGAAGTGCTTGTTGCCCACACCCTGGGCGTTCACTCGAATACGCTCAATAGCTAGAATCCGATCCTCCTTGCTTAGCCAGCGACAGTTCAGTTGGTTGTCTGGCACAATCCACAGAAACACAACGCCAAGAGTAGTGGTCAGGAGCCCAGTTACGAGGAATACGATTTTCCACGGCTCAATGACAGTTCCGGACTTGCGGCAGCCCACTGCAATACCGTATGCAAGACAGCCGCCAAAGATCTGCGCCCATCCGTTGAAACTGAACCAGATAGCCGTTCTAGTACCTTGCTCCTTCTTAGTGTACCATTGCGACGTGAACAACGCGAAGCCTGGTGTGACGGCACTTTCGAGCAGTCCTAAGAAGAAGCGGATAGCAATTGCGCCAGCGTAGTTCTCGACTGCCGCGAAGCAGCTTAGGACTAAGCCCCACGCGATGATGTTGAACGCCGCTGTAACATGTTAATTGCACAGACCCAACTTATTTCCCGAACGACCCCGGATGAACATTGACCTACAGTATTTCCCCAATGGTAAGACTTGCAGCAGTCGGGTGGTAGGATACTCCCACGCAATATAGCCAAAATAGAACATGGAACCCAGCCACTGGTACTGATCGCCCGTCAAATTGATTCCAGATTTCAGCTTGTTTTCGGAAGGCGGGAGTCTCAGACCCATGATGCTCGCATAGCTGAGGGTGGTCTTGTCGAGATAATTCAGCCCGTAGACGACGCACATGATCTTCTGCAGTCAGTCACAGCCCAGCATGGAGCCAATGTCAAAGTGTGTGTGTGTGTTGGTGTGGCGCACGTACGGGCATCAAATGCCAATCAATCTTCCGCAGCAATGCCCTGCTCTTCTCCTCGGTCAACTCGACGACCTGTCCCTCTATGCCCTCGAAGGCTTTCATCGCTGCGTCCGCATCGTGCGAATGCTTCAGTAACTTCTCGTCGATTCCTTTCGCTATCTTGGATATGGGCGAGGACTGGTCCACAACGACTGCCTCTTTCTCGACGTCATCTGAAAGTGTGGTTTTCTCAGCTGTGTTCGCCATCTCGTCATGCCTCAATTATACTGTGAATCGAAAAGGTCGCTGTCGTAGCACGATCAAGGTCACCTACAAAGGTGTTTGCGAGTGGATGCGCGACTGCAGCATGCGGGTTGTTCGATGCTTTTTAATGGCGATCCGACGATAACGCCCTCGCATGATCCTCCATGCGAGTTGACGTCTAGTGATAAGCCTCCCTGGTCACATCCTGATCCTATTGCAAGTGCCGTTACTACGCGGGGTATTCTGTGCGCTGATCCGCGGGTCCTTGGAGATAGGCCGGGGATGTGACCTCGGGATATGATGTGCAGCGAGGTGTCCTAAATAGGAAGTACGTTAGGTACGGCGGCGCGAAGCTTGATAGCCTCTACAGAGCTTAAAGCGAGGGCCTCTTATTAGACACGAGGCTTGCGTTTTTTAAGAATGATACATAGGATTGCTGCTGATTCCCTCTCGGTTTCCTGCGTGCTAATTAGATTGTGCGTGGGTTGCGGTCGCTGCTGCTGGTGATGATGTCAGTGCCTGCCCGTTACCGTCGTAGAACGTTGCGAAGATTCCACGACAAGTCATAAGAAACACAGGTTGTGAGAAGAGTTATGCTGTTGTCGCATAGTCATATATTGCTGCAACAAACGTGCTGCTAGTGTCAAAATACAGATGGAGAATCATCTCCCCATGTTCCCATGAAGCGCATGCATCGCTATTCACACGCCGATAACACCCAGCCGACCCATGGCTGATATAATACCCGAAATCCATGCTGAGAAATATAGACATGCCACCCACCCAAAACGCCGCCCATATGCAAGTCGTAACGCATCAGATATCCGCCCCTGTTCCTTTTGAATGAAACAAAGAAATAGACAATCGTTGTTCGTGTAAGAAGAGAAAGAAGGAGTGTGCCGTCATCCTATGATCGGACAAAGACGCTGTTGAGCTTGTTCAGCGCGTTGCTATCTGCGGCAGAACTGTTCTTGGCAATGCGCTCCGGGGCAAGATCACGAGGGAATCGTGACGCAGTGTTTGGACTGCGGCTCCCAGATCGGCTAGTGCTCTGGTTCTCCTTCTCTGGACCTTCTCCGTTGAGAAGCGACCCAAGCGTCGGCAGTGGTCGAGACGCTGCGGCGCCGTTCGACTCTGGGGCCTGGGACTGCGGCTGGCTGGCAGGTTCTGGCGTTGGTGGCTTGTTTGCGCCCGTTGAAGTCGCACCGCCATTAATGGCAGGGAGTTGTGGGCCTTGCTCAGGGGCAGAGACGGTAGGCGCGGGGGGAGGTGCGGCTGCGTTGGCATACTGTTGGTGTTGGACCTGTTCAGCAGCCTGTTTCTGTTGAAAGTATTGTTGGTGTGCTGCGTAGGCAGGATGATGAACAAGCATAGGATGCCCGGGTGCTGGGGCGCCTGGATTGCTCATGGGGGGTGGTGGACGGTCGAAAACGTGGCCTTGCGGGTGGTATGGAGGCTGAGCGTAGATGACACCGCCGTAGAAGTAAGGGTGTTGCGCGTAGTATGCGTGCATCGGGGGCGTGCCGTTGGGCGGCGTGGGAGGGTAGACGGGGACCGCGTACATTGGGGCTACGGGCCCAGGGCGTGCGTATGGTGAAGATGGACCCATGCTGTGTCCAGGTGCGTTATACGGTGAGCCTGGCATGGGTCCTCGAGTGACAACGGGTACCGTCTGCGCCTCATTGACGGTAGATTCTGGGTACATGTTCTTCGGGGGTCGAATGTGCCGCAGTTGCGCATCGTTGGTGGGTTGTGGGAGGTTGTTCGAATTGGAGCGAGAATAGTAGCTGATGAGGTGGAGGTGCTGCCCGCTCGACGTGGTGATGCTGAACGACTGCTTCATGAGACCGTCGGGCTTGTATCGATAGCCGTCTGGGCCCTCGCCGTCCGAGTCGCCAGTGGCCGAGCCATCTGGGGACTTTCCGCTGGCTCGCTTCACTATGGGCGCAGCCGGCAGAGCGCTTCCTCCACGCTTGCCCTCCATCTCGCGGTAGGTCAAGAAGCTGCCCGACACGCGACTCGCGCTCCACGACTTTCCGTCTGTCCATCGCCTCATGCCGGCTTCGCGCTCATCCCAGACGAATACGGATCCCGACTTGATCTGCTGGCGTTCCTTCTCAGACAGGCGGCGCTGCACTCGCGGTAATATGCCAATCCGGCACGCCTCGAACAGGATGATCGCATCGTTGGGTGTGCGGACGTGGCCGTGGTATGTCTCCATGGCGAAGGCGGTTCCGTGTTCAAGGCTGGTACTAGGCCGTGGCTGAGTCAAGTTTCTGGTAATTGAGAGATTACACTTTCATGGGTGCCTTTAATGTGCGTGTCAGCGAGTGTGTACGACTTGGTGCGGGAAGACCAAGTAAGGACCACAGCGGAAGAAAGCAGTCGCTCAGCGGGACTGATATACAGGGTACAAGGAAGACGGCATCTTGGCGTAGTCTCCAGAAATCATGGGAATGGGAAAGCGTGAAATTGCTAGGGTTGGGTAGTCTGGCGATCCATGCAGGATGCCCAGCGGAAACCGAGCGAAGGGGTGAATTGACGTAGCGTGCGGCTCCAAAGCCGGCGTAACTGTGGGACTCATGGCACAGGGAGCCAAAGGGAATATAGACAAGAAAGGAGCACACGTACTGTAGCACTTGTGTCTGTGACGTCGTGTGCCACGCTCTATATGTGGCTGTACCGACGGCGACGGGCTGAGCGACCGGGCGAATGTGTAGAGCAGGGGACGTGGGACAGAGAGCCGTCGATGCAACGAAACGGCAGTGCAGGTTGCAGGTTGCAGGCTAGAGGGTGGGTGGGTCAAAGAGGTAGGAGGAGCAGGCAAAAAGGGTGGAAAAGGCATCAGCAGCCATCCGTCTTGATATGTACTATTCTCTGGGGGCCTGCAGGAGCAAGCGGATCCTAGCATCCTGGAATGCTTTGGGCCTTTCTCGGCGCTGGGGGTCTTACTTCTTGATCGCCGCCCAGACCTGGAGTGGCGTTTGATAGCGAAATAAGGCCCACAAGCAGCCGGGACAAGCTTTATCTGGACCAGGGCGCCGCCGTTGAGTGCTAACATTTGGGGGCCATCCATCCATCCACGTCCGCGGTGCGACCCCAGAATGCCGCCCTCGACTAATACTGCGCTGTAGTAGTAGTAGTAGTAGTAGGAGGCGGCGAAGCAGCATCGGCATCGAAAACGAACCACGTCCACCTGGCAGCAATCTAGCGGACGACTTGCAGTGAGTGCAGAACAGCCAGCCCTCTTCTGCTCAGCGGCGCCCAGTCCGCCGCCGCCAGTCGCTCCAGCGGCGTTGGCCTCGATCAGCCAAGCTTTTGCCTAGGCGAATAACTCTAAACCCCGCTAACCAACCTAAACCCAATCTTTAACTTCGACAAGCCTTCGATGCCTGGGCGGGCCCACTCCAATGCTAGTCCTGACACCTTCCAAGCCTTTGCCGTGGGTACCCTCCAGTCTATCCGTCCGTCTTGTCATCCTTGGCCACCGCATGCGTGCTCGACGGGCGCCCACGGCTCCTTGGTGATCAATTTACCAAGCACGGCCAAGCCCTCCAAGCCCAGCTGTCGGCGCGAACCATGTTGTACAAGGCGCTGCGGTATCAAAATGGTGGCATGTCATGGCATTGCTTGGCCCTAAGCCCTCCCAAATCAATCAGGGCGTGCTGTTGTCCTCGGCGTCCTTGGGCGACGGAAAATGACAGATATTCCCGCTGGGCTGACCACAAGGGGATTTCCTCTTGTGGGTCAGATTGCGGAGAAGGGTGGGCCAACAAACACACAGGGCAGGTGGGAAGCCCTATTTCACTCACTCGCCCTCTACTCTCCATTCCGCGGATGGAACCATCACCCATAGACTACGTCGTGGTGCCTTGTCGTGTACGTGGAAGATGCCCATGTGCCGTGCTTCCTTGGAACACGGCCGCTGGGCTCCACTGTAACGTAATCGACCACTTGCTATTCCTCAGCCATTCGCTTGGAGGCTCGGCCAAAGAATTCACTAATAAGCTTGGTGCCTATGGTTACCGTCAAGCTTACTCTGTGCCACAAAGGTTCCGATTTACCCACGCTGACGGTAGGACAGGCCCGACATAGGCTCCGCTTCCGGAACCGTTCATCACGTTATGTCTTCTGCAATTACCACATCTTTGGATTCGTAATCAGATATTGCTCCAACTCCATGTGCGTCGTGGTAGCACTAGGCGAAACAGGCATCAGGCCACCATATCCACCGGGAGTTCTGATAGCCAGTCGTCTTCGCAGAGTGCAAACACTCGTTAGGAGCTGCCCAAGGCAGTAAGAGTATGGAGCACTTCCTGCAAGCCTAGCGTCTCAGCTGGCCCAGGGAGAGAGACAAAGGGCCGAGTCGTGCTTGATTGGCGCGGTCACACTCCAGTCTGCCAAGCAGCAAACACGAATGTTGTTTCCACGACTAGCCAAGCCTCGCATTTCCACCAAGAGCCCTGCTCGGTATCGGCATGCTCGGTGCGAGGGCCGCGTCATCGCATTTGGCAAGCTTGCCCAGGAGCCTCCTGAATCCACAGCGCAACCTTCTCGTACGAGGCGATCCTATACTAAAGGACACACCTGAAAACTTGAGGGGCAGCAATAGGCAGTCGAATGGTCGTCTAAGACCTCGGAAGACTATCTTGCATATGATAGCGCTCTGTAATCAACCGACTCGCTTATACCTGTAAGATTAGAGATAAGGTTAAGCATAATTCCTACCCTACTGCTCACCCCGGGGGGTCAGCCGCTCCAAGCCCGCTCCAGACAGCGCCTTTTCACGAACCCGGGGGCAAATTACCCCGTACAATGTGAGCGCAAGATAGCCACGGTATCGCCTAATCATCTACAGCAATTAGCTTGCGATGTCGCCTTCTCCCATCGGAACGCCTTCTATTGCCAAAATTGCCGTGCTTCCGTGTCCTATTCAACCGCGACATATCAGCCATATGGCTCTGACATGCCACACGAGAGGCGCCGTCATCGCACAAGCATAGGACACGGTATCCTGACCGACTGATCGCATTTCTAGAGCTGCGCCGTCGGATCCTCGTACCGTGGAAATTTATTGCCGCGAGCCCACGATTGAGGGGTCGCCCGGCCCCGAGAAAACGATTAAGGTAGGCCAAGCAATGGCCCTGTCCGATAGCGCCCGATCTTTACCCAAACCTTCCCTAGACGACCTGCACTTGGGTCCAACGGGACGGCCATGACAGAAATTAACCTGCCTTTCGCGATCGAAGGATTTAGACCAAGGATCAGGCCTGCCGAGGCCAAATCCCGGGTTTTGCGGTGCCTATTCATCTACGTTATTAATTGCGTCGTTCGCTACCGTTGGCCGCGCCGCACCAAGCGTTCAACAGTCCACGGCGAAATTGTCTGCGCAGGACTCTGACAGCGCCAAGAGCACAAGTAGGTAATCTGTCATCTTGGAAGGTATTCACGGTCGGCTCCTGAATACAAGTCGTATAGGCTGACCGCCCCGCGCTATTGATCGCACGTAAGCAACAGCATCACCAACAATAACTAAGCATCGCTTCACTGAGGAATAGTCAGCCTCGAATACACCAACTTTGGATGACTGCAGTTCCTCTGCAGATCGACATGCCTTACTCCCTTCTCTGATCTAATCTTAGTCTTGCGGTTACAGGATCATCTGCGTGCCAACTTACCCCTGCGTCTCTTACTGTCACCTACCGCTTCAAGGCCAGAAGGTTATGCGCAGTAGTCAAAACGATGTAGCCAAGCCTAGGCCTCAGTAAGAGGAAGCGAGAAAGTCAAGTTTGCACACACACACAGAGCAGTAGATGCCTAACGCTCGGTAGGAATTGTTCCATATCCTACGCCCCGCCTTAACATGTCATCCTGTGCAGGAAGAGGACGCTCGCTCTGTTTCATATTTCGCATCTTTATCCCAAGGTGGAAAATTCCGTCCTCGAAGGATCATGCCCTCTTCTGGCAAGGTCTAGATTGATTTTCTCTTCGAAGGATTCTGTGGGCTGCGTATCGGTACTCCGCTTTCTTGGCTTAACGACTCGGGATTCCGAATCACACGAATCGGGGATTTGCAGACCCTTGCTTACTTGACAGTTTGTCCGTGACTTCGTGCCTGTTTGTGATGAAGAATTCGCCTGGAAACTATTGTTGAACAGTGAACTTGGTGAGTTGCGGCAAGACAAGATGTGGGCAGCGCTCTTCACGTACTTTGTATCATTGTTTTGGGTGTGACCTAGTCCTATCCATCACTAGTGACAAAACCGCTTCTACCTAATTTCACACTACTTCCCATTCATGACACAGAATTACACCAGTCTAGTTAGGACTCTGGCAACCCACTTCCTTCAATGAGACCCCTGATGACGACTTTACTCTCCTGTCAGAGTTTGTTTTGCTGACTCGATCGAATGGAGAGCGACTGGATGCTGCCCTTTTTTGCAAAACATGGCAGTGATGGACTGAATGTTAACTGTAACTGGCCTATATGATCGAACACGAAAAAGGAGATATGGATATGTGCTATGTAAATCATCAATTGTTTGTGCAATTTTCAAGTGTCTCAAGGGATGAAAGTAGACTTAGATACAACGTAGAGTATACTATAATTCGATATACTAGACACCAGACTCCATGCTCGGTATATACTTTGCTCCCAGAAACCAGCAAAATCTGAGATGCAGAGACCAGCCCCCTTCAACGCCGTTGAAACATTCATATGGACTCGCCCGTCTCGGCCCTTGGCCGCATACCCTCTGGTGTAAACGTCCAGCCCCTGCCCTCAGTCGGCGTCATAGCCCTTCTCTTCTCTACAGGACTCCATTCCATGCCAGGAGCCGGCAGACCTGCAATCGCCGCATCATCTCTCGCCCTCTGCCGCTCACCCACCCACCCTCCACTGCCACGAAGACCAACACTACCACTATTCGCCGAGCCCACTGCACCAGTACTAGGACCGCCTCCACTATCTACACCACCAGCCAAGCCCTCCTGATCCGTAACCAGTCTCACTCCTGCATTGCGCTGACGTTCGCGCTCTGCAACTGCCCTCTTCCCCTCCGCCTTCTTCTTCTCAAATTCAATAATCAGCGTCTTGAAGTACGCTTCCGCCGCGCTCGTGGCCGAGTAATGCACCGGCGTCCAACTATACGCATTGGAAGCGAGCGGATTAGCACCGTACTGTAGCAGCAATCTGAGAGCTTTTAGCTCCCCCGCTGCAGAAGCATGATGTAGCGCCGTATTGCCCGAGTGATCAGCCGCGGTGAGGATAGTAGGGCCGTGGAGGATGAGCGTAGGGATCAAGTGTAGCGTGCCCGAGCCAGAGGCCGACGAAAGCATGAGCTGTAAACGTCGAGTGTCAGCGAACAAACAACTCAAACACAGCAAACAAATACACAAACATACAGCGTCAACGCCCCCTTTATTCCGCCACGTAATACATTCTGGAAACCGCTTGGCCAGCATAACGCCTACGTCTTCCTTGCCCGCCATAGCAGCGAGCATAAGCGGCGTCTCGAATTCATTGTTCCGGCTTATCATGCCCTCTTCATGGCCCTGATCAATGAGAAACTGCGCGATAAGCGTGAAGCCGCTGCGCGCCGCTAGGTGCAGAGACGTGTTGCTTTTGTCTGCCCAGTCTGGATTGCGGAGAAATTTAGGGTTATTGCGGATTATGCGCTTCACGAGCGAGAGGTCGTTGAGGAGGATGGCACGGCGTAGACGCAGAGATACGTCGATCCTGCGTATTTGTTTGGGTCAGTTGATGGAGCTGGATGGGCTCTTGACTGATCGTCTCAAAGACAGGGCATAGACAGTAGTAAAGAGGAAGGCGTCTAGCGGAAACTGACTTACATGGCGGAGCATGACTGAGGGCCCAAGGTAAAGGAGATGTTAAGTGCTGTACCTGAAGTTTGAGTGTGGGGAGTATGACGCGCGCGCGCGCGGTTGCGGGGGTCAGCTGCGGAGGCTAATTCACGGACAATTGCTACAATCGGTTAGAACCGACGTGGGATGTGCACATGGATTCGCGGTCTCATCTGGTAGCATGAGTGTTCCGATTATCATATCTCAGGCTTCATAGAACTGGATTACCATTGAAGCTTCAGTCGTCATGATCATATCAAGTTTCTCATTTGTGCATCGTTGAGATGGTCCTGCACAATACCCACTAAGCTGGTCTATCAATGCTCGCCATTGATGTAGCGGCTATCTTACATGCTGAAGGATCGCAACCGCCAATGCTCCTCACTCATGTATTACCTACAAACCCTCAAAATCACCAGCCGCATCATCATCATCGATATCACCCTCCTGGATCTCCTTTGCCAACTCCCGCTCTCGCTCCCTCGCTTCTTGTGCATTCTTCAACTCCAGACGATGCTGGTTCATGGGGTATCGCATCGCCTTGACGCACTCATCGTGCAGGGTCAGACAGGCCCGAATGCGCTCGTGGAAAGCCTCACCAGGCTCACGGGTTGCATATATGTCCCCAGCCACCTTTGTCTGCATGAAGCCCTTCTCGTGATCGATCGAGGCTTCAATGACTCCGTCGCGAATAGCTTTGGCAACAATGTACTCGGCCGACTCCTCACTCTCTAGGCCAAGGCGAATGCAAATATCGCGGAGGGAGATGCGCGAGTAAGAAAGCGACAGCATGCGGATGCCTGTCTTGATGACGTTCTGTCGTAGGCGGAGGATCAAAGTGTAAGTGCCGTCCTTGTGGAAAATGCTCGAGGATGATTGTACGACCTTCAAGAAACCCTGCAGATCGCCAACACGAACTGCTTGGACTAAGCGGAAATACGGCTCCAAAGCACGCTCCAAGCGGGGCTGACCGAACACATCACGCTCAGGGATGTCACCCATCAGCAACTCCACAACGATGAGTAGCTTCATAGAAGCCTGGTAAAAGCCGGTTGCGACATGGGCTGAGGGAGACTTGCGGGTGGCACTGATGAGGTGCTCATGTGCCTCGGTGTAGGACAGCTGGATAGCTCGTATGCGACCGAGGTAGTAGAGGTATCTAGCGACCTGGTTGTTGGGGGCGTTGGAAGGGAACTGTGTCTGCGCAACGAGGAGATCGGCTTGTGTGATGTCGGCGGTGGAGAGGTAGTTTCGGAGGAGCAATGTGGTGACGGACGCCTGCGTGTCCGGGTCTTTCCTGAGTACTGAGCTTCGCAGCGCAGCAAGCAGTTTTCCGCGGATACTGATGATCGGCGACTGCTTGGACGGGGGCTTGGGATCTAGTTCTTCCGTGAAGAGAGAGAAGTAGAAGTAGGCCTTGGCTGCTAGCGAATCTAGAGTCCGTCTGTTTAGTTCCCGAATCTTGTCCAATAGCTTCTCTGAGAACTCGGCGCCCTCGTCAAACTCGCTCTGGTCATAGAGATAGACCTGCTCTCATTAATCTCGGCGTCCCAATCGCCTGCTGACAAACATACCTGTATCAGAATAGCTATGTATATATCGACCTCAGGTAGCGGCTCCTTGGTGTTGTTCTTATTAAGTTGCACCTCCTCTTTGTACTGGGACACGACGTTCTGTATCGCCTCGCCGTCCATGCCAATGTACTCGATGAAAGTGCGCGCCGTAGCGTTGTTGGGCGAGTATGTCAGAATGATGACGGAGCATAGTACGCGGTCGGTGAGCCTCTTGCGAAGAGACGATATTGAGCGGAGGGCGCGCAGGGTGAAGCGGGTATCGAACTGGGCGACAGCTCGTTCGAGAAGGATGAAGTTGCCCCGTATATCTACCGTCGTTGGATCAGCACGGTGGTACAGATACTTGCACGAAGCCATGTTGGTGGCGATGATGTGATTGGGACACATTTTGCGGACGGGCCATGATGTCGTGCAGTTGGTGCAGGGGCACTTGGAGGTAAAAGGCATGTTGCGCGGCGGAGGCTGGTGGGATATACGTACCAGCAATGGCCTTCTGCTCGACGTTCTCGGTTTTGGGCTGCTCGGCCTCGGCGACGACGCCTTCCATGCCTTCTGCCATGCTTGTCGCTCTTGAAATATTGGAGGGAGAAGATGGGAAGGCGCACACGGGGTGGGGGAAGCGTAGCAGGGCGGGATAGAGTTGGTGTTGATGTAGGTGGTGAGGCGGAAGCTCTAGCTGCTTCACTCGCTGACGCGGGCGTCGGAGAATAGTAGTGCGAGCGCCGAGACGTTTGTCGCGTTTGTTTACCCCCCGCGTCACAACGATTCGTTACACATTGTGTTCATAGTCTCATGTCCGTCATGACGCTGCTGGATGCCCACCTGGAGCAAATCTCACTTTGCGCCACATCAATTGCAGAGTTGCCGTATGTTCATGCCTCGTTCTTTCCTCCCTTGCAGCTCACGTCTCAACGCGCCCCAGGTTTGCCCCGCCCAAGATATTCACAAACGCGCTGCTACAGAACCATGATATCACGAGCCTGATCCGCGACACCGAACTGCACGAGCGAGCACTATTCTCCGTCCCGCCACCTCCAGCGCCACCGAAACATGCAGAACCGTCCGTATCCACCAACAGGCGCAACACCATCTTCAACCCCAATGGAGGCGGCGCCAGCATCTCAGGGGGAGGCGCGAACGCCGTAAGGGCGCCCAGAAGAAACACGGCAGTCGCAGCTGTGCTCGGAAACGAATTGGTTGAACGCATACGCAGAGGAGGTGGAGGAGGCGCGGGTTCAGGCTTAGGCTATAGAACCTACGACGGCAATAACAAAAACGAAGTGGACGTCGAGCCTCTACTTGAGGGTGCTGAGAAGCTGCTTGGAGTCTAGTGCGTCTTGCATGATCAGGATATGATTGTATACGGCTAACAGTAACAGCCCCATTCCAGGCGCGCATGACAAGATTGCAACAATGCGCCAACGACATGCTCAAGTCACTGCCTCGATAGACTACTACGAGAGCCGACTAGCGGAACAGCAAATTCAGCTCACACGACTGAACCGATCGCGAGAAACCATGCACGATGATGCCGACGACGCGGAAGAGGAGCCACAGAGCCTAGTGCCCATGACCGAAGAAGACCTCCGACGAGAAGAGGAAGAGATGCGACAGTTGGAGCGGAAGAAGAGGGAGCTCGAGGACCGAGTGCATTCAATGTCAAGAGACATATCAGGGCTACGGTGATGAACGCCTTGGCTATCATTGGAGTGGAAGCATGTTCGATCACACATAGAGGGACCGAGGATTTACAACAAGATACCCATGTTTTCCATCCACGTAATAAAAGCATTTTTCCTATCAGCGCAGTTGTACCAGAGCTTGCAGAGGCTAAAATCTTGCAGCCAATGGTCACCTTTCCCGACGGCATCAGTCTACCGGGGTTGGCAACACATGATTACCCCGACTTTGATAAGTAGTCCATCACAGCTGATGTCAACCAGACAACTCTGTGCTTCATACATGCTCTAGGTTCAAGTAGTCTTTTGGCACTGTCAATCGTTCAACATGGTAGACTTTAGCCTTACACCTGAGCAAAAAGCGTTACGCACCAACGCCCGCGCCTTCGCCCAACATGTTCTATCTACCGCCCCTAACTTGTACGCGCACCTTTCAACACAGACAGAACGCTTCCAGTCTACATTGCCTGTCTATCAGGCTGCCACATCTGCCGGCCTAATCAAAGGCCAAGTCCCCACCCCGCTCGGCGGAACATCCTCCGGTCTTGTTGACGCGGCCATCGTCATTGAGGAATTTCACGCCGTGGAGCCGAGTACAGCACTCACCATCCTAGGCACTGGCTTAGGGTTGACACCGTTAATTCTAGCGGGAAGCAAAGAGCAACATGAGAAATTTTTAACGCCGTTCTTGAAGCAGGAGGGCGAAAGATTGGCCAGCTTTGTGCACAGTGAGCCTGGTGGAACGGCAAATTGGCTCGAGAAAGGTGGCAAAGGTTTGACGACTACAGCATGGCAAGATGGCGATCGATGGGTTTTGGACGGGGAGAAGGTGGGTGATTCGATCCAGACCTTTTCACTGCACTGTTTCTGTTGTTTTATCCAGTTCTCTCCATCCATCGTCACATCTTATGATACTGAGCCCCGACCTAATCGCCTCCTAGCTATGGGCCACCAATTCCGGCGGCTGGGACAACCGCGGCGCAGACCTGCAATGCATCGTGTGCCGCGAGTCCAAACCCAATGCTCCTCAAGACACCAACTCTGATCCAACATCAAGTATCCTGGTCTTACTTGTTACTCGCGACGACATCGCCGCAAATGACTCCTCCGCATACCAAGTCCTCTCAGACCCCGAACTCAGCGGCCACAAGTCCGCCAATGGGCCACACTCGCGCTTTACCAATTTCCGCGTCTCAGCCTCCAACCTCCTTGCCGCACCCGGCCAAGGTGCGCAAATCGTCGAAAAGACATTTGGTATGAGCGCCGCCATCGTAGGCGCCATGTGCGTAGGCGTCATGCGCCACGCATTCGAAGCTGCGCTCTCTTTTTGCAAGAATGACGACAGGGGCGGCGCTGTACCGATTATCAAGCATCAAGCAGTAGCAGACCGGCTTATCGATGTGAAATGCAAGATTGAGGCCGCGCGGGCGTTGACGTGGAAGGCTATGAGCGTTTTCGAGTCAACCGACGATTCGATAAGTTGGGAGCAGAGACTAGAACTAGCGCTTGAGGCGAAGATTTGGTGCAGTGATCAGGCACCGAGGGTCGTGCTGCAGTGTATGGATGTTGTGGGCATGTACGTTTGCAAGCCTTTCTTTTTTCTCTTCTGCACATGCATGTGGGTCTAACTGGTCCAATAGGAAATCCTACGCAAAGGATATGCCGTTTTCGAAGCTGCTGGAGGATGCGGCTTGTTTGCCGCTCTTCGATGGCGGAAATGTGGGTGTCAGGAGAAGGCAGCTCGAGAAGATTCTTCAGAGGGAAGACTATGAGCCCTGGGTTGCTACGTATCCTTCCTAAGCGCACGCTAGGGTTTAATAAGGCATTCGGAGAATGATAAGGCAACTACGGGTACACGAAATCTCGCCAGTTATTTTCGATCTTGAAAGCGGCAAGTACTGACAGTTGTATCGTATAGTCCGATTTCCTGTCGCTCAACCAAGCCTCATCGCTGACGAGATCTTATTATCGATATGTATAGAAGCTCAATATCACCTTTACCTTGCTGAGTTGCTTCTTCTCTCACCTACTGCTATCTCCCGTACCTTTCAACGCCTTTTTAGACGTAAATTAATCCACGCCCAAGCTGACGACACCTGAACACCATCTATTCCAACTCTTCTCAATTTCCAACTATACACTTTCCAGCCAAATCCAATCGACTTCAAGTTCAGCGTTATCAACTCACCATGGCAGTATGTCTCACGTACGGCCACAGTTCCAGGCAGTCCAGCTAATACCAAGTCCCTCAGCAAGTCCGGTCGCCGCGCAAACTAGAGTTTCGAGCCCGAAGGATGGCTTGTGCCTACACCAAAGACGGTTCCGACGTATGGGTCACGTTTCTTAAACGCAGGCATCATGCAGTTACTCCCATGAAGCTCGCACGGATGTATCTCCATACGGCGCCCAAGCTAAACCATAAGGCAGCCAATCTCACCTTGGCCGATATCGACTATACAACTACGTCTCCGCAAATGGGGTAAGTACGTCAACGAGGCCAGCTTCGAGGATATCGCTCTGGCAGCCTGGTCGTGGTACGGTGACGATCTTGAGCTCAAGACGAGAGATGAGCTCGAAGGTCGCGGCGGAGGGTATACAGAGTATGACAGCGAGGCTAGCGAGGCATCTAGTATTGCTCTTATCGAGGATGGGAAGTCTTCCCGCTACGGCAAGAAGGATCGACATGCAGCTATCATCAAGGCGAATGCGGTCATGACTCTAGAAGACGCTATCCGCATCCAGCGGGACTTCTTCAGTGGCGGAAACGTTGCTCGCGATCGAATCGAATCATCATTCGAGAAGTATGGGCACATTACGCCGGAAAACTTTGTCGATCTCTCTGGCGAGGCGGATGGAGATACTACTAGTGAGGACACCGCTAGCCCAAGTCCTTCGAAGCGGAGTTACAACTGTAATGGGGCGCCTATTCAGACGAATAAGCGACCAAGACAAATTAGTGTCACGTTCGCGAGGGAGAGTGATGCTGCCAGCTCTACATTTTCGTGGACTAAGGCTTATCTGGACTCATGTGATAGTGCAGCGCGAGACCTCGACCTGGAGCAGGGTGAATCCAGGAATGTATCTGAGGAGCAGGATACAGACTCGGACGACGAGCTATCTCATGCATGGGAGGAATTTATCGCCAACTTGTGAGACTGATTGGGACACAAGACGTTCATGAGTTTAGGTTACGGAACCTTGCTGAAGATCTTGCTATGGATATGGTATCCTAAATGGATGGAGATGGGGAAACGTTGACTTCTTGTGGAAATGGAGGAACTCATAGATATCTTCAAGTCTAAAAGGTTGGAATGGACTGAGATAGCGCAACCTGATTTACTATAGGCCAGATTTTGGTGAACACCTGGATCATCCGGCGGCCATATTATTAAACTGGAGGATATGAGCGTTACTTTCTCCACGGATCTTAGGCGAAGCAAACTGTACCTTTCTAGGTTATCAATAGCATGACTTTGATAATTGCCTTTCTAGCCATTATAACAAGAATATCCAAGAGTGATATGCTTTACACCTTGAGTCTTCTGCTCGAGATTAGTAGATAGATCGTTAGATTTGAGTGACTGTAGGCAATGAGGGTTGGCCACAGCAAGCTTGCAGGTATTTCTTGTCACGCCGATATCATTGTCATTTTGTTTGATTGGTAAGGCTGTGAAAACATCTAATCAAGGTTCAAATGCAGTGTGTCGCACGGCTGTGGGCCTTGCAGCTCAGGGGTATAATTAGAATGCACGCGTTCTATTGCCGATCAGCGGGGTCAGCATATACCAACCGAACATAGTTTTATGTGGCACAAGGCCCGCTCTTTGCCTTTTTTCCTCCTGCTCTGTTTTGCTCGTGTGTGACGAACGTAATATGCTTCATGCTGTCCTCTCACTCAGTGGCATTGTTCGTTGCCCAATAACCTCTACAATTGGAAAATCTGCTAGCTGTGTAATATCAATAAGTCCTTCAATATATTATCAAGAGGCACAGCATTAACGCGCCTTCGTACTCACAAAGCACAGCCACCTTTGACCGTATCTTATCGATAACGTTGACTCGCCTTTAGCATCGCTTAACCCGCCGTGCAGGAAATCATCGACATTACTTGCATGAATATGCAGGACATGGGCGGCAATCTACACACTACTACCTGTTCAGGCCCAATCGTGTATGCCTTGGTAGTATTCATGTGTGGCTGCTGTTTGGACTGGATGTTTACTGTTTCTTTGACCCTCACCCCCTTTTCTGTTCTAGAAGGCGGGACGAACGGACGGCTGCCGCGGCAGAGACCGCGCACCGCCCAGCTGGCACAACGTGTCCGCTTACCGGTAATTACCATTCCATTTGCCACCTCTCTTCTCCTGAGATGGATGTTGGTCGAATCTCGGCTCGCCCGTTAGCACCTCTCCGGCGTGCGCCCATGTCCGCATGCTGGCCGATGCGTAGTGGAATGTGTCCTGGTAGTCATTGAAAGTGTGTGAATGCCCCGACGCGTTCCACAGTACGTCTGACCCCATCACATCGCTCAACCAACATGTTTCTCAGTGTAAAGGAACGAGCGCGACAGATTGCGAGCGGGCAATTCCAGCCTTCAGCACCCGTGACGAGCGCGGCGAGTGCTCTGATTCCGCCTGTGGAACCGCCAAAAGTCGTGCCCTCGAAGACCGTGACCGCGAAGTGGGCACCCTCAAAGGTTACGGCTACGCCCGCACCAACCACGCCCTCGAAGAGCGCATCCAAAAAAACCGCGAGTCCTAAAATCGAGGCGCCAAAGACCCCAACATCAAAGACTCCGCCCGCAAAGACCACACCCCCGAAGACGCCAACACCGAGCACACCAACACCGAAGGCCTCATCCTCGAAACCCTCATCATCCAAAAACACATCCTCGGCAACCGCGTCGTCCTCGAAAACCACGGCTCCAAAAACCTCATCCTCCAAAACTTCGTCCTCCAAGACCTCATCTTCGAAGACGTCGTCCTCGAAGACATCATCATCAAGGTCCACGTCTCCAAAAGTTGCATCCCCGAAGCTCCCATCCCCAAAGTCCCCAAAGGCCGCGTCTTCAAAACCCGTACGCTCGGATATCCTGTCGAAAATCGGAATTGGCTCGTTTGCACAGGAACCACCGGAGCAGGATGCAGAAGTCAACGAGTTAAAAGCTGCCTGCCTAAAACAAGCAAGCCATATAACAGGGCTAGGAGGGAGACACCTTGCTATTTCATTAAAGCAATCATCCTCATCAGGAGAGTGGTACGCAGCCTTGAAAGACTTGAGCTCAGACAAGTACTTGAAGATGTGGATGGACCGTAGCACGACGTTCCCCACAAAGGTCGAAGCTCTGGAGGCGTATTTGGTGTTTGTGAAGAAAATGAAGTCGGATTGCAGACTGTTCCCTCCTATGTCGCCGAAGATGGGCAAGAGCAAGCCATGATTTAGGGAATGATACGATTGTACAACAGGGAGAGATAAGGCTCGCACGACAACATAATGGCAGCGATTGGAAAGCTTCTCACTGGAGAGTCTAGAAGCGACAACGGAAATGAAAGTACCCGGGTAGGACCCGGAGAAACTGTATACTAATACTCGGATTTTGGAGGGCATCAAGGCGCATACGGATCATGTACAACATCTCCTCTCACTTACGGCAGGCGTTGGACAAGTGAGCCACTTGAATTGTGGCCACTTAATTCAGCGGCAGATATCTTCTCGGGCATTACAAGGCGTTTTATACCTGGGATGGGGTACTGAGGTTTTTAGCGACTCTGTTTCTTCCGCATATCGAAGGAAGAGTAACGCTCATCTCAACCTACCTGTCTGCACAGGCTGTAACAACAATATCTTACGAATAATCTGTAATACTGTAATTAAGAGTCGCAGGGTCTGGATCCTTGCGCTCTATATCTACTCATAGTAATACTTGAAGCATCCAAGGGAGCTGGAAACATGCTCTTATCCACTTTTGCCCCCAGATGTCTTGCTGCAGAGTTTATATAGCCAAAGTGAACTTGCCACTCTAGGACATGCTATACATGCAACGAAATTGAATGTTTGCTGTCTGTTTGGCTTTTACTTTTGGACTGCACAAGTATCTTTGGAACAGGAACACAATTATATGTTCCGTGTTTATGGAAAATTAAATAGGCATGCGTAGGAACACGTCTAGATTAGACCAATTGTTAGCAAATCTGGTGACGGAGGATTTCAAATATCATGGCATAAAAAAGCGCCCAGCAGTATCATCTGCAGGAAAATGATTCACACAGACGCTTTCACGAATTCCATGAGCCGTTTTCGCCAAATGCTTTTGGAAATCTCTGTTAGCTACAATGATTCGCAAGGCCGATGTCTTCTTCAAGCAGGGGATTCCAAAAAGGGGTGCAGCAATGCCTCCGAAGCCGTAGGTCTCTTAGTATGTTCTATAACGAGTAAAGATTCAATGAAATCTAGCAAGTCTGGCGACACTGGAGGATCTGGGATATGTTGCAATTCCTCACGCCAGTTGCCTCTGGTAATAAGCTTCATGGAACCAAGCGGATGATCCATAATCGCTAATTGTTCTGCAAGCTCAAACTCCTCTTTGTAAATCTGGCTATCAATAGGTTGACCTAGCGAGCCAACGAGACGGATAATTTTCGCAATGCACCATGCTTCAGTTTGCCCTTTAATGATCTTGTCACCGGGACCAAAGAGGGTTAGCGGTGATAATTGAGCTGTTAACTTCTAAAATTAGCTCTCTCTCAAAGAGGCAGATATGAGCACTAACCGTAGCACCGAAGGACCATACATCTGAGGAATGTTGACACGGTAAGCCTCGCCAGACTTCTGGTGCTCTGCAAGGTAGGCTTTGAAGACGCTGGGTTGCGGAGCCATCTTTGATCGCTGTAATAATGAGAGATGGTTATAGACACAGGTGAAAGAGAGCTCTTACTGTTTCCTAAATCTCCTAGCTTAGCGACTGGAGAAGTCCCATCAACGTAGGAGATGTAAATGTTGTTCGGATTGACATCTAGGCATTTAAGTACTAGTAATGGAAGTGGAGCAAAGACCGCTACCTGTATGGACAGCATTGAGTGTTTTCAAAACGTTGAGAGCCGATAGGACCGCTTTGGACACGACTTTGGGTAACCTTGCATTTCCTCGAAATTCGGGCGCGGTTATCGATCGCAAGTCATGATCCATCCATTCAAATACCAAGCACGATGGGTCGTCTTGATGTTCATTGAATCGTACAGTATCGCACATAGCTCGGATGTATGGGCTCGAAGCAATGTCGTCAATTTTGTAATTGCGGTATTCGCGCTTCAAGCACATCTTCTCATCGTCGGTAGCTGCGGTTTTGATCATAGCCCTGTGGCGACGGTGAACGGTTGCTTTTTGAGTTATGTCGTGGCAGAGCCTCACCATTCTGCTTGGATGGAAGGGTTGGACAGCACTTTGGCTTTGAAGACAGTGGAACCTTTCAGCGGACATAGCAGTTCATATTTTCCTTTCGCTCCATAAAGGACTTGTCCAACACGTAGCGCCATGAACGCGTTATGTTTGTGTTCGAAGGGGTGTGGCACCGGCAGATGCATTCGCGGCTGGCCGCAAGGGCCTTGGCAGCATGACGCGAATTATCAGAAGTTATTATTAAAAACTCACTGTCACCAACCAAATATACGTAAGGTAATAGCCCACTAATATCAGAAGCTGCTATGTTCTTGTTCGTACAGTCGGTTTGCCTCTTTCCCCCTTTTTGCCTCCACTACTCCTGCGGCATCGAGTCTGATGCTGGTTAGGTTCTATAACGACGTCAGTGAACTTATTTTTTTACGTTGGGTAGCGATTCGATGACTAAACACCGGGTGAATAGAAAAACCAGCAATTGTACTCACTCTTTCCGCAACAATCACCAAAGATGACTCTTCAACCTCCATTCGCACTCTTCGTCCTTGACAAAGATATTACAAATGAGGTATAAGACACTTGGCAATGTTGTTGCACCAAGACTAATATTTGTAGTATCTCAATAACAGCCTAGTGCGCGCCTATAACGGAGATTATCAATCTGGTTGGAATCTCTGGGTTGCAACTGACTCGTACGACGATTTGCCTCCACCACAACAAACCCATCAGCCACCTCCGGAAGCGACTAAACCCCCACTTCCAGCGGATTTCTCATCGCCATGGGTGGGCAAGACCGTCGAAGACTGCGCGAAGTGGCTGCAAGAGATGCCTGTGCAGGAAGGAGTCTACGCAGAGAGCGTAAATAGAGACTACTTCACGGCCATGAATGAGTTCTCGAAAGAAGAGGACATGGTTTTGGTGTGCCGCTTTCAAAATAAGGACAACGGTAATACCAGGGTTGACTATTTTCCACAGTCCACGGACGAGGTCCAGATGCAGATGTGGACTAACTTAGGTTCAAAGTTTGACGAACAGGCCAGTAATTATCGAGATGCGAGGAGGTTTGAGGATAATAAGCCTGACAGAAGCAAGTTCAAGTCCGGCGGCCCATACTAGCAGACATAGATCTGCAGTCTCGCTATCATTGGTGTTCGAAAGCCGAGTATGGCCAAGCGCCGTCTAGTCTTTCCATAATATGAGTCTGTAGGCCCGCACTCTCGACACTTCTGCGACTAATGACTACAATAGATGCAGTTTTCCCCTTTATCAAGTATTAAAACGGGTTTATTAGTGGTAATGATGCTAAATCAACAATACCGCTCCTTAAATTGGGTTAAAACATAGGATAAAATTAAAAAGTGGTGGGGCATCTTGCTACAACACTCGACATGAGTGTCTATTGGACTGTAAGTTCAACTAAGTCGCCCCTTCGGACAGTTCCTGCTCTTATATCTTCAATATTCCTTTCGGTTAATTCTCTCACAACGGTGGCGTCGTCGTTTATACTTTTGTCGCTAATGTACTCCCGCAAGCCTGGTGATCTGGACTCTTTGAGAACGCCGACCGCGCACGCCCAAGTAGCGTCAAGGGTGTATTTCTGGGAGATCTTCAAGTAGACTGAGCGGCTTCCGCATATCCAATATCTGACGCTTTGTGTTTTGCCATGTTGGGGAGAAGGATGCCACATCACTTCCATCCATTCAACGAGGTGAGGAACAGGTGCAAAAATCCGTGCCATTGAAGCAAAAGGCATCAGGCAAATTTCCCGTGCTTCTTTGTTCAAAAGGACTGCGCCCAGGTCCATCGTGATATGGCAAGGCGGCGAATTCTTGCGAGGTGTGGGCTGCGCAGGCGGATGTCATGGTGGAGGGTCTACTGGCGTGTAGCGAAAGTACTCTTGAAGTGTACTTGGAGAAAGCACGTGCTTCTGCAGATCGTCAGTTCCGAAAATTACCCACAGGGGCTCGCATTGACCATACTAACTAGCACCCTATCTCGAGTGGCATAGGTCTCTATTTTCCGTGCGATAGGAGCGGGGACTATCTAGAACTCTAACGGAACAGTTCCGAGTGTTATTCCGGAATGCGGAACGACAACCCCGCCTTTGCAAGAGTAGCCGGCTTTAATACAAGCTGGAGATGCGTCTGCAACATCTGTAGTCAATTAATTTTGTTGAAATCACTCTTTAGACTTTTCTTATCACTTCCTCTGGCTTTCTCAACGGAACATAATGGCAGCAACCAAAGTAGCACTCATCACGGCCAGCTCGGCAGGCCTGGGTGCCCAAATAGCTCGCGCATTCGCGCCAGACTTTCGAGTCGTATGTGTGCCTGCTTTGAAACAATAAGCTTGTTACGTTGGTCGTACGGCTTGAAATAGAATGATCGAGCTGACACTCATAGGTAATAAATTACTCGTCTAACTCTGAAAGAGCCCAAGCCCTTATCAAAGAGCTTTCTTCAATACCCGGCAGCTCCTCGCAAGCAAACCCGCGCTTTCATCTCGTCCAAGCCGATATGTCCTCGAAGACGTCCGTTCAGAACCTCGTTAAAGAAACTCTCGACACAATGGGCCGACTAGACGTAGTCGTGTCGAATGCTGGGTGGACGCGTATGACCACATTCACAGACATTGAACAACAAGTCAATGACGACGATTGGGACAAATGCTTCACCATGAACGTAAAAACACATCTCTGGCTTGCGTACGCGGCGAAAGATGCGCTAGCCGAAAACGAGGGCGTATTTATCTCGACAGCTAGTGTGGCTGGCGTCAAGCCGTCCGGCTCAAGTGTCCCCTATGCAGTCACGAAGGCAGCACAAATCCATCTTGTAAAGAGTTTAGCTGTAGTTCTGGCGCCAAAGATCAGGGTTAATAGTGTGTCTCCGGGCATGCTGTTGACGGAGTGGGGTCTCAAGTTTCCGGAGAGCAAGAGGAATGCAGCGATTGGAAATACAAAGTTGAAGCGTTTGGCGACAGTCGAGGATGTTGCGGATCAGGTCAGGACTTTGGCACTTAGTCGGAGTATTACTGGGCAGAACATTTCCATCGATAGTGGTTCTTCGGTGTAAGGACAGACTAGAGGTTGGAACGATCTGTTATTGAGTACGCGAGCTATTTCATGGGCACGTCCTGATTAAATCTTCGGTAAAGCTGAAACTCTTTCTTAGAGGTAGAGGATATTAGAATCATAAATTCCAAATGTGTTGCTCAAGGTGTCGCCGTAAAGTGTGGGTGTCTGTCCAACCGGATATACGCTATCTCCGTCCAGCCACCCTTCACTTATCGGTGGGGCTGTACAAAATAGATCCGGACTAAATGCGGAAAATTGTCTGATAGGCGGCGACCGAGCAGATATGAAATATACCCGTACCATGTAAGCACAAAACACAGCAGAGTGCAAGCTACCTAGTTATCCCTCGTTTAGCTTGATCCGATGAGTCAGCGAAGAAAAGTTGTAAAGCTCGGAAAGCTCTCTGCAAATCGTAAAAGCAGTGTTGCAACGCAATGAACGGTACGGTACCGCGACGCAAAGATCAGTCGTAGTGTCATGGAACGAATCCTTGGTAATGATCATGTCTACTATCTCGGCACGTCGAGTGTGGAAATTTAGTCAGTGCAAGATCTACAAATGCGACGTTTACAAGATACCCAAGTAAGGAGGAAATAAAAAGAATGTATATTGTATTCTACTTATGCACACATGAACGGACACCGGCAAGCATTCATGCTCCTCATAAACTGCTCCAGTAAGCTACCCTCATCACTTTAATATACCTTTTTCTTCTTTGAGACGCGAACAACGTTCTTCAACTGCCATCGCCTTCCCTGCTCTTCAGAAAGTCCTTCTAATTGGCGTAAGTTGAATTCTACATTCAAAATACCGTCTGCCCCCTAACGACATTCATAGAAAGGCTTTCTCGGCAGCTCGATCCTCTAACAGCTCATCAAAGCTGGCTTCACCGTCACAGTGACAATCCTTTCTCGTGTCTCCCTCGGAGACCTTGCCTCTAGCGTCCAAGCCGTCGAAGTTGATTACAGTTCACTTTCGTCTCTTGTCTCCGCCTCCAAAGGCCAAGATGCCATCGTGACCGCTATGAACAACCGGGCCATTTCAAATCAGAAACTGATAGTCGATGCTGCCATCCAAGCCACAATGATGAGGTCTGAAACCATTTTTGACGGCCGTCTCGACCTATCCTGGAAGGATCGATGTAATCACGAACATCTCCACGTTCAATGTACCTTCATAGAACCAGCGATAGCTTAGCTAGGGCGTATATGCTCCAAAAGTCCCCTTATGCTATCTAAGTCGGCATCAGCCATTTTATCCCCAGCGACTACGGTGGCATGACGACAGACTCTGAGGCCTAAAATTACCGGTGCATGCAATGTCAGCCGATATACAGAACCATCTAAAAGAAAAGGCAGAGAGGGGAGAAATTGAATGGACTCTGTTCTCTACTGGCCCTTTTCTGGATATGATTTTGGCAAATTTGCCATTACTTTTCAACGCGAAGAACAAGGAGATTGCATGGTATGCTGCTGGCGAAGGCAAAACCAGCTTCACGTCTAATGTCACAATTGGAAAAGCTGTCACCGCGGCGCTTAAACTCCCCACCAAAACCAAGAATCGCAACATATTCATTCACGATGCTGTCGTCACGCAGAAACAAATGGTAGCGCTCGCGAAGAAGTACGTCCCTGGAGAATGGAAAGAGACAAAGGCTAGTAGCGAAGAGGAGTTGAAGGCGAAGTTCGAGAAGAGATTCATAAGTGAGTGAAACATTGAAGTTCACCAACATATCCAGCATGTCACATCCGAAATGATGATGTCACACAGATTTTAGAGTGTATATAACCAAGAAAGATATGTAGACCAAGTGTGAAAATAATTTCACCCGTAGTAATGGGAAAAGAGACCGTGCTCGCTGCTGGGTTCAAGATGCGTTTATTTGAAACTTATTGGCCAGACCACCTTTGGCGTACCGCACCGGGAACCTTGGGCTTACTTGCGGCCCTAGATCACCCAATAATAATGTGGCTCAGCCCGATTTCACCGGTCCTCCTCAGCTCAGCACCATTCGTGAGTTACCACTCGTCATGTCGCGTGAGCGGTGCGGTGCAGGGCGCAAGGCTGGCCAATCGAGGTTATTGCACCTACGAGGCTGAACATGCCGTCCTACTGCCAGCTCATAAAGACATGCAAGCCCCGCGTCTTTGAGTGGATTGACAACGCAGAGGTTTTGAGCCTCATTTTGGCGGTTGAGGGGTGGTTGAGGATAAAATGAGTGTACGGGTCGGATGTAATTGACGGAGCAGTCCTCGGGCGATTGATGACTTTTGTGTGGATGCAAGATGTCTGTCAGTGATAATTCAACTTTGGCCGTGTCGCGCGACAATGAAGGGTCTTATCAGTTGCTGGATGGATATGCATACGGTGTCGGAGACTTGGCAGTCAATTCTTATGAGAAGTCGTGAGTGATCTACTTCAGGGTTTGACGTACACAATCACTCACAAAGAATGCAGACCTTACGCAAACGCTCAGATGGTCACCCTAGACGTCGGACCCGACGCTACTCGCTTTGACGTCCACGGCACCGTCCTCTGCCAAAGTGCAGAGCTTGCGGCGAAGTTTAATCCGTGGAGCTTAAAGAAGCAGCCGGTGCCGCTACCAGAGGTCGACGAAGCGACAGCACATACACTCGTGCATTACCTATATACTGGTAAATACCAAGCTCTAAACACGCATTCTCAGCCCGACAAAGCAGTGGCACTGAGCTACAAGCTCGGAACGTGTGTGTACTGCGCAGCTGTCCGCTACAAGCTACCAGGGCTCGTGGAACTCGCAAAGGAGAAGATCACTTCGTTTGGCGAGGACGTGGGCATCTTCGACACACTTGCCATGGCGAGAGACCATGCATTTCCACTCCTACCGGAAGATGAATCATGGTATGCGGCGTATCTGGAAGGTGCGATTAACAGCGCTATGGCGGAGGATCCAGAACCGTTCCGAAAGCCAGATTTCATTACCCAGGTTGAAGGCAATAGCCGACTTCTCCAGGTCGTTTGGAAGACTGTGATGAGTAACTATGCCAGAGCCCCTGTCGTACCGGTTATTGTGGAGGATGAAGCTGTAACTCCAACAGCTGAGACTCTTCCAGAGGACTTTGAGTCGGCTGATGTTCGAGGGCCCGAGCCTGCTCAAGAGCCTCAAGACATTAGTGCTAGAGAAACGAAGCTAGTCGATGACAGTACACCATCACCTATGCCGATTGAAACAGACGCCTCAGCTACAGGGGCCAAGTCCGAGTCTGATATCGCACAAGAGGATTCCTTGGAACTGGACGACATCGAGCCCACAGTAGAGATGTCGCAGGCACCGGAGCCCTTCACAGACGAGCTAGGCTTCGAAAGGAGCAAGATGTACAAGCAAATGGGCAAGAAATCGGAATTGGCTGTTGGCACCGAGCCAAATCTAGAAGCGCTCAAGAAGTCTGCTCATACACGATCCGATTCTGTGATGCAAGTTGAAGAAGCTGCGCCAACGCCTAATCTGGAGAGGAAAGACAGTGAAACTGCAGAACTTGTAGACGACGGATCGCAGGTAAACGGGCTGAATGACGGTGCCACGACGTCGAAGAAGATCAAGAAACAAAAGAAGAAGAAGTCGTCAATTGTTTTCCATTGAGACTGATGGTATGGGGGTATGTCAACGTACAAATGGGCCGTACATAGCTCGAATGAACCTTATTGAGCACCCACCATATTTTTTCTATGCACGTTCGAAGCTTGACGCGTTCTCAGGCAGGATCTGGAAGAGGTGAAGATGGTAAGATGGTAGAGAAAGGTAGGTGGCGCGTCGTGCGCGTCTCACATACTAGCGCGACATCTGTGCATCAACCCAGGTACCGAGGCTTATCAGCCGATGAGCCACTCCACCCGATGAGCCACTTTTTACTAGTAAAAAAGCTAAAAATTAAAATTTTATTTATTTAATAACT